CAATTGTACTTGTTAGTTCTAATATAAGCTTATAGTCAGTAGTTCGTGACTTCGTTCTACTATTTAAACTTGATCATATATCCTGTAGTTATGGTTAGACCTCTCGATACGTTAATTCAGTAAAAAAAAATCGAATCAACTGAGACTGAATTACTCTATCTTAACCAAGACTAAATTCGGATTTGCTAGTTATCAGGTGACTGAGATTTTCTCCAAATCTAACTTACCTTCTTCTTGGGAGCCACAACCTCCAGCAAGGACTACTATGGAAAGAAAGAAAAGGACGAGAGGTGTAACCTGACTAACTTCAGAGGGATGGTGGCTTTGAGTGGCAGCTGGACAGATGATGGTGGTTCGCGGCAGGGCGAAACCAACAGGTGGTTAAGAATTTAGGGGACGGATCCGACGGCGAGCGGAGACGAGGAAGCATTCCCTGTGAACTTTGATTCGAAGTCGTGATTTGACCCTTACCGGACTTGTTGTCATTGACAAAGGAAGAATGGAAGCAAAGACAATGTTACCGCCTCGCTGGAAAGGCGCCCTTGACCGTGAAATGCCTCCGCGCAAGCCTTGTTTTCAAAGAAAGATCTCGTGATTGTACACACGAAATTTTCATGGCGCAATACATCTGTGATTCTTGAGAACTATCCCTGTTCGTGAATCCTTTATAGTATTTATATTTGTCACCGTTAACTATTACGGTTGCAACTTTAACCACTAATATTTTGTTTTCAATAATTAGATTATGATGAACAAAAATATAGTTTAATACTTTTGTTTAAGTAAATAATACACTTTGATAGCATGGCTATTAAAGTATTTAGAATCTTTTTTTAAAAAGAAAAATTATCAAAGTTTAAATACGAATAGTGCTTGGTGACAGATACAAAGGAATAGATGGAATAGTATTTAACTTGTTCAACAAGATGTTGAAGTGTTTGATGAAATTTCGTACCAAAAATTCATAGAAAAATCATTGGGGATTAATTTTACGTGCCAATAACATTTGCAACCCTTATTTACAAAATACATTTGAGGGACGGCTTTATGATAGGCGAGCCCAAAAATTCCAAATGTCGCGATGGTCCGAATATATTCAATATTGGACTTGTCATTTTATATTTCAAATAAAAAATAATGGTTCAAACGGATTTGAAATACAATACATGATTCCAAATTTCTAGGCTGTTCTAGCGGTAGTCCTTGTTGATGGCTGCTAATTAGTACTCTGATTGGATTGATTATCTCTAGCAACTGTGGGCACACGACCAATACATGCATCTTGACAATTTAAATTAACGCGTGATTAGCGGCGGGGTTTGCTGACACGGTTGAGAGCATGTTGAATAGCATACTATAAACCAGCTATACACATTTTTTAAGCAGATAAAAGATGAGAGATAAAAATAGCGGACTACAGATTTGTAGCCAGCTATAGCACGGACTCCAAGACACATTTTATATATGATAGATGAGATCATATATTAATTGTGTAGTATATATTTATAGATAATTATTATATGAATTAGCTATTAAGTTAACTATAAACGATTTGGACCAAAAGTTAGCTATACTATTAAACTTGCTCTGAGAGTCATGTGGCATGTGCTGGTCACGGTGAATATTATGTCGCGCGTACAGACAAATATTGGGAGGAATCGGGAGAAGGCTTTATAGCTAGTGATGGCGCATAGCGGCACTGTGCAGAACTGCAGATGCGCAGCCCTGCACTGCACACATGTACATCCAGATCAATATAGTTGCCAAAGTAATCGTCAAAAGGAGTATGCTTCATCGTCGCTGGTGCAACACCGAACTAATCATTCGTCTTCCGTCGAGTCGCGCTTCATCAACATGATTTCTCCGTCAACCTATTTATCATCAACAACACAACAGCATCACGGTGCTGTGCGCATATTTGCATATATAGCCCGGTATTATCAGAGGGATCAAATATACGCTATAGTGCTGTGAGGTCGCGAAACCTGACCGACAGAAAAGTAAAGTAGAGCACATATGAATATATCATGGATACGTTGTGAACTTGTTGTCATGGATACGTTGTGAACTTGTTGTCATGGATTTAAGTATCCCAGCGACAGTAAACACATGCACACGTCATCTTTATTAATCGATTAACATGAGCTAAAAATAAATACAAGGCTAGTATGACCCTCACGAGCGTTGGACCGTCTAACTTATCAAATATCAGAGCTGGATATTTATTTGTATAAATTTGGGAGGAGTTTGAGCCTTATTGACAATAGACCAACCATGATTTATGCATATTTATATTCTTGTTCGTGATACAATATCGATGTGAATATCTATTTGTATAAACTTGGGAGGAGTTTAAGGTGGTGTTTGGATTCAAGGACTAAATTTTAGGACCTGTCATATTGGATGTTTGACACTAATTAGAAGTTTTAAACGTAAACTAATGAAAAAACCCATTCCATAACCCTGGACTAATTCGCGAGACAAATCTATTGTGCATAATTAATCCATGATTAGCCCATATAATGCTACAGCAAGCATGTTCTAATTATGGATTAATCAGGCTTAAAAAATTTGTCACGTAAATTAGCTCTCATTTAATACTTCTAATTAATGTCCAAACATCCAATATGATAGGGACTAAAATTTAGTACCTGAATCCAAACACCACCTAAGCCTTATTGGCGTCAGATTGTTGACAGAAAACACGTGGCCTGGGAGATCTGCTTAACTCCAGTGCAGGTCCAAAACTCGCCTTCGGATGTATTAGCGTGACAGTTGATTTGATCCTGTAATCAACAAGAAATAGAAACAAAGAAACCGTAGTTAAATCTATAAATGATAGCCGATCGGCTAGATGCCGATGACATATCATTTATCTTTGGGCCGATGTCATCCATGTATCGATCGGCAGTCATAAATAAGTAAAGAAGAACTAAATCTACTCGATCGGCTATAGATATTAACGATATATACTCCTTATATCGATGTATACTTAAATCAAGTGATTGGGATAGATTGGTCATCATGCCGAGACAGTATAAATCACTTAGATCGAAATATATGTCAATAATAAGACTATATATGTTTATAGCATAGACGATCAGATAGATCTAGCATGTATCGGCTAATACTCCGATACTACTCTATATCAAGATATTAAAGCAAGTATAATATATTGAGCAAAAGCCTAACATACTTAGATACAACAATATCTTAACATAAAGGGCAGATTTAACATGTCAATAAGGCATATAGAACAAATGAAGTTAAATCAGATACGATCGGCTGAAACTCCGATGCTATTCTAATCGGCAACTAGAAGGCAGGCTAGAGATCGATATTCTAAGCACGACTTAATAGATCAAACTCAACTGATGCAGCATTAAGTATGAAAAGAAGAACAATTTCTAGACAATCAAGCCGCTAGAAGTTTCATAGAATGGTAGATATCTCATATAATCTAGATCAATATCAAAATCTAACCTAATCGGCTGCCCTCTGCATACAGATGTTAGCCGATAGTAGATTAGGTGGCGATATTGCTAGAGATTATGTAAGGTATATGATAACTCGATGAATTATATAAATAAGATGAGAGTATCATAAAGATGGAAGCACTAATCCTAAGAACACAATCCGTCATAACGAATTTTACCTCTTGTTGATGATCGAAATCGATGCAGCTCAACCCGAAAGCAAGAACTCGTCGAAACTAAAGCAAAAAGGGTGGCGATGCGCCGAGATTGTATTGAACGTGTGTGTTAAAAATTACATAGGGCTCGGGGTCTATTTATACCCGAGGATTACAAGATATGCCTATACCGGACATGACCACTATCTCTAACAAACTCTAAGATACCACAAGTCTTTGCGGCAGACTTTTGCCCACACTTATCTATAAGAAATTTACATAAAATATCCTAATTAATAGATACAATTGCCTTCCCAGGACTCCATCCATACGTGACAATCATCTTGAAGTACATTAACTTGAACCCGATGTCGCGTACAAGTCATATTGTCGGAATCGGCTATATCGGCTTATTTAGCTCGACTCAGACTCAGCCGATCCCAACCGTAGCCGATCCGGGCATCAGCCGATTCCTGCTTTGTTTCCGAACTCGATCTTCTCTTCCGACTTTGCTTCGATCTAATCTTCTCTCCGAGGCTGATGTTACCAAATTTGGTTGTTAACACAGACCAACAAGGCTCAAACTGAATTTATTAAAAAAATGCAGTTTGTTGAGAATGATGACCGAAATTAACTTAAAGAAATAGGGACTGTCTAGTATTGTCAACTAAAAAAATCATTTAATTTTTTGAACTGATTGTACAAGATTCATGCGGAAACACGCAACAACCTTAACCTCACCCTTTTTTTCCCTTTTCCTTTTCCCGTGTTCACTTAGGCTCCGTTCATAAGTCCTAGTTCCTAACTTCCTCCGCCTCATTTTCCGCGCGTACGTTTCCCAAACTGCTAATGGTACCTTTTTTTTAAAAAAAAATTTATACGAAAGTTGTATAAAAAATCATATTAATTATTTTTGAAAAAAAAAACTAATACGTAATTAATCACATTCTAATGCATTGCTCCGTTTTCCCATTCCAGCGAACACAGCCGGAGCTAGTCCTGCGCATCCGCATCTTGGAAGAAGAAACGAGCAAAATACAACACGCAAAAGAGTGTTTCCCTATGCTGACGGCTCACGTCTTCTTTTTCTTTTTTCGAACGACTCACATTGGATGGTGCGAAGTTCTATTGATAAAACAGGAAAAAATTAAAAGATTACAATCTGTAAGGTCGTAACCAGGAAAAACAAGGCTTAAAGTCTTCAAGATAAGTTTTTAAAACGAGTCCAAGCCGCCGGGCAGACTGCGAATTTGCAAACCCGTCGAATGCCAGCCAGTGCACCCACAACTTGTTACTTGGCTTGAATCAAACTACACAGTGGCAAGTGCTCCTTCCAGCTATATATTAATCACATCATAACCTTCAATTTGCCTTAAGAGATATAGCAGAAAAGAAAGGACCAACCAACAGCGGCAGCAATGGTGTTGATCCACCATACCCATGACCATGAGCTTCTCTTGCTCGCCATCATCATCTTCCTTTCGTGCTCTAACAATGGCCATGCCTCCCGGCCTCACCTTCTTCATCCACCACCACCAACGTCACCGACCGCCTTGCGCTCATGTCATTCAGGTCGCTCATAAGGAGTGACCCAACCCAGGCACTCGCATCCTGGGGCAACCAATCCATCCCGATGTGCCAATGGCGTGGTGTGGCGTGTGGGCTGAGTGGACGCCGCACAGGCCGTGTGGTGGCGCTGGACCTCACCAAGCTCAACCTTGTAGGCGCCATCTCACCTTTGCTCGGCAACCTCACATACCTGAGGCGGCTCCATCTCCACAAGAATCGCCTCCATGGCGAGATACCGTCGGAGCTCGGCCATCTCCGAGACCTGAGACACCTCAACCGCAGCTACAACTCCATCCAAGGGCCGATCCCAGCGACGCTTTCAACCTGCAGAGGAATGGAGAACATTTGGCTCTACAGCAACAAGCTGCAGGGCCAAATACCAAGTGAGTTTGGATCCCTGCAAAATCTTCAGGCACTTGTTCTTGGGGAAAATAGACTTACTGGAAGCATCCCTTCATTCATTGGAAGCCTCGCGAATCTGAAATTTCTAATCCTAGAAGAAAACAACTTTACAGGAGAAATTCCATCAGACATAGGCAGACTGGCCAATCTCACTGTTCTAGGACTAGGTTCTAATCAACTCTCAGGACCAATTCCTGCCTCAATAGGAAATCTCTCGGCACTACAATTTCTTAGTGTCTTCTCTAATAACCTGGTAGGAAGCATCCCACCGATGCAACGCTTGTCCTCTCTCGAATTCTTTGAACTAGGGAAGAACAATATCGAAGGAAGCATCCCAACTTGGCTGGGAAACCTCTCATCATTACTTACTGTGAAACTTGGAGGCAATAGACTAGATGGGAACATCCCTGAATCACTGGGGAAACTGAAGTTGCTTACATCTCTTGATCTATCAAGTAATAATCTAGTGGGCCCAGTACCTGATACTATTGGAAACCTATATTCCATTAAGCAGTTTCATGTAGAAAATAATGAGCTAGAAGGTTCTTTACCTTCTTCAATATTCAATCTTTCCTCTCTTGAAGAACTCAACTTACAAACCAACAACCTAAATGGGACCATTCCACTTGACTTAGGCAACCGCCTGCCAAAGCTCCAGTTATTCCTAATATCTGAAAACCAGTTTCATGGCTCAATTCCACCCTCCCTGTGCAATATTTCTACGCTTAGATGGATCCAAACAGTAAACAATTCTTTGTCAGGAACCATCCCCCAATGCATAGGAATCAACCAAAAGAGCTTATATTCCGTAACTTTTGCAGTGAATCAGTTTGAAACGAGTAATAAATATGGTTGGAGCTTCATGTCTAGTTTAACTAACTGCAGCAATTTGCGACTACTTGATGTGGGTGACAACAAGCTTACAGGTGAGCTACCAAATTCAATTGGCAATCTTTCCACACGTCTTGAGTATTTTGTCACCAACTACAACAGTATGACTGGCAAAATACCTGAAGGGCTAGGGAATCTGGTCAGCTTGAAGTTCATCGAGATGAACAATAACTTCTACGAGGGCACAATACCAGACTCTCTTGGCAAACTCAAGAACCTGAATAGACTATATCTCACTAACAACAACCTTTCAGGATCCATTCCATCAAGTATCGGCAACCTTCGTATGCTAACATTATTATCTGTTGCAGGCAATGCACTTAGTGGAGAAATACCCCCCAGTCTCAGCAATTGCCCTTTGGAACAGTTGAAACTCTCATACAATAATCTTACTGGGTTGATTCCAAAAGAACTTTTCGCCATCTCTGTCTTGTCTACTTCTTTGATTTTGGATCATAATTTTATAACTGGGCCTCTGCCCTCTGAAGTGGGTAATCTAACAAACCTTGCATTACTTGATTTCTCTAGCAATTTGATTTCTGGAGAGATCCCGTCCTCCATTGGTGAGTGCCAGAGTCTACAATATCTCAATACATCTGGAAACTTACTCCAAGGGCAAATTCCACCATCACTAGATCAACCAAAGGGCCTCCTGTTGCTTGATCTTTCTCATAATAATTTATCCGGAAGCATCCCTAAGTTCCTTGGGACCATGACAGGGCTTGCTAGTTTGAATCTTTCATTCAACAACTTTGAGGGTGATGTCCCAAAAGATGGAATCTTTAGCAATGCGACTCCTGCTTTAATTGAGGGAAATAATGGCCTATGTAATGGAATCCCTCAACTGAAGTTGCCACCCTGCTCTCATCAGACAACAAAACACAAGAAGCAAACATGGAAAATTGCCATGGCAATTTCTATATGCAGCACAGTTCTATTTATGGCAGTAGTAGCCACATCTTTCGTGTTCCACAAACGGGCCAAGAAGACAAATGCAAACCGACAAACATCACTTATTAAAGAGCAGCATATGAGAGTTTCTTACACTGAATTGGCTGAAGCAACAAAAGGTTTTACTTCTGAGAACCTCATTGGAGCAGGGAGCTTCGGCTCTGTGTACAAGGGAAGAATGAAAATCAATGACCAACAAGTAGCTGTTGCTGTGAAAGTGTTCAACCTCAAGCAGCGTGGTTCATCTAAGAGTTTTGCAGCAGAATGTGAGACTTTAAGATGTGTTCGACATCGGAACCTTGTAAAGGTACTGACCGTATGCTCAAGTATCGATTTTCAGGGCCGTGATTTCAAGGCCATTGTATACAAGTTCCTACCGAATAGAAATTTAGATCAATGGCTACACCAAAATATCATGGAAGATGGTGAACACAAGGCATTAGATCTCATCACGCGACTAGAAATCGCAATTGATGTGGCATCCTCACTTGAATATCTTCACCAATATAAGGCATCGCCAATCATTCACTGTGATCTTAAGCCAAGCAATGTTCTCCTCGACGATGAGATGGTTGCACATGTTGGTGATTTTGGCCTTGCAAGATTTCTTCACCAGGACCCAGAGCAATCAAGTGGTTGGGCATCAATGAGAGGCACAACTGGTTATGCTGCTCCAGGTAAGCTCCTAATTGTTGTAGCTTTTTTTTATCATATTTCATATTATATGTATCCTACTATGCTGGATTCAGCCAAAATGGAGTAAGACTTATTGGTACTTCATTTTACTACATAGACAAGTTTTGATGAAACTCTTATTTCCCTAGGAATTTGAAAGGGGAAAAATGAACAAGTATATGGTAGCAAAATGTTGTATCCTGTAAATGGATTTCGCACAAACATAAATAGGCTTGTGGAGTTATTTTCTCATAAGCCATTTCTTATTTTTAGAGTATGGACTGGGCAACGAAGTCTCAATCCATGGCGATGTATATAGCTATGGTATATTGTTGCTGGAGATGTTTAGCGGGAAGAGACCAACAGACAGCGAATTTGGAGAATCCCTTGGCCTCCATAATTATGTCAATATGGCATTGCCAGACAGGACGGCTAGTGTCATAGACCTTAGCTTACTAGAAGAGACAGTGGATGGCGAAGCAAAGACATCAAAATCTAACCAGACAAGAGAAATGAGAATTGCTTGCATTACCTCAATTCTGCATGTTGGAGTTTCCTGTTCAGTGGAGACACCAACAGATCGCATGCCAATCGGAGATGCCCTGAAAGAGCTGCAGAGAATAAGAGACAAGTTCCACAGGGAGTTGCAAGGAGCAGGAGCGACAAACCATCAAGACATTCAAATCTGTTGATGCGCAGCAACCAACCGGATCAATAAAGGCGTAAAGAGCTGCAAGATTTCTGCTACTCCTTGCCATCTAGGCTAGCCAAAATAAAATCATAATGTTGCAAATTACAAAGTTTGGCATTCTGTTTGATCCTTGCCATGAAGATCTTGTACATACTATGAACCAACCACATCTTGGCAAATCACATTATTATATGCTTTTCCTTTGTTGATATTTCTTCCTCACAAAACCATATATGCCTTTCTATTCCCCTTTTGTAAGTGACACAGTAAACCTAGTCGCAGTGAATCTCTAAAAAAAAAAAAACACTATACGCTTGCATCTTAGTTTAACTACCCGCAGGATTCCATCCATCCAGGTGAGTTCCCCTTCCTTTGTTTCCATTAGGTAATCACAGAATCACAGTAGATCACTACATATATATGAACGAAAGTGGGGAAGAGGGCGTTCCTTCACCTCCGGGGTAGCGAACGCGTCACGCTAGAAGGAGAAGAGGCGTGTCGCGGGCGCGGGCCGGGAGCTCCGCTGCCGGCGCCGGGGTTGCGGCTTCACGGCGAGCTTCGCCTGGATGCGGGGCCAGTGGCGCTCGCCGCCGACGGCGTCGGATCTCCGGTGGGCCGTGGGGCGCCGCGTGGCGGAGAGAGAAATGGGAGTGAGGGAGAGAACCCACCGAAGCAAAAGGGGAGAGTAGATTTGGGCTTTGGGCTTTGCTTAATGGGCTATTCCCCCTAAGGCCGACACGCATGTGGATCCATGAATTTTGGAGGGTTTTTGGAAAAAGTACACCGAAGGTCCCTCAACTTGTCATCGAATTACAAAATCGTACTCCAACCACAAAACCAGATACAATACAGGAGATCCTTAACCCTTAACTTACAAAACCATTTACTTCAGTTCCTTCGGTGGTTTTAACTTAGGTGGCGGCTGAGTCAGCGTGGGACCCACGTGGGCCCCACATGTCAGTGTGTACAGTCAGCACCTCTCTCCTTCCACTGTTTTCTCACCCTCCTCTCTCTCACTCGGGCAGGGCAGCGGCAGGTGGGGAGGAGGCCGGCGGGTCGGCGGGGCGAGGCAGGAGAGGAGGTGCGGCAGCTGGCGGCGGCAGCGGGAGCATGGGGAGGCCCAGCTGCCCGTCTGCCCCGACGCCGCCGCGGCGCGCCGTCGTGGTTGCGGGAGAGGCTGTCGACGATGAGGAAGAGCTGGGCAGCGACGGTGGGGAGGTGGGCGTGGGCGGTTGCCGGCGGAGGAAGAGATGGGCGGCGGCGACAGTGGGCGAGGAGCTGGGCCGTAGAGGCGATGTGTCCGGCCTGTACTTTGATCGTCTCAGGGGCAGTACTATCACAATTTCAAGTTCACCTGTCTCTTTTGTTCTTGAGAGAAGTTCAGTTGTTTCCAACGAAAGTCAACGCTTTGCTCCTCTCTCAAGGCCTCGATACAGGATTTTTTGTTTGAAAAGGAGGATTTTCGGTATTGATTCCAAGTCAATGGTACTAGTTTTGCTCAAGTAAACAAAAGCACAAAACACACATACATGTCGAGTTCTAACATGTTGCTAGTGGATGAAAAACGCCTCAGCTTTTACAGTTAGTGTCATGAAGATCTGCTAGATTTTTTTCTTATGTCCTGATGCACTTGTTTCCTGTCAAATTTCTATGAAAATCACGCAGAATTCATACGATTTTAGACAGCCCCAACATTACACACACAAACACAAATGCATATACCATGCTCAATGTCCTGCTTGAATCTCTTGTATTCCTACAAAACAATACACATCCAATTTCTCTTTACAATTTACAAATCACTTTACTGATCATTCTGAAAGATGATCAGTTGAGAAATTTGAGGTAGTCCTTGAGGTCCGTGGGGAAGCAAGGGTACTACTGCCTCCAGAACGCGCCGTGCGCTCGCAGCATCTTCACCGCCTTGTCCTTGGTCGACGGCGAGCTCTCCACCTGCATCAGCGCCAGCAGCTTCGCCACGGCGCCGCCCACCACCATGTCCTCCAGCACCCTCTCGGCGGGGGTGGGGGCGCACGCCACCAGCCACAGCACGTTGACGGCCAGCCTCGTGGCGAGCCCGGACACCCGGAGCACGGCGCGCGCCACGGCGGCCACCGCCAGCCCGTGCTAGGCGAAGGCCAGCCGCCCCTCGGGGCACTTACACAGGCGCTTCAGGAGGAGGAGCGACCGCTCGGCGACGTGGCGGTTGGCGTCGAGGAGGAGCACGTCGTCTTGCCGTACCTGAAGAACCACCGCTCCATGCTGCGGCGGTCGTAGGTGACGCCGGTGGCCACCGTGACGGGGTCCTCCATTAGCTCCATCGAGATGGGGCACTGGAACAGGGGAGGAGGCTCCATGGCCGTCGTCCTGGTCGCCCGGCGGCCGCCGCCCTCCTCCTCCCACCACCGCGCTCGCCTCCGGCCCCGTGCCGTTCCTCGTCGTCGACAGCCTCTCCCGCAACCACGACGGCGCGCCGCGGCGGCATCGGGGCAGACGGGGCAGCTGGGCCTCCCCATGATCCCGCCGCCGCCGCCGCCGCCGGCTGCCGCACCTCCTCTCCTGCCTCGCCCCGCCGGCCCGCCGGCCTCCTCCCCACCTGCCGCCGCCCTGCCTCGAGTGAGAGAGAGGAGGGCAGGAGGCGAGAAAACAGGGGAAGGAGAGAGGTGATGGCGTGGACAGTCCGACAGGTGGGCCCCACGTGGGTCCCACGCTGACTCAGCCGCCACATCAGAGAAAACTGGGTTCAAAACCATTAAAGGACATAAAATAAACGGTTTTGTAAGTTGAGGGATGTCGTATATCTGGTTTTACGGTTGGAGGACGATTTTGTATTTCGATGACAAGTTGAGGGACCTTTGGTGTACTTTTTCCGAGGGTTTTTCATGATTGGTTTTAGTGGATTTTATCATTCTTTGGGCTCCTTGCAATGAAAGAAAAATCAAGGAATTTTAAAAGATTTGAATCATACAATGAAATTTTCTATGAGACTCTTTTGGGATAAAATATTGGGTCTCTAAAATTTATACTCCTTATAAAAGGGAGTAATGGCCCACCACCAACTTTCAACTTTCTTTAAGAGAAAAAGGGACATAGTCTCACTTGTTAACTACTCATACCAACTCTCTATTTTTTCTGGGAATGAAAAATGAAAGTTTTACAGAGCTCGCCAACCTTTATCGCCGCTACTGCCTCCCACGACAGGCTCACTAGGTATGCCGCCCACCTCGAGCCCACTCGTCACTTTTATCGCCGCTACTGCCTCCCACGACAGGCTCACTAGGTATGCCGCCCACCTCGAGCCCACTCGTCACTGACCTCCCACTGCCATTGCTGTCTCTCACAGATGGGCCTGCCGATCGTCAACCTTCTCCCTGCTGGCAAGTTGTTGGGGAAGAGAAGAGAGGTGAAAGTTTACTTACATGTGGCATCCATAATTTTTTTTCTGATTAGAATGCCATGTCAGTTAAAACAAACATCCATACTGTTTTAGAAGTAACTTGAACAGTTTTTGTTAAGAGGAGGGGTGAAAAATTCCGGTTATATGGTTAGGGATATCACATAAACTCGTCGTAAAGATAAAGGACAGAAAGTGGACTTATTCCACCTCTGTGCACTGACCGTTGAAGGTTTGAAGAAGCCCAAGAGAGCCCAAAGCAAGGCCCGTTTCTTCTTCTGCGGCGCCCGGCGCTCGGCGCTCGGATCAATCCCGCCGACGAGCGCCTCCGGCCGCCGCCTCCCTTCCCCCGCCGCGGGAAGCTCATGGCCCTTCCAGCGCAGCCGCTCCCGTGTCCTGAACGACCAACCGCCGCCGCCGCCCGGCCATCGCGTCATCTTCATCCACCCTCGAGGCGACCTCCCCGGAGGTAAACCGCTCCCCCCCCCCCCTCCTAATGCCTGCACGATTACTACCGATTCCTTCTACATAACTAGCAAAGTGATCCGTAGGAACATTTCTTGCAAAATGGTTGTAGATTCAGTTCTAGGTCGTCAACTCGTCCGCCTTGGAGAAGGGAATAGATCTCATAGATCGAATGGGGTTTCTACTTTCTTCTGAACAATTTTTTTTTTCGAACAAATGCCCTAGTATTCAATTTTTTTTAGCCGCACAGCACTTACAAATTTGCAATCATGTATAATATAGAGCCTCTCTGTAATTGATGCTAGCTTTACATAAACAAAAAGCTGCAGAATCCGCAGCTTCCGGCACCTTATTTGTGTGTTCAATGACATGGAGCATAATATCATGCCATGCGCAAAAATGATCTTGGAATGCTTCATTGTCTTCATTGGCTTGATGTTCCTTCATTGGACACATGTTTCTCAAACTTGTCTCTTATTGCTTGCAACTCCTTCAGAGCGTCTCCGATTTGCACGCGGTCCGTTGGTGCCTCCTCTGAGCAGGAGATTCCAATGCGCATAACCGAAGTGACACAAGTAATTCTTAGATCCTTGCCGTTGTAAGAGTTTGACTTGATTGCTCCGCCATCTTCTGTCTCTGGTAGTAACTGTTGATCCAGAACATTAGCCGCATTGTCTGGCAATGCCATTTGGACATACTTGCGAAGCCCAACCGCTTCCCCGAATTCATCGTCTGTGGGTCTTTTTCTGGTGAACATCTCTAGCAACAGTATGCCATAGCTATAGACATCACCTTGAATTGAGACTTCATTGCCAATTCCATACTCTGAAACCAACAAAAGGAACTGTGAAGAAGAAGAAAAAAATGGGTACATTTCCCCATTCTACATAAAAGGGACTTCTGTCGAAATATACTCATATAATTAAGTGAGTCAGATAACAAGAAATCCTACTTTAGAAAGCAGATTTCTTGAGTTATATACACAGAAGAGAATACAGAATTATAGCAATTAGAGACTTAGAGGTGCACCTGGTGCAGCATAACCGACTGTTCCTCTCATTGATGCCCAACCACTTGATTTCTCCGACTCCTGATGCAGAAACCTTGCAAGCCCGAAATCGCTAACATGAGCAACCATGTCACTGTCGAGGAGAACATTGCTTGGCTTAAGATCACAGTGAATGATTGGCGATGGCTTATATTGGTGAAGATATTCAAGTGAAGATGCCACATCGATTGCAATGCGTAGTCTTGCAGTGAGATCTAATGCCTTGTGTTCACTTTGTCCCATGATATTAGGGTGTAGCCATTGGTCTAAATTTCCATTTGGTAGGTACTCATATACAATGGCCTTGAACTCATTGCCCTGAAAATCAATACTCGAGCATACAGTCAATATCTTCACAAGGTTCCGGTGTCGAACACATCTCAGTGTCTCACATTCTGCCATGAAACTTTGAGATGCACCACGTTGTGTGAGGTTGAGCACCTTCACAGCAACTACTTGTTGGTCATTGTTTGTCATTCTTCCCTTATAGACCGAGCCAAAGCTTCCTGCTCCTATGAGGTTATCAGAGGCAAAACCATTTGTTGCATTGACTAATTCAGCATAAGAAACCCTCGTATATTGCTCACTAATGAGTGATATTTGTGGGTTTGGTTTTGCCTTCTTGTTCCTATAGTAGAATGCAAACAGCATAAATATTAATGTGATTAATGGCATTATTCTGCATATGGAGATTATGATGATAAGTTTCCTGGATGCCTTCTTGGTGGTTTGGTTGAAGCAGGGTGGCAATTTCATCTCTGGGATACCGCCACACAGGTCATCATTTCCAGCGAGGAAGGTAGCTGTTGCATTTAGAAAAACGCCATCTCTGGGAACTTCACCTTCAAATTTGTTGTATGAGAGGTTCAAAATAGATAGACCTCTCATGCCCCCAAGAAATGCAGGGATGCCTCCAGATAAATTATTGTCAGAAAGGTCAAGCACCAGGAGGCCCTTTAGTTGCCCAAGCGACGATGGAATTATCCCTTGGAGGGAATTTCCAGATATATTGAGCTGCTGCAAGCTCTTACATTCACCAATAGATGTAGGAATCTCTCCAGAAATGTTGTTTGAAGAAAAATCAAACTCTCCAAGATTTTTTAGATTACCCATTTCAGCTGGTAAAGCCCCCGATAAAAAATTATGTCCCAAAAACATGTTACTGGACAAAGTAGAAATGAGAAAAAGTTGTTTAGGTATCAAGCCAGTGAGGCTGTTATATGAAAGATCCAATAGTTCTAGAGGACAACTGCTAAGATTGGAAGGAATGGACCCATTGAGTGCATTTCCTTGGAGTTGTAGTAGATTTAGTCCTGTAAGATTGCCAAGAGTTGGTGGAATGGATCCAGACAGGTTATTATATGGTATAGATAATTTATTCAGCATCTTGAGTTTGCCAAGAGAAGCTGGAATAATTCCCTCTAAACGGTTAATATCCATATAGAGCAATTTTAAGTTGATCAAGTTCCCTATTCCTTCAGGTATTTTTCCTTCTATATTGTTGTTCGCTATGATAAGATAGCTCAAATGCGAAGAAAGATTCCCAATTGAACTCGGTAGCTCACCTTGAAGCTTGTTGTAACCCAAATCTAATGCATTCAAATTGCTGCAATTCGCCAAGCTGGATAAGAAAACCCAATCAGCATCATTTGTTGCTTCAAGCTGATTTTTTGAAAGGGCCACAACTGATAAGCTCTTCTGTTGAATTCCAAGACACTGAGGAATTCTTCCTGACAAAAAGTTGTATACTGTTTGCAGAACTTGAAGCATGGTGGCATTACACAAGGATGGTGGGATTGTTCCATGAAATTGATTGATGTCTACAACAAACCTTTGTAGATTCGGAAGCTTATTGCCAATATCAGGTGGAAGAGCCCCGCTGAGGCGATTGCTTTGTAAACCAAGATCATCAAGGGAGGAAAGGTTGAGCAGTGAAGGAGGAAACGAACCTTCTAGTTTATTATAATCCAGACGAAGGCTACTCAAGGCACCAAGGTTTCCAAGAGAATCTGGTATGGAGCCTGAAATAAGATTATTTTGTGAAAGATCAAGGCTAGTAAGCATCTGAAGTCTACCTAATGATTCAGGGATGTGTCCTGAGAGCCGATTTTGCTGGAGACTAACAAACACTAGAGATGAGAGGTTCCCCAACCATGCAGGCACAGTTCCTTCGAGATTGTTCTCTCCCAATTCAAGGACAAGAAGTGATGAAAGGTTTTGCAGCGATGGTATGCTCCCTGTCAACTTTGCAGAAGGGATGCTAAGGTACTTGAGTGCTGAAAGGTTTCCAAGTGAGGCAGGAATGGAGCCTGCCAGCTGATTAGAACCAAGACCTAGTCCAACAAGGCCAGCAAGATCACCTATCTCCTCTGGGATTCCCCCAGTGAGGTTGCTGAATTGCAGGTTCAGAGTCATGAGGTTTGCAAGGTTTCCAATCTCTGATGGGATGCTTCCGGTGAGGGTGTTCATGCCAAGGCTGAGTACCCTGAGGCCGCGCAACGAGCAGAGCTCCGGCGGTATCTCGCCGTGGAACCTGTTGTTGTACAGAGCGAGGATCTCGAGGCCGGTGCAGTTGGCGAGCGACGCCGGGATCTGCCCCTGGAAGGCGTTGTCACTGAGGTTGAGGTGTCTGAGCTCAGCGAGGCCGCCGAGCTCCGGCGGGAGGACGCCGTGCAGCCGGTTGCCGGCGAGGTGGAGCCGCCTCAGGTATGTGAGGTTGCCGAGGTCCGGTGGCACCGTGCCACGGAGGCCAAGCCCCGGCAGCTCCAGCGCCACGACGCGGCCGCGGCGCCGGCCTCTCGCGCCGCACGCCACGCCGCGCCACCGGCACACGGGGACGGACCGGTTCCCCCACGTCGGCGGCGGCGGCGAGCCACTGCCCGTCGACATGCGCGCCATGAACGCCGTCAGCGCGAGGCCGTCGTCGACGTCGACCGCCGCCGCGGCGGCGGCTGCTGCTAGCCACGCCAGTGGCCATACCGCGGCGAGCAAGAGACGCTTGCCGGCGAGTGCCATTGGTGTCACTGTCACGTAAGAACGGTGTGCAAACTGCATGGAAATTGCTATACTGATGCGAGAGTTGATCATATCTGTGCATATAAAGCCTTTTTATATGATTATAGGTACCCATTTTATATCGGTTTCTGTTTCTGTTTATATTAGTATGATTTTCAAATTGCTAAATGATAAAGTCTGCGCAAAATTCTCTATAGAAATTATTTTACAATATTCTATTTTTTAAGTTTGTAATAATTAAAGTTCAATTAATTATGTGTTAATGGTTTTGTTGTTTTTTTTGGCTAATTTCATCTTCATTTTCGATGCATAGACAGTTGCTTTCAATCCAATTCCAGTAGTCCATTCTTGTGGAAATACATCACTGAATTTGTCCACGGTCCACATTTTTGGTTTCTGGTTATTTCTGCCGCATTGCCAGTTTGTTATGGAGTTGCTACTTGCTAGTCTTCTGCAGAGACCATGGACCAGCTTGATTGATTAACCAGCGATTGCGAGGTAATTTACTACCATGCTGAATCGCTGGACATACGAAAAAAAATCAAGGGCTACAATTATCTGAACATGCAAAGGGAAATTCAATGAGTCAGCTCTATTTTTTTTTTTTGAAGGAAGATGAGTCAGCTCTATAGGAAAGCAAAGCAATGGCTTTCAGGGTTGTTGTCTGATAGTGGGATAACTACTGGAGCTTATCCTGTTGATGCTTATTGACCAGCGCACCAAGGTTGACCAATTGTGCTGCAACTTGCTGATGGGCAAAGCAGCAGCGGCGCGAGATAACTGAACATTTCGGCATTTTTGTTGCTGTTAAATGTCGAGAGCATTATTTGTCCATTGTACGTGTTGGTGTAGGCGAGAAGGCCCCCATTCTTATGTAAAAAGGAAACCATTATTTTTCAAGTGATCTGTCTCAAAATAATTTGATTCTCAATTCATCTTAGAGAGAATGAACTAAGTATAGAGAACATATTTTCCTTTGGAGCGCACGATTATCAAAATACAGGCATAGGAAAAATGCATGAGTAAAATGTCATCGCACTTTAAATCCTAAATCCTAAGTAAATAAAACACAGAAAACCATTTGGATGGAGCACACGAAAAATACACGATTTTGACAAAGAGAAAAATTCCAAGAACTTGGAGCTCATATTAGGAATCCTTCAAAATTCCAATAAAACATTTCATTCCAAAGGAATTTTTTTTTAAAAAAAACTAGCATACTGCCCGTGTATTTGCAACGTGATTTTAGTTAAAGAAAATTATTATTAACATATTGTCACTATCCCTTAATTGTTATACATATTTGTTACTAACATATTATTGATCATTTGACCCCCCCCCCACTATATCTTTTTGAGGCAATTGCTTATTTTAACCCTGTTACGAAGTCTAACTACTAATTCGACCTTATTTTTTTAGGTTTGCTTATTTGACCTCGTTTTTCAAAATTGAAGATGAAGACTGACCCTATTTTGTGTAGGCAAGATAACGGTGTTAACTGAGTGATGATTTGTCCTTTTAACCCTGGCTCATTTGACTCTATTATATGAAAGCATCTTGTGTTTGGACATTCTTAACATATTTATAACGAATTTGATATAGCCTTGATAGATTTGTGACAATTTTGACAGATTTGGTCTCAATTTATTAAATTTAGTTTCAGTTTGACAATTTTGACTTTAATTTTTTTTTAAAAAATGACAAAACGGTTGATATACAAAATTATTTCTCCTATTTTGTCCATCCCAAATTAGATACAATAATAAAGCAAAAGCTCAGCAGCAGTCAAAGAGATTGAACTCGATCACAGCTAGGGTCAACGTTTCGAGATTGAACTCAAGAATGTGATGCCCAGACACAGATAGCAACCAGTAGAGGGCGTTGGCAACAAGTATGGCAGGTGAACCAAAATGGTAGATGGTGGATACAGGCCCTGTGAAGATGGCATCGCCCCATTCGCCGGTCGCCGATGAGTAAACGGATACCAAGATGAGGTGGGGATTGGGATGGGATAGGGTTGATTAGTATTGAGGGTATTTTGGTCACTTCAGGGTTGTAAATTTATTATTTTCTTTTTTCTAAATGAAGTACTAACAGTGGATTGAAAACAGGGTCAAACGGAAACTTTCATTTTGAAAAACAAGGTTAAATAAACAAACCTAAAAAAAAGGTCAAATTGGTATTTAGGCTTTAAAACAGGGTCAAATAAGCAATTATCTCTACACATAAACTATCTTAAAACTTATTTCCAAATCTGTCTCGAGCTTCTCGCCAAAGGTTGGCGCGGCCGCAAAGATGACAGTGGCGGGGCTTCTCGCCAACCGGCTCGAGCAGCCAGGGGAGTCACCCTGGGTGGTGGTGGCAGCAACCACCAGATCCATACCGCCTCGGCCGGATCTGGCGGGGTGGCGGCCGGCAGCGAGGAAGGCATCGTCAACAGCGGTGGGGATGGCGACGACGACGGCAATGTCTCGGCGGCAAGAGGCGGCGGGGATGGCGACAGCGATGGGGATGGTGGCAGTGGCGGAGACCGTAGATCCGGCGGCAGGGCGCTTGGATTTGGCACCCCCACGCCGGATCCGACCGGTGGCGGCACGAGCGTGCCGGCGCAACCTGGCAAGAGGATGGCGCAGCCGTGGGTGACGGTGGCGACGGGCCGGCGCGACGCGGCAACGCGGCCAGGGAGACTCGTGGCGATGGCCGCGACAGTCGGCAGCCGACGGGAGGAGCGGCGCGGCCCGGCTGGCCGGCCGGCGCCGGCGGAGGCAGTGCGCACACGGAGGCGGCGGCGCGGCCCGAGAGACTCGCGGTGACAGTGGGCAGCCAGCGGAAGGAGGAGCGGCAGATGGCTGGCCTACTGGTGGCGGTAGAGGTAGCACGCGTGGAGGTAGCGCGCGTGGTGGCGCAGCTGGCGACGGCGGAGGTCGGTGAGGTGCGGCCAGTGGTGGCCGCGGTGCGTGGAGGTGAGGCCGAGGTGCTGGTGCAGCACAACGAGGCTTGTTGGTGTGGAGACGGTGGTCGGCGCAACGAGTGGAGGCCAGCTCGGTGAGACGTGACCAGTGGCAGCGCGTGGAGACTGGCTGGCGGGGGGCACTGGTGCAGTGGTGCCCACGCGCCGGCGGAGGTTCAGATGGCGGTGGAGCAATGGTGCATCAGTGGTAGATCGGCAGGCGGTGGACGTCGGGTGAAAACCCAGGGCGACGATGATGTTCGAGCGTCATTCCCATCTTGAGGGCGTTGTCGTGTTGTTCCACCCCTCAAGTGTGGTTGCCGAGCGAAAGCGTAGTCTCGGTTCTCTTTGAGACCTTGATGGACGGCAGCGGCGGCGGTGTTTTCGTCGCTTCTTTCCTTGGAGATGTCGTCTAGGCACCCTCTTGCCGAAACCCCCAAAGCAATTGGTGCAAGCCTGGTCTAGATTCATATCCTCTTGTGTCGGCGTCCTAGCTTCTGCAAGTTGGCCACGTTGGAGGTCCTAGGGGAGAGAGGTGTTCCATTCTTCTCTCTGACCCTCTCCCTAAATCCCAACGACTTGGATAGAGTGGGGTTTTGCACTGGTTGTAAGGGTCGGGTTTTGGGCGATCTCAACTGTGTTCCATTGTTGGCCTAGCGGTGGTCGGTCACGCTAAGCGGCGGCCAGTCGGATGCTAGCCTTCTCCTAGGTCTGTGATTGGCGCTGTCGGTGTGCGGATGGTGGTATACTTTTTTCGTTTTCCTTATTACAACCTTACAGAGTTGTAATCTTATATTTTTTTCTGCTTTATCAATAGAACTTCACGCTGTCTATCGTTAAACTTTTTTTCCAAATCTGCCTGCAGCTATTGGTGCGACAGTGTTGTTTCAGCCTGCGAGACTGGGTGACGTGTCACGTGTCCAAAAGATTCAAATTTAGAAATGACTTTTGGATTTATTTTTAAAATTTAAAGTTTGTAAATTCGCTGGTGGTGTTCAAAAGCAGGGACGATATGCATAATGCATGATGTGTGTTGGGGGTGGGGGAGGGGGTGATCTCCCTCTTCTTTGTCGGAGAAAGCTTACCCGAGAAAGAGGAGGGCTCATCGGAGAGACAGGAGAGAGCTCGCAAGAAAGCCATCGTCGCTTGCGGTGAAGAAGACGAAGAGAGGTGGAGAGAGAGCGCCGCTAGTCTAGACCTGTGGGAGCAGCTGGGAACGCTACTCCAAGGGACAAATTGTTTTTATTTATTTTTGAACATTTTATTTTTTAAAACTTTTAACAACATTTATTTTCAAATCTACACTTTTTTTTTGTCACATTAGACATGATAAAACAAGACTATTACATCACTCTGACTGATATGATAACGTTATTTTGCTACGCCACTCTAGATGACGTAACAGTGCTGTTTTACTAAAATAAGATAAAATATCACGTCAACTATTGGTGACGTGACAATATTATTTCGTCATATCAGATGGGATGGCGTAGTAAAAAAAAGATTCAAATTCACAAATAAGTATTGAGATAATCTATTATTAAAATCCAAAAATTAAAAAGTTAAAAAAGTAATAAAAATTCCCGGTAGACCCCCCTTGCTTCCCACCGTTTCTGCTCTTCAGGCAGCTAGCTAAGTTCGTCCCAGTTTTGTTCCTACTGAATTTTGGAGTAGAACAAATCTGCACGAATTTTTTTTTACACTCGTCAGTCGTCACACAATAGAATGGAACTTAATTATCCGATCTTAAACTGATCGATACTACTTTTTTTTCCCTCTGAAAGTGACCAATGCAATAATTAATTACCAAAAGGTGATTAGCACATAATATAGACGATCGATGGACGCCTGATCTTCAATCGTTATCGTGCGGGCTACCTGCATAAAATACCTTACACATTGGCTGTTTATCTGATCAAATATTCAACCACACTAGAGACCTTATCTGTGAGCAATTCGAGGGCCTGATAATTGTCAAAGCTTTACAGAGTCAAAAAGTTCAGGCGCCAATTTTCCTCGTGGCGCGTAGTGCCTAGCAACAACCAGGCTAGCATGCGTTCCTCCATGTCAGCCAAATTATCAGAGCAAATTTGATAGGATTACTATTAGCTTCAAATCATATATTCATATATAGCTAATCTAATAGCTAATTGATACAATAGTTAACTATAAATATATATTACACCATTAATACATGATTCTACCTCTTATACACATAATATATATTACACATCGTTTTCCTTCTCTCTCCTCTCTTACCTCCTTTACACGTGTTCATAGCTGGCTTATAGCCTGTTATTATATTTCGGCAACTTTGCAAACCATTGACCGCTAGTCTCAACAGAATCTGCAGGAACAAATCGACAATCTCTTCGTCAGGTTGCAGCTGAAAATGTTTGACGACGATGCAGTACAAGCCAAGGATCACAATTCGCAAGGCAGAGAGAGTCTCAAAGCCACTACGTTTGCCACTACGAGTCTCGGCGAGCTGACCAGTGAGTGAGCGCCACAGCGCGCGCGCGTGCGCGGGCGCGGCAATGGCCGCACTGCTCGAGTGCTTCTTGCTCGCCGTCGCCGTCGTCCTCGTCGCTCATGCGGCGGCGCCGGCGCCGGCGGCGTCGTCTCGGCTGCCTCTGCCTCCTCCTCCTGCTGCTGCTGCTGGTGATGTCTCCGGCTCCGACTCCGACCGCCGCGCGCTCATGGCGTTCAAGAAGCTCGTGAGCGGCGACCCGTCGCAAGCCCTGGAGTCATGGGGCGACGGATCGACACCACTGTGCCGGTGGCGCGGCGTGTCGTGCGGCGTCGCGGCGGGGCGCCGCCGCGGCCGCGTCGTGGCGCTGGACCTCGCCGGGGCCGGCATCGCCGGCGAGGTGAGCCCGGCGCTCGGCAACCTCACCCACCTGAGGCGGCTCCACCTCCCGGAGAACCGCCTCCACGGCGCGCTGCCGTGGCAGCTCGGCCGCCTCGGCGAGCTCCGGCATCTCAACCTCAGCCACAACTCCATCGCCGGCCGCATCCCGCCGCCGCTGATCTCCGGCTGCCGGCGCCTCAAGAACGTCCTCCTCCACGGCAACAGGCTGCACGGCGAGCTCCCCGGCGAGCTCCTCTCCTCGCTGCGCCGCCTCGAGGTACTCGATCTTGGCAAGAACACACTGACAGGAAGCATCCCTCCCGACATTGGCAACCTTGTAAGTCTCAAACAGCTCGTCCTAGAATTCAACAACCTGACAGGACAGATCCCATCACAGATAGGCAAACTTGGCAACCTCACCATGCTAAGCCTCAGCTCAAATCAGCTGTCAGGCTCCATCCCTGAATCGATCGGAAACCTCTCGGCATTGACCGCCATTGCCGCCTTTTCGAACAACTTGACAGGGAGAATTCCGCCATTGGAGAGGTTGTCATCTCTTAGTTACCTTGGTTTGGCAAGCAACAACCTTGGAGGCACCATTCCTTCTTGGTTAGGGAACCTCTCGTCACTGACAGCTCTGGATCTTCAGAGCAATGGCTTTGTTGGATGCATCCCTGAATCTTTAGGTGACCTTCAGTTTCTTGAGGCAATTTCACTGGCAGATAATAAGCTTCGGTGTCGGATTCCTGATTCCTTTGGAAACCTCCATGAACTCGTTGAACTCTATCTTGATAATAATGAGTTGGAAGGATCTTTGCCAATTTCCTTGTTTAATCTCTCCTCCCTTGAGATGCTAAACATACAGGATAACAACCTCACTGGTGTTTTTCCACCTGACATGGGTTACAAGCTTCCAAACCTGCAGCAATTTCTTGTATCTAGAAACCAATTCCATGGTCTAATCCCTCCATCATTGTGCAATCTCTCTATGATACAGGTGATTCAGACAGTAGATAACTTCTTGTCGGGAACGATTCCGCAATGCTTGGGAAGAAACCAGAACATGCTGTCAGTAGTGAACTTCGATGGAAATCAGCTTGAAGCAACCAATGATGCTGATTGGGGCTTCATGACTAGTCTAACCAATTGCAGCAATATGATACTGATAGATGTTAGTATCAACAAACTCCAAGGTGTGCTACCAAAAGCAATTGGTAATATGTCAACACAATTGGAGTATTTCGGCATAACAAACAACAATATAACAGGAACAATACCTGAATCAATAGGGAACCTCGTCAACTTGGATGAACTTGACATGGAAAACAATCTTCTCATGGGGAGCCTTCCCGCATCTCTCGGCAATCTCAAGAAGTTGAATAGATTGTCTTTGTCAAATAACAATTTTTCAGGATCCATCCCAGTAACTCTTGGCAATCTTACAAAACTTACAATCCTTTTGCTTAGTACCAATGCACTGAGTGGAGCTATACCTTCTACTCTCAGCAATTGTCCTTTAGAAATGGTGGACCTTTCTTACAACAACCTTTCCGGCCCGATACCGAAGGAACTTTTTCTTATCTCCACAATATCAAGTTTCCTGTATCTTGCGCACAATAAATTAACTGGGAATTTGCCTTCAGAAGTGGGAAATCTCAAGAATCTTGATGAACTCGACCTCTCTGATAATACGATTTCAGGAAAGATCCCTACCACCATTGGAGAATGCCAGAGCTTACAGTATCTCAATTTATCTAGGAACTTCATCGAGGACACAATTCCTCCGTCACTGGAACAATTAAGGGGGCTCCTAGTACTTGATCTTTCTCAAAATAATTTGTCTGGAACAATCCCTAGATTCCTAGGTAGCATGACAGGTCTTTCTACTCTGAATCTTTCAAGCAATGATTTCGAAGGTGAAGTTCCAAAATATGGAATATTTCTTAATGCAACTGCAACCTCTGTCATGGGAAACAATGACTTGTGTGGTGGGGCGCCTCAACTGAAGTTGCCAAAATGCTCAAATCAAACTAAACATGGGCTGTCTTCAAAGATCATCATAATTATCATTGCAGGAAGCACAATTTTGTTTCTCATTCTATTCACATGCTTTGCGCTACGTCTAAGGACTAAGCTTAGAAGAGCAAACCCAAAGATACCGCTCTCCGATAAGCAACATATGAGAGTTTCTTATGCTCAGTTGTCCAAAGCAACAAATAGTTTTGCATCTGAGAACCTCATTGGAGTGGGCAGCTTTGGTGCAGTGTACCAAGGAAGAATTGGGATCTCTGACCAACAATTGGTGGTTGCAGTGAAGGTGCTCAACTTGCAACAAGCTGGTGCGTATCGAAGTTTTGATGCAGAATGTGAGGCTTTGAGATGTATTCGCCATCGGAATCTTGTAAAGATTCTTACAGTTTGCTCAGGTATTGATTTCCAAGGTAGTGACTTCAAGGCGCTTGTATTTGAGTTCCTGCCAAATGGAAATTTAGACCAGTGGCTACACAAGCATCTTGAGGAAGAAGGTGAACCTAAGGTGCTAAATCTCGTTGAAAGACTCCAAATTGCGATAGATGTGGCTTCTGCACTTGAATACTTACATCAGCACAAGCCATGTCCAATTGTTCACTGTGATCTGAAGCCAAGCAATATTCTTCTTGACAATGACATGGTTGCTCATGTTGGTGATTTTGGGCTTGCAAGGTTCCTTCATCAAGAACACAGCAATAGTTCAGATAAATCAACTGGTTGGAATGCAATAAGAGGAACAATTGGCTATGTTGCCCCAGGTGTGCACAATTCTATCATCATCTTGTTGCATTTGTTTCTTTACTTCATTCCACCTAAATAAGCTTACTAAGTTCTTTATGTTTGTTTATTCCAGAGTATGGATTGGGCAATGAAGTCTCAATCCATGGAGACGTCTACAGCTATGGCATACTTTTGCTGGAGATGTTCACTGGAAAAAGGCCAACAAACAGTGAATTCGGCGATGTTCTTACTCTTCATGAGTATGTAGAAACAGCGCTGCCAGACCAAACAACTAGTGTCATTGACCAAAGCCTACTAGATGCGACATGGAATAGCGAAGGAACAGCTCAAAAGTACCACGACATCGAAGAGATAAGAACTGAGTGCATTGTTTCAATTCTGAAGGTCGGAATATTGTGCTCAAAAGAGATACCAACTGATCGGATGCAAATTGGGGATGCATTGAGAGAGTTGCAGGCAATTAGAGATAGGTTTGATACACATCAGCTATAGTAGCCTATATCTTGATGAAGTGGTGCAGCATATCAAAGTCATGCTTGTGCATGAAATATTCTACTTCGTACTATTTATCTGTTGAGGGTCATGCACTTATCAGTCAAGTAAGTCTGCAAGAAGACACTGGAGGCTGAACATGCTCTACTGAAGATTTTAGGAGTTGGAAGCTAAAAACGGATATCGAGTATCATGGAAGAAGCAAAACATCTTCAGCTAAGGAAAAGGAGGAAGTTAATTGAAATAAACTAGGGCAAAATGCTGTACTACATTATCAAGCAAAAATATTGTACTCGAGCAGCTACAGTCAGCTTATGGCCACACCTACACAACACTCTGTAATGGCTGAGAGGTATACTAAATAAGAGCCTATAGCAATTCGTATTGCAGGGCATCCAATTAGCTACTCATTTTCGCTCTTCGCACATATAATTCTTGACTGAGCAATTCATAAACATGTCAACATGGCAGTGCCTGACTTGGCTAATACTGTTGACAACTGTTGCAATAAGCAGCACAAGATAGCGACGTAAGAACCTCCATCTGTCATAGAAGTAGACATGAGAATTGTTAACACAACTTTTGTTCTGAATATTGGAATTTCTTGTTCAAATTCAACGAATCTCCCACAAAGTAAGAGATGCAACCAATAAGAAAAAGGTTTAACAGGGATTTGCTCCGAGAATGGAGCATCAACCCATGAAGCAGTACAAGGTATTTCCAGTGCAGGTCATCTTGAAACTATTGCACAACTCAAAAAAGGTCAATCTTGATCCAGGGGCTCTTGGCTAAGGCCCTGGATGTGGTCTATTCTACTGTAGACTGGCCCTCCCCTTAAGAGTTAGGTTTAGAATTTTGGATCGATTGATCACAGCCGAATTTGGAATGCAGGAATCTTGTCTTGTCCATGCAAAAGATTTGAGCATTTATATGCACTTTTAAGAAAAATCATCTGAAATTCCTGTGTTCCTAAGGAGCCAAAGTGACAGAGTTAGTCTGTGTCATTACTCATACCTGCGAGCAGCATATGCAGTCCAAATTAGTTGATATGTGCAGTCCAAATGAGAATGCTTCCCCTCCGATGGCTATATTCCTTATTGTATAAGTACACTATAGTAGCATAGCACCATATTGCCAATTTGCCATCAACGTCAAATAATTGACACGCACAGCTCAGCTCTTCTACACCAGATATATGGGAACAAACGGAAGACCTTTAATATTGTTCCGTAAATTATGCGTAGAAATGTTTCATAAAGGACAAATCAAGGCCGGCCAGCCAGCCAGCCGGCCTAATTCATCCTTCTGTCCTGCATGAAGCCACATGAGAATGCTGTTGGCAGAAGATTCAGAGTATCTTGCTACATGAGTAGATTTAGATAACACACTTACTTTAACCCAAACAAGCTGGCAGCAAAGTTTGACCAGGGAACCTGTAAACTTCTGGTAGGAGGCCGGCTATCTGATGATTGACTAAAGTTGCAACAGAACAGAATGTTGGTAATCAATTTACTACAACTGAAGGGTGTTGACCAAAGTGCAGGTACTACCTGAGAAAGTGACAACTTGATTGGGATCCAAGCTATTGATTTATCTTGACGACCAACACACCATGCTTATATTCAGGCAGGAGAATATGTGTTGTCTCTATAGAGCAGAAGCAACCATTCCTCCCATGAACTGGTAAAGCTGGACTGAGTAGCCTCTGCAATCACCACCTAAGCTTCTGTTTTTGAAAATACACACCTCGCTTCCTTCTTTCTAGCAATGGTGGCGACCGGGTTCTCTTTCTTGCTCACGCTGCTGCTCCTTGCAACTGCTGTTCCACCAGCTCCCACGACCAGAGCTCAGCCTGCCACCGACCACCTTGCACTGATGGCCTTCAAGTCGCAAATAACCCGTGATCCGTCGTCAGCAATGGCCTCGTGGGGTGGCAACCAATCGCTCCATGTCTGCCAATGGCGAGGTGTGACGTGCGGCATCCAGGGACGCTGCCGTGGCCGTGTGGTGGCGCTGGACCTCAGCAACCTTGATCTTTCTGGCACCATTGATCCTTCCATAGGCAACCTCACCTACCTGAGAAAGCTTGATCTCCCTGTGAATCATCTAACTGGTACCATCCCTTCAGAGCTTGGTCGTCTTCTCGACCTCCAGCATGTCAACCTGAGCTATAATTCTCTGCAAGGTGGCATTCCGGCATCACTGTCACTATGCCAACAGCTTGAGAACATCAGTCTGGCATTCAACCACCTATCAGGAGGGATACCTCCAGCCATGGGTGATTTGTCCATGCTGCGCACAGTCCAGTTGCAGTACAACATGCTTGATGGAGCGATGCCTCGCATGATAGGTAAGCTGGGCAGCTTAGAGGTCCTTAACCTCTACAACAACAGCCTTGCAGGAAGCATTCCGTCAGAGATTGGAAACCTCACCAGTCTAGTAAGTCTTATCCTGAGCTACAATCACTTGACAGGTTCAGTTCCATCTTCTCTTGGTAACCTTCAGAGGATCAAGAATTTGCAACTGAGGGGGAACCAACTTTCAGGGCCAGTTCCAACGTTCTTGGGGAACCTATCTTCACTAACCATTCTTAATCTTGGCACTAACAGATTTCAGGGGGAGATTGTGTCATTGCAAGGACTGTCATCTCTGACTGCCCTAATTTTGCAAGAAAACAACCTTCATGGTGGCATCCCTTCTTGGCTAGGAAACCTCTCTTCACTAGTTTACCTAAGCTTGGGAGGGAACAGATTAACTGGAGGAATTCCTGAATCATTAGCAAAACTTGAGAAGCTATCTGGACTTGTTCTTGCTGAAAACAATCTTACAGGTAGCATTCCTCCCTCCCTAGGAAATCTTCATTCTCTAACAGATTTGTACCTAGATAGGAATCAGCTCACTGGGTACATTCCTTCTTCCATTTCCAATCTCTCCTCTCTTAGAATATTCAATGTACGGGATAACCAGTTAACAGGATCATTACCAACTGGCAACAGAGTCAACTTCCCATTGCTTCAAATATTTAATGCAGGGTACAATCAGTTCGAGGGTGCCATTCCAACTTGGATGTGCAACTCTTCTATGCTTAGCTCATTTTCAATAGAAATGAATATGATTTCAGGAGTAGTTCCTCCTTGCGTTGATGGCCTAAATAGTTTGTCAGTCCTGACAATTCAAAACAATCAACTCCAGGCAAATGACAGTTATGGTTGGGGATTCCTTTCTAGTTTAACTAATAGTAGTCAGTTGGAGTTTCTAGATTTCAGCAGCAACAAATTTCGAGGGACTCTACCAAATGCAGTAGCAAATCTTTCTACAAATTTGAAAGCTTTCGCCCTAAGCGAAAACATGATAAGTGGCAAGATCCCTGAAGGAATTGGAAACCTTGTTAATTTATTGTACCTTTTCATGAGCAACAATTCTTTTGAGGGTAATATTCCTAGCTCACTTGGTACACTCTGGAAGCTGAGTCATTTAGACCTTGGATTCAATAATCTATTGGGCCAAATTCCACCTGCCCTTGGTAATCTCACATCGTTGAATAAACTCTATCTTGGACAAAATTCACTTAGTGGGCCTCTGCCATCCGATCTTAAAAATTGTACTTTAGAAAAAATTGATATTCAGCACAATATGCTCAGCGGTCCAATTCCAAGGGAGGTTTTTCTCATATCTACCCTGTCTGATTTCATGTACTTCCAAAGCAACATGTTCAGTGGGTCACTACCATTGGAAATCAGTAACTTGAAAAATATTGCAGACATCGATTTCTCTAATAACCAAATTTCTGGTGAAATTCCTCCATCTATTGGTGATTGTCAAAGCCTGCAATATTTTAAGATACAGGGGAACTTCCTTCAAGGGCCAATCCCAGCATCAGTGAGTCGGCTGAAAGGTCTTCAAGTACTTGATCTTTCACACAACAACTTTTCTGGAGACATTCCTCAATTTCTAGCAAGCATGAACGGCCTAGCTAGTTTGAACCTCTCATTCAACCATTTTGAAGGGCCAGTTCCTAATGATGGGATATTTCTCAATATAAATGAAACTGCAATTGAAGGGAATGAAGGCTTGTGTGGGGGTATACCTGATTTGAAGCTGCCTCTTTGCTCCACTCACTCCACCAAAAAGCGGTCTTTGAAGCTTATCGTAGCAATTTCCATAAGCAGTGGAATCCTATTGCTTATCTTGCTTTTAGCTCTATTTGCATTCTGGCAAAGGAATAAGACACAAGCAAAATCGGACTTGGCACTTATCAATGATTCGCATCTAAGAGTATCTTATGTTGAATTAGTCAATGCAACAAATGTTTTTGCTCCTGATAACCTCATTGGAGTAGGAAGCTTTGGATCAGTGTACAAAGGACGAATGACGATCCAAGACCAAGAAGTAACTGTTGCAGTTAAAGTGCTGAATCTCCAACAGCGTGGGGCTTCTCAAAGCTTCATTGCAGAATGTGAGGCTCTGAGATGTGTTCGGCATCGAAATCTTGTGAAGATCCTAACAGTCTGCTCAAGTATTGATATTCAGGGCCATGACTTCAAGGCTCTTGTATATGAGTTCATGCCAAATGGAAATTTGGACCAATGGCTACACCAGCATCTTGAGGAAAATGGGGAAGACAAGGTTTTAAATATCATCAAAAGGCTCGACATTGCCATTGATGTGGTTTCTGCACTTGATTATCTTCACCAACATAGGCCATTGCCAATTATTCACTGTGATCTCAAGCCAAGCAATATTCTCCTAGATAGTGAAATGGTTGCTCACGTTGGTGATTTTGGGCTTGCAAGAGTCCTGCATCAAGACCATAGTGACATGTTAGAGAAATCAAGTGGCTGGGCTACAATGAGAGGAACAATTGGATATGCTGCTCCAGGTATGCTTCTAACAGCTACAATCCACGGTTTTCTTTCTAATTTATTCACAAACCTTTCCATTGATCCATACTTAAGTAGATCGTTTTGCTATTCAGATGTGTGCAATTTGTTATGAAAAACTCAAATTCTTGCAAATGATAATTATGCAGCAGTGTAAATTATATATTATTAGACTGAAGCCCACATATAAATTTAAATATAAATGCTTAAACATGCAACAACGTCCTTTATGTAACATTTTCTTATGATTACAGAGTACGGTTTGGGCAATGAGGTTTCAATTCTGGGTGATGTCTACAGCTATGGTATACTGTTGCTGGAGATGTTTACCGGAAAAAGACCAACTGGCACTGAATTTAGAGAAGCTCTCAGCCTTCATAATTATGTAAAGATGGCACTTCCAGACAATGTGATCGATATTGCAGACCAACACTTACTATCAGAGAACAATGATGGAGAAGAAATAAACTCAGATGGCAAAAGAACAAGAGACACGAGAATAGCCTGCATCACATCAATTCTGCAGATTGGAGTTTCCTGCTCAAAGGAATCTCCAGCAGATCGCATGCATATTGGAGAAGCTTTGAAAGAATTGCAGAGAACAAAAGACAAGTTTAGCTTGTCCCTGCGTTGAAGCATCAAATCTCTGAATAATTTGGCATAATAATCCCCAGGCTATAATAGATATTTACAGCCTAGCAACCGAAGCCTTATCAGCATAGGTTCAGGTTGTATGAGTAGCTTCATGATGTTCACACATGCAGGGTGCTGTTACTGAACAAAATATAAGAACCATAAACCATTTGGCATTTGCAGGAAGAATATGTAAATCGACTAACTGCACATACAGTTTTATGTTTTTTATTTTATTTTTTTGCTTGTAGCCTACAAAACTATTTTGATGGAAGCATTCGATATGTTACAGCACGCGAGTTCACAGAAATTACACTAGCGGTCCTTAAACTTGTAACGAAGTTTTACATAGGTCCACGAACTTGCAAAACGTGTATCGAGATCCTTAAACTTAGTTTAATGTATCATCCCAATCCAAAGCCTGGTTTGACCGTGGTCTTGCCTATGTGGCATGCCACGTGGATGATGACATGGCTAAATTTTCTTTTTCCCTTTTTTTTCTCCCCATCTTTTCTCTCCTTCCTCACCTAGCGTGGAGAAAACTGCGGCGGAAGGGAGAGGAAGGAGGCAAAATGGAGAAAAAAAAAGATAAGAAGGGAGAAAAAAAGGAAGAAGAGAGAAAAAATAAAAAAGTCCATGTCATCGTCCACGTAGCATGCCACGTAGACAAGACCACGGTCAAACGAGGCTTTGGACCAGAATGGTACATTAAACCAAGTTTAGGGATCTCGATGTACGTTTTGCAAGTTTGTGGATCTAAGTGAAACTCCATTACAAGTTAAGGCCGTGCTCCCTGAAAAATCTCAATTCCAATTGTTCCGTACTGCAATTGCACTAAACTAACCAAAAGGAATGGCCATTTACCAAGATCCATACCCCATACCCATAGTATAATGTTTCTGTTTCCCCATTTGGTCGAGAAGTTGCAAACTCAGATGCATCAACATCATCCCAAGCAAACGAGAGAGTATCAGTGTATTCACAAAAGAAAAAAAAAACAGTTTCCGTGTTTACCCCTTCGATGAAAGCGGGGGAGGAGAAAGCGGAGGCGGGGGTGGAGAGTCGCCACCGAGTCGACCAGTTGAGACGCTGGGTGGAGAAGGGGGCCTACGCAGGCGGCGGCCGCCGGACTCCGGCGATCTCGGCGGCGTGATTAGCCGACCGCCCTGCCTAGCTAGAACAAAAACCCAGAAGGGTAAAGGAAAAATCGCAATGCGCGCTCGATATATACCTCGTGGTGGCGGAGCATGAGGCGTGCGGGGGGCGGAGACGATCGCGGATGCCCCCACCATCGCCGTCAGCCAGGGCGACTCGCCGCCGTACGCGCGCCGGAGAGGAGACGGCGGCGGAGTTTTCCCGGAGAAGACGCCGAGGCGGCCTGCAGAGCAGGCTCGTTGTAGCCCAGCCCACCTGTCAAATCACCAGGGCCCAATCCTGTACGGGCCTCAAGGAGGCAGCAATAATCCCGTCCCGGCCCAAATGTATGGGCCGCCCAGAAAAATAAGTCTTTTTTACATTCCTCAACTCTTATCCACTAATTAAAGGGAAAAGTACACGCAAGGTCCCTCAACTTGTCAGCGAGATACAAAATCGTCCCTGAACTGCAAAACCGGACATCCGGCGTCCCCCAACTTACAAAACCGGTCACAAAAGGTCCCTCAGCGGTTTTGACCCCGGTTTTGTCCCACGTGGCGGCTGACTCAGCATGGGACCCACGTGGGCCCCACAGGTCATGGAGACCACGTCAGCACCCTCTCTCTTTTTCTCCTCTCTCTCTCTCCTGCCTTCCCCTCGCTCTCTGCTCTCGCACAGGCGGCTGCGCGCGCGGCCGGAGGGTGGTGCGGCCGGCGACGGCGGCTCCCTGGTGGCGGCGCGCGGGCTCAGGGCAGCGCGAGCTCGCCGGCCTCCTCGTCCCCCTCGTGCGGTCGGTGATGGCGGACGAGCGACGAGAAGCAGGCGGTGCGACGCCCCCGCCGCGTACAGTGGCGCGGTGACCGTGGCCGCCATCGCCTATCAGAGGAGACCTCCGCCCGCGCTCGAAGCCGCCGACGACGATGAGGCCGAGCGGCGCGGAGTCGTCGGCGCCGCCGCTCCCCATCCGCAGCCGCACTCGCCTGCCGCCGCCGAGCTTGCTGCCCCGTGTCTCCGCCGCCGCGTCGCCGCCCAGCACGAACCTCACGCTCGCGCTCGCGCTCGCGTTCGCCGGGTGGGGAGCCGGCCGGTCAATCTCCTCTCCGCCGCTCCTTCCCCGTCGGCCGCGCCGCCCGGAGATCCTCAGCGTCGAGGCGGCCGCGGCGGAGACGGCCTCCCGCTCCCACTGCCGCTGCCGCCGCGGCTCCTTGCTGGTTGCAAGACGACGACGGATGATGCGACGGCGCGGCGCCGTCGAATCCTCTGAGCAGCTTGTCGATTCCTTCACGCACCGCAGCGTGGTGTGGAACGCGGCGGCGTCCGGGACAAGCCGCAGGATCTCGTCGGCCACGCGGACGCCGTTGAGGCTGCGCACCGTGGCGAGGTCAAGGCCGCGCCCGTCGCCGCCGCCTTGCTCCCCTGCTCCCGCGTCGTCGCCGCCGCCACCTTGCTCCCCTGGTCGGACGGCCATCGCGCCTACAACCTCCTGGACGACGGCCACGACACCGTCCAGGCCAACGTCGAGCTCGGCCTCGCTGTCGACTCCCGCGAGTACGGCATCGGCGCCCCAGGTAGCAAAGTTCGTCGGGCTCAAGGGCTACGGGCTCGCCGTCGTCGGCAGGGTTCCGGCCTCCCCGCGCCTCCGCCGTGCTTCCCCACTATGGCCGCCGCCGCCGCCGTCGCCGTCGTGGCGCCGCCCTCCTCCTCTCCTGCTCGCCCCGGCTAGCTTTGCAGATAAGTGAGAGAGAGAGATGACGAAGGGAGAGGAAGGGAAAGAGAAGAGAGAGAGGAGGCTGACGTGGTCTCCATGACATGTGGGGCCCACGTGGGTCCTACGCTGAGTCAGCCGCTACGTGGGACAAAACCGGGGTGAAAACCGCCGAGGGACCTTTTGTGACCGGTTTTGTAAGTTGGGGGACGCCGGATGTCTGGTTTTACGGTTTAGGGACGATTTTGTATCTCGCTGACAAGTTGAGGGACCTTGCGTGTACTTTTCCCCTAATTAAACAGGGGCATGAATTGAGGGAATCTTATAGACTTATTCTAACCATAAGCCCGTTCCGGCCCAAACCGCACGTACACCGCAATCCTTTTTCGGCCCGCTTTATCCAGTGGCCATCACCGAGTGCAGCCGGACTGCCGGAGCCAGAGCAGCCGTCGCCGCCGCCGGCGAGGCGACGCAACGCGCAAACACGGTGGAGCTTCTCGACGTGGACAGGATGGAAATCATGGCGTCGGGGCGGAGTGCACTCCTCGGCGGCAAGCCAGCGACCATGGGTAACTCAGTGTAGACAATTTTTGGAGCTACTGCCTCCATTTTATAATGTAAGACTTTTTAGCATTGTCCACATTCATATAGATTTTAATAAATCTAAATATATATGTGTTTAGATTCATTAACATCTATACAAATATGTGCAATGCTAGAAAGTCTTACATTATGAAACGGTGGAAGTAATTTGGTTTTCTGTTGGCGAATTTCTATCCATTATCTTAAAAATAAATTAATTATGATGGTTTTTTTTAAAAAAAATGTTTTCTGTTTGAAAGTCATGCTAGTACAGTTATAATTGTTCGGTGTGAATTGACTGAACAAACTCTGGCAGAGTCGTTATAATTGACGAAAACTTAAAATTTAAATTGTTACTACATTCACTATAACTTCGCTCCTCCTCTACTCCTTGGCACAAATTCAACCAATCAAAATGATTTGAAGATTGGAAAACCCTTGTTTTTATCTTCTAGTTTGAAGCTTCTATCTTTGCCTTTTCAATGGGCATAGTCTCAATCTTCGTCATAGTTCTAACCATCATGTATATCAACAGAGATCACTTTATAACCACTTTTAATTCTACCAATTTTTGACATATTTTGTGTTACTAAATTTTGATAGTGTTGGATATGTTTGGTTTAAAGCCTTACCAAATTTCATCAGAAATGTTAAGAGTAGAGACTTCTAGAACTACCAAAATTTAGTAAGATAGTACTGATAAAATATGCTTGGTTTGTTGAGCTACCAAAATTTGGTAGGTTTGAAAGTGGCAAAAAAGAAAAAAAATAAACAAGCTCTAAATAACCACCTTACATGCTTAGATTTTCATGACCTAAGTACCTAACTTATGTTAGTCAATACAAGTTAAACACGCACAGTCGCACAACCGTCCGAAGGATTCACACTTGACAAACTTCAAATAAAACCAAAATACATGGACCCGACTGATATTAATTTCCACATGGTCTCGATCATAGCTAGGGGCATCCAATTCTGCGCTAATCCTTTTCATCCAACTAGGAAGGCATTTTATTTATTGTTATATGAAATAGTGCTAAAAGAAGTCATATCTCACCATTTCTACATCGTGAGATAGATCGTAGACTTCAATATACTTAAATTATAAGAATGTCTCCCAGAATTAAAAACACTTTGTCCCGATTACATATAAATTCTCCTATTATTGTAACAACTCATTATCACTATTTTAAAAGCTCGCTAACTATCAATACATGAAATTGCGCATAATAAAATAAGCCTAATATATCATTAATACACTACTTAGCTAAGTGTTTATGTCTCACTTATTTCCAAATCCACATATAAATATTCTAAAAATATCACTAACGGGTGAAGCCGATCATAGCCGTAGAGACTTTCTTTCTCTATTACCTTGAAAGTTGGGTAGCCATGTCCCCTCAAGATTAGCCCGAAGCACAATTTTAATGTCTACTCCCTCCGTCCTAAAAAAGGCAAACCCTGGGTTTCCGTGTCCAACTTAAACTGTCCGTCTTATATGAAATTTTTTTATAATTCGCATTTTCATTGTTGTTAGATGATAAAACATGATTAATATTTTATGCGTGACTTGTCTTTTTAATTTTTTTATAATTTTTTCAAATAAGACGGACGGTCAAACGTTGGGCACGGAAACCAGGGTTTGTCTTTTATTGGGACGGAGGGAGTAATTTACTATAACACTTTCATAGAGTCCTATAACACACTTGGGCCACTCAACTCGGCCATTTGTATGCCACGTTAGAGGGTAAATAACGGGTCCACCAATTTAAATGAAAATCGATGGTGAGATTATACAGTACCATGTGATGGCTTAGGAGCATTTGTAGCAGCGTCATATGGCGACTTAGGAGTATTCGTAGAAAGTTTATGAACGTTTAGTATATAATAGTTTTTCTTGCTGCGAATAGTAGTACCGAAGCTTTATTTCTTTTTCATTCTAACGTACGTTTGTATATGTACTTATGTTTTTTTCACGGTATATACATCTAATCTAATGGTCTAAAATAACGGGTCCGCTAATTTAAATGAAAATCGACAGTGAGATTATATTACCACATGGCGGTCTAGGAGTATTTGTAGAAACGCCACATGAAGACTTAGTACTGTTTTGTAGATCACAAATTGGATATATAATTTTAAAATAATTTGAAAAGATGAACATTTAAAGATGGTTGATTTTATATTTATATTATAGATCTAGTTTAACACTGCATCTATATATTTGTGAATGTGAAGTAATATATTTCATCTTTATATCGTAGATAGTTCTATTTTAAAGACCGTCGATTTTTTTATGGTACTAAGTACTTATATTTTATTTTGGCTTATAGTAAGTACGTGCATATTTTTTTTTTCTTCCGGCAAACATTATGCACATGAGAAAGGCATGAGAAAGGTATTACATATTTAATAGTAAAAAAAACAGGTCCAATAATTTATAAATCGATAACATATATGGATAAAATAATGGATCGAAAATCGTTCAATTGCATGTGTATATTTGTGGGCCAATATATCTTTATATTGTAGAGCGATATTTGCTTTTTTGATAGTACTAAGCATGTATGCTTTATTTTGGTTGTCGTATGTACATACATACGTTCTATTCCTCTGGCAAACAGTACAGAGAAAGATATTATATATACTAGTAATCGTGCACGTGCAAGGCACGTTTTTTTTAACATTTATAATAGGAGAGAATAAACTATAGAGTAAATTTCACTTTCAATCATTTTTATCACCATTGTTTGCTTTGGACTGGGTAATCTTGTATTTGTTCCACTTTTGATTACCGACTCTCTTTTAACGTATATGAAAGATTTTGAGTACGTCGGCTCCTATTTATCAATGAACTCCCACAGCAATATATAGACCAATTCTTTTGACATATGACAAGTTGGATTAGGTGGTTGAAAAAGTTGAGGGTAGTCTAAAATGCCACAAAGGTAAAATTACCTGTCCGAAAGTGAAACATTGATTAAAGAGTGGTTCAAAGCGAAACATCGATAATAAAAGGTTGTCGAAGGAGAAATTTACTCGATAGGAATCATGCATACAGGGTCATCGTCAGCACACTATATGTTTGCTCCAAGCCTCCAAATCATCAGCTCCGCCACCAGGCATCTTGACCAAGCTCTAGCACCCCTGATGTTACTTAGCAGCAACACCTGCATTTCTGCTGGTATATGTGCCAAAGAAATGACTTATACCATGACATGACTAATTATCAAACACACAGTTAGCAAAAGCATGTAGACCTGCACAATTATCTTGTCGGTTTTCTCTTCAGGGTTGAGCAACACATAATTGGACGTCATCATGATGTATATATGCAGCAAGGGGTCGAGTATTCTCCAAGAAAGAAAAAAAAAACAAAATAATGTATCTTATCATCTCTGACTACACAAATGCTCACTATGAAATCTTATGAGAAAGACCAAACAATAACGGGTAACTAAGAATGCTGTTAATAAGCTTAAACATGAATTTTACCTCAAGGTTCCAATATATACTGTAGTAATAGCTCTTAAAAACAGTGTACCAAACAGTGAAATGCCATGGTAAACCATGACAAGATTTTAGCAAAATATTCAGTTGTTGTCTACAATGTCAACCTGCATTATAAACAACAGAAGTAAGCCAGTATATTTAGATGCCTAATAGAATTACACAAATACTTTTTGATATCACGGTTTTTCTTATTGTTATATACCAGAAACAGTTTACAAACCTAATTTACAGTTTTATTATGTAAGGGAAGAAAAAGAGATTTGATACTTGCATGCATTACATAAAAATTTTGACCATGTATGCTAGCATTTTACTAAGCAAATCTGAACATTAATTGCCACAATACAAAAAAAGCTATGTATAATTTCTCAATACTCGAACAAAATCTGAAACACCATGATGTGATCTTCATTGGTTGAAGGAGTACATAGTGATACCCGAACTTCCTGACTGGCATGTACAATTTTGTTTTTCTATAAAAATATAGTATCGTGCATAATTCGACAATGTAATATATGTATATCCATATGCAAAAGAAATTGCATACCTGACATAATAGTAGGGAGAAGTGGAGGACTTCTCAGGCACAGATCATCACAAGGAATGAAACAAACGAAGACTGCTAGTGGCAGATAAATCACTTCGCCCTGGAAACAACGCTGGAGGCCTGCTAGCGAGGTTATCAGTAAAGAACAGTATGCGGCAACATATTAGTCAGGACTTGACACAATTATTCGGAAACACACGCACGTATGTTGAAATAAAAAAAAAATGGAGAGGCTGATTTACATATTGAAATTTAGGGCTTTGCAAACGTGAACGTGCCAACTACAGAAACATGTCATTACCTGTTCAATCCGCTGGATTTGGTGTGGAGCTTCCAGTGGCGCTATCCATTTTAGTAGACAGAGAAAGGTAGAAATAAGTGACCACCTGCATATATACATGAGCACAGTTTGAAATCAACAGTTGATCGATCAATATGATTACTGATTATCTCGGGATTGATCAGGTGGTGATATTTTGCATGCATGCAATGAGAAATTAGCTGATTACACAAGGTTATAACTCTGTTCTTCTACATTATTAAATTATGTTGTGGGTGATGAAAATAAGTTTCACGTCTCCTATAGACTATAATCAGAATTTTTGTTTACCTGCAGAGAAAGAGTATGAACTATGTACAACATTGAAGTGTTTAGTGTCAGCAAACTGGACTGCACCCTGAATTCGTGAAGAAAGGAGAACACAATGGATCAAATTGCTTGCAATAGACAGTACCTAAGCAGGATTTTGCTGAACACCTGCAACTCACGCAAAGGGAATTAGCATCAGCAATTCTATCAACAGTTTAAGAGATTCCCATGGATTACAATTCGCCACATAATTTGAAGATAAAACACAAATGCATATTGAAAATCAACACACAAAAAAGCAAAAGGCCAATATTTGTTCAGATAAAAAGTATTGTATCCACGATTGACCCTGCAACGGATGATCGACGGGCAAATCAAAGCCAGGCGGCCAAATCAAGCGTCCTTCATCTTCTTGGTGGAGATGGATGGCTTGTCGGTGGGCTGAGGAGTCTGAACCATGGGTTATGAACCGAGAGATTGAAGGAAGAGCAGGCGCCACCGCGGCCGGCAGAGAAGCAACGACTGAGGACGCTGCCGCGAAGATTGAGGAACAACACCAGGTAGGAGGGTAAGCAGATCCTTTTCACATCGGAGTAGGACGGCAGGAAGCGCGCTCTCACCTCGACGCTGGCGGGGGAGGCTGCGATCTGCGGTGGGATGACGTGATTTGCGATGAGAGAAGGCGCACGGCGGCAGCTAGCGCACGATTTGCAGGTAGGTGGTGGGAGGCGTAGCGGCTTCCGTAGCATGTGCTATAGCGGCGACAGGAGCGTGCGAGGAGGCATTGGCGCGGCAGCGGTGTCATCGGGCTGTGTCTAGCGGCAGGGATAGCGCTTAGAGGCGGTGTTTCTGCGCTAGAATCGCGCGTCCGCTCGGTGGGGATGGGGAATCAGTGATTTGGATGGAGCAAAATCGGATTTGGATTCCACTGTTGCATTGCATCGTAACACAGAGCAGCCCCACAGCCGTCTCGAGCGGTTAGATGTACAGATCGGACGGCTAAATAAAGGAATGGGAAGATGTTGATTTCACCCGTAGGATTGCAAGGAGACAACTCCTCCTATATATATATATATATATATATATATATATATATATATATAGACACACGCGCGCGCGCGCACACACATATAATATATTAACTGAAAATCGATGCATGTATAGATCTAATCTAACGGTATAAAATAATGGGTCCACCAATTTAAATGAAAATCGACGGTGAGATTAGACTGTGCCATGTGACGATCTAAGAGTGTTTGTAGGAGTGCCACGTGGCAGCTTGAGAGCGTTTGTAGGAAGTTTAATGATTTTTAGTATATAACTAGGATGATAGCCCACGCGAATGCGCGGGCATACGTATTAGTTTGTTCTGAAAATAGTTCTAACAAAATAAAGTGAAATTAAGGTAAGGTGTTTTCTATTTTTAACAGGGTGTTCATTGTATCTCTTTTTGAAGAAATCTCGATAAACTTTTGCTGGCAATAAATGTTTTTTACCACCTTGTCAATCCTCTTTTTAATTGATTCATATATATGTGTAATTCGTTATGCATGTGAATCAATAATGATAAGTTCTTTTAAAACTATTAGTTATATTTTGAATGTAGTGGTTGAGTGATTATAATTTCGAATTTGTTTTCAAATCAAATTATTGTGTTATTCTAAATTTTCATTTTAAGGATTTTAATTTGTACTTAATCTCGTATCGTGTTGTATTTGGACTCATCTTTTAATATTTATTTTATTATTATTCCAAATTTTAGATATTTATAACTTATACTTTTATATGGACTGTTTTATATTATACATGGGATCTTGTTATACATTTTTTAATAGTTTTAATGGTTTTTTTTAAAAAAAAATTGAATGTGTATTTTAATCAAATTGATTATTTTTTCTGAATTTAATTCTGAACTCCTCGGCGATAGAAACGTCTCTCTCTGGCCCTCCTCTCAGTCCTTTGTCCTTCACCTAATCATCTAGCATGCTATTAGGCTTAGAAGTCATGGAAAGTCTATGCTGGCGCTTCCGTCGGTGTCCACCTCGCTAAGGTTGTGTTCTTCCCCCCTCCTTTCCCAACTTAACTCTCTCGTTTTCGGTGCACATGTTTTCCAAACTAATAAATGGTGTTTTTTCTAAAAGTTTTCTATAGAAAAATTGCTTTAGAAACATATTAATCCATTTTATAAAAAATTTAACTAATACTTAATTAATAATAATCTAATGTAATGAGTCGCTTTGTTTTACGTGCGTGGGAGAGATTAGCTCCAAAACCTATCTAATGAACACAACCTAATAATATCTTGCAGCTCCGCCTCCGTTGAGTTCAGGCCCAGGGTATCCACCATGGTTCCAAGCTCTTTGATGGTGGTTGAATCTAGACTTTAGACTCACATATTTGAATTCATTTGTCTTTTCACAGTGCAAATTTTGCTCAAATATTTGTAGTCATAATGGCTACATTATCTAAATTTTATATAGTAAATATGGGTAAATGGATCTTGAATTATGTATTTAATTATAAATAACATGACAAAATGCAAATAAATTGAGAAAAGTGCATGTAACTTGAGAGTCATGATCATTTAACTATCTGATTATTATTATTTATATATTATATGTTAGCTAGAAAATAGGAAATGTTGGCTCGAAAATAGGAGAGGAGACTGGGATCCCGGAGGAGAGAGTTGGAGGGTTGAGAGACTACGTACGTACATGTGTGCCCACACACGGCGGGGTTGGGGGTACCATATTTTCGTGTATTGGGGGTACCATATTTTTTTTTGAGAGATCTAACGGTTAAAATTAGTGGGTCCGCCTATTTAAAGAAATATCAATGGTTAGTCTTTTTCTTTTTTATCAAAACTTTTAGGATTTTTTTTCTAATTTATTAGATCGTCAAAAGGCATCTTAAGAACATTTGTAAAATGCGACGTGACAGTTTGAGAGCATTTGTAGGGAGTTCAATGAACTTTTAACTTTTAGTATATAATAGATGTTTAATGGATTTTCAGTATATAATATATAGATAGATGTGTAAAGAATATAATGCAGTAAACTTTCTTCAAACATTATATACGTTTATGATGATGCAGTCTAGGTTTGCAAAGTTATAATTGTTTGTTTTTAATAATGAATGTTATTTCAATTATCCTTAGAAATTATAAAAGGAAAGGAGAGAAATATGGACGTGATAAGGGTGAGCGGTTTCGCACGTGCGTACGTACTTACTTCATATGTACGGACTTATGGGAGAGCTGGGGCCGTTGTACATTAATACAAGGGTTTATAATATCGGACCCACTAATTTAAGTGAATATTTTAAGGGTTAGATATTTTGCTTTTGTAGAATTTCCATTATTTATTTATCAGAGCGCCACGTGGTAGCTTAGGAGTATTTGTAGGGGTGGCATGTAGCGACTTAGGACCGATTTAAGTGAATATCGATGGACAAATATTTTTGTTACAAAATAATCTAAAATAATGGGTACATAATATAATATAATGGTGTAAACTTTATTTTCAAATATTGTAGAGCTAATTTATTTATGTTCACTTGTAGAGATTTGTATGCTGGTATATTCTATATTTGTAAAGTGACTTTTATTCAAAATTTATTATCACTTATTATTATTATTATTAGTATTATTATTATTATTAGTACTACTACTATTATTATTATTATCTCAATTATATACCGGAAAAAAAGAGAAAGAATAGTAACGTACCTTGGAAAAAAAAGGTTATGTACGTGCATGCACCCCCTTTAACAGATCGCATGCAAGCAGTAACGTACCTATATATGGAATGGAACTGAGGAGTTATTTTGAGATAAATCTAATCTAACGGTTTATAATATTGGACCCACCGATTTAAGTGAAAATCGAGGGATAGATATTTTTCTTTTTTCTCAGATTTTCTAGAATTTTCTCTAATTTATTAGAGCGCCACGTGGCGGTTTGAGAGCGTTTTGAGGAAGCTTCATGGAATTTTAGTATATAATAGATAGATAGATAGATAGATAGATAGATAGAAGATAGATAGATAGATAGATAGATAGATAGATAGATAGATAGATAGATAGTTCTCCGTTCAATAAACAATTGCATCCTTTGTTCCTCGGCTCAGCTCTCAAATTCCTACCAACAAGGAGGGTTGTGTATCCCTCCCGGGCCGCCTGAAAACGTACGTAAATCCAAAATCAGATTTAATCAAATCGTGCAAGCAAAAGAAAACTATAGCTACTGATATGTATTCTCCTCAGAGTTGCCTCTCTTTAGCTCTGGTAATGACACTTGTAATGCAAACAATTGATCAGCTAGCTACAAATCATAATCCCACATGCCATCACCTGGGGGGACAGACACTAATGCATGATCGCTCGGGCATGCCCCCCCCCCCCCCCCTTTTGCCTGTCCGTACATACTAAATATATACACAAAGATATAGGTATAAAGTTTGTATATGTACGTATACAAATTTTAATTAAGGACAGTTAACAAAGAACATGTTGTTCATTAAAATTGGTTTACTCCAGACAGCATAGATCATGAGTCCTCTTGGCTCATGAGAAATGAAACCTCTGTAAGGGGGTTGGTCTCCATGCGTATAAAGTATATTTTGCAACCATATATCAATTTGGTCCTCAGTTAAACATCGTGTACCGTATATGCATAGTTTCAACCATGTCATCTATGTACCATGATCTAAGGCAGCATAAAGTATATTTGCAACCATGATTTAATTTTTTTTAACCATGGTATTTACCATCAAACCTTTAGCTGTAAACTATACTGATATTTTCATCCATGTCATCTGCACATGATGTTGCCTGTAACAGATCATACGGAATGGGCATTGACTAATACATATATACTTCAATTTTTTCAGATCAGACAAAGAAGTAACTCCAACAAGAATTTACTGAGAATGAGGAGATGGATGTCCATGGATAACTACTTTTGGAAGATGTTGAAACTATATATTGGATTATGTTATTTTGCTATGTGATGGACTGCACAAACTACATGTTGGATGATTTTATTTTCCTATGTTGAGACAATTTGGACTGGTGATGTATTGTTAAGCCTATTTGAAACCTTTGTAATGGACTGTGAAACTATTTGGACTATTAAAGCTATGTGATGACTTGTAATGGATTTATTGATGTATGCAGTTGTAATGGACTGATTGCTTGCAAGATTACTTTTATATTTTGAAAATCATGAATTATCTTGCTGCAAAACTGGGCTCTGCGCGGCCCAAGTTTTTTGTCCCCCAAATTTCGGAATCTTCGGACGAAATTTCAAATTTGAATTAAAAATTTCGTACGAAAAATCATGAAATTTCGGTGATTTTGGTTATTTCGACACCCCCCCCCCCCCCCCCACACACACACACAGAACAAAAAGCACCATTTCAAAACTGCAAACCCCTGATACAAGGAAAGCTCCGTTCTGGCGTGTCGTCGCCGGACCGCCGTCGCTGGGCCACGGAATTCGACAGCTCCGACGACGGCGGCGACATGGCGCAGGGCGGACGGCATTGGGAGCGACTGGGTCGGTCGTCCCTCCGCTCGTATGCGGCGCGGGCAACCACGGGTAACCCTTCTTTAGAGCTTATATTATATTATTATTCCTTTTCAGCGACTAAGTCATGCATCTAGAGTTGATGTAAATTTCATTGGATTGGTCGAACAAATCCAGGAAATGTCATTGCTGACGAAATCTTTAAAAATCTTAATTTTGTACATTTGACTTGACTGCGTCCTGGTCTTCTCTAAGCCTGGAGCACAAAAATTGTACCTACAAAAAACGACGGGGAGATTGGAACCCTTGTTTTCGCCTTCAAGTTTTAACATGTAAACATCGACCTCTCTCAAGTCGTCGAGCACCTTGTCTCAAGCTCTTTGCACATGGCCAGAGGATTGTCTCATTAGCTGACATTGCAATGCAACTAATCTGGCCGCTTCCTTTGATTCTTGCTAAATTACTTCTTCTTTGTTCTTGTAAACGACGCTTCCCAATTCTCGTAATCTGTGTGCACAAGTTCAGCAATGCCGCTGTGTCTTGCGTCTTCCTCTGTCTGTCTCACGTTGCTGCTCCAGAGGCGAATGCAGGGTAGTGTGCATCCCTACTTCAATTCGATGAAAGGCAGTATTAGCAGTATCCCGGGTGCACTCTGTCAACAAGTTCAGAGAAAGTGTCAACATAATCAGAATGCCATAATACACTAATACTTTCATCTTTAAAAAGACAGATTACATAATATTCCGTCTATGTTGATTGTAGCAATGATTTAGTTATTATACCGTACATTTATCCATCCAGGGTCCCGCCTCATCTCATATATTTTTTATTTTTTCTTTTGGAAGAGAAATCTCATATAAAAATTTCAGGCCATGCTAGCATTTACCAATTCTGAAAATAGGCACACACTGTGACACATGAGACTTTATTTACAGGGACATTTAACTCGCTGTCTATGACATGTGGGCCCTCATGTGTCTATGACATATGGGTCTAGTAGCAAATAATTTAGCACCACTCGTAAGAGTGGCAAATAGTTAATTATTCCTTATTTACACAAAGGGTGTGCACAAGGTACATTGGCTATTTGGCAAATCTATCTTGCTAGCAATACTGTGGTACAAGCAAATATGTGTGTCCGGTGCTTATTAGGGTTCAAGAATGAAAAAAAAGAGGGGTACAGTGTCATGCTTGCTCACTTTGTGCTGGGTGAACAGCACACAGTGACTAGACGCAGACAAGTAGAAATGTAAACAGTGGAAGAAGAAAAAAAGGAAAAACTAAAAACAGGACACAGTACGGTAGCACATGATCTACACGACCTCATTTTACAGGTACATGCTGATTGATCAAAATACAATTAACCCAGAAAAAATGATACGCACACAAACTCATATTCTTTTTTTTTTGTTCTGTTTTTATAAAGCACGAATTGGGCTCGCCATCGACAGCACTACTTATATATGCTCGGCGAAAATATCGATAGGACTCTGATTTCTATCTGTGATATATAGGTAGCGATCGATCTCGTGATCTCTTCTCACCGGATATATTTAATTTCGACCTCCAATTTGATCGAGATGTTACCACACACAGGGCGTCTGACAAATGCCAAACAGCCAGAAAGCCCTATCAAGTATTTTGCCTATCCCTGCACAATTGAACAACAAACCAGGGTTAATTAGACTGCCACAGGAGAGATGACCTATATATCGACAAAACCGAGAACAAGGTAATTTAAACTGCAAATCATCTAAAGAAGAAATTAAGGTACAAAGGGAGGAGATGGAATGTGCATTTGCTCAAGTCACTAGTATGATCCTAGCTGCTGTACCAGCATGTTGAATGGGGTGTTGTCACTTTCGTTTGATTGGTTGAGCTCTGTTCCAGTTTTCTCATTCGAGTAACTTTGTTTGGTACAAATACTAGTTATCGTCAAATTTATATATGTTTGAGTGGGTAGGGCTGTCATTGTGCTCCCAAGTCCCAACAAACCGTGTTCGACTCTCGACACACTCTTTTTGCTTCTTAGGGCTGTTCGGCTGGACTAGCTCCAAGATAGCAGGGGCTGTAGCAGCTGCAGCTGCAGTCCCAGCTTACCGAATATGCCCTTAATATATCGATATTATATTAAAGGTTTTGTTTTAATATAATGGCGCTGTTTTATCATCAAAAGGACTGCCCTTTTTATTGATGTGTGGCGGATTTTAGTGCAGAAAATTTGCATATTTATTAAAAGAATGTTTGCATATGGAGGCTCCAGGGCCAGTAGGAAACCAGAGAGAGAGAGATTGATGGCTCAATTCTTCTTGAAACATCTCCCACTCCAGCTCCAGTTTCTTATTTTTCTTTTCAATGGAAGATTATGGAGCCCATTGTCTCTGTCTCTGTAATGTGTTCTTTGGGCCAAGCCAGATTGTATCCCTTGTCTGAAAAAGGTCATAAACTTGAGTACTTGACCCATGCAAAGCTCTAGATTTTGCAGTGCTTTGCTTCTATTCGCAGTAAGGTTTTGCCACTGAAAATTTCCGTGCTCAGATAGTCGGATGCCAAGTGCGGCCATTATGGAGCCCATAAAAAGGAGTTCCAGTATATCATTACCATAGCATCTCCACTCTGGCAAGACAGTTCATGTGTGCAATTCCTCCCATTCTCCAATTTTCATAGACCACTCTTGAAATTTATGCAGTTCCGTGGGCACATCTGTTTCAGAGCCATTAGAGCAGAATTGGCACAAGGTAATCAATCAATAGGTCCCTTTCGTTTGGTTTCTGTGAAATATTCTTCCAGTGATCGATCACATCTCATGATGAAGTTCTTAAACTTTCATTCTGTCAGTCCCTATATATACATACATCATGATGATGGTTAAACTTCAATTTGGAGTAATAATACTTATGTTACGTTACCTCAATAGGCTTTTTTTCATCGGAGTGGAGGAAGAATGCGTAGAACCCTCCAAGCACAGTTGCTGCGGCCATGGCCCAAACCAGCACCTGAACCGGGAAAGGCATGATGGCCGCCACTTTATATGAAAACACGGCGGTGAGCATCGTCGTCAGGAGCCACACCGCCGTCTTGATGTGGTGGCGGCGAGGCGACTCCGGCGGCGTCTTCTCAAATAATCGGAGGAAGTAGAAGAGCGATACGAGGTCAACGTAGGAGAAGACCACGAAGAAGATGGTTGCCAAGTCTCTATCTGATCTGTACACTGCCATTCCCGAGTTGAAGGTCAGGAAGGCGAAGCCGAGGAGCGTCAGGGGAGATAACCCCATGTCATGCTGCTCCGCCGGCGCCTGCGGATCGCGCAGAGGTTGCTCTAGATGGCCCTGCTCCATGGATTTCAGAGGTGATGTTACTAGCTTTGAACTCATTAGCACGTTCAGGTTAGTCCTCCTAGGTGGGTTGGATCCTTTCTTGATCGGGGCTGTTACAGATCTGCAAATTATGGAGAAGATGATTAAGATCAGATCGTTGATCGAGGTAGTAGAAATAGGCACATGGATTGTCAGTCTATCAGAGGCTATGGGCAGCATGCCCTGCACTAATAAATGGCCACAGCGGAAACGACTACGCAACTCGTGGTTTTGTGTAAAACTAAATGGCGGGAAAATGATTGCCTGTGACGTATTAATAGTTTTGTTCAATTTGAATCTTAAACTTTTAATTCATGAGAATCATATAAATATGATTCAGATTAATATATGTGCACCTCAACATTTTCTAATGCAGTTCTAAATTATAAATCATTGATTTTAGCACCTACAATTTGGTGTTCCGGTATCGAAATTGGTTTTTTTTTTAAAAAAAAGAGTTATCTTGAAACTTTCTAAATATATTTTAGATAAATGGTAGGTAATATTGTTTTCATCAATATGTTTTCTTTTGCAATCATGGTTTAATTATGAAAGATGATACTTTATTACATGCACTATAATTTACACATCTCTATCTCTTCTCTACTATTATAAAAATTAAAGATGTTTTTGCCGGTACTTCGGTACGTCATCCGTATTTGAGTTGGTTTTTAATCTCGTTTGCTTTTGGAAATAATTTCCATATTTGAGTCGGTTTTACAGTTGTTCGCTTTTGGAAATATAGGAGTCATATAAGAAATCTCTTTATAAAAAAAACATGCATGCTAACTTTAAACGATCGGATTGCTAACTGAAGCTCATGGTTTTCTAAAATATATACTCCTATATCCAATCGAATTTCCATATTGAATTTTACCTTAACTAAATCATATAATAATAATAAGATTAAATAGCCTTCACCCTTTGCAACGCAAAGGTCTTTTCTTTCTAGTCTTTAAAAAATGAAAAAAATACAGAGTGCAATATTTAAAGCGAGAGTATAACTAAAGCATGTAAATTGGTATGCAGGGAATTTTGATAATTCCATTTGATCCAACTGTTTTTTAGACGTTTAGCTAAGTGTTTAGTGAACTATTACTACTTTTATTGCAAAGACAAATATTATTAAGTTTAACATATAAAATGATTAGGAGAGAAATAACACGACTTAAATTAGAAAATAATTTGAGTGAACAGAGCGCTAGCTTAAATTAAGTTCAATTAAGATGTGTCTAGAGAATTCGAATGAAGGCCGGGCAATTAGAAGATCGGAAGGAGCTGGTGATTGAGCACAAGGTGGCAAATTTTAGAAACACAGAAAAATATTGCATTACATAAATCTGAAAATGCCGAATAGGGTGATCATTTTCATAAACAGCACTTGCAGGCCAGATACTCAAAATGTAATGAATCCGGACAATCTGAGTAAAGAATGGCCAGGAAAACTTCCAAGTCCATTTAGCCTGAGACGACGAACAGCAGCGGAACAGATCGAGAACACTTTACATATCAAGATTAATCGCGCGCAATATATGGGCGTCACTTAAGCAAGCAAATAGTAGGTATATAGGATTAATCACCGGAAGAAGATAACCGCCGCCGCCGAAGCAGCTAGCAGGCACAAGGCGCAAGATCAAGCTCGCTCGCGCGACGCCGGTGCCGTCTGGTAATCGACGAAGCTGGAAGTAAACCTACACTATATGTGTCACAAAAGAAAAACCGTCACTAATTGTTGTCATGGAAACTTCAGCAAGCGAAACACGGTAGCTTTTATAGTCGATGCGAATGCGTCATTTTCGTCGTGACCGAGACAGCGATGACCTCGATAATGGACAAAGGAAGCTTCGCGGAAGCTGCGGTTTTTATTATCCCCTTCATCACGCCGAATATGAAAAGACAATTTGGCGAATCTTGCCAACCGACTTTTAGCCCACGATGCAGACTACTGACTTTTTCCGGCACTAGTAGTACTATAATCAATCTTATTCGTTTTTTATTTTATTGAGAGGCTACTGGTAATTGTTAGGTCGAATCAAAGGATGGAACTTGTAGGAAATTCCGCTCGAGAAGACGACGACACAGCTTAATTAGAGCGAGTTTAATACTATAGCTAACTACGGGCTACAAATCATTTATAGTCAATTTAATAGCCGATTCATACAATAGTTACATATAAATATATACTACACGCTTAATACTTGGTCCCACCAATCATACACACATACATCTTATAGTCTGTGTTACAGCTGGCTATAAATCTGTAAATCGTTGCTCTTCTTTCCTATTTTAACTTTTCGAAATGTGTTTATAACTAGCTTATAGTCAGGTACAATAGCGGACTATAAACTAGCTATAAACACCTTTTAAGGAGATAAAAAAGGGAGAGAAGAACAGCGGACTACAGATTTGTGGTAAGCTATAACATGGACTCCAAGATATAATGTGTGTATGACAGATATGATCAAATATTAATAATATAGTATATATTTATAGGTAACTATTTATATGAATTGACTATTGAACTAACTTTATATGATTTAGAGTTAGTATTTGGTGGTACTATTAACTTGCTCTACAATTCTGCTATAGCGATCATATCACTCACATCTGACTCTACCACGGGGGGCCTAATGGGCGATCGATCGCCAAGGCGATCCCCGCTCCCCCATAGGCACTCCTCCCACTTCTCCCCTTCCTCCTTCCCTTCTTCTCTTCCTACTACAGTACACCAAAAAAAGTTTTTAAAAAACAAAAAGTTAGAAAAAATTATGTATAAAAAAATTGAATTCAAATTCAAATTTGAATCGGGTATGTAAACTTTTGATTTATAAACTTTGGATCTATAAACTTTAGGTGTATAAACTTTAGATGTATAGAAATACTATATATAGAAAATATTTGAATTCAAATTCAAATTTGAATCGGATATAATTCAAATTCAAATTTGAATCGGGTATATAAACTTTACGTCTATAAACTTTAGGTGTATAAACTTTAGATGTATAGAAATACTATAGATGAAAAATATTTGAATTCAAATTCAAATTTGAATTGGATATTTGAATTCAAGTTCAAATTTGAATCAGATATAATTCAAATTCAAATTTGAATCGGATATATAAACTTTAGGTCTATAAACTTTAGGTCTATAAACTTTAGATGTATAGAAATACTATAATATATAAAAAATATTTGAATTCAAATTCAAATTTGAATCGGATATATAAACTTTTGATTTATAAACTTTTGGTCTCTAAACTTTAGATGTGTAAACTTGAGATGTATAAACTTTAGGTGCATAAATTTACTAAAATAAGAAAGTAATGCGGTGCCAAAAAAGAAAACCAGGTGGAGGGAGGGGGTGGGAAATCTGATCACTCTGGGCGGGCGAGCGCGATCGCTCGCCCAGTAGCATTTCTGCTCTACCACATCCATCTATCATCGTGCATAAGCTTCCTATCATACGGATCCGCGAGCAGCCGCTGTAGCTCACTACTAGAAAAACAATTTTTAGCAACGTTAGCCTTTTATTTTTTATTAGGCGGGTATGACTCTCGGAGCTAAATGTCCATCTACAAAAATATAAATCGGGGTGGATTTTTGTCATCCGCTTGCAAAAATCTTTTTTCCAGCCAGATTACTTAAGAGATCCGTCAACGAAAATACCTTTGTTTTTGCATGCGGATCTCTTAAGTGATCCATTTGGAAAAATTGTGGTCCGCTTGCAAAAATCATGCCTCCACAAAAAAAAAATCTAGTCATCCTTATCTTCTCCTCCATCATTCTTATCCTCTCCTCTCCACCACTCATTTCCCTCCCCTCCCCTCCCCTCCTCTCTCTCTCTCACTTAGCAGAAATCCTCCGCCTCCATCCCTCATCGAAGTTGGCTCCCTCTTCCCCGCCTCCATGACTGCCGCCACCACGACGACTACCGCGACCACGACGCGAGGACAACGACGACGACTGTCGCGAGGATGACAACGACACGACGACGGTGCCGATGCCTGTGGGGGTGGCGGCGGACGGAGGAGAGCTGTCATCGGCATGAGAGAGAGGCCGGCGGCAGCGGTGGTGCGTCTTTTTTTAATTTATTTGCTGAAATGTTCTTTATAGGCGGATGAATCTACCGCATGCGAAGATACCGCCTACCTGCGAAAATCATATATTTTTCACAGATGTTTACTTGCAGGCAGAATGCCCGTCCGCCTGAAAAGACGGATTTAGCCCGTCTGTAAATATCTTTTTTCTAGTAGTTACTAAATATACAACAGCTGTACCTAAATACATTACACTCTGTTTAGATGAGACTAAAACTTTCAAGTCCCTGACACATTGGATGTTTGGACACTAATTATAAATATTAAACGTAGACTATTAATAAAACCCATCCATAATCTTGGTCTAATTCGCGAGACGAATCTATTGAGCCTAATTAATCCATAATTAGCCTATGTGATGCTACAGTAAATATTCTCTAATTATGGATTAATTAGGCTTAAAAAATTTGTCTCGCAAATTAGCTTTGTAATTAGTTTTGTAAGTAGTCTATATTTAATACTCTAAATTAGTGTCTAAATATAAAGACTAAAGTTAAGTCCTTAGATCCAAACAACACCTTAATCCTATACTCGTTATATACTTAGGTTGAAAGTATTGCAATTTTCTTTAAATAGCTAGGTCCACGGTGTGGCCGACAGACCCACCGGCCGGGTGCGGCCTGAACATGCATGCACTGATCTATTGTGTGACTTTATATGGCAGATCCATCTCATAATGTAACGGCAGCAACAATGTATAACAAAAGTAATATATATATATATATATATTACTTTTGTTATACATTGTTGCTGCCGTTACATTATGAGATGGATCTGCCATATAAATATATGAATTTTAACTATTATAACATTCACAATGTATATAGCAAATAGTATTAGGAGGAGAGAGAAAGTATAGATAAATAACATATTTTATTCTATATGGAATATCCATATGCTTATGAATAGTTTTGTTATTTATTTGATATAGCTAGTTTTACAAAGTTACTAGGTGGCTAAATAAAATATTGTATTGCTTATGTACCAGTACTCCTCTGTGTCAGTGAATCAGTGTGGATGACCATTGCAGGGCCTCGATCGTGGCTCACTAGTCTCATTGCTGACTTAGCTCGGCTCGTTTAGATTATGGGTTGTTAGGTATAACGCTCGAGCTGCATCATATATAAGCATCATAAGCCAAACGAGCCAAGTAAGCTAAGGGCTAGCAAGGAAAAGAAAAATCCATCTCTAATTGTAGTGTTTGTGTTATCCAAATTAAATTTGAAAATACATTGTTTATTCAATTTTTTTAAGAATATTTGGGATGTAATTTTTTTGTGAAAATATATATACCATCGATCTTACACAACCGTTGCAAAAAATAACGCGTGATGTCGTGGGTGGTACCGCACGACCACGGTGCGAGACCGCGCGATTTCACGGAATGGAAAAGAGACCGAACGGTCTCGCTGAACCAATCAGCGACATCGTCTAACGACTCCATTTGATCAGTGATTAATTAACTATTAACTACTACTCCCTTCATTTACTTTTGATAGTCATATTTTATCTTGACACACAGACGAAGGATAAATAATTTTACTTATCATCCATTTAAATATGCTACTAGTCATTCATCGTAAATAAGCGATTCATTAATATTTACATTTCTCAATGCCTATGTAGCCAATCATGTGTGGAAGAAATAGAGAGTCATACATTAAATCCGAGAAAGTAATTAAGATGATAGGTTGTTGGATTGAAATATGCCTATCAAAAATAAATTTTTCAGATTTCAAAATATGACTATCAAAAATAAATGAAGGGAGTAATAATTAGTGATCAATTATTCTGATTATGATTAATTAATAATTTTCACAAATCAGAATATTAATCACTAATTGAATCCGTGTTAGTCCGGTATCGCTGTTTCAATCAATGAGACCATTCGGTCTCGCTCTTCCGTTCCAATTAACGCCAAAATTTGGCAAGCCCTAAGGAGAATTATCGCATCACCAATAGTCGGATTACTGCTATATTCGGTTAAGGAAATTAATCTATCAAAGGAAGCTTATCCAGAAGTGACCGAGTTCAAGCAGGACGCGGCATGGCAAGTTATCTATTAATTAGGAATAGTTTGTTAGTTTCATTTTATCTTTAAAAAAATGTGTCTAGGGTCCTATAAGGAATTTATGTTTTTCTTTTATCTTTAGAAAAGTTTCTTTCTTGTCCTACAATGACTAGTATCACCCATGAGTATAAATATGTATACCCGGGGTCATTGTAATGAATCTCTAGATCAATACAACTACTCTCGGTGCATCGCCACCCTCTTTACCGAGGTTTTTACTTATCATACAGTGGAACTTGGCACCTGACACAGGGCTGCATCTGTTTAGTTCGATTTTCGGCGAAGAGGTAAGTCCTACGTTTCGCCGGCCCTGGTGAATCTATCGGCTACGTTGGCGTTGTTCAAGGCTACATCTGTATATTCGACCTCTTGGATTGCTCTGGTTCGGTTGATATTTTTGCCTACCAATTTATCATGTCTCTGTTAATCTAGTCTTAGCATATCGATTTAGCTCTATCCGCTGCTTCTCGCTTTAGGGTTTCTGCCAGTATCGGCTAAATCGTCTTGCTAGATTAGATTATCTTGGACATCTACCACCCTAAAAATCAGTCAATGGCTTGATTGTATAGATATTATGTTTCTTTTCATACTTAGTGCTGCATCAGTTAAGTTTGATATACTAAGCCGTGCTTAGAGCCATGATCCCTAGCCTGCTTCTTGATTACCTAGTGCTGCATCAGTTAAGTTTGATCTACTAAGCCGTGCTTAGAGTCATGATCCCTAGCCTGCTTCTTTGATTGCAAATAAGGGTTTCATTGGGGTTTCAGCCGATAAGGTATCTGGATGTTGTATCAGCTTACAAGGATTACATATAGATTAGATTTAGCCGATGACAATAAAGATTTTATTATTTATCTAATATTGTGGATTTTATGACATCGGATCTTCATCTTCAGCCGATGAATACTTTAACCTTCAAATTAGTGCTTATTCTATTATATCATACTACTAGCGGATCGGTTTATACCGGATTATATTATTATTATACTATATTATCATCAGCTGATTGCCTTTATATCATTATTTACTCAAGTATCAGAATCTACATTGGACATATAGCCAATGGCTCAAAATCCTATCCCAATTGACTGGTATCGGCATTGGCTGGAATTACCCCATAGGGTTGTCAGCCGATCGGCTCATTGATCATCAATTTGTATATCTTGTCAATTGCAGGGTCAAACTAACTGGCACGCTCGTATCTCACCAAGATTTAGACCTACACTGGAGCTAAACAGATCTCCCAGGCCAATGTGTGTTTTTCGTGTCAACAGTTCCGCGAGACCGCGCACTTTTACCGCGCGATACTGTCCGTGACGTCACGTCCACATCATTTTCGTGCAACGGTTGTACGAGATCGACGGCATATTTTCGTAAAAAAATTTACATCCCGAATATTTAAAAAGAAATAAATGAACAGTATATTTTCAAATTTAATTACGTGTTATCCTCACTTAATACATGTGACTGTCTCGAGTCTTAATTTGACTCAACTCATTTCCTCCGTCTACTCGTCGGCCTGTTTAGTCTCCAACTTTTTTTTTCAAACTTTCAATTTTTTTATCACATCAAAATTTTCCTACACACACAAACTTCTAACTTTTCCGTCACATCATTTTAATTTCAATCAAACTTTCAATTTTATCGTGAACTAAACGCACCCATCATCTCATGCCATCACTGGAAACACCGGCCACAGAGGCCATATATAGCAGCAGCGGGATCGTGGGCTCACGGTGCCACCCTAGTGGCCATCGTCGGCCAACGAATGGAAGCATCTCCACACGCGGATAGACGGTTTATACATACTACATGCGGGTCAATTAAACGTCGTATGATTCCATAAGTGCTACAGTAACTTACATGTGCTAATAACAGATTAATTAGGCTTAATAAATTCGTCTCACGGTTTCAAACGAGAAAATTAGTTTTTTCATTCGTGTCCAAAAACACCTTTCAAAATCCGGTCAAACATTCGATGTGATAAAAAAAAAAATTTTCGCGAACTAACCACACCCCACGGCTGCCCCTCGTCGCGGCCGCGAAACCTCCACCACCGGCCTCGTCCATTCGTCTTCAGGCAAGCAAACTAACAGCAGCTGCCCTGCTCTCTTCCCTTCAAGCAGCAAACCACCAAGAAGCAGCCGTCGTCGCGCCTTGCCGGCCGGCCGCCGTCGCTCGCTGCAGCAAGGGAGGGAGGAGAGAGAGAGAGGATGGGATTTAGGAAGAGAGTTCTGGCTGTGTTTGCAACCTCCCTCTCGCTCGTTTTCCGCCACACGCTTTTCAAACTACTAAACAGTGTGTTTTTTGAAAAAAATTTCTATATAAAAGTTAGTTTAAAAAAAATCAAATTAATTCATTTTTTAAAAAAAAAAGCTAATACTTAATTAATCATGTGTGAAAAAGCTGCTCCATTTTGCGTGCAGGAGGGATGAGTTCCCATCTTGCACTTGCAAACACACCGATAGAGATTGAGAGGAAAGATAGGGAGAGTCTTACTGGTGGGGCTCACGCTATTTTTTTTAAAAAAATTGCTGACTGGACTGCCACGTAGGATTGAAACCACCCCGGATTGAGCCAGGGGGTTATTTGTCCGGCTTATATAGTTAAGGGTGCAAAATATCCGGTATTCGAGTTTAGAGGGGGTAATTCGATCGTCCATAATAGTTTAGGGGGTAATTCGTACTTTTTCCCCGTGAAAATCATTTTCGTAGTACTGGTGGTGACATTTTTATGTAATCTTTCTCGTAGTATTACTCTATCCGTTTAAAAAACCAATAAAAAATTAGATGAGATATAATCTAGCTAGTAAAACGAATCTGTACTATCTAAATTTTTTTTATCAATGTTACGTCTCATCCAATTTTAAGTTGATATTTATTATTGAACAGGTTGAATTTTTTTTTATTGGGCGAGTATTTCTTTTTTTTTTCTTTCGGCTGGTCAGTCCATCAAAGCTTTAAATTACGTTGTTTTGGTCTATTCTGATTCATTGTAATACGTTATATTTCATTCTATTTTAGATTTTTTTTAGTCAAGGGAATACTTTTTTTACTTTCGGCTGGTCAGTCCATCCGAACTCCAAAGTATGGTTGTGTTTAGATTCAAAATTTGGATCCAAAGTTCAGTCTTTTTCCATCACATCAACCTGTCATACACACACAACTTTTCAATCACATCATCCCCAATTTCAACCAAAATCCAAACTTTGCGCTGAACTAAACACAGCCTATACGTTGTTCTCGAGCGCACAAGTCCACAACGGCTAGGGATGTGAATGGGCCAACCCGTAAATCCCGTGGATTTCTCTACTAATTTAATCTATAAATAGATTTATAGGTTAATCCACTTACATATCTGTCTCTATGACGCAACAGACCGAGTCATGAAGTAAAAATTCGAGGATTATCTTTTATTTAAGGTATAAGTAGGCTGGTGGGTCCGTGGGTCGCCGTCGAATCCACGTGCGTTGTGTTATCGGAATTGGTCAGTTTTCGTACGGCTGTGTTTAGTTCAGCGCAAAGTTTGGATTTTGGTTAAAATTAGAGATGATGTGACTGAAAAGTTGTGTGTATAACAGGTTGATGTGATGGAAAAGGACTGAAGTTTGGATCCAAACTTTAGATCTAAACACAGTCGTAGTTCCACCCGTACTGAAATCATGCCAAATTCTACGCGCTCAGCACTACAGCCAATGCAGACAGTTTCCGTTTACTCCTTTTTTATTTTGCGGGGGAAGTCCCGTGTACTTAAACGCTTACAGAATTCGAAGGTTGAAACGGCTACCTTAGACATTGTTTAGTGATGTAAAAATTATAGGCGTGTCACATCGGATATATAGGCACATATTTAAAGTATTAAACATAGAATAATAACAAAACAAATTACAGATTCCGCATGTAAACTGCGAGATAAATTTATTAAACCTAATTAATTCATCATTAACAAATATTTACGGTAGCACCACGCCACCACATTGTCAAATCATGGAGCAATTAGACTTAAAAGATTCGTCTCGCAATTTACACGCAACGTGTGTAATTAGTTTTTTTGGTTATATTTAATATTCTATGCATATGTCCAAACATTCGATGTGACAGGGTAAAATTTTTTGCGTAGGGACTAAACAGGGCCTTAGTACCAGTACTATTCATACACAAATTAATGGAGTTGATTACTTGAGCTAAAGGTAACTTAAAATTCAAGCCTTTATATCAAACGGTTTAGTATTTGATATTCGTGGAAATATATATACACTATATTTTCTCTCTCAAATTCACATCAGCAAAATAGGTGTTAAGTGCTTAAGTGCTATGAAACGTCTGATCAATTCTTAAGCTTGAGTGCTCGACAGGTTTACGACTTTAAAACAGACCTACCAAAATATTATTTTTACTAAAATATTGGTAGTGCTAAAATTATAGTGTTTTCTCTACCTCTCACGAACTAAAATTTAAAAATTCAACACCTTTAATAGACTATAGGTGCAGGTTCAATAGTAAAACCGACAACTATAATATAATATAATAGTAACGATTTTTGAATACTGTGTGCTAGCTGTTCCGAGCTTCAAACATGATTATAATAGGTGCATGTGGGTAGCAAAGATTTTTTTTTCTTTTTGTGAGATGCAGAAAGTTGTCGATCTGATATTGTTCGAGACCATCTGGCTATCAAAGCATCATTCATAGCGTTAAAGTGGACCTAACCCACTACTATAAGAATCGAACTAACGTGTCAAACAAGAAAAAAAAATCCAACCAAAAGCCTGAAGCTATCCGAATGCAATTCCCACTTAGACTGTGTTTAGATTCAGGGATAAAAATTTTTGCTATATAAACATAGTATAATAATAAAAACAAATTACAGAATCCGCCTGTATAGTGCAAGACAAATTTATTAAACCTAATTAATCTATCATTAGCAAATGTTTAGTGTAGCACCATATTGTCAAATTATGGAGCAATTAAATTTAAAAGATTCGTCTCGCAATTTACACGCAATCTATGTAATTATTATTATTTTGTCTATATTTAATATTTTATGTATGTGTCCAAATATTCAATGTGATATGAAGAAGAAACTTGCTAGGATCTAAATAGGTCCTTAATTTAAGTTAGACGGGTCCCACATCAAATCAAATCAAACACTGTAAGTGCTGGACCAAAACCAAAATTAACTCTCTTGGGTCCCACCACACATAGCACTCCTTTTTAGCAATTTTTTATATATATAAATAACGTTGTTGATCTTTTACGTTTCGTTTCACCCTTCGTCCTATATAAAAATACTATAAATTATTATTTATTTTGTTGTGATATATTTTATTAATTAATAAATTTTAAGTACGACTTATATTTTATCACAGTTGCACCAGTTTTTTAAATTAGATGAATTGTCAAAGCATTATTTCAAAAGTAAAGAGCATCATTTATTGAAAGACGTGGAAGAACTTAACCCCAAGTTGCACGCGTGGATTAGTTCAGAATCTCTTCAATTCGTCTTTCCCTTTCACACATAATAATAATTGCTTCCTAAACTTGACATGAATAGTTTTTTACTTTTATATTTTTCATATACTATAATATTATATAGAAACACAATATAATCATAGAAAAGCACATTCAAATGTGACAATGTGAGACAGGGGAGCATACCTTCAGGATGCAAGGCTGCGGATGTGAAGTGAAGACTGAAGAAGCATCCGTGCTGCAGTAAATGGCGCCTATGTGGGCGGATTACGTGAGCAATCCGAGCTTTAATTTTCTCCGGGGAAGATAACCTTGGAAGGACTAACCACTCCTTTTGGACAGATTATATCGGCAAAGAAAGAAAATTTCTTGTAACCTGAAAATTTCGGATGCAATTGTGGTTCTAGGCATGTCGAAGAGCAGCAGCAGGCCTGGCCAGTTGCTTTATCGTCTTCCAGGCTAGTAATCATTATTCTCAGTCAGTGCAGCAGCATCTGCGGCTGTTAGAAGCCCAGATCAGGAGGACACATATACTGTAAGTATTTAGTTTGTTGGTTCAATTGATTCACAGTCGCGTTCAGAGAAGCCGACCCGAGGAGGGATTCACTTCCCATGAGCAGAAACAAGAAGAGGAGAAGAGAGGAGGCGGGGAGCTATGCCGGATCGGATCGCCGAAGGAGATGAGATTGAACAGAAGATCGCTCGATCGCTCGACGATCGCCACAGCAGAAGGAAGATGCTCTACAGCCGGAACCCACGATCGACTGACACCTCGCCGCCGGCGCCGGCGTCGGGTGTGCTTCGAGGAAACTCTCGAAACCTCTTTTTGACGTAATCGAGGAAACTCCCTTGATTTAGATGCGTCGTACGCGGCGTTTACTCCCATCTTTTATAGGAGTAGCCCCAAATTTGTTGTACTACTTGGAAAGTTGGAAACCCGTCAACGCGCAGGCAGGAGAGGAAGCTTCGCGGAAGGTGCGGGGACACGCGGGACAGCTGGAGTGATAGGAAATCACTCGGCCGCGCCGGTCGCAGGGCACAGCCACAGGCGGCCGTCGATGCCCTCCCCACCGCATGAGCCACGCGAGTACGTGACGTAGCAGGCAGCCGTTTTCTGCCAAAACAAACCATCAACAGTGTCAAGAGGGGGATGGGAAATCGAGAGTGATGAATAAAGGTGGTATTCTTCTCTCCGGAAGATAATTTTATGCAAAACGAGATGACGTTAACATATGATTAATTAAGATTTAATTATTACACACTTAAAAAATATATTAATATGATATTTTAAAACAACTTTCATATAGAAATTTTTTTTTTTCACGAAACGCACCGTTTAGCAGTTTTAAAAGCGTATCATGAAAATCTTTATCTTCATTCAACCCTTGTTGGAGAAATGAACGGGACCAAAGTCAAGCCGTCCCCCGTTTGCCCATCCAAATTCCAACAAACCAAATAAAATAGATTAAATTTCAGAAAACTGCAACTTTAGTGATAAAACTATCAGTTTGCTGCAACATTGGCGATATGTTTCAGTTTGCTGCAACAATAGCGTGGGAAATTATCACAAAACTGTAGCAAACTAAAACATGCCGCTAATGTTGCAACAAATTGATATTTTTGTCACCAAAGTTGCAGTTTCCTGAAATTTACTCAATAAAATAAAATCTAAGGAATAGGTATATTGTGTCTTCCTCATTTATTTCTCCTGATTCAATCGCCTCGCTGTCGATTTTTAGGATCGTCAATATAAGTTATAAGATGCGTAAGATTAAAGCGAGATGGTGTTGGTTCAGGCCCTCGAGAGAGGTAATACCCTAGTTTAGTTGTTTGTTTATTGGATCTATGTTGGGTGCACGACCAACAATGAAGTAGCTGATCGCACGTATGAATGAAAGAGTGTCCAACCCTCTAGGGTTTATGCCGGCGCCCTTTATATACTGCTAGGGTAGCCAACGGCATGCATGGTACGATATCCCTTATAATCTGGGTACCTACCATCTATTTGTATAGGATATGATAGACTTTCTTATCTCTAATCCCGTTCTATACATTGAAGATAACCGCACGGGCGTGGGCCACTCGGCCCACTCTATGTGACACAGCCCAAAGGCCTCCTGTAGGGCACCTGGATACCGTGCATCCAACACTCTCTCAATCCTAAAACCGGATATAACGTCTCCCCTATCTTCAAAAACTGCTGCAGATCGACTACTTTAGAGGTTTGGGAAACGGTTTCTACTGATGTGACAGGTTGATTGTGGTTGTCTTGCTAAGTTAGCATGAAAGATCTACATGTCAACAAGTCCTCACCCTCTCTAACCCTCTCTCTCTCCCCCTCTCCCATTCCCTCTTCCTCCTTTCCTACCTTTCAGCAGCATTAGAGGCCAGGAGGGCGGTGGCGAGCCGGAGACAAGAAAGCTGGTCCACCAGGGCAGCCGGGGAAGCCCGACGGGAGGAGGTAGTCGTCGCGCTCGCAAAGTCAATCAGGGACGACAAGTGGAGGTGGCGGCGGCTAGCTGACGCACAAAACAACCAATGACGCCGCTTGTGGCCTTCACAAACAGAAACAACACGTCTTTGGCAGACCAAGACCGTGTTTAGTTCCAAAGTTTTTCTTCAAATTTCCAACTTTTTCATCACATTAAAACTTTCCTACACACACAAACTTTCAACTTTTCCATCAAATCGTTCCAATTTCAACCAAACTTCCAATTTTTGTGTGAACTAAACACAGCCCAAGCCTGTCGTCATGAAGGTGATTGCGCATCCACCGTCCACGTTGTCAGGGCACCTTCCACTGAAGCCGATGACGTCTTGCATCTAGATATGGTGCCTGTTGGTATTTCTTAGGATCACAGATAAATCCGTAAGCGCACAGATACTGCTGTAGCATTTCACCTATGAGTATTTTCAAAGGTATCGTATTATATTCCATCGGGAAGGCGATAGTATGAAGATATGCTTATATCTCTTTAATCAATCTATAATTAATTTACCATAGTCTAGATAGGGGTTAGGATAATGATTGAAAAGGTAGTGGACTCTAAAAGAATGTCCAGTAGGAAATGGCACAAGGAAACTAAGATACAATTGTACTTCTATACTAATCATACCTAATATACACTTAACATATATATGCTTACAACATAGAATTTAGTTTCAAGCACCCAGGTACTATCGAGAGACCACTCCCTGCTGATCTATTAGTGTGGTTATGGTATTTACGCACTTTTACGTCATATCCGAACGTGGAGGAATACGGAGGACGGACATGGCTGTCATCACCTACTGCCTACCTCACTTTTGTGGGACCGCATCCAACGATATTTATCTAGCCTAAACACCACGTTTAAGCTAGTAAACAATATCACTAACTCCCCTAGGACTCTCACCCATCGAATGAAGAGCAACCTATAAAGGTCATTGGATCGTTACCGTAGCATGGATCAACTAGCCTAGGATAAAGCAGATAAATGAAGTATCTACTACTCGTAGAGAATATACTCAATAAAGAATTATATAAACTATAAGCATAAATAAAGAAAGAAGATGATTCTATTAATTCAACTATAGTCTTACACAAAGAAAAGAGTACTAGAGACATATTGTTAACAACGAAATTTGGCATCAGATTCGAAGAAGATGGAAGATCGAAGCGGATTTGGTGTTGAATCTAACTGAACTTGGAGTCAGACTGCGCATCGGTTAGATACTGTATCGGCTGAAAACAGAGTATGAAGTTGATCAAGGTTGATGAAGCCGATGGCCGATACAGCCGATATGACATGACTTGGGCTCGGTATGGGTCTAGATTGGGATAACCGTCATTGCCAAATAGAGAAGGAGCTCGATTAAGACAATGTATCTTCTCCCTCCATCCCAAATTATAGGGCACCCACTTTTTAAGAAAAATCAAACTCGATAACTTTTGACTAATAATCATACTAACTATATATCTGCTAAGTATTATGAATGTTGTATCACTAGATTCGTATTTTAAAGTACTTTTATGTGATGCTAATTTCATATTTGTATGAAACATAATATGGAATAAATTAATGGTCAAAGTATGACATTGAAGACCGTGTAGAAAAAATATAGGCTTTATAATTTGGGATGGAGGGAGTATTAATTAGGATATTGAGTCGGTTTATTAGAGATTTGTTAAGAGACCGTCGTGTATGGTCTTGTTTGTATCTTAACTTTAGAAAGGTTTAAGTCATGTCCATAATGGACTAAGTTTGTACTCGAGGTATAAATATGAACCCCATAGAGTTGTAATACGAGAGCCAATCCAACACAACTTCGACGCATCATCACCCTTTTACTTTTCGCGATTTCCGGCGAGTTCTTCGCAAGAGGTAACCCGTCTCGATGGCCCTCACTATCGAGGCTAACATGTCGCTTTAGGCGCGTTAGGCTCGATATCGCGAGTCATTGCTATCATATGTATTAGTTAATCTATTCTTAGCTTCTCAATTCAACACTATCGCCTGCTACTCGCTTTAGGGTTTATGTGTTTGGGTTAAATTGTCTTGCTAGATTAGATTAGCTAAGGCATCTACCATCTTGAAAAGTGTCTAATTGCTTGATTGTCTAAACTGCATGTTTCTTTACATACTTTGAGATGCGTCATCCCTAGTCCTGCTTAGAACCATGCAAACTAGCATGTAATTAGGCATAATAAGGATAGCATCGGGATTTCAACTGATCTTATCTAATATACATGTTTTACTCCATGTTTCATGTATATTCGCCACTTATATAGATAGATCGTTTATATAAGCATATCAAGCTTTAGTTAGTATCAGCTAAACTCTTGTACCTTCATGCCTGATTTTCTGTTTGATATGTTTATATGGATCAATCTGCTTATACAGGTTTGTACTAGAGTATTAGCTAGTATGTTATCTTTCTTGCTCTAAATAATATTGTCTTAAACCAATCTATTAAACTCCATAGACAGTATTACGGCCGATTGGGTGTGTTTAGGGTTTATTATTCTTTGATATATCCAGTCCATAGACGATTTGGTCTAACTCCATCGGCTAAGACCATCAACGATACGCTATCGGCCTATTGGTCGACTAATTCTGCTTTTATTCTTTCTTGCCGATTGCAGGATCAAATCAGCTAGCACGCCCTTGACATACTCGAGGCTAGCCTTGGACCTGCACTGGAGTTAAGCAGATCTCCCAGGCCGCCGTGTTTTCACATCGATACATACGCAGAGCTCCGAGGAGACTATAGGACTAAAGCTCCTAAGTTTTATTCCTACTAGAAATTATAGAGAATACAAAGTGGAAGATAGAATTGCTCCTCTATTTATAGTCTTAGTAATGACGGTTGTATGGCGGTTAGGAGCCACTAACGTGCATAACCGTCATTGGGAAGCGCTGAGGAGTCGCCACGTGGAAGGGGAGAGCCGAGCGTGCCAACTTGGGTTCGGCCGAACCCATCCAACCGCCATTATCCGCTGATTTTGGCAAGTGGATGACAGGTGGGCCCCTATGACGGTTCCCTGGTGTTTGGTCCTATTTGAGTCGGTTTCAGCTGACTTGTGGGCCCCTCAATCCGTGTGCTCGCACGTGATTCGTCGGATGTGTGATTCTTTGCATACCGGCTTTATTTCTCCTTCACTTAGTATATAATTCGTGCATCCACATTAGTTTCCCTTTCCTAATACAACTATATTATTTATTATTGGTATGCGTGTAAGAAATGCAAATTTTTCCTTTATTAATTCTGTTAGTTGGCGGTCAAAATTGGTACTTAACGACCATCAACATGCTCACCCGCGATGTGGAGAGGAGGCACGCCATCGTCAAAGAGAGTTGAGGAAGAAGATAAGTGAGGACTCGCTGGGTCCTACATGAAACATGACTCAACCACAGTCAACCTGCCATGTCAGCAGAAAACTACTTTTGAAGGCACCGAAGAAGACGATTTGCACTGGTTTTTAAAGATGGGTAGACGTTATACCCCGTTTTGGAGTTGAGAGATACTATTCAATCAAAAGCAAGAGTTAATGGAGGCTAAATAGGCTTTCCTTGCATAGTTGGATGCCTATTAGATGTAGGCATGTTCATACATGGGTTCATTTACGTCTTTCATCTTGAAGTTGAAGGATACTAGGATCTGGGGCGCGCGCCCTTGGCGGCTTGGCGCACCACCTGCATACAGCTGGTGTAAAAGGTGACTGATGTTTGCAGTAGGTGATGAAAGCATATGCTATGTTTGGATACCTTAACCCATAGTGTTCACTGTTGTCATTGGATCATCCTGTTGAATCTGTGTTGCGTTCAGATTGCTTTGTTTTTTCCTGCTAATGGCAAGGTTAATCAATATTTTTTTGCAAATATTCTCAGAAACTCTCAAGGGTGGTATGCAAGAGATGTATAGGGCAAGAAAGCAACAGTAATACTTCCTATGTTTATAAAAAGCACGGTTGATTGGGCATAGGCTCAATGAAAATTGCGGATAAGTACGATAAGGATGTTGTTAGGCAGTGGTCTATAGTAATAGCTAGACATAGCCACCTGCATTTTTTTTCTAGTTCATTATATGCGAACTTTGTACACGTAGCATTTGAAGTACAGAAGAATCTTTTGAGGAAAATCCATTTTGGTGATCTTTCAAAAATCATACAAGGCACTCTTGTAGGCATACATAAATTTCTCTCACCATATAGTAGTCTCAAACTATGAAGCATAAATATGGCTTTGTCATCTTGAATACGATCAACCATTCATTGTGGACAAGAAATGGTTGACATCGACGAATAAATATTACCCAAATCAATAAGTTCTACAAACATCTTCCTGTGAAAGAAAGCATGATAGGATTATGTAAATAAGCCAAATATATTTCAGAGTGTGATGAAGAGGATATACCTGATAAATATATATTTTAGAGAGTGCGATGGAGAAAGATATAGTTGACGGTGTATCCTCTGTTAGATTAAGATAACTCTTGACATAATATGGCACTACTCCATGTTCACCATTTCTGTACAACACCAAATTAGTGTACTATCTAAAGACCGTGTCAAAACATTGACAATACTAAACTCCAAGAGCCTATCAAAACATCAGGATGGGCATACTGGAATTGAATTGAACCCTAGCATAAAGGCAGTGATAACTTTAGATGCAACCAAAAAAAAGAGGGGGGGGGGGGGTAGGGAAACTATGTATTTTTTATTATAAAATTCTTATGTAGAGCTGCAAAAGCATACAACATATAAAAGAGTAGTGTGAAAGTGCACTTTAAAATGGTCTGCTTAATATGTTTATAAGGCAACAAATGAAATGACCTTGTTCATCACATGATATTTCAAATCTACACAAGAACATTAACATAAGATATGCTTGCTTAGCTTTTTCTTGTGGTTGATAACTCTATTTGAATAAATATTATTAAAAAAATATGCATATCCATTCAATTGTATAACAAACATGTGAGGGTGAAATAGTGAGATAGGTAAACATCTCACTTCAGAGGGTCTGCAAGCAGCTGTTGCTTATTAGTCACAAAACTACAATCCTGATTTGTCATAATAATTGAGAGTGTGTGAGAATGAAAAACAGAACAAGAAAACTGAATTGAGCAGCACCCTTGTTACCTGCTAGTAAAAATGTGCTCCCTAACTCCAGATATAGAGGGGCTTCTTTCATATAATTATCCTACAAAATTAAAGGGCACACAAGTATATATGAGTTCAAGTGGATGCAGAAGTGCTTATCACAGCCTCTTTGGAGAAAATGGCAGTGTAAAGTATGATTCTACATATTGTTTCATGTATTGTGTAAACAAACACGTTTACATGCTTGTTCTGTGACAAGGAAAAAATTGTTTGTCAAATCATTCATAAGAATGGAATTTAAGAGTAAATAAATAAATATGGCAAGTTATTGACTCGGTGAAATCAATTTCTATTAGAACAGAAACAATAATAACTAATTTCGCATTTGAAATCAGCTACCACCAATTTCCTGGAAGATGGATAAGAGCATCCCTTCCCTGGGAGGTATACCCAACAGCAAGCAGCATGAGTAGACTCTGAACTCTGATCTAATTTGCTCTTAAAATAAAACCCCAATATTCATACAAATTTTGAGAGGCTAGTACATGAATTTTAAGTGAATAGCTTGGTTCCTACTCAAGAAAATCAGCAACTTTAGCAATTCATGATAAAGTTCAATAGGAGATTTGAGGGATTCAGGGTTTCACTTAAAATTTCCCAGTGAAGTGCATGTCGACCTTCAAGTTTAGTAATTATAAAGCAAGTAAACTGAAATGATACCAACTTAGAGCAGGGGATACAAAGAATGAAATTGCTATGCCAAGGTCTTAAAGTGCCAAATTTTGACACCAACATAAAATTCACACAAATTAAATTAATTGTTTAGTAGAGCTGTTCAAAAGTGATATTAATCTATCAGTAGAGAAAAATTTGAATATAAACCATAGAGAGCAAAGAAAAATCAAGCATTTTAGTTTTTTACTTCATAGAATCTTCTGGCACACAAGTCAATGGCATGCCATCTGATATACTATCACATCTCTTGGACCTTGAGCATTTTCAATGTGCAGATGGACTGAGGGTCTGTTTGGTTGCCTGCATCAGGCTTGGCCCGCACCTATGCATACAAATTTACCTTGTTGGTTGCTTGCATGGACCTCCCAGCCAGGCCCAGCGCGTGCAAAAAGCGGTCGCCAGCCAGGCTCCGGAGGAACGCCCGATTCGGGCAAACTTCGCTACTCAGCCAGGCTGAGCGCGTGCTCCGTGTTGCACCCGCGCGTGCAAACTGCTGCATCCGATAGCTGGGGTCACCGCTCCACACCCAGGTCGTCGCCCATTTGCATCCCTCGTCTTGCTCGCTCTCCTTCTTCCTCGAGTCCAAGCGATTCTGGCAGTTCTAACCCCGATGATCTCACAGCCACACGAAGTGAGGGCATCCAGCAGCTTTGCCGCCGGTAGATCTGACCACCTCAAACCGAACGACGAGAAGGGATGTGGGGAAAAGGCTCGGTGGTGAGAGATCAGCTCGAAAGGGAGGATGAACTGACCAGATCTAGACCACCAAAACTTCTTTCTCGCGAGCCGCCAAACAACTAGATCCGGCCACAGTTGGTGTTGAGCGGCAGGGGCTAGGGGAAGCGCTGGTCAACGGAGGAGGGCCAGCAACCTCCATGGCGGACGACGGACGGCGCACGGCGGAGAGACGAACAGAAGCGAAGCGAAGGAGCAGGAGTCTTTTACCCATATGCCATTAAGAAAGTTGGAGGTTACGCGTGTGCCACAAAAAAAAGTTTTGAGTCACCTGTATGCCATGACACAAAATTTCATTTATCCGTGTGCCATTCCATCCACCTTCTGTTACAGAATGAGCTATGACATGTGGGACCCACGTATGAAAATGACTAAATTGCCCCTGAAGCATTTTCATCTCTACTCCTCCCCTCCCGTGCGCCTCCACTCGAACCCTAGCCTAGCCGCCGCCGCCGCCGGTCGTCGTCGTCGCCGGCGCGCCGCCGCTGCCGCCGCCGCCTCGCCTCGCCTCGCCGGCATGCCGCCGCCGCCACCGCCGCCTCACCTCGTCTCGCGTCGCCTCGCCAGATCTAGCGGCGCGCCCAGGCCGGCGTGCCCAGGCCGGCGCGGCAAGCCGCCTCGCCTCGCCCCCGGTGCGGCACGCCGCTGCCGGTCGTCGCCGTCGCCGGCACGCCGCCGCCGCCAGCGTGGCTGAAATAGAGCAAGGGCAAAATAGACCTTTCAAACCTCTGTTAGTCTCCGTTAGTGCTGATTCCATCCAAAGTGGCTCACAGGTAAACGAAAGTTTGTGTCATGGCATACAGATGACTCAAAACTTTTCTGTGGCACACACGTAACCTCCAACTTTCTTAATGGGTAAAAGACTCAAGGAGCAGGAGTTGGCGAAACGTATGGGATTCTTTTCTCCTTGTTTTCTTTTTATTTTTCCTCTTCTTCCGTGGTTTGTCTAGGTGTATTAAAGGCTGATTAAACAATGCTGGTACCGTGATTGATTCACTGTGTTTTTTCTTTTCTTTTTTCGACCTTTCTTCAGCCGGTAATTAGTCAGTAATATAGAAAGATTCACTGTATGCGACACTAGTTGAATCGATGAATTGTTTTACCAACTAGTTAAGTGTCCGTGCGTTGCAACGGGGATAAAAATATTTTAAAGCTAACAAAGTTCACCGGTTTGCTAAACTACATTTTAGTAAAAATACTTATGATTTCAAATTTGACCATTTGAGCGAACAAATACATTTGTCTCCTTCTATTCATAAATTCTGTTAGGTGAAAACAAGATCTTACATATTGATAGATGCAACGAAGTGATTATAACATGAAACTCAATTTATTGGCCACACGCCAAATATATTGTCGATTCTATGTATATTCATGTTGACTTCCTACAGGATATTTTGACATGTAATTCTTATTCAGAACTGCTCACTACACTGATTCATGTGAGAAGGTATTTTGACACTATTAGTATTATTGTTACTAAGGACAATTTATGAGAAAACAAAGCTCAAAGTTTATAAACTCATGCAGCAAATCGATACTAACCCGCTCAGGGCTTAAGCACTTTTATTGTTGCATCTTACATTCTTACTACGTATGCCCAATGGTATATAGTGGTTAATACAGCAAGAATAGGTTAATTGCAATTTGGAATTGTTCATTGAGATTGTTGAACATACAAATCAACAGTAATCCTGATGCTAATCTTCTTTCAAACTTCAGAAACTAACTACCAAGGCATGTTAAAGAAAAACTTAAGTCTAGGTTGACCCATTTCGACAACAAAACCAATTCCTTTATATTTCAAATAGGCAGTGCCAACACTTCACATATAGCTGAACAAGCAGATTTAGCAATGGGTTTTTATGTCCTTTCCTCCTATCCAACCCATTGGCATCAAGCCAGAATCTCTCCTGAGTAGTGTTGAGGAACTGTATATTTTCCATCAAGTTGGATTTGAAGTGTATCTCAGATGTCCATCCAAATCAAGACCCTTGCAACATCCTCTTTTGCCTTCAATTCAACAATAATTCTATGATGACACAGCAGCTTCCAAAGCAGCTCCTTTTTAGCTGCTCTCCCCCTCTCAAGATATGCCAGGGAACACTCGAGAGCTGAAACAACAAGTATTCTCTCAAACTAAAGAAGTTATGTAATTGCTGGCCAAGTTTTTTCACTGGCTAAATCTAAGTGTGCTTCAGCTAGTTATGCTAGCACATTGGTAAGTTACCCCTAAAACAACACATCTCATATTAGAAAATGGCCTATTTATTCTTGACAAGTATATTGGTCATTTGGCGTAGATAACATATAAATTTGAATTAGGAAGCAACCATGGCACAAAGTCCAGAGAGTTTATATAGCAGATATAGCACAATTATTGGATTTGAAATAGTAGCAAATAGAAAAGTTGTTTGGTAGGTGACAGTTTTTTAGAGTACAAGCAGCAATATATAACAAATAGACATGAACAGAGAGCGAATATAATATAATTTCGGCCTTTTTAGCATAGAAATATACATGACTAATTATTGTTTGATTGTACTAACCTAATTGTCCATGTCCAGGACAATAACTCCATATGTACCTAGAGTTAACAGACTGGTAATCAACACATTATGTTTCTATAACAGTGGATCACAGTTGATCTCTACATGAAAAATCATGCAAGTAAATAATGTTCTGAAAACATACCTTCAAATCCTTTATCAATATTCTCCAAAAAAAAAAAGGTCTAACTACAGTCACAAGCAGCAACGGTTCTTTGAATTTCAGTGAGGCAAGGAATCCAATATCCAATAAGTAAGATTGCCATTCCATTGTAGCATTATAAAGGAAACAGTACCCAATGAGAGTTTTTCAGATTCAGAGATATAATCAAGAAAACAGGTTGCTTTCTCAAAATTAAGACAATGTGTATTGTCCAATGAAATAAGCCTAGGCAATTTGCTTTCTCACCTTGGCAGATCGATATCCGCCTAAAACACATAAAAGATCTGTAATACGCAAGAAGTAATGATTGTTAAGAATAATTAGAAATCTCAAATCTCACCAAACTAATAATTAGGAAAGAATAATCATCCCTAACAATCCACATTGAGCTATGTTGCCAACATGGTTGAAGAGCACCGATTTTATTTTATTTTATTTTGGAATGAAGGTCAGACTTTGTTAAAAAAAAATGAAGGTCAGACGTCCCAGGTTTTGATTAAAAGCTTCCAAAATTTTAAGTTCTACAAAGAAGACGACATTTTGTTGATCACATTTGCAGGTATTTCTGGACATCATATGCTCTATTTTCTAATTTGTTAGGAAAAAAAGGTTTCATCTTTAGACCTCTGGCAGTATGATAACTTTGATATGGACTTGTATTTGCTTTGGCACTGAACTGAGTATTTCTTTGTTTCCCAAACAGATATATGTGTTACCTAAAAGAATTAATTGCTTAGTTCACTCCTTTAGCTCATGTTTGACTTGTTCATGCAGAAATAGCTCATAGTTTCCATACATGTCAGGACCATCTATTTCTGCCTGAACAAGTAAAACGTGAGCTAAATGACCGATTTAAACAATTAACATGTCCACTTCCATTGGTAAATAAGAAAGGAGATTGGGCTCACTTCATTCTAGGATCTCCTTTGCTGTAACGGAGAGTAGACGGGTGCCTTTGGATTCTCAAAGGATACTTTGTTTGAGACAACAATCAGTTTTGGATGCTAAAAGTGTGAAAAATTGTCAGGAAAAGCCACTTTCAAAAATTGTGAAAAATGTGAGATAATATACTGAAATCCTACAGCAGAAATACCTCCTAAAAAGAGTGCAAATATGAACTATTCTCTCTTGTTCAGTAATTGCAGCATCAAGGAGCCCTTGCCCCTTGCCACTTCTTTTATAGGCATCATTTGAAACTTGCAACCTGGAACTGCATATAACTTTCCAAAACTCAATACATGGTGCATCATCCATAGATTGACATGGAAATTAAAGGAGAGCACCAACCTTCACAGGTGTTGTACACAGACAGGGTGGGAGGTCTCCATAATATTCAGGCTGGCATATTTCAGAGCTAGAAATGTTCAGGTACTACCATCTACTTGTTCCATACGTAGTCCTAGCTAGTATGCAATTATAGGTGAGATGTATCATGTATGTAAATTAGCACAAGCTTGCAGCTGACCAAAATCCTAAAGCTAATCGTCATCGAGGGTTTCAGATGGAAGAACTCAACCACCACCCAATCAGTACTGGACCCTGAAACATAAATAGCCACAACAAAAAGGTAATTCATAAAATTTCACTGATCTTAATCTTACAGAAGGTGATCGAGACTACGATATATAATCATGCCTTGGAGATAGCTAATAATTAAGCAGCTTTCATGGTATGACGTATGTAAACAAATGAGCAAATTAACCTTCAAGCCAAGAAACATTAGTGAACACCAACGCTAGCTGAATCAACAACAGCAACCCTCTCGATGGCAATCCTCAACAGCACATGCTCACTGTCGTCGCAGCTGACGACGACGATGTATGCAAGAACCACCCACCGGACGGCCGCCATGATCAAGAACCTCATTAATTTGCTACAATTCACCCTGCAAAACCAAAAGCTACCAAAGAAGAAAAAGTTGTGGAGTTGCGGTGCGATTGCGAAAAGGTGGAGTTGACGGCGAGGACACCTGGGGCGGAGAGGACATCTGGGCGGCAGATCGTGGCACAGCAAACTGGAGGTGGCGGCGGTTCGGTTCCTACCTCTTTCGACTGGATTGGAGGAGAGACCTTCGTGGATCAGATAAATTAGGGCTGAGGGGGAGAGATAAAGGTGCTGACTGCTGAGGGGTAGGGAGGCGTGAAGCTCAGCGGACGGAATGGGGCGCGTGCGGCAGATGAAGCGTGGAGGATGGATGCGGCTGCGCGGTGCGAGCGGGCATTGGAGAGGCGAGCAATGGGGAGAAGAGGAAGGAGAGCGTGTAGGAGGCGGTGCGCGGGCGGAGAAGGGCGGCGTGCGATGGAGCTTGAGCGAGGGTAGCGAGGTGATGGATGCGCGATGCGTGCGGTGCGGGGATCCGGCGCGATGCGACTCCGGATCGGTGGTGGCGCGGTCGTGGGTGTTTCGGCGGCGCGCGCGGTGTTGTCGGAGGAGACCGGCGAGGCGGGGACCAAGCGACTCCGTATTGGTGGCGAACCGGAGATTGGAGGCGCGGCGGTGTTGCCGGCGGTGGAGGCGCGGCGAAGAGGAGGGAGGTGCGGCGAAGAGGAGGACTGCGCGGCGATGGGGGCGCCGGCTGTGGAGGCGCGGCGGAGGAAGAGGTGGGAGGCGTCGGCGGAAGGAAAGCAAGCGCGAGCGGTTCGGGGAAGGAAAGTGAATCGCGGGGGGAGAAAAGCCAGAAAAGCGGATCGCGAAGTTATATCTCAGGGCCGTCCGATCTCCCGATCCAACGGTTATAGAACACGTGTCTTTCAGAGTTGGAGTCACCGCCACCACTATAGAATTTTAAAGTAATAATAGGGATAGAAAGATTGATATAGAAAAAGAAAAGTTCAGTTGACTAAACTCTGAAGTAGTAGAATTATTCCATGTCTTCTAAGCGGTAATCTCACCATAAAGAAAAAGATATCATCATACCTATGATTCATACCACCAACCAAACAAAATCTCTTCCGAACCGTATCTCTCATGCAATCAACCAAACAGTATCTCATTCTAGCCAGGTTAGATTGATGCAGACAACAAAACAGCTGCACGTGTATCCTCTTAGCCAGGACCAACTCAGCCTGGATGAGAGAGATGGGCTAGGCTAGGTAGATACAAGCAACCAAACAGACCCTAAATGTGTTCAATGTCCAGAACTATTGCATGCGTTTAATAATTCTAACATTGGTAAATTAAAAATAAACCAAAATATTATTGGGAGGGTAAAAGAACTATTCATTATAATCACATACTCTTTCTGTAGATTAATTTCTCTTTTTCCATTTAGTAAACTCCTATTGAAATACTGAGTACACAATTCTCAAAATGAAATCTAGAAATTTAGTATACAATAAACTTATGTTTGAAAACCTTCACAAATTAGTAAATGCCCCAAAATTTTGCCATGAAAACAACTTACACTGGCCAATGGTTGTCTTTGATTTATTGGTTGACATTGATGTACCCCTTCAGGACCCCATTCTCCTCCATCGTCTATGACAACAGCTCCAGGTTACCAACTAATAATATAGGAAATATTATAGATCAGCCTAGTCTTTCAAGTTGACAATAGATAGAAAAGTATGTGTTTATGTGGCATCAAAATTGTCAGCGGTGAAAAGTAAACAATTACAGGATAAGGTAAAGATAATTACCTATCTTAGGGCCTCATCTTTTCGCTTATGCTTATACTTATCAGCCAAATTTTAAATTTTCAACTAAATTTTGTAGTTGATTTTTAGGTTTTTTTCATCAAAGTTTATTTTTCAGCCTTTGTTTTTAGATCGCTAAGAACACGTATATAAAAGTTTTATTCACAAATTACTTTTCGTTTGCAAATATGCCGTTTGGCTTATTCCATGAATAAACGAAACGATGGGATCCTTAGAACTGGAAATTGGTAGCTCCTACTGAGTTTAAAACTGACAGATATTATAGAAATCAGATAGGCTTTTTATCTGATGTTCTAGAGATCATTAGTTTCCTGGTTCTCCCAATGCCTTCCTACAGGAGGAAAAAAAAATTCATGCAACTCTAGATAGTAATAAAAACAAAATGAAGGTACATGATGATTATGCATACCAGATTCCTTGTTCTTCTGTAGATGTCCAGAGCTTTGATAACCACAAGTTTTGTCATGTGAAAGAACTAATACAACAGTTCAAAAATAGAACTTGATCAGGGTAAAATCCAATGGATCTATCTACGATTCAACAGAAGAAGAAACCGGTAAATGATAGAAATACCATTTCCACATGGGACCGGCCACCGACAGCTTTGGCAGCGGGAGCGTAGGCCGCTGCTTGATGAGGGCAAAGACGATGAAGTCCTCCCGGAGCAGAGCGTCACGCTCCACCGCCAAGCTTTGCTCCTGATCCATCACCAACTATCTCTCTCTGAATGTGGGCTTTGCTACAACTGCAAGGGAGGGACGTACGGGGAGTCACAAGAACAGGATTAGAACAACACGAACATAGAAAGATATGTAAAAAGTGAGAAAAAAAAAGAGGGGTGATTGAGATTTCAGACTAATTATGTGCCTCTTGGTTCATGCTGATGATAAAATCCTGAAGCCGTCGCCGGCAGAACGCTAGATTATTCACCCTCATCTCCTGCGCTCCCTCCCTAGCAAGATAACAACAATTAACACCTACAGTAGCACTTACTGAAAAGAGAACTACACAATGTCACAACAACATCTCCTCGCTCTCGTCTCATCCTCTCCCTCCTCCGTCGCTGCTGGTCCACCCTTCGCCCTTCGCCACCTCTGCCGCAGAGAGGTGCCCTATCTCCCCTTGTGAGAGAGAAAGATTGATATATGGAGGAAGAGAAATTTCAGTATTTACCATCAAATTCGATGATCTTTAAGAAATAGCCACCCAATACGCTAGCCTTTCAAAATCTACCACTAGGGACGCGGTATTCTTCATTCTGTGCCACTCCGTCCGCCCGTCCGCGTCGTCCGTCCACGCGACCGTCTCCGAACTAGGTGGCCGTCGTCGCCCAGGATCGGCCGTCGTCACCCCGCGTCCCGCCGTCACCGTCGTCCCCATCCCCAAGCTCGTTCGGCATCCGATCGCCGTTGTCGTCGCCCCCGAGCTCGCGTCCGGTCGTCGTCGCGTCGCCCCTTAGTTCATGTTCCGCCGCCGAACCACCATGCCCGCCAACTAGCCACGCGCATAAGCTGTCCCAGTCGGAGGTGCTCGTGTCACTGCCGTCCTCCCTGCCACCCTCCGCGGCCGACGGCGAGTCGGCAACAGAACCAAGCGCTGCTCCGTCCCCTGTCGAAGGTGCACCGTCCATGACCGCCCACGTCGGCGGGAGTGAGCTCGAGGATGAAGGTCAAGTCTGGGGACAACGGCCGACGAGTTCGGAGACGACGAAGGTGGTGACCAAGCTCGAAGACGGCTTCACGCTGACGGACGACGCAGACGGGCGGACGGAGTGGCGCATAATGAAGAATTTCGCATCCCCGGTGGTAGATTTTGAAAGGCTAACGTATTGGGTGGCTATTCCTTAAAGGTCATCATATTGGATGGTAAATACTGAAATTTCTCGTGGAGGAATAGGAGTGAAAGGAGAGGAAGGGCACCTCTCTATATTTGCCTGAACCGAGCATATGGCACAGCCAACCGCCACTCGCCATGGTCATTGAGGTAGGGAAGACGGTGGAGGCGATGTTAGGGAAGGAGCTAACGGCGGCCGCCGATCATGTTGCCGCTGAGTTCGTCGGCAGATCAGCGCCACTGTTGCCGTTGATGTCGCCGTCCGCTTCGAGCTGCCATGGAGCTCGTCGACCAGAGCTGTGACCGCCAAAATCCACGTCGCCATCGATCAGATCCGCACTCACCGGCTAGGGGTGTGGTGTGGGGAAGGAGGGGCGGTGGTCGCCGTCAGCGTCGGAAGCGGTGGGCTCGATGCCTCGATGCGGTCGACGATGCTGAGAAGGATTACAAATACACTTATTCTATAGAGAAGCACGATGAACCATCGCTATCGTACCTGCGGGCCAACCGTGGATGGACTATCGTACCTTTGGGCCGGTCCGGCACGATCCAAATCGTATTAGGCCATGTCTGGGCCGTATGTGCAGCCCGTGGGCTGGCACGGCACGGCCCGGTGTGTAAGTTTGGCCGTGCCGGCCTGACTAACCTCGGAGCAGACACGGCGGGGCCTGGGCCATGCTGTGCTGGTTGGTGGAGCACAGCAAGATTCTCCATCTGCGTGCGACCGTTACAAGGCAAATCCGCGCAAACCATGGATTTGCAGTCGCGTTCAGAGAAGGTGATAGATTCCCGGTGAGAAGAAGCACAAAGGAAACAGGAGAAAGGGTACGGGTGTACGACAGAGTGCCGCGGACCCCTGATCGATACTGATACCTCACTGGCGTCACCGCCGACGGTAAAGGGATGCTTCGAGGAAACTGCGCGCCTTGATTTTTGATGCCAGTCGTAAGCGTCGTTTAATTGCGCTTTATAGACTCCCTACTAGCGGCTCCATTATTTCGCTTATTTTTGTGTAATAAACCAAACAACATATTTACAAACGAAAAATAATTTATCAATAAAACTTTTATATGCGTGTCTTAGTAATTTAAAAACAAAGGGCTAGAAAATAAACTTTGATGGAAAAAAATCTTAAAATCAATTTTAAATTTAAGATGTACAATTTAAATTTTAGCCGATAAACGTAACGATAAGAAAAAAAGGCGAGCCCTAAATCCTAATCCTAAAACTTCTCCTTTCGTTCAGGTACATCGTCAACCCACGCGCAGCAGCGCAGGAAGCTTCACAGAAAGAAGCAATGGTCAAATGTTCGGTCAAATGGTACAGGCCGTGTTTAGATTCAAATTTTATTCTTAGAATTTTTAACTTTTCCATCACATCAAATGTTTAGATACATACATAGAGATTAAATGTAGACAAAAAAACCAATTACATAGTTTATATGTAAATCACGAAACGAATATTTTGAGCCTAATTACATCATGATTTGACAATATGATGTTACAGTAAACATTTGTTAATGATGCATTAATTAGGCTTAATAAATTTGTCTCGCAGTTTACAGACATAATCTATAATATATTTTGTTATTAGTCTACATTCAATACTTTAAATGTGTGTTCGTATATTTAAAAAAATTTGGCACACGAACTAAACACAGCCACAGTATGCCCGTCAACCTGTTCGGTCAAATGGCACAGTCTTCTGTGCAATTTACTTGTGGGCTTGCAGGCTTGCAGCCACAACTGGTAATGGCATTGTCTATGTGGGTCAAAAGTTCTGGCGCGTTGATGATATTGGTGGGCCTTAGCAAGCAAAGGCGATAGGAAAAAGTACACCGAAGGTCCCTCAACTAGTCATCGAGTTACACAATCGTCCCCCAACCGCAAAACCAGATATCTAGCGTCCCTCAACTATCAAAACCGGCCACAATAGGTCATTCGGTGGTTTTGACTTCGGTTTTATCTTACGTGGCGGCTGAGTCAGTGTGGGACCCACGTGGGCCCCACATGTCAGGCTGCCACATCAGCCTCCTCTCTTCCTCTCTTTTCCCCTCTTCTCTCCCTTCCTCATCTCTCTCTCTCTCTCCCTTCTCTGACTCAGCCAGCGGGAGGAGGAGGGCGTCAGCGGCCAGCGAGGGGCGACGCGGCGGCGGGGGGAGGAGCGGCTCGCGGGCTCCCCCGTCGGCCCCCGCCCACGAGGCTCATGTCGTAGAAGCCCTTCCCGTCGGCACCGCCCAGCGTGAACGCGGCGAGGGTGATGGGCGGCGCGCCGCCGAGGGAGCAACTCACGGCGCCGCCGAAGTCCCCGTGGCACAGGCGAGGGACGCGGTGCCGGAGGGTGCACAGTCCGTGCGCGCCCACAAGCGGCCGGACCAACCATCCGGGGCTGGGAACGAGACGTTGGCGCCGGGCGACAGCTCGAAGCCGCCCCCCCCCGACGACCACCGCGGTGTTTCCGGACAAGGTGGTCGGCCAGACGGTGTAGGTGCAGTTGTTGTGCAGCGTGAAGACCGTCGTGCCGGCTGCCTCAGCGCCGAACTGCAGCTGCGACCATGGGAACCCTGCATTGAGACACACCATTGTTGAAGATGTGCTAACAGCCTAAAGTTAACCGGCCTGAAAGTTTCTCGGACTTACCAACAAGGAGTAGAAGGGCTGGAGATCGTCCGAATTCCATTGATCAAAATGGTTTAGCTCGAATGAGAAAAAGGTGAATATATTTTTTTGGAATTGAGGAGAGAAATGGCAGTTGAACAATGCACGTACTCAAAGCGTGCGAGCTGCAGCTAAGATAATAGAAGAGGAAATGCACAAATGGTGTAGTAGCAGCAGCAGTAATTTGCCTGGTGATTATCTTGTTTATATGGACGTTGGTGATATCCTCAGTAATTTGCCGTGTCGTCGCCGCCTCCTCCTCTGCCGCGTGGGCCTCGCGGGCGGCGGCCGGCGGGGGAGCCCGCGCGCTGCTCCTCACCGCCCGCGCGCCGCCCCTCCCCGCCGCCCACCCGTAGCTTCTCCCCCACCGCCGCCGCGTCGCCCATCGCCGCCATCACCGCTGCCGCGTCGCCCCTCGCCGGCCGCCGACGCGTTGCCCCTCGCCGACGCCCTCCTCCTCCCGCCGGCTGAGTCAGAGAAGGGAGAGAGAGAGATAAAGAAGGGAGATAAGAGGGGAAAAGAGATTGGAGGAGGGTGATGTGGCAGCAGGACATGTGGGGCCCACGTGGGTCCCACGCTGACTCAGCCGCCACATAAGACAAAACCGAGATCAAAACCACCTAAAGATCTATTGTGACCGGTTTTGATAGTTGAGGAACGCTGGATACATAGTTTGACGGTTGGGGGATGATTTTGTAACTCGATGACAAGTTGAGGGACCTTCGGTGCACTTTTTCCAAGGCGATAATAACATGCAATGAATGGAATTGTTGTCATACTCCATCATAACAACTTTGCGCCCTCAATTTAGTGTAGTTAAATCCAAATTGTATACGGGAGCATGGTGTCTAATGGTGGGACAGAAAGACAGCAGCTGCACGGTGAATGCATTTACGTCTTAGATTTTTTTTCACTTCATCCAGAGTAAAATTTTGATTTTCAATACTCATGGTTAAATCTGGTAATAAAAGTTTTACTCAGGTTAAATCTCAAATGTCTATTCTTTTTAATTTTACGATAGCTTTTAGGCCTTTAAACCTGCGGCGTTAATTGCGATGTTAGTCATCAATTATAAGGGCAGGTACAACGCACTGTCCCTTGCCGTAGACATGCAGAAAAAAATTGCAAACACCCCCCCGCGACCATCGTTCGATGCAAAGCCGGCGTCTGGTTCAGCTACGGCTGTGGCTCGTGGTCCTAGGCGCGGGGACATGCGACGTGAGGTGAAGAAGTCTTTTTTCGTTGGAAAATTAATTACCCTGTAGACAGCAGCTGTCCACACTGTTGTACAAAATGTCTTTTCAGCTGTCTGTTTGTGCCAAAAAGACAGCAGCTGTCTGCATTGCTGTACTTGCCCTAAGTGTCCTTGAATAAGGGAGTACAAAACTTCGTGAAAGATGGAAAAAATTAACCACATGGACGTAAATTGTTGATAGGTCTTAATGCAAAGTTTGACGTGGACTCGATCAAGAAGTGAAAGCACAAGTGGTGAGACTGACACGTGGGCCCCATCATTTTTTAAATTTGTATTTGAAACTGACATGTGGCCCCACGGAGTTTATTATTTTTTCGAGTCGAATTGCCACGTTAGACAAAGACCGAGTCAAATTCGTCACGTATGCGCTACGTCAGCTAAAACCACCATCTAAACCGCCGAGGGACCTTATCTGCACCGGTTTTGATAGTTGGAGACCCGTTATATCTGGTTTTGAGGTTAAAGGACGAAAATCGGATTCGTTGATAAGTTAAGGGACCTCATATGAACTTATTCCTTTTATTCTCCACTCAATCACAGTTAGGCCCATCCCCCCATGGCCTTCGCTTTGCGTTGTTTTCTTAGTGCTAGCTCTGCACTGTACGCTGTCTGTCCTCTTGAGCAATATCTCATTTTCTTCTTTTTCTTGAAAGACCCAACTTTCTTGGCTTCTGTATTAAGGGCTGGTTGGGTTTGAGGCCTAAATCAAGCTTACCAATATTTGGCAATTTCAATAGTGTTTAGTGTCTACTTGGTTTGAAGCCAAATTTTGGTATGCCTAAGAAAATAGGCCATTTCAATAGTGAACTTAGGTTATTTTAGCTTCAATCCAAACACAACTTTGCCTTACCAAAATTAGTCATGACAAAACTTGCCAAAATTTGGCATTGGCAAAATTTGGTAAGGCCTATTTAGGCCACGAACCAAACCAAACCTAACTAGGGGGAGAATTATACGTACAAACTTCCTAAGAAGCATAGGAAACAGAGGTCCCCATCGTTTGGCTTATTTTCTAATAAGCCAAAACGGCTTATTAGAAAATAAAAATGAATTTATAGGTAAAACTTTTATAAATGTGTTCTTAGTGACTTAAAAACCAATGTTGAAAAAGAAACTACGTTGAAAATATCTCAAAATCAATCTCAAAATTAAGTTTAAAAATTCAAAATTTGGCTTTTTCTTTGGCTGATTAGGCCATCCGATGAGAGCCAGAAACAGAGGTAGGAGAATGCTCTCTGAAACCTCTCGCATCACAAACACTAGGCTAACCAGAGGTTAGACTCGCTAATCCTTTCAACCCGCCAACCCTTATTATATTGGGTTAATTGGAATCATGCCATTACATATTTACCTATTTTGAAAAATGTCATCACAATTCACCTAATAGGAAATATGCCATTACAATTCTCCCTCTATCTGAGACATGCCATTTTCTACGCCCTGGAGACCGTTGGGCCCACGTGCAGACCATTGTAATTTCGTATTGCCCAAACTGCTCCTGTCTCCAACTCGCTGACATGTGGGCCCTGTCTTCCATCTCTTCTCTCCCACATCCGAGTCTTCAAGATGGGTAGATGCTCGCCTCACAAGCCTTTAATCGCAGGCCAGTCGTATGTAAAAATATGTTTTGACCGTCCGAGGAAAAAAAACAAGTTCATAGCAGTGATGATGAAATGTGTTAAATGTTGCGATAAATCTTGAATAAAATTCGACAGAAATTGAGTGGTTTGATTACGAGAGCTCCAAAATTTGAACGAAAATGTGAACCAAAGTTATGCATTAATACCTATTCCCTGAGCTCGTGGTTGTTCTTCTTCCTAGCTGGAGTAGGCCTTGGGCCAGCACCCGCGGTTGTTGGAGTCAGTGTTGTAAAAAGATGAAAAACAGCTGTCAAGCGGATGCGGATATGGTACCACTAAACGATTTATCGGAATACAGATGATTAGTCCACATAATATGAAAATTTATTGTTCACAAAAAATTGTATATTTGCTTATTAGTTTAGTTTTACTGCTATTAAACAAACATTAATTACATTTTTTAGGTCTGAATTAGGTCTGAGTTGCATGCTGCTGCAGAGCAGGCGCCGGCGGAGCGAGTCAAGAGCTCAAACAAACGCAATGCCCCTTAATTAACTACTTCTCCGTTTCATATTATAAGAACTAGGTGAAACCCCGCGCATTGCTGCGGGAATTTAGTATGATAACAATAAAAAAAATAACATGTAAAATAGTTATATAACATCAGATTAAGTAAATTAATGTGGTTTATAATAATTTAAATTTAAATAGTATGTAGAATGGTGATTCAAACATAAAAAGTAAGGTGGTATGATTTTATGGAAGAAGAAAAGTAGAGAGATAATGTGGACCGTAGATTAATCATCTAAAGGCTAAAAACAATTGATGCGATATAACTTAATTAGAGGAAAAAAGGAGAAAGATAATTTGGACCATAGATTAATCATTTAATCACTAATTAAGTGAGGATGAACTATATAAATATATATATATAGGATATCATAAAACATAATAAAGATATACATTGAAACATTATGTGAATTATGTTGGATGATAATTTAACATGTTTGTATTTGAAAAGCTCTTAAATTATAAAAACTATAAAGATATGGCATGTTTGCATGATGTTTAAATGTCATGATTGTTAATGGATGATGATATGACATCTTGTTAATTAGTGGATGATGATCTGGTATTTTGTTAGTGGATGATGATGTGGCATCTTTGCATGTTAAGCTTAAGGAGTTAGTGGTGGATCACTTTATAGTAAGATACATGCTACCAGTTATTCCTCGTAAACAAGCGATTTATTGATATTTACGTTTCTCGATGCCCAAGTAGCCAATCTTGTGTGGAAGAATGAATAGTCACGCATTAAATCCGAGAAAGTCATTAAGATGATAGGTTGTTGGATTGAAATATGTCTATCAAAAATAAAATTTTTAGATTTGAAAATATGACTATCAAAAATACATTGAGGGAGTAAGTCATAATTAACAAGGTGCAGAATTTCTCGCCTTGTATAAATTATAATACTCCTACGCAGCCCCCTGGATTTTTACAATGTAGCAACAATAACAATCATGCCAATTAATTACATTGAGCCGGGTTGATTGAGGCCCTGTTTAGTTACAAACTTTTTCTTCGAAATTCTAACTTTTTCATCACATCAAAACTTTTCTACACACATAAACTTCCAACTTTTTTATCACATCGTTCCAATTTCAACCAAACTTTCAATTTTAGCGTGAACTGAACACAGCCTGATTCGAATTAAAAGTCGTCTCTCCAGCTGCTTCCCGGCCTGTCTGCTTGCAGTTGCAGCAACTTTTCGTCCATTCGGATATTTCTTAGTTAATGTCCTCCCTTATCTCAGTAGCCTGCATTAGTTTGAAAACTTCAGGAGATCAACGACTGAGTTTAAACTTATTTGCCCCGCACAACCACTTTTTCCATATCACATAGATGCAATTAACTAGCATATTTTTTTAAAAAATATTCCACCATCAAAATCCTTAATCTCATTAGATGCATGCATTTTATTCGTTAAGGGTGATCTAAACATAAAGATAATAGGGGCAATTACGTTTTGACCCTGTTTTAGAACCTAACTACCAATTTGACTCTACTTTTTCAAGTTTGCTTATTTGACCCTCATTTTCAAAACTGAAGATCAGATCTGACCATCTTCCGTTAAATCAACGTAACGGTGTTAACATAGACAAAAAATGATGTTTGTGGAGAAAATTGCATATCTACCATCGCATAAAATTGGCTTCGCTAGACTACCATCACTCAAATGGGCTTCGCTGGAATACCACTCCCAAACCATGGGTATTCGCTGCAATGCCATTTTCATGGTTTCTTGCATTTGAAAATTATTTTTCGGCGATTACACATTTTCGTAGACTGTTATGCCCCTAGTTCAACTTGTTTCGCTTCAGAAGAGGTGAAGCGGCGACGCCGGTGTCGCCGACCGGTGCCGAGCTAGCCGCCGCGCCGCCTCTCCTCGCCGACCCACGCGCCGAGCGAGTGGCCGACGAACACGAGCCTGCACCCCGCCAGCCCGACCTCTGCCACCATCCGCCGGATCGCGGTGCCCTCTCGGTCGAGCAGCCACACGGTGGCGCGGAGGAGCCCGCGGTGCTCGTGGCCGCCCGCGAGTGGCTCGGACCCGCCGGCGTCGAGGAGCACGCGGTAGTCCTCGAGCCGCGCGAGTCCTAGCCTGCACACGGCGAGCACGACGTCCCCACGCGCGCAGTTGTGGGAGAGGCGGTACGGCGGGCACAGCCATCCCGCATCGTATCGGCCCAGGGGCATCGTATCGGCCGCCATCCCGTATCGCCGTTGCTCGCGTCATCTCGGCCTCGAGCTCCGCCGGCCCACCCCGACTCACCGACCGACGACGACCTCACCTCGACGCCTCGCCTCCGCCGGCGATTGGCACGCCGGTGACGACCTCTCAAGCATGGAGAGGAGGAAAAAAAGGTTGAATTGAGAGAGGAGGAAAAAAAAAGCCCGAGGGCAATTTGGGCACAGTAAATCTAAAAAGAGAGCAAAATCTTTTTCATTTACTAAAAGTGATGAAAATGGCAAAGTATCAAACTACACTCAGTTGAAGATGGTATTCCAGCGAAGCCCATTTGAGTGATGGTATTCTAGCGAAGCCAGTTTTATACGATGGTAGATATGCAATTTTCTCATGTTTGTGGCCTTCTTATTCACACGTTTGTTACGTCTTCCTCCTTCGGAACAAGAAGACAGTGTCGTCGTCCTCTTCGAAGCGAGAAGGAACAACGCTGGCGCCGGCACCGCCGTCCTCTCCTTGCCTGACGCCGACCGCCGCCGCCGTCGAGCCATCGCCAGATCCGCCTCCTCGCCATCAAGCCGTCGCCGGATCTGTCACATCACCGCCACCGCAACTTCCTCCACACGCCGCCGCAGCTTTCTCCGCTGAGCTCCCGCACGTCGCCGCTCCCTCCCTCCACGAGGCGGCGCCGGCATGGATCCGCTCGCTCCGCGCCCCTTCGTCGTTGATCCCTCCCATCACGAGGCGGCGCCGCCGCGGATTTACTCCCTCCATGCCCCTCCGCCGCCGTCGCCGCTCTATCCCCCCACGAGGCTGCGCCGACGTGGATCCGCTCCCTCCGAGCCCCTCCGCCGCCGCCGCTACCATCCCCTACGAGCCGGCGCGGCCGCTTCCTCTCTCCACGAGCCGGCACGGACCCGCTCCTCCTGCGTCCCTCCGCCGCTGACGCCCACCGCGGCCCCCTCGCAGCCCCCTCTCAGCCCCCTCGCCGCCCCCTCGCAGCCCCCTCGCCGACGCCCGCCGCCGGCCCCCCGACGCCCCCTTCAGAGCTCCTCCAAGCGCACTCTCAGCGCCGCTGCCGCCCCCTCAGATGAGTGCCGCCGCCACCCCGTCAGATCGCCCCCACGACAGGAGCAGGCCGCTGCCGCCTCACGATTCGAACGAGAGAGAGAGAGAGAGTCACACGAGAGAGATGGATAGGGTTTCTGAGGGTATTTTGAGCATTAGAAATATTAGTAGCATTTTCTTTTTTTACTTTTATCCAACCCTAACGGAGTAGTGGAAAGGGGGTCGGACGGCAGCTTCATTTTTAAAAAGGAGTGTCAAATAAGCAAACTTCAAAAAGTAGGGTCAAATTGGCAGTTACAGTTCAAAACGAGATCAAATAAGCAATTGTCCTAAGATAATAATAATGGTTTGTTGATCTTTAGGTTAGTGGAGGTTGTGTCTTATATTTAAAAATGAAAGGAGTATTTACATAGATCATCTTGAGCAATCGAGATCTCTCCTCTATTCTCCCAAACGCACATGCACACACAAACACGAACAAAAGAACAATGGAGAGGCATATCTATAAGTGGAACGATATTTACCACACATAAAAGATAAAGAATTTTGTTTGCAATTTGATTAGTAAAAAAAATTTCATCAACTTTCTCGAATTTGTGTGTATGATATATATAGTAGAGAGACCTACTAAAAGTAATACCGAATTTTGGTGTAAGCACAATTCAACTCGTCCCACAAGTTTATTCAACCACAAAGGGCGGGGAACCCATGTTCACTATGTGATGGCAGAATCAGCCATTCTTTTAGAATACTCTCTTCGGTTTTAATTTAATATATGACAACGTTAAGTATTTGAGATATGTTTGACTATTCATCTATTTAAAAATATGTAACTATTATTTGTTTTGTTATTAATTACTTGATTTATTAAGGTTTTGTAGCACATTTGTATTTTTTATGTTTGAGAGAAAGTTAAGTAAGACGCATAGTCATACCTACACATGTCTAAAGTAAATATCGTCATAAATTAAAATCTAGAGGAGTGCAATAGATGACAGTATAGTCTGACTTTTGGTTGGAACAATTCGAACCCATTGAACAAGATCCAGACTTATAACTTGACGATTTCCATGCATGTTTTGAAATGGATTAATATCAAAATGTATCTAATTGACTATACAATTCAAATCGAATTATAGGAGTATGCTACTGGAGTACTAATTAAGATTGCTCATATAATATTTAATTATTTTCTGAGAACATGCAGGAGTGCTGCATTGAATTGAAGGAACTTGTATTACAGACTGCTTCCGTTTTTTTTCCTCAATGTCTACATCAAATGACATTCCATACATGTACTTTTATGAAGAGATACGTGATAAAATATCGGAAAAGGCTATACGTACTATTTTTTTCTTACTAAATTCTTAGTAACACTGATCACTGGTGGAGAAACCGTTTGTAGTCTCGGTTGGTAACCCCTTTAGTCCCGGTTTTTCAACCGGGACTACGAATCCGGGACTAAATATCACTATTTTTAGTCCCGGTTCAAATAACCGGGACTAAAGATCGATCTTTAGTTCCGGTTGGTGTTACCAATCGGGACTAAAGAGGGGAAGCGACAGTTCCTCGAGATTTATTATTATTATTATTTTGTTGTTGATTTGCTAATGGATAGTGTTAATCTATGTATTTTCTCCTGAATCGAATGAGATGCACATCCCCAAATCAACATCACAAATCAAATACATCACAAATCCTACACAGATCAACTACATCACAAATCCTAAAAACTACACACAAATTAAATACATAACAGATTATACATCTTAGATCCATACGATGCAATGAATCACAAAATTATACATACAGTGAAACACAAAATAAAAAAAAAAACTTGGAATCAGCGGGCTGTGCCGCGCACAGCCGCCTGCCCACCGCCCGCCGGCCGCCCGCACACGCGCGGCCGCGCCGCCGCCCGCCGGCCGCCTCCACGCACGCGGCCGCGCCGCGCCGCCGCCGCCCACCGCCGTCGGCCTCCTGCCTGCCGCCGCCTCCCCCTTCGCGGCCGCGCCGCCGCCGCCCGCCGCCGACCGGTGATGGAAGACGGAGTAGAGGGGAGGAGGAGGAAGGAGAGGGGAGGAGAAGAGGAAGGGGGGGAGGGGAGGAAGAGAGGGAAGGGGAGGAGGAAGAGGATTGGATCTGAGAAGAGCAAGAGAAGGGATGTTCCAATCTTATCTAAATATCTATCTGGGACTTAACCGATCGGATGTGGGAGAGAAATATTTACTCCCGGTTGATAACTTCAACCGGGACTAAAGATTGATCTTTAGTCCCGGTTGGTATTACCAACCAGGAGTAAAGATCGATCTACCAACCGGGACTAAAGTGGTAATTTTTAGTCCTGGTTGGTAGTATCAACCGGGACTAAAGATCCTCGACCCCCTGACATACATCTGACAGGCGATGAACCGGGACTACAAATCATCTTTAGTCCCGGTTGGTGTTACTAACCGGGACTAAAGATCAAAATTTTTTAAACCGGGACTAAAAATCGTTTTTAGTCCTGGTTTTTTATGAAACCGGGACTATTGTAAAATTTGGTCGACCGACTAAAAATGGTTTCTCCACCAGTGGATGTGTCATGCTAGGAGTGCATCTAGTTTCTTATAACTTTCATATACTTAAATCAAACGGTTGAGATGATTGTTAGTAAAAGTTTAGTAAGAAAAATTTAGTACGTGTAGCATTGCTCTAAAATATCTATGTTGTCTAATATTCTTAATCTGTTTTGTAATTACTTTGACCACGTACAATAAAAAGTCACGAGGACATAAAAAGTCAACTTGTCGTATAGTAGTGTTCCTGAAATAGCGTAGACTGGACTCTGTCCACTTGTTGACAGCTGCATGCCGCCGGCATATATTAATATATACATCCAGATAGAAACTAGCAACGGAACTTAAAATTCAACAAATCAAATTAACTAACCTGTGATAGTATACTACTGGAGCATTTGGATATCCAAAACAATTATTGAAGCTAATATTATCGGGGGAAATAGTCGTACGTAGTACGGTAGTTGCAAGCTAGTGTAGTCTATGTTGCAGGGCCATGCAAAGAGGACTTGATTTTTCCTCTCTGAAGACTCAAAGCCTGAATTAATCTCTGTACGTAGTTTGGACTTTGAACACGCCACTAATTTAATCAACCACTGCCTCCTATATACCTTCTGCTATAAATAACGTAAATCATCAGCTGATCACCAAGCAGTCAAGCACTTAGTAGTCAGGGGAAGCTCAAGCACTTAGAGTCTATTTGAGAGCTTAAGATTCGAATAAACAGCTAACTAGCAGTCAGCTTCTGAGGATCTGAAAAGCTGGGTTTTTCAGCTTCTGACTACTAGTTTATTTCTATAGATTCTACGACCACGGCTTCTCAGAATCTGAGTGAATGAAAAGTTGAACTGTTTAGAGAAGCTTCCGATTCAAAAGGAAGCTACAGTTGAAAAAGAAGTTTTTCAAACAAACCATTCATCTCCCTCTTTGCTTGCTAGCCATGGATGGGCTCTTGTACCAAGCGCTCCTCCTCTCCGCGCTCGCCGTCGCGGTGCTCCAGATCGTCAAGCTCGCCGTCGTCAACAGAGGGAAGAAGCAAGCGGCGGCGGCTGCACCGACGCCCCCGGGGCCATGGAGGCTGCCGGTGATCGGCAGCATGCACCACCTCGCCGGGAAGCTGGCGCACCGCGCGCTCAGGGACCTCGCCGCCGTGCACGGCCCGCTGATGATGCTCCAGCTCGGCGAGACGCCGCTGGTGGTGGTGTCGTCCAGGGAGGTGGCGCGGGAGGTGCTGAGGACGCACGACGCCAACTTCGCCACCCGCCCGAGGCTGCTCGCCGGCGAGGTCGTGCTCTACGCCGGCGCCGACATCCTCTTCTCGCCGTCCGGCGAGTACTGGCGCAAGCTCCGGCAGCTCTGCGCCGCCGAGGTGCTGGGGCCGAAGCGCGTCCTCTCCTTCCGGCACATCAGGGAACAGGAGGTGAACATTGATTATCAGTATGAATATAAATATTAATTGACACATATTCTGGTCACATATGTGCTTAAATGCATGCTTGATCACTAGTTTATGTTGGTATACGATCACAGAACCTATAACCCAAACATGCGATTGCAACTGATCTAGATATAATCAAAAGATTGTTTGCAGTTTGATTAGTAAAAAAATTTCATCAACTTCCTCCTATTTGTGTGTATGATATTATATAGTAGAGAGACCTACTAAAAATAATACTGAATTTTCATGTAAGCACAATACAACTCTAATACCGAATTTTGGTGTAAGCACAATACAACTCGTCCCACAAGTTTATTCAACCACAAAGGGCGGGGAACCCATGTTCATTATGTGATGGCTGAATGAGCCATTCTTTGAAATACTTTATGTGGTTTTTAATATATGACACGCCGTTAAGTTTTTAGATATGTTTGGCCATTCATCTTATTTAAAAATATGTATAATTATTATTTGTTTTGTTATTAATTACTTGATTTAGTATTAAATGCTTTTTTAGCACACTTGTATTTTTTAATGTTTGAGAGAAAGTTAAGACGCATAGTCATACCTACACATGTCTAAAGTAAATATCGTCATAAATTAAAATCTGGAGGAGTGCAATAGATGACAGTATAGTCTGACTTTTGGTTGGAACAATTCGAACCCATTGAACAAGATCCTGACTTATAACTTGACGATTTCCATGCATGTTTTGAAATGGATTAATATCAAAATGTATCTAATTGACTATACAATTCAGATCGAGTTATAGGAGTATGCTACTACTAAGATTGCTCATATAATATTTAATTATTTTCTGAGAACATGCAGGAGTGCTGCATTGGATTGAAGGAGCTTGTATTATAGACTGCATCTTTTTTTTTTCTCAATGTCTACATCAAATGGCATTCCATACATGTACTTTTATATATGAAGAGATACGTGATAAAATAATCTATGTTGTCTAATATTCTTAATCTTTTTTGTAACTACTTTGACCACGTACAATAAAAAGTCACGAGGACATAACAAGTCAACTTGTCGTATAGTAGTGTTCCTGAAATAGCGTAGACTGGACTGTGTCCAGTTGTTGACAAATGACAGCTGCATGCCGCCGGCATATATTGATATATACATCCAGATAGAAACTAGCAACGGAGCTTAAAATTCAACAAATCAAATTAACTAACCTGTGATAGTATACTACCGGAGCATTTGGATATCCAAAACAATTATTGAAGCTAATATTATCGGGGGAAATGGTCGTAGTACGTAATTGCAAGCTAGTGTAGTCTGTGTTGCAGGGCCATGCAAAGACTTGATTTTTCCTCTGAAGACTCAAAGCATGAATTAATCTCTGTACGTAGTTTGGACTTTGAACACGCCAACCACTGCCTTCCTATATACCTTCTGCTATAAATACCGTAAATCATCAGCTGATCACCAAGCAGTCAAGCACTTAGTAGTCAGGGGAAGCTCAAGCACTTAGGGTCTATTTGAGAGCTTGAAATTCGGAGAAACAGTTAATTGGCAGCCATCTTCTGAGGATCTGCAAAGTAGGGTTTTTCAGCTTCTGACTACTAGTTTATTTCTATAGATTCTACGACCATAGGCTTCTCAGAATTTGAGTGAATGAAAAGTTGAATTGTTTAGAGAAGCTTCCGATTAAAAAGAAGCTACAGCTGTAAGAAGTTTTCCAAACAAACCATTCATCTCTCTCTTTGCTTGCTAGCCATGGATGGGCTCTTGTACCAAGCGCTCCTCCTCTCCGCGCTCGCCGTCGCGGTGCTCCAGATCGTCAAGCTCGCCGTCGTCAACAGAGGGAAGAAGCAAGCGGCGGCGGCTGCACCGACGCCCCCGGGGCCATGGAGGCTGCCGGTGATCGGCAGCATGCACCACCTCGCCGGGAAGCTGGCGCACCGCGCGCTGAGGGACCTCGCCGCCGTGCACGGCCCGCTGATGATGCTCCAGCTCGGCGAGACGCCGCTGGTGGTGGTGTCGTCCAGGGAGGTGGCGCGGGAGGTGCTGAGGACGCACGACGCCAACTTCGCCACCCGCCCAAGGCTGCTCGCCGGCGAGGTCGTGCTCTACGGCGGCGCCGACATCCTCTTCTCGCCGTCCGGCGAGTACTGGCGCAAGCTCCGGCAGCTCTGCGCCGCCGAGGTGCTGGGGCCGAAGCGCGTCCTCTCCTTCCGGCACATCAGGGAACAGGAGGTGAACATTGATTATCAGTATGAATATAAATATTAATTGACACATATTCTGGTCACATATGTGCTTAAATGCATGCTTGATCACTAGTTTATGTTGGTATACGATCACAGAACCTATAACCCAAACATGCGATTGCAACTGATCTAGATATAATCAAAGGATTTTTCACAGTTAGTCATATTTAGTTTTAAGTCAACTTTTACTGTGGTCTTTATTGTCAGTAGAATTAATCTAGATATTTCATTTCTTATTTAATGGGCCACATCTATTTGTATTATCTTTTCAACTACTCGTATAGTAATAGAAAAAATAAACATAATCAATGGCTTAGATCATTTTTTTTGTTAGTAATAATACTGGTAGTATGGTTACTAGCAGTAGACACCTCCGTAAATTTAAGTAACTCTTAAAAATTTCAAGGTGATCTCAAATTTCTAATACATCTATGCTTCTTCTATCTAGATGGCGAGTCGGGTGGAAAGGATCCGTGCGGTCGGACCATCGGTGCCGGTGGATGTTAGTGCACTTTTCTATGACATGGCAATCAGTATCGTCTCATGTGCATCCTTTGGTAAGAAACAAAGGAATGCTGACGAGTACCTTTCAGCAATAAAGACTGGGATCAGTCTGGCAAGTGGGTTCAAGATCCCTGACCTCTTCCCGACATGGAGAACGGTGCTTGCTGCAGTGACGGGCATGCGGCGTGCCCTTGAAAATGTCCATAGGATAGTGGACTCCACCTTGGAAGAGGTCATAGAGGAGAGGAGAGGCGCTGCAAGAGAATGCAAGGGCAGATTGGACATGGAGGACAACGAGGAAAACTTGGTCGATGTGCTCATCAAATTGCATGAGCAAGGTGGCCACCTAAGTAGAAATAGCATCAAGTCGGTGATATTTGATATGTTCACAGCCGGAACAGGCACGTTAGCATCATCGCTAAATTGGGGTATGTCGGAACTAATGAGGAACCCAAGGGTGATGACCAAGCTGCAAGGTGAGATCCGAGAGGCGTTTCACGGCAAGGCTACCGTAGGGGAGGGTGACATCCAGGTGAGCAACCTCCCCTACCTTAGGCTTTTTATCAAGGAGACCCTTCGGTTGCACCCTCCAGTGCCTCTTCTTGTGCCCCGGGAGAGCATTGACATGTGCGAGGTCAATGGCTATACGATCCCTGCAAGGTCACGTATCGTTGTAAATGCATGGGCTATTGGGAGAGACCCAAAGTATTGGGATGATCCTGAGGAATTCAAGCCAGAACGATTTGAGGGCAACAAGGTGGACTTTGCAGGGACTAGCTACGAGTACCTACCTTTCGGAGCCGGACGAAGGATTTGCCCGGGTATTACCTACGCCTTACCTGTCTTGGAGATAGCACTTGTGCAGCTTCTATACCACTTCAATTGGTCACTCCCAAAGGGTGTCACCGAGGTGGACATGGAGGAGGAACCTGGCCTTGGTGCACGGCGTATGACGCCCCTGCTACTATTTGCCACCCCATTTGTTGTTCCATTATTGTAAGACAGACATTGATTGGTGCTAGCTGGTTGACTTAGAACTCTTGTGTGTACTAGTAGCATGTATTTTTTTTTTGTTTTCATTCCATGGTTGACCTTACATGCCTGTAGGCTTACACCCCCAATACATCAAAAGGTTGTGTTCCTTTTACAATTAATTAATATACCGTCCTATGTTTTTCATGTAGATAGCTACGAAGACATATATTAACATAGACTGAAATGCTCAATAAAGAGTCTAGAATGTATCTGGCATCCCGTCCCATTTATATATTATCACCCATTCGATCCATATATTAGCATTTTTAAGATGCTTATTAGTACATATTAAGTATGAGGGGGAAAAACTTTGATAGCCCTTGTTAATTTGCATGTGCCATTTCATGATCGGATGAGGTTAAGAGATGAAGCATGCTGTTGCACAAGAGGTTAATAATGAACTATCCATTAACAAGACTATAGTCCTGGAAGATTATAATTAGAAATAAAAATAAAGCACTATGTGCCGACAAACTCCAACACACCTTGTTGAGGAAAAAAACTATAGAACCATACGATCACTGCTATGCGTGGCTGGACATTGTCTAGCTTACAATGGAGACACATAAGTAGGGCCTATCACCTAAATCTAAAGACAGTTGAACACAACGCACTTGTCCCTCACATAGACCAGTCACTATCATGATATCCAAGTATTGTCGCAATCGAAACAGTCTTTAGGCGTTAAAATAATTTTGGATCATCTACATGGGTGTTAATATTTGTTTTCTCAATTAATGTCGGATTTTACTTAGGATGAGCATATGTAGGTAGTAAGACAGATAGGTAGATATAGATGGTGGCAATGATGCATACTGAAGATTCAATATTTCTTTTTTCTTGATAGATAGATAGATAGATAGATGTAGGAGTAAATATCATACAAGTGCTATTTTTCTAAGTCAAAACTATCTGTTGCTGTTGATTATTTGGGAAAACTACAAAAATAGTTGATGATTCTATCATAAAACCGGTTTGTGATAGATTATTACCGAAGCTATTGCCACATATTATCTAAATTATCATAGGAATAATAAATTAAATATTTTAGAAATAAAATTAATAAAATACCTTGGAACAAAGTGACCTAATTAACAATGCAGCAAAAGAAAGTTTCTGAGAAAGTGTATATTTAGATACATGCAGCAAATAATTCATGGCAATAATCCAGTGAAGAACTTAGAGGAACGGCGCTAAAACTACCATTAATAAAATTAAAAAACTTATAGTTTTCTTAATTTAATATTGCATTGATAGATAGAGAGATGGAGAGATAGTGGATAGCTAGAAATTTAATATTGCATCTTTCTATCTCTCTAGCTATCCACTATCCACTATCTTTCTAGATAGAAAGGACTTCACTGCCCCTGCCATGCCAACCGCAGCTTCTACCTCTTCTACATATATGTGCAGCACATACACAAGCACATGCCACATACACAGTACAGAGCGCCGCCACAGCTCACAATTAACCTTGGCAACCATGGATGAGCTCTTGTACAGAGCTCTCCTCCTCTCCGTGCTCGCCGTCGCGCTGCTCCAGATCATCAAGGCGTTCCTCATCATCATCAGGGCAAAGCCGGCGGCGCCGCCCCTGCCGCCGGGGCCATGGAGGCTGCCGGTGATCGGCAGCATGCACCACCTCGCCGGGAAGCTGCCGCACCGCGCGCTCAGGGACCTCGCCGCGGCACACGGCCCGCTGATGATGCTCCGGCTCGGCGAGACGCCGCTGGTGGTGGCGTCGTCGAGGGAGATGGCGCGGGAGGTGCTCAGGACGCACGACGCCAACTTCGCCACCCGCCCCAGGCTGCTCGCCGGCGAGGTCGTGCTCTACGGCGGCGCCGACATCCTCTTCTCGCCGTCCGGCGAGTACTGGCGCAGGCTCCGGCAGCTCTGCGCCGCCGAGGTGCTGGGGCCGAAGCGTGTCCTCTCCTTCCGTCACATCAGGGAACAAGAGGTACATATATAGGTTACACACATTAGCTTACACTACTTAACAATTTTAGGGCCTTGTTTAGTTCCAAATTTTTTCTTCAAACTTTCAACTAATTTTCCATTACATCAAAATTTTCCTACACACGTAAACTTCCAACTTTTCCATCACATCGTTCCAATTTCAACCAAACTTTCAATTTTGGCGTGAACTAAACACACCCGTGGTGTTTGGATCTAGGTACTTTAGTCTCTGTCACATCGGATGTTTCGACGCTGATTAGAAGTATTAAACGTAGACTAATAATAAAACTAATTGTATAAATGAGAGATAATTCGCGAGACAAAATTTTTAAACCTAATTAATCTATAATTAGTACATGTTTACTGTAGCCACATAGGATAATCATGGATTAATTAGGTTTAATAGATTCATCTCGCGAATTAGTCTAGGATTATGGAATGAGTTTTGTTATTAGTCTACATTTAATACTTCTAATTAGTGTCAAACATCCGATGTGACAGGGACTAAAATTTTAGTCCCTGATCCAAACAGACCCTTAATTAACACATTCTAATCACAAATTCACATTTTGAAGTGTGGTAGCCAAAACATGTGCATCATCGACATCAGACGTTTTTTTTTAATGAACCGGTACTTAGTGTGCTAATTTAATTGGATATATATATAATAGGAGTATATATTGTACAAGTAAGAAAGAATCATACTAAAAAAAGCAAGGGGATAAGTTTTAAGGGTCGTTTTGCTCCAGATACGGTCTAGATTTTGATCTCCTCCTTGATTTTCGCCACTAGGGTTGTCGTCGAAAGCTCATTGTGTTCAAACACTCTACTTTCTCTCTTTCAAAATTACATAAGTACATCAAAAGAGGTTTGGTAGCTAATCAGAAATTTTGATCACAATCACTAATATCCTAATACAACATGTTATTTTTACATGTAGATGGAGAGTCAAGTGGAAGAGATCCGTGCAGCAGGACCATCGACGCCAGTGGACCTCACCGCAATGTTCTCCTTCCTGGTGATCAGCAACGTCTCCCGTGCATCCTTTGGGAGCAAGCATAGAAATGCCAAGAAGTTCCTTTCAGCTGTGAAGACCGGGGTCACTCTGGCTAGCGGTTTCAAGATCCCCGACCTCTTCCCGACATGGCGAAAAGTGCTCGCCGCGGTGACTGGCATGCGGCGTGCCCTAGAGGACATCCACAGGGTTGTGGATTCCACCTTGGAAGAGGTCATAGAGGAGAGAAGAAGCGCAAGAGAAGACAAGGCCAGGTGCGGCATGGTGGGCACCGAGGAAAACCTCGTCGACGTGCTCATCGGCTTGCATGAGCAAGGTGGTTGCCTGAGTAGAAATAGTATCAAGTCAGTGATATTCGATATGTTCACGGCTGGAACAGGCACATTGTCATCAACATTGGGTTGGGGTATGTCAGAACTGATGCGGAGCCCGATGGTGATGAGCAAATTACAGGGTGAGATCCGAGAAGCGTTCTATGGAAAGGCAACGGTGGGAGAGGAGGACATTCAGGCGAGTCGCCTCACCTACCTAGGATTGTTCATCAAGGAGACTCTTCGCTTGCACCCGCCGGTTCCTCTCCTAGTGCCCCGAGAGAGCATTGACACGTGTGAGATCAAAGGCTACATGATCCCAGCGAGGTCCCGCATCATTGTAAATGCATGGGCTATCGGGAGGGATCCACGATACTGGGACGATGCTGAGGAGTTCAAACCTAAGCGCTTCGAGAAAAACATGGTCGACTTTACAGGGAGTTGCTACGAGTACTTGCCTTTTGGTGCAGGAAGAAGGATGTGCCCTGGCGTAGCCTACGGGATCCCCATTTTGGAGATGGCGCTTGTGCAGCTCCTCTATCACTTCGATTGGTCGCTGCCGAAGGGTGTCGTAGATGTGGACATGGAGGAGTCATCTGGCCTCGGTGCACGACGCAAGACGCCTTTGTTACTCTGTGCGACGCCATTTGTTGTTCCAGTATTATGAGGCACATTCAAGATGTGCTAGTTGATTGGTGTAGAAGTCCTTTTTCTTTTTAATTGTGTGAAATTTTCTTTTCCATGCATGATCCTCAGATGCCTTTGGGCTTGCCCTCCAAATCATGAAAGGGGTGTTTTATTTTGTAATAATGTTATTATGCTGCATCAAAGACAACAACAAATTAAGGAATCATTTCTCCATTTTTAATCTTAAAAGTGCATTGCATCATCCTGTGACAATTTGTAAGTTTCACAGTTGACACTAAGGAAGTAATGATACCTAGATGCGTAAATATAACTCAAAAGGGCATGCTTGGAGGCCTCTTTTAGGCCCAAAACTTGTGTAGACTACATGCCAACGGAAAATAAGTTTTTTTATTTCTCCTATAGTGGTGGTGTTCTTTGCGATCTAAAACTCTCTTATGGCCAATGTAAATGGAAAATTATATAGTGCGAATCACATATATAAGTTGAAAACTTAAAAGCTACCATTAAATTAAAAAATAGACACCTAAGATTTATCCACATCACCAATAGTAAAGTACTCTCAGATTCAACCATTAGAAAAAAAAAATTACTACGAGTAAAATTTTTTACTTTGTGATATGGATAAATCTCAGGCATCCACTTTTAGCCCAACGGTAATTTTCAATTTTTATGTGGTTTCCACTGTATATTAAAACAGATTCTGGCGGATTGATTTGAATTTTGTTCTCGATTCTGCCATGTTGTTTATAAAAAATGCAGTCATTTGGGGATAAGAGCAGGTACAATAGCGGGCTATTAGCCAGCTATAAACATATTTTATTGAGATAAACGATGAGAGAGAAAAGCAGCGGGCTACAGATATGTAGCCGGCTGTAGCACGGACTCTAAGACACAATGTGTGTATGACAGGTGGGACCATATATTAATAGTATAGTAAGCAACTATTGTATGAATTGGTTATTAGATTAGATATGGATGAATTGGAGTTAGTAGTGGGTTATACCGTTAAACTTGCCCTAAGGTATGTTTTGTGACCGACAGTTACTGTTTTTTTATTTTTTAGAGGTGAATAAAAATTGGGCGACTCCCAAACAGGCCATTTGGTCTTATTTATTGTCAGTTTAGTTTGCAGACACAGTAGTTCAGTAGGAAATGTGTTGGAGTAGAAATCCCTTAACGCGCAAATCACACTTATGGTGTGTTTGGTTCACGGTCATATATGGATGAGATATGACCATTCATGTTTATTGGATATGACGATTTAATTTTTTGTTTGGTTTTTATAGATAGGATGGATCCAATTTTTTATTTGGTTGGAGGGATATAAGATGAATGGGATAAACCAAAATTTAGTGGGGCCATTATCATACATATTTTTTATTAAAATATAATCATCCAAGATCTTGTTTTAAAGATTTAATTGTAATAAATATAATAGTATAATCGAATCCCAAATCAGATATACGGTTTAGGAGAAAAAACATTTAGAGCTTAACTGAAGATTAAACCAACCACAATCAATCAGAATAAGCCACATCACCCAAACCAAAATATGGATGACTTCATCTGGCTAGTCAGATCCACTCATCCAGCGTACTCCCACCATTCCAAATTGATCTACATATAATTTTTTTGAGGTTATTCCTAAATGATCTACATATTTGTATTCATTTATTAAGTCTATTCGTTATTTGTGTATTGGAGTAAATGGACATTGATGCATGCATCCATACACACAAGTATTTATAACCCACATGCAATATCTTGATTTGCTATTGACTAGGAAATAATGGGGATGATGCATGCATCGAGTTTGTTGCTAGAATAAATATAGTATGAGAGAATTATTAGCTTTTTTTGGTCTTGGTATACCTATGAAATATGTAGATCAATTTAGAATGGAGGGGGTATTAAGAGAATATTTCATTTTTTGAACCGCCCCATCCACCCTACCCTCCAAGAAAAAAAAATTGGCATCATCTCTCATCCAACCAAACACACACACACCCTTACAAAATGCATAATAATATCGCTTTGATCAACATGTTGAATTACTAACTATATTAGTAATGAAAAGAAGCTAAAATTCTAATTAGTCAAACCATTTCATATTATAAATCATTTTGAGTAAATATCAGAGAACCCCATGTACATGTACTTGTGTTTCATAAACCCCCATGTCGAAGCACCTGGTTTCAAAATACCCCACGTAAATTGATCAAGGTTCAAAAAACCCCATGTCTAAGCAGTTTGGGGCATTTGAAGTTCCCAGCATGGCTGATGGCCCATGCCACTCTTCCAGCAGTCGCATTCGTAGCTAATGTGAAGGCGTGGTCAATGCGGGTGCGAGGTCGCAACTTTAGGCGAGATGGAACGCTCAGCCATTCTCTCGCTTCTCTTTCTCCCCTGTCTCGTTCACTCGTCTCCCATTAGGGCACCTGCTAGACGATGCCGCTGAATGCTGGAAGATAAAGGATCGCAGTAGACCATACGGCCACGAGAGGCAAGCAGCTCAAGCTATATGGTTGATATATGGCAGGTTTCTTTGCGGTATTTGTTGGAGATTATGTTCTAGGATTTATTTGATTTGGGGCAGGACAAATGCTAGATTGATCCCTTTTCTTATATATGCTTTTTTCTAAGAGTTTAATTTGAAATTGTGTGTTTTGGTGATTTGGCTTATAGAATTGATATTGTGATGTTGAAATCAGCAAGCTGATTATAACAAATTTTCTGAGAAAGCAGTCAACTAGGGAGAGGTGGCAGTCCACTTGTTTTGTTTTGTTTTTCCCTGGGATCGTCATCGTTTAGTTGCTGACATCCGCCAGCTTCTTCTTGCTGCATTATGCATGTGTCGCTTCGTTTCATCCGTAGCAAAAGGCTAACGATCGTTGAGACGATGTCTAAGCTGCAGGTGGGCCACGAGCCGAGTTGGCAAGACAAAGATGGCCCTAAACTGTTTAAACATGGGGTTTTTTCAACTTTGATCCATTTACATGGGGTATTCTGAAACCAGATGCTTAGACATGGGGTTTTTTGAAACACAAGCACATGTACATGGGATAAGACTAGTTTCTAGCATGATAATTGGTTTCAGTACTGTTGCCTGAAGGACATAGCACCTTTGTGTTTTAAACTGGCCAAAAGAAAGCAGAGATGTGTCCTTCATGAACTCCTAAACAACAACTGGATTGGCTCCTTTAGGCAATTCACCACAGTGGAAGAGCTAAATGAATTAGTGCACTTGGGAAGCTTGCTCCAAGATGTAAATCTTTCCGACAGCATAGATGATATCTCTTGGAATTGGAATGAGTCAGGGTCTTACTCATCCAAGAGTGCATATCTCTTCCAATTCGAAGGATCCTTCACACCAATTGACTTCTCCTCGCTATGGAAGACGCCGGCTGAGCCGAAAATTCAGTTCTTTGGATGGCTTGTCCTTCATCAGAAAACCTTAACCGCACAAAGCTTACTTCACAGACATTGGCCGTGTAATTGGATTTGCCGTCTATGCACATGTGCCTTCGAAGACACCAATCATTTGTTCAGCGTTTGCAGCTTCGTCAGAGAAGTATGGAACTTTGTTCGCTCCTGGCAAGCTTTGCCACCTGTTATTGCTGATCCCACGGCCGGAACCTCCGTGTGGTGGGCTGCAATCAACTGCGTTCTCTCAAAGGATCAAAAGTTGGCGGTTAGAGGAGCACTCCTAACAACATGGTGGAATGTTTGGTTAGAGAGAAATAATAGGATTTTCGCTAATAATGCTAAGACCGAGCGTGAGGTGGCCTATGTCATAAAGCAGGAGCTTGATCTCCGCAAGTCGGCTTTTAGGCCGCCTTGATGTCTTCTTTGTTTTCTCTAACTGGCTTGCAAGCACTATATTTTCTCTTTCTAATTAAATTTCGGCAGAGCTCCTACCGTCGATTTCCAAAAAAACAAGCACATGTACATGTGGTTCTTTGATATTTACTCTTTTATTTTACAAATTTGATTTAATAGAAATTCAAAGTGATTTATAATATAGAACGAAGGGAGTAATTGACATCATCGTCACACAATCACTGAACTGTTTACATGGATATAATCGTAATCTACACAGCAAACAGAAAAATTCTTACAGTTGTTCCAGTAAATTGTTTCTTAGTTACGCCTTGCGCTGCAGGAAGGCGTAGGTGGCCCCGATCGCGGCGGCGGCGGCGGCGATCTCCAAGGCGCGCGGCGTCAACCTGGCCGCCCCCGTCAGCTGGTAGGCGAACTCGACGGCGAGGAGCGCCGCGAGCGGCCACAGCGGGGCCTTGAGCCGGTCCCTGATCCCCGGCGAGCCGCGGGGAGCTCCCTGGAACCGCGTGAGGAAGTAGAAGTAGAGCAGCAGGAGGAGGTACGGGTAGGCGAAGACGGCGGCGGAGAACGGCGCGCCGCGCTCGAAGCGGCGCATCTCCAGCGTGGAGTTGAGGGCTGCGAGCGAGTAGCCCACGAACGTGGCCCAACCGTCGCCGCCGCCGCCGTCGGCGGCGTCGGCTTGGGGATGGTGATCCGCCGGCGGTGGGAGCGGGGGCTCCTCCTCCGGCGGCGGCTGCGGCGGCGCTTGGCGGGAGGCCATCGTGGTGGATCGGAGCACGCCGCGATCGAGAGGATGCAATGCGAGGTGGAGGAGGAGGAGTAGGTAGCTCGCGAGCAGGAAGAATGGCGGAGATCGAGGAGAGTAGGCGACGAGACGACTCGCGATTGTCAATGATTGTAGGCGCGTCACGCGTGGACTTGAAATGTGATGCGAGATGATGAAATAAAAATGAAATGTCCTGCAATTTGGTGAGTTTCAAATAAGATTCGACGTAAATTGAGTGGTTTCAATTTGAGATGACGAAATTGGAGTTAGATTGAGAATTCTGTGAGTTGAAGTAAACTCTCAAATTTGTGCCTAGTGGTCCGAAAAAAAACGGAGCGGTCCATTAGCACGTGAATACATAATTAATTAAGTATAATTAAGTATTAGCTACTCCCTCCGTTTCATAATGTAAATCATTCTAGCATTTCTCATATTTATATTGATATTAATGAGTCTAAACATATATATCTATTTAGATTCATTAACATCAATATAATTGTGGAAAATGCTAGAATGACTTACATTGTGAAACAGAGGAAGTATTTTTTTTAGCACGTGATAAAAAAATTAGAAATATGATTTTTTTAAGCAACTTTCGTATTGAAACTTTTTTAAAAAAAACACACCGTTTAGCAGTTTTAAAAGCGTGCGCGTGGAAAAAGAGAGGGTGAGTTGGTAAGAGGATTCCGAACACACCCTTACTCTCTATCTTAACATTCTGAGAGTTTGCAATCTAAACTCACTCGCACGGACAATAATCGAGATTGAATTTGTGAAATAACAGGATAATATTTATCATGAAAAATTGTTCGTGTATACTACTTTTTATAATCTTTTTGGTGAACATCGTTATCATAGAGTATGGTAATGGATGCATTGACATATATATACAGTAGTCCCTAACGATATATTGAAAAATATAATGAAGATAAAATTGTGTTTGGTTTCTGCACCTTTGAACATGAAATGTTTGGTTATATAAAATTTATTATTACTCATAAATAAATCGAGTTTGAATTTAATGTTTTTAAACTTCAATAGATTTCCTATATATTTGTCGACAAATTTTCTCCTAAAAATATGACAGATATAATTATATTACAATCATAATGTAATCACACTGTAACTTAACTTATATGTAATTACACTGTAACTACAATGTAACATGTATGTAACTTTCAAAAATCTCCACATAACATGTTATTTCGGTAAAATAGAGATCATGGGATCAAATCCTCTCATATGTGCGTACTGTGACTTTTTTCTTCTTAACCTGCACAAAACTTGAAATAGATCTAACGGTTTAAAACTATATGAAAGTTACATACAAATTACATTGTACCTACCGTATAATTACATACAAATTACAGTGTAATTACACTATAATTATATTCTAAATACATCTGTTAAATTTTTAGGAGAAAATTTATAGGTGATCCCGAATCCAATATCCAAGCCCGGCTCCGGCCAAAGCCCAAATTGCAATCCCTACATGGGCCAAAAATGCCCAAAACCATCGAAACAAAACGAATCCTTTTCTCCTTTTCTCGCAAAATCTCCAAAACCGCTTCGGCTTCCTCTCTCCCCTCACGGCGGCCGTCGCTTCGTTCGCCGATTAGCCGGCGCCGCCGCCGCCGCCGCCGGTAGAGAACCCACCCCCTCCCCGCATGGCCGCCGCGGGCGGGGCCGCGCAGCCGCCGCGGCAGTACAAGCTGGCGCCGCAGAGCGAGCTGCGGGTGGAGGTGCCCCCCGACGCGCCCGTCCGCGTCCGCCTCGTCGCCGGCACGGCGGAGGTCTTCGGCACCGAGCTCCCCCCCGAGGGCTGGGTCCCCGTCCCGCCCCGCTCCAAGATCGCCGTAAGCGCGCCCTCCTCCTCCTCCCACATCCCACCTCCCGCGGAGGAGAAGAGACCCGCCACGGGATTCGCCTCGCCTCGGCTCAGCTTTGCTGCGACCACTGATTTCTTGCCATTTGGTATGTTTCGGGGTAGATTTTCACCTGGCACGGCGCGACGGTGGAGCTGGACGGGGTCAGCGAGAGCGAGTACACGTCCGACGAGGTGATTTCTTCTTCTCCATATTCTAATCCCCCTGTGAATTTTGGGGTTTTGAGCTTCTTCCAATGCAATGCGATGTGGTTGTGACATAGTACTAATTACATGCTCATGGCTGTAGACACCGATGGTGGTTTATGTGAACACCCACGCGATCCTTGACGCGAGGAGGGCGAGGGCGAGGGCCGCCGCGGCTCAGGGTGCCCTGCCGGAGTCCTCGCAGGTTTGTGATCTCGTCTCTCTCGGTTTGGCATCTCGTCATGCAAGTTATTGCACGGTTAATTGGTCAAAAATTGTGTAGTAGATGCACACTTTTTGATTCTGTTATGTATATTACATAATTGCATAATACTATGGGATGGCTAGCATGCTAATTTTACAGTTTGTTGCACATGAGGTGTTTTAGATTCCTAGAAATAATATAGTGTGTGTGCCTGTACTATGTACTCCAACATAAAACTAGTTCTGTTTAACAACCAATGTGTTAGAGCAATAACAGGTTACAAGTTGATGAGTACCCTACGGTCCAAAATTGAATATGGGTGTTGAAAACATTGAAACATTGTGCGAACAAAGGGTATATTTATCCCGAGGTTTTTGGGCTGTCTTGCTTAGTTTTGCCTCTCTTCGCGGTTTAGGGACCCAGAGTGATCATTGTGGGGCCAAGTGATTCTGGAAAAAGTACTTTGTGCAAAATGCTCCTTAGCTGGGCTGCCAAGCAGGGCTGGAAGCCTACATATGTGGATTTAGATATTGGCCAAGGTTCGATAACCATACCTGGATGTATTTCGGCAACACCCATTGAGAAGCCTATAGATATAGTTGATGGGATTCCCTTGGAGATGCCGCTTGCATACTTTTACGGCCATCCAAGCCCAAGGTATGTCGTTCCCACTAAGGCCTTGTTCGGTTACGCTTGGATTCAATCCGGGCTGGGAATAACAAGTATAGTAAGAAATTTATGATAGATACAATGAGAGACCGGAATTTATTTCGGGCCGGGAACCAATTTACTCATGATAGGGATAATAAGAGACCTGGAATCAATCCACTAGTCAAGAGGTGTGGAACTAATCCCGGCCTCTTATTGTCCCTATCATGAGTAAATTGATTCCCGGCCTGGAATAAATCCCGGTCTCTCATTGTATCTATCATAAATCTCTTACTATACTTGTCATTCCTGGCCCAGATTAAATCCAAGCGCAACTGAACAAGGCCTAACTGTTTTTTCCATGTATTTTATATAAAGACTTCTTTTCTTCTACTCAACTTTTTTGGCACCTCAACTATTTCTTTATGTTGCTGACAGTGTTAGTCCAGATGTTTACAGAGCTCTTATGAAGGAGCTAGCTCAGACATTGGATAAACAATTCTCTGGAAATTCTGAATCTAGGGCAGCAGGAATGATTATCAATACTATGGGGTGGGTTGAAAACCTTGGTTTAGAGGTAATTTTATTTGTTTCATGAGCAACTTAGATTTTGGTTATGTGTGTTGATGGCTAATATTTATATTCTAGCATGAGTTAATTCACCATTTGTGTTGTGCAGTTACTTCACAATTCAATTGAGATTTTCAAGGCTAATGTAATATTGGTATTGGGACAGGCAAGTGCTTCTGTTTTCTTCATAGTGTTGTAGAACTCTGTTCAAATGGGATGTCACTATCGTACTTCATAGTGCTATTTCAGGAGGGATATGCTTGTATTATAGGGCTGTGGAGAGCTCTCTAGTCATTTAGTATTCCCTGATTCTTATGTGCTGCCAAGTGTACTCTGGAATCTATGTTCAGTTTGATGTTGATGATGGCTGCTGTTTATATACCTCAGTATGAATCTAGGGGGGGCAACCAAGCATTTTGTTGAAGTATTGTATTATTGTCTAGACATTTGCTTGTGTGATATCAATTATTAGCTTGTGTTATACTGTCATAGGGGTAGTTACTGCCCCCCCCCCCTCCCCTAACAACAACACACACACACAAAGGACAGCGAAACTATTGCTGTTAGGTTTATGTTGACAAGTGCTATCATGAATAAGCATGAAATGAAATGGTCCTGAAGATTGGATCATTTGATTTGTCTACTGCAGGAGAAACTATGGAAGATGCTAAAAGATGCAGCAAAAAATAAGCCCAACATTGATGTTGTAAAACTTCATAAATCAGAAGGTGTTGTTCCGAGAAATCCAAAGTACCGTCAAAAGACTAGAAGCTTCCGTATCAAGGTAAATTATTTTTCTGATAATAAAATGTGGAAGTTCCTAGATTCAACTTTCAAAAGTCAATGTTTCAATACAAGGCATTGTTTGGTAGGCAATATGAGAAATTAATTGATGTAGGCTTAAATACACATGCATTACTGTACAGTGTGACTCACCTTTATGTTCATTTTTCTAATGTTATCTTACAATCGAAGGAGGCTTAAACACACATGAATTACTGTACAATATCACCTCCTTTTTCATTTTTCTAATGTTATCATGCAATCGTATGTTACATTTGTTCAGTTAATGCCATCCTATTCTGCTCTGGTTTGCTAAAGCTAAATTGTAACACTCGCTTTGCAGGAGTACTTTTATGGCATTGCGAATGATCTAGCACCACACTCAAATGTTGTTAACTTCAGTGATGTATCTGTTTACAAGATTGGCACTCATCAAGCTCCTAAGTCTGCACTACCGATTGGTGCAGAGCCTGTGGCAGACCCTACTCGACTTGTTGCTGTTAACATCAGCACAGATATGGTCCACACCGTGCTTGCTGTTTCATATGCTAAGGAACCTGATGAAATAGTTTCCAGGTGATACCAACTGCCCAAATTAGTGCTTATGCTTTACATCTACTAAAATGTTTATGCTTAGAGCCATAGTCAATACAGCTTGATACGGTGATACCTTATTTATGCATATAATTGGTACATCAGGGCCCAGGTATAGGAAAGAAAAATACATAGTAAAGTTTATGGAATTTTGTATTGTCTTTCAGATGGGTGGGTTTCTTGCATGTTTTACATGTTTGATATTATTTTGCTTTCTTCAGACCAATCTATTATCTGTATGCACTAAATAACTTGTCTGTGCACAGTTCTAGCCCTAGCTAGTACGCATGTCACAGCTGTTGCCCACTTAAAAACCTGACAAACCCATTTACTCTAGGTGGCAGTTTTCAAAACTATTTAAGATCTGTATCATATGATCATTAGATTTATATACTTGAAATTCAGGATATCACCAAGTTATCCTGCAATCATTTTCAGTAGTTTACCAGTGTCATTATAATCTGTACTGCTGGATTAGCTCGATCATGCGTGACTAACTACAACTTCTCTAGTCTTTCGTTACCACTACGCAAAAACTGCAAAAATTGTAGCATCCTTTTTCTTGTAACAAACCTGAGTGTACCTCTTTGACAATTCTGGAGATACGTTTGCTATAAACCTCTTTGACAATTCTGCAGCAATGTTGCCGGATTCATCCACGTGACAGATGTTGACATCCAAAGGTACCCCCAACAACCAAGAAAACTAGCATGTACCTTTTTATGGATTCGTGGTAAGACCTAACTTAACATGCTCTCATTTCAGGAAGAAGCTCACATACATTGCACCATGCCCAGGGGACCTGCCAAGTAAGCTGTTAATTGCGAGCTCGTTAACGTGGTACGAGGCTTGATCAGCTCATGGCAGAACGATCAACGATGTAGCTAGGTGGTCAGTTAAATTAATCAGATGGATGTAACACAGATGTATCCCTTGTCCTATCTCCGGGTGTACGTTGTAAACTTGCAAGCTTTTTAGTAAACTCAATGCACTGCTAACTAAAACTTATAACAGCAAATTTCACTCATTTCTCTGGAACCTATCTTGTGAATGATTTATTCTGACGGTGCTCCGCTGGTGTGTGCGCATTAACCTCTCTGAGACTTATCAATTCGAGTATTCTGATGTTATAATCATTCCATCGTGGAGGGTGCCTATAATTAGGCTTTACGAAAATATTCTGCATTTCATTTGTGTACAAATTTGATAATGGTGCCTATGATGATAACGCATGAATGACAGGTAACCTGCATAATTATAAGGATTAGCAACACCTGGAAAGGCATAATGAAAGATCTCAACCACACAACCATGAATTCTTAAAATTGAAATTAGTAGGGCACCCAGCTAAAAGGATCCTTGCCAGCTATGAACATGAAACATACAACTCATTACAACACGCTGACCCAAATTACAAACAAAGCAAATCTGATGGGGGATCATTGCTGAAAGCCCGAAGACGAGAACTATCTTCCCATCTGGAGATAATTTATTCGGTCATGCTGTGAGCACATCAGGCATTGCATCCCTGTGAAGACCGAAAAAAATATTAATAGGGGCGATCCTAATGCAGCTTCCCTTCACTGTCTACCAATAATACAAAATGGAAGTACATAAGGAGAAAAAAATCCAGTGCATGTAACTTTTAACGTCTTGTATAAAGGTTGAGAAGCAGCAACAAAATCTCCAAACAAAAGAATTGAGAGACATACAGCCGGGCTCGTGGAACCCGTATCTAAGGACAGAAGATCTACAGACCCCGACACCGCGGAGGAGAGGAGCATCAACACAGGTGAGTTAAAATTGTCAACACCACAAATTACAAAAAGTAGTCGGGAGTCTTGCGTGTTGTGTCTGGTTCAATTTGCCGAGGAGCTGGATCAAATTGGAGGAAGTTCTGATCCATGTTTTCGCCAATCTCAAGAATTGCAGCCATGTTACCACAGCGATAACAGTAGTTTGGTGCACTGAAGACCGTCACAACATTCTTGTCCTGGATGACAAAATCACAAGATAGAATATCTGAATATTGCATCCAAGGCAGGCAAATTATAGTATATCATTGGTCCCTTGCAAGATGCGGGAACATACAAAAAAGTACTGTCATGAATACAGCTGAAACGTCTTCTTGGCTCATGCATATAACACTATTTTTGCTATAAACCTCTTCAGTGGCACCAATTTAACTGACTGACACCACACAGTCACACGAAGAGCAACATCGGCAGATGTTCATTCAACATCTGCGTTCAGATTCTAATTCACAATTATTTGATATATGCCTTAGCAGTTAGCAGTTTGTGGATTAGCTCCTCCAAAAATTCACAAGAGCCAGTTAGTGGATTCATCGGTTTACAATCAAACACATTGAAGCGCACAAAATTGTATTGAGCTCTTAAAATTGTTAAATTAATAACTTAGATATTCTCCAAGATTCCATGCACCTAACAAATATATACTACCTCCGTATTTTAATGTATAACGCCGTTGACTTTTTGACAAACATTTGATCTTTCGTCTATTAAAAAATTTATGTAATTATAATTTATTTTGTTGTGACTTGATTTATCATCAAATGTTCTTTAAGCATGACATAAGTATTTTTATATTTGCATAAAAATTTTGAATAAGACGAGTGGTCAAACGTTGGTTAAAAAGTCAACGGCGTCATACATTAATATACAGAGTAGTTAAGAAATGTACTTGCGATCTCATCATAGGTATTCCAGCATTTCCCCAGGATGGGTATTTTAAGATTTTTCAGAAGGTATTTTTAGGGAATGTTCTACAGTTGTTCAATAAATGAGAAGAATTTATAATAAAAGGTAATGTTGAATTATGAACGCCTACCTGACACCAATTAAATCCTTCCATTACAAGTTGATGTGCCCTTGAGATGAGAGATAGACCATTTGTATGGTTAAACTGTTGAGCGATATCTTGCCCAAATGTATAACCTGCTCCTCTCGGTGAAATTCCCCACCCGCATCTGTCATCTGGGTCAGACCACAAAAGATCACACATGGGTCCTTCATGAGGAACCTGCAAGCATTTAGTGAAATTTGTAACATTAGCTGACAAAGAACATTTGAGAAATAAAGTGCAATTTCTTCTGCAAATGCAACAGAAGTATGGGCACAAGAGCTAACAAATATCACCGGTAACCATCATAAGCACAACCTCCTAGATAATCATCTACTGTGAAAAAAAATTCAAGAGCAACAAGTATTTGTTCAATCATATAAAATCATCCACATCATGACCCACAACACAAACTTCTAACTAAAGTGAACTGTGGTGCTCTACCTAGAAAACAAGATCCATCTTCAGACATTTACAAATTTGCAGCAGCAGGAAGTGGAAATATCATAGTAAAAATATTCCTGTCAAAACTAATATAGTTGAATGGTATATCCCCAATTTAGACATTCCTTAAAAAGGAATTGGGGCCTGGGGTGATGGTGCATTCTACACCCACCCCCATCAAGACCTTTTTAAGCTAACATATGGATGCATCTCCGCATACTTGCGTAGTTAAGTTTTGGTTGTTGGTGGCTGTATACTCCTTTTTTTTGGGCAATTGAGCATACTTACTACTGCATTCCACTCTTTATCCTATAGTATAATTATTTGGCATCTTTTGAAATGTGTGGACTCGCTGCTAGTATATGATATATACCAGCTAGATAATGCAAATAGTAATTACTACACCTAAATTGATTAATTATATGATATATATACCAGCTAGATAATGCTCTAATCCTCCAAGTAAAACAAAAATAAACATAATGTCATTTGAAAGCTAAATAGCTTATTGTTTTATTAATAGCATAAATAGCCCAAATAGCTGCAAAAGTTTCAAAAATCTGCCATTATCACCAGAATAGTGGCACACAAGACATGCAGAAGTCAAAATTTAGGGGTACTGCAGATGAAAGGTGACTAAAGACACTCGCTCATCAAGATAGTGCTAGCACTGCTTCATACCTCTTGTATACGATCAAGAGCACGGATGTTATCTAAAGTATCCAATGATGGAGAGAGACCACCGTGAAGGCAGAACACCTATAAAATGGGTGATTCACATGTCAGGCATATATTGGATAAGCCTATATCAGTTAAACCGCAATTAGTCAAGTAACAAACCTGGTTTTCTATAAGAGCTGTGAGAGGCAAATAATCAAACAAGTCTGTAAAGTATTTCCATACATTTGCATTTCCATACTTTCTCAAGCATTCATCGTAGAAGCCGTACCTGTAGAAAAACAGTAGTTTTCATTAACCCACTGAAGAACTATCTATTGGGTTGAAAATATTGAAACAAGAATATTTTTTAGCATTCCTATCATTTAAAAAATTGCATAAAGAAATAGCTAGAAACAAAAACCATGAAGCATAGTGGCAATAAAATTACAATCCAATTAAATATAAGCAACCTATGCTGTAATAAACCACAAATTCGTGCCAATAAGGTGAATACAGAAGGACGGATCTAGCTTGAGGTTCTAATCTGAGAAAATATATGAAAATGACAAAATGGTTTCACAGCATTAAAAAGGTAGATTGTTACAGGTCAGCAAAGAGGCAAACATTATGTATTAGCTATTTTTGGAAAGTAAATCAGCCAACATGTTTAAGATTCTGATTGGGTTCTCTAGTTTTGAGGTGTTAAGCACTAATAACTAGAGTCCTGATCAAAAAGCAAGTTGTTTTCTAAAATTCACAAAAATAATATCCTAGAATATTGATGTGCAATAAAAGATTGCATCTTTAATGTTTGCCACTTTTTCGTTGTTACAACTATAATAATTGTGCAAGTAGCTAAAAAAGAAGAAAATATGTGGGGGGAAAATCCAAATCTAGGACATAAACTCACACTTGAGTGATTTGTCTGCTCTCATGATTTCCTCTCAATATTGTAATTCGATCTCTGTAGCGTACTTTCAAAGCCACCAACAACGAAACAGTCTCCACTGAGTAGTAGCCACGGTCTGCAATAACAGCCATACGGTAAACGTTATCAACATTAGGAAAGCGAAAATCAATAGAGATGCGAAACAAAATTACAGACAGAAATAAACGCAAGCATGAAAAGAATCACACGCCCCATATGCACAGAAATGATGGGATCGCCTTTATAGTTTATAGCATTCCACGAAACAAACATACGATATCAGCGCATATACTTCAAGGGAAATCATGCGTCACCCCTTTGTCCTACTAAATAAGGATAATCACTTGTCACATAAAAGCGCAGATCAACGCATCGAAAGAGTCCTGCTTGCTCTGGAAGCACATTTCCATTTCACGCATAATCATCATCCCCTTATACCCCAATTAATGAGAATTCTTGATGATAGCCACATAGCTTATAAAGCCCACTAAGTATGGCACCCAAAAGGCAAGAAGCCAAGAACTCAAGTAGGATTCTCCGCAAGCTCGGCCAAACCCCAACACATAACCACCACAGGATATTCGCATCGACAAATCGAACTACAAGAACAAAAAGAACTACAATTCAGAACGCGAGCTCCAGCTCATTATCCCCAAGATTCTTGCCACGCTATAACCACCAGCCATATCAACTCCATCTCATCATCAGGATCTAAAAAAAGAAAGAAAAGAAAAAGAGCCAGCACCAATCCCCCCACCACAGATCGACCGAATCGAGCGCGCGCGCGCAGGGGGGAAGAGGACGCGGGGTATGAACTGACCGACGTAGTCGCCCATGAAGAGGTAGTTGGTGTCGGGCGCCTCGCCGCCGATGCGGAAGAGCTCGATGAGGTCGTAGAACTGGCCGTGGATGTCGCCGCAGACCGTGACGGGGCACCGCACCGGCTGCACGTTCCACTCCTCCATGAGGATGGCCTTCGCCTGCTCGCACAGCGCCCTCACCTCCCCCTCCGCCAGGTGCTTGCACTCCCGCAGCTGCGCGATCTGCCGGTCCAGATCCCCGTGCGACGACGGCATCCTCTCCCCCGCACCTCAGGGAGGGGAGGACGGAGGAGGCGCTACTGGGGGCTCCGGGTCCCGCCGCGCGCCGCCGCCGCTCGCCGCCGGCGAGGAGGGTGGGGGAGAGGGCTAGGGTTTGCGGGGGATCGGGGGTTGGAGGTGGAGGAGGTGGAGGTGGAGCTCAAGCCTCCATTTCTTTTTCCCTCTGATTTTATTTTATACGGAGACAGATTTTTTTATTTTTTTTCTTTTTTTACAGGTAGTAAAGTGTACAGGAAGACCAGGGCACTGGGTTGTTTGGAGTTTAGTGGTAATGGAAGGGTCAAAGTGTAATTATGTGATGTTATTGCTGCAAAGCAGAACAGCACAAGTCAGCTGGTCAAAGTAGATGGCTATAGTTTGATTTGGGGTTTTATAAGGATTTCTTTTTTCCCTTTTTTAACATGTTTGTTTGGTTTTTAAGCAAAAAAAAAACTTATATTAATCAATCTATTCTGAAATACAAATTCTTTTGGCACTCGGGTGACATAGTTGAATTCTACCCGTAGCGTTGTGCTTTAAAACATGTAATATCGTTGCCATGGTTAAACCAGATCAAACAAAACGGTTCTTATGTTTAGAACTGAAGATGATGTGCTATCAAAATTATATTAAAAACCTCGCAAAAAATATATTAAAATTTCTAAAAATTAAAAACATATATTTCTACATTGTTTTCTTCGTAGTGATGAAAACTTTGCACCTAAGACCGTATATTTTCGCTATTTTGGGGTTCTATAGCTACTTTATTATGTTTCATTTTAGACTATGAAAAGTTAGGCTGCGTTCGTTTGGAGAACAAAGGGAGTTTGTTGGAGTTTGTTTGTTTCGTTTTCCGCGCGCACGCTTCTCAAACTACTAAATAGTGTGTTTTTAGCAAAAATTTTCTATATGAAAGTTGTTTTAAAAAATCATATTAATCCATTTTTAAATTTTAAAATAGTTAATACCCAATTAATCATGCGCTATGGCTCACCTCGTTTTGCGTATCTTCCCAATCTTTTCAATCACCTCTCCCTCAAACATAGCCTTAGGGCCCCTTTGAATCACAGGAATGAAAAAAACGGAGGAATAGAAAAAACATAGGATTCTGACAGGAATGTAAGTATAAAACAGAGGATTGCAAAACACAGGAAAAACATAGGAATGACCGTTTGATTGGACTATAGGAAAAACACAGGAATTTGAGGAGAGATAAAGACTCAAAGGATTTCTTCCATGAGGTTCTACCTCTGGTTAAAATTCCTCCAAAACTTGTATGGAAAGTGGCATTCCATAGGAATTTCATAGGATTCCATAGGATTCATTTATTTGATTCAAAGAGTTTTGTGGGAAAAATTCCTATAGGAATGAAATCCTTTAAAATTCTTATGAATTACCTTTGAATCAAATGGGGCCTTTTAATGTAGCAAGAATTCTTCCTGTTGATCATTTTCGATAAGACAAGAATATAGCATGGTGTAATATATTCTCACCTACTACCAAAGAAGACTAGTACAACCATGCAGCAGGTTGCAAGCACAGCCATGAGCCTCCGAACAGTGATGAGCACTGACATCAACCTTCTCCCAGTCAAAAGGCAAGCTTTTGACGTAGGAATAGATGATGTAGGACTAGAGGTAGGTGGAATAATGGATAGAGTTCCAGCTGTACTGTATAGGAAAAACATAATTCAAAATAAACTGCTGTTTATACGATAACATGCTCAGGTTAAAGTAGTTGTTTAGAGTGGCATGCATGCACCATTTCTTCCCATATAATTGGTCCTAACATCTTTCTATTACTGTCTTTACGTGAAATTCTTTGTTGCTTTCAACTGGTGGCTTTGTCTTCTTGGGAAAAAAGGTTGACTTTCATCGAAGTAATTAACATTTGTGAAAAAAAAAAGATTCGTAAGAGAAAATTGTGATTTTCCATGTAAAAACTATTATACTGTAGGTATGTTCGGTGGTGCTTGCTGCTGCTGTTGCGACAGCTGAAAAACGGCTACAGGCAACAGCAGCTAAAAACGGCCATAGCCGCATCACTGCAGCAGCTAGCGTTCCCGATCCGCCCCTGTTTCTTTTGGGTGAGGAAGGACTAAAGGCTAGTTTGTTTTCTTCGGTTGTAGGAGATTTCTCAATGCACACGAAAACGAAAAAACTTATTAGCGCATAATTAATTAAATATTAACTATTATAAATTTGAAAATGGATTTGTTTGAATTTTTAAACAACTTCTATGTAGAACTTTTATTTGCAGAAAAAATGCACCATTTAACAATTTGAAAAGAAATTGTAGGCAATTTAAGTATTCGTACTCATAATACATATAGAATGTAGGCTATTCAAGTAGAATATATTCTCACATTAATATCACATAATATATATATCTCACTTCCAATTGCCTCCTCTATCAATCCTAACACATCAAAGCATTTTGAGAAGGTTGGCTTAGAACAATAACACAACAACTACTCACATTTACACATAAAATTCGTTAGGGTTATGACATAACGAGTGCTATCCTTATGTAGGAATCTGTCGTCGAACTATATCTGTGGACGGTATTTATAGAGTATGGGGATCATTGGAACTAGGGTGTATGTGATATTGAGGTAAAAAAGACGGTATATAGGGATTTTTCTACATGTTCGGACCCCTTGTCTGACAGCTAATAGCACTACTCCTATTGGGCGAAGCCGATGTTGCCTTTATGTATTGGTATCACTCGAATAGAATATTTGCGATGACCTAATATAGTCTTTGTCGGCTTGCCAGCATGGACCTCTCACACATAGTTGATGGTTAGTGTAGTTTTCTTCTTCGAATATGAACTCGACGAGATTGGAGGTAGCTCTAGATCCCTCATGTCGGCCTTTGTGGCGCCTGCATTGGGTTTGTCTATATCTGTATTGGCTTGTATTTTGACTTTGCATATCCCTCCTCCTAGTGGTGTTTGTATTTATACCCTTGGGTGCCCTCTTGTATAAGTAGGACTAGGGAAACATGTATAGATATGATCCGAGTAGTCCTTTTAGTGTCGAGTAGAACTCTATTTTTTCTTCTGTATATGAGGCATGATTCCGTATAAGATTATATATATATATATATATATATATATATATATATATATATATATATATATATGGTGGGCCCACCGAGCCTAACCCAAAACTATTGGATATGCCTTATCTATAACACTGGCAAAATTTCAAGCATAAACTATGTATAATTACATCCTTTATGTAGAACCTACGGGTTTTGCAGATTTTTTATATTTTAGATTTTCATTAGAAAAATTATTTTATAAATAGATCTCTAGACAAACTATTTTAGAAAAGTTTTTTTAGAGGTCTATTTATAAAATAAGTTCTTAAAATACTAAAATGTAAAACAATCCAGTACAGGTTTTTCTAAAAAAATAAAAACCATGCCTAGAATTTTTTTTCACATATTCATGCTCTTTTTCTACGTCCTTCGTTGAACTTTACTTAGTTTTCTAAAACCAGGAAGTATATATAAAATGTTCAAATTCATGTAAAAGTTTCTCCATTCTAAACTACACTTATTAGTCTCGAATCATAATATGTCACCATAAACTCCATCAGACTGAATAAATGATATATTTGTCTGATTTTGTGATAATATTCGAGAGAAACAAATAAACTATCTACTACAAAGTTTTGAAAAGTTATTTCAGAATGATAATAAGCAATATAAAAAGATTAAAAAGAAAATTGTTTGGAAGCTTAGAAAACAACCATGATATAATTCTTAGAGCAATCTCAATATAGAAAACATCAGATAGTTTTCATAGTTGTCATATTATATAGATAGAAACTATATACTCAATGGATGGTTTCGTCAAAATAAATTCGTATCCAATCACCTCTCTTCAATCTTCTTTCATCCACATATCTTCTCTTCCATTCCTTTTTTCTTGTGGAGAGTATCTAGAAAACCGTCGGAAGTTTTCTAAGTGAAAAACTTTCAAATATAACTATAATATAATTGAAGTGTAATTACATTGTATCTACAATATAACTGCATCGTAACTACACTGTAACTATGAAATAACTTATATAAAACTTTTATTCAAATATGATTTTATTGGTTAACAACGAGATCTTATGCGTGACATGTGTGAAAATTTCTTTCTAGCAATTTTTTTCCTTCATGCAAAAATCCCGAGGCAATCCGATAGCTATGATTTTGAAAGTTCTGGGGACAAAAAAAACTTGCGGAAGTTTTCTAGCAATTTTGTTTCCTTTGCAGAGCCGGTTTCTTGCATGAAAAACACATTTTTATTTTCCTTCTAACCGTTGGTCTTTTACTTTTACTTATATGATAGTATATTTAATGAAAAAAATTTAGGGCATGTTTGGCACACCTATCCAACTCCACCTCTCCTCAGCCAAACAGTTTCAGCTCCACCTAAAAATAGGAGCGGAGCTTGATGGAGCTCTCTTACAAAATAAACTAGAGAGATGGAGCTGGGTTTAGGTAGTTCCACAACTCTACTCCAGACCTAACTCCTGAAGAAAAATTTAAATGAACTAGAGAGGTGGAGCTGGGTTTAGTCAGCCCCACAACTCTACTCCAGACATAACTCCTAAAGCAAAATTTAAAAGTTAGAGCTCTACCAAACATGCCATTAGCTGAGGTGAAAGGGTTGTAACTACCCTAATCTGGTTCTAATATAACACCGGCCTCTCCTATATCCGGTTTTCTCTAAAATAATATTTTAAAAAAATCATATAAGAATAAATAGTAGTTGTAGAAATAACTGGGCCTAAACAAAAACAAGGGTGCCCACTTCTCTCAGGCTCCCAAAAGCCCAGCCCAGCGCAACACCCCGCCCTCGCGGCCTCGCCAGTCGCCACGGCCACCATGCCGCCGCCGCCGCCGTCGAAGAACCGCGGCCACGTTCCCGCGCCCCGGCCGCCTCCGGGCAAGCCGCCTGGGCGACGGATGGCGAGCCGGGACGCGGCGGAGCGGGCGGCGTTCTTCGCGCGGCGCGAGGCGGCCGCGGTGCTCCGCCGCGTGCTCCGCGGGGACGCGTCCAGGCGCGCCGCGGGCTCCATCAAGTCGCTCGTGTACTCCCCCTCCGTCCGCAACAAGCGCGCCACCTTCGCCCTCGTCTGCCAGACCCTCAAGTGTAAGCCTCACTCGCATCGATGCCCCCCCTCGTTTCGCTGTTGCGTGCAAGGTGTTCGATGGAATGCCAGTGCCGAGCTGTGTTGCTGCGTCCTCTCAACTTGGATTTGGATATCCTATTACTGCCATCCTATGTGTCGCATGAAATGGTCGTGTGGGAATGAGTGCCAGGTGTTTGTGCCAGTTTTCTTCTCGTTTGTCCATACTGCACAATGCAAGAGGTTATTTTCTGGAAACATTAAAGACAACTTCACTACCTAGCCTCCAGAGTTGCTCTGATATGGATAATACATCTTGGTAATCAGCATCACAAATAACATTTTAGCATCACTCACAGAACTTTGGTGGTAAAAATGCCAACTGTTAGATAACCCCATACACACTGTTTTTCCTAGATTTGGATGGTAATTGAGAGCTGGGGAGTAAAACCTCAGTTTGGTATACTGTACACTTAAAAAATAATCTGCTATACTGTACACTTAGAAAATACCTCAGTTTGGTCCTTTTTCTGTATTCACTCCTCTCCTCATGTTGCTCTATTTCCTTTATCAGATCTTCCAATTCTAAAGGAGGTTTTAGCATCAACTGGAGTACTAACCAGTAAATGGAAGGTCAGTTAGACACTTCGTATGTTGTGATGGAATAATGGAATTGAATTCCTTCTTTGTGTACAGTATTGTTATCTGTGTGGTGTTCACATGTTAGCTTTAGTCATGCCTCTTAAGTTGCAACATAGAATACCTGCATGGTGCAAAACATCAACTGACTTTTTTTTTCAACTTGCAGAAACAGGAAGAATTAGTTTTCGTGACTGCCTATGACATTCTCTTTGGTCAGGTTTGTCAGTTACTCAACCCTTTAGATTCAACATATTACTTCCACAGTCTGTGCATTTGTTTTGTTTAACCTTTCAGTTGTGGAGTTCAGATCTTGTAGCCACAAAATGGTTAAACTTTTGCATTGCACTTGATTACATAACAGTTCTGCATGTCATTGAAGCTCACAAGATAGTTCATTTCTCCTGTCCCTATTAAAATAAACAATAACATGAAATGATATTGATACTTGTAGGAGACAGCAGCTTCTGGATCCGTTGAACAGTTAATTATGTTACATAAGGATACTATTATGGCTGCTCTTGAGAAAATGTGTATTAGAAGGAAGGTTCGTAGTGTTGAAGACTTAGTAAGCAAGAAAAGGACAGGTACTTCTCTCCGCTCTGTTCTTTTGAAGCTTTTCATTCATTATTCCTGTTATATGATATGATTACTTCTAAATGCTTCTCTCAGCCATCTAATTAGCCTGCCCTTCCAAAATCAAATGCATTAGTCGATGTTTAAATTTTTTGTAGCAGTTAAAAGAAGTGCTAGTCTGTAATGAAGCATGTAATTACACTGTATAATTAGAATGTGCTACAAACTTACACTTGCATTTGCAGAGCATCTCAGTTCAATTTTGTCAATACTCAATATACATTGTTCATGTAATGTTTCATATAATAGGTAGCTTATGAGTTCATTTCCTTTTGTCCATGTACAGTTGATTTGTTATGACAATTGACATATTATGGCCAGCTCTGTTTAACCTGTTGGTTTTATTTTTAGCAATACCATCACAGATAATAGTTAATAGCACCAGTCGCATTTGCACCCGGAAAAACCGACTTGGTTTTCAAAATTAGGATCATAACAATGTTTGAAAATAAGTGTATTAATTGAATTTGTGCATATGTTTTGGTTTCTACATATTAATTACATATGGTCCTCACTAAGCTTAAATCATATGCTAATAGAGGAATTGTATTCATACAAGCTACTCACTGTTATCCCTTTCTTCAGTCAAACCAAAACCCAGGTTTCTTCGTGTTAACACACTCAGGACCAGTACAGATTCTGTCATCGAAGAACTGAACAAAATACACAAGGTACTTCATCCATCTTCATGTTTAGCAAGCCTGTTGCTGTAAGGAACAGTCTAAGCAATTCTTCCGGAAACTACTGCTGTAAATGCAACCTTATTTTCAAATTGTACTACTTGTGAGACTCGACTAATTTCATTCAGTATTGAGTAGGTTGATAAAGACGAATTGGTTCCGGACTTGTTGGTGCTCCCACCTGGAACTGATTTGCATAACCACCATTTGGTCTCAGAAGGAAAAGTATTTTTACAAGTGAAGTCTTGTATTTCTATAGCGTTTACTCTTGAATGACCTATGAATAATACCGATTGCCTTTTTCCTCATCTTTAACTCCTTTCACAGGGGAAAGCAAGTTGTATGGTGGCAGTTGCATTATGCCCTGAGCCAGGCTGGAAGGTTAGTGCATTCGATCTGGCTGGACTAAAATTTCATTAATATTTATTATTATCTTGAAACTATTTGCAGCCAAAGATCTACAGCCCTAAAAGGAAGGCAGCATATGTTCTTGATAGATGCTAAGTAGCAGTAGTAAACTAGTTTATTACCCTGCCTTTCCTGTATGCTTGCTTAATTAAATGATGGATATGACTTTACATAAATAAGATTTTAATATCATCTGAATTACAGTACTACCTATGTTAGTGCGTAGCAATAAATACTCCATTGATTTTGATTATTCTATGGCATGAGTTTTTGGTAATGCTGAAATTGCTGGTATGAATTGAGCATACAAAATAATACTAGTAGCTATGTGTTTACTTAAAATCTATATACTATTTCTCACTTTGCAAATAAATAAGTCTATATGCTTTTTTTTTTGTTTTCATCTTTTGTTTTTGTCATGGATTTGGAAAAAAAATTGTAGCATCACAATATTTCCAGTCAAACAACATTACTTTGATTGTATTGCTTTTTAGTTACATCATATTAAATCATTAATTTCCACTTGAACATTAAACTTAGGTTATTGATGCATGTGCGGCTCCAGGGAATAAAACAGTCCATCTTGCTGCACTCATGAATGGAGAGGGGAGTATTACAGCTTGTGAACTTAATAAAGAGAGGACCAAGACTTTGCAAAATACTATCCGAAGATCCGGAGCAAACAGTATCCTCTCTTTAAGTTTCTGGTTTTAATGACCTTGATAGTGTATTTTTGCACATTGTTTTGCTGTTAACACATCCTTCTCACCATACTTTTAGTTTAAACTAGATCAATTTATTTTTTCAAGTTTGCATAGTTTCTGCTGTAACTAAAATATCCAATGATCCTTTTGGACCTTCAGTATAAGCTTGTTCTGAAGGAATTTCTAGATATGCTACTTAAGTTGATGATTAAAACATTCCGCCTCCCTTAGATTGGGGTGTTAATTTCTTTGTAGAAAACATACTATAACCTCCTGCTTGCATCTTAACTTTAATACGTTTTCTCGATATGATCATAAATTGTCTTGATGATATGTAGTTTGTTCTTCTGTTTCCCAAGTTCTATGTCTGTTTGTACTTATTTACTATACATTGTCTGTTATGTCTTACAAAGTTCATGACATATTATGAAACTCATTTTCCTTGACCAATTGATTAGATATTGAAACAATCAATGGTGACTTTTTGGATATCGATAGCAATGATCCATCATATGCCGAGGTTTGTAGGAGTTATTGATAAATATTTTAGACGTCTTGTAGCCTTTTGCTTGCCTCATAGCACAGCTGTCCCTAATTTTGTGTGTTCCTATGAGATGATGATTGCTGCAGGTCCGAGCTATTCTATTAGATCCCTCTTGCTCTGGTTCCGGAATCTCTACAGAGAGACTTGACCATTTGCTCCCTTCGCACTCAAGAGGTAACTACAGGTTGATAACTTGTATATTCATACCCTGTCCAATTAAAAACTTTTTTGCATGATTTGCGATGAGCTTAGTATTTACTGTGTGCAATGTATGAGTTTGCCACGATGATATGCATCCTATCCTTGCATTCATGGAATTTTTGAGGGAAACATTTGCACTGAATGAAATCTTGATACGCAGGTAATCAGGATGATGCAAGTACGAGTTCAAGGATAAGGAAACTCTCCGCCTTCCAGAGGAAAGCGCTCTCACATGCTCTGTCATGTAAGTCCCTCCTCTTTTTCTGTATCCAATCTTAACATGTCAATGGACATCATCTGCACAATTCTGAAGCTTCCCTCCACCTCTTGCCCAGTCCCCTCTGTGGAGAGAGTGGTCTACAGCACCTGCTCAATCCACCAAGCTGAGAACGAGGACGTCGTGAGCTCCGTCCTGCCATTGGCGTCATCGCTCGGATTCGAGCTCGCTACTCCATTCCCTCAATGGCGACGCCGTGGTCTCCCCGTCTTTGAAGGATGTAGGTGTTCTATACCTCAAATTTCAACCATGATCAGTCCTGGATGACAATCCATTGACGAGTAAAAAAAAAAAAAACCTCTAGTTCTTCATGGCTTTGGCTTTGCGCTTGTGTGCAGCTGAGCATCTGCTTCGGACGGACCCGGAGGACGGCCTGGAGGGCTTCTTCATATCGTTGTTCGTGAGGAAAGCAGCAGCAGCAGCCGATGCTGTAAAGCCTAGCAATGGTGGTTTGGGAGTGAGCAAGCAGGTTTTTAAGAGACGTAACGGGCTCATGGCTTTCGGCTCATCGAGACTGTCCAGGATGATGATGCTCTGCTCTACCCGGGGTCTCTCGAGAAGATGATCCTTTAGGATCTCTTCGATCTTCTTTCTTTGAAAGCTAAGGAAACTGAGTGTTCAACTGGAAAATTTTGTTTTGAAATGCTTAGACGAGGAATTTTTCTTTTTCTTTTTTTGGTTTTTGTAGACGCAATGACATTTAAGGGCAAATTTCATTCCATTTCACGGCTACCAAGCCACACAAAATACATAAGCAGATAACTAATACCACACACTTATTCACTGATTACTTGATCAGACGATCACTAACTAGCTCAAAAGAAGAACACAAACATTCCAGGACCATCATGATGATGGCAGCGACGCACGGTTCGCCTACTTGCCCTTGCCCTTGGGCTCGCCGGCGCCGGCGACCTTGACCTCGACGACGCGCGGCTTCTTGGGCTCCGGTGGCGGCTTCTTGTCGACGGTGACGGTGAGCACCCCGTCCTTGTACTCGGCGCGGACGCCGTCGAGGTCGGCGCTCTCCGGCAGCGGGAACCTCCTCATGAACTTGCCCATCCGCCGCTCCATCCTCAGGTACTTCACCCCCTCGCCGCCGTCGTCGCCGTCGCCGGCGGGGCGCCTGCGCTCGCCGCTGATGGCGAGCACGTTGCCGTCCTCGACCTCGACCCGGACGTCGGCGGGGGCGACGCCGGGCATGTCGACGGCGAGCACGAGCGCGCCGGAGGCCCGGAGCTCCTTGACGTCCATGGGGGTGTTGGCCATGGCGCGGCGGTCGCGCACGTAGGCGCGCGTCGGCGGGTTGAGCTGCCGCTCCAGCTCATCGGGGAGGTCCAGGTCCAGCAGCTGCTGCATCGCCACCGCCAGCAACGGCTCGCCGCCGACCACCGACAACTCCATCGATAACAAAAACTACTTTGCTTGGTGGATATAATGGTGATGATCTCTCTCTCTCTCGTCGTGTGTGGGTGCTTGCGCGATCGTCGCGTTCTTTGTTGGGACTTGGGAGAGATGGAGGGGGGGAGCTTGGAGTTTATATGGAGGGAGAGGAGTGAAGAGTGTGGAAGGGTTGGGGATTACAGGGAGGACGCCTGTGCAACAAGGTTTCCGTTTTGAGGCTGCCTGGCTCAGAGCTGGGGATTACAGGGAGGTGGTGGAATCAGCATGGGCACGGGGCAGTGATGGCTCACAGTCTCTGCAGGGCACCTGGAGAAATATGCAACAGATGGCTGCATCTCTTCGTGACTGGAGCAAAGTGTCTTTTGGCTCGATCCGCAAAGAAATACAGAGATTGGAGAGGAAGCTAAAAACACTCCGGTCTTCAGGTTTGGAGGAGAGTGTGATACAAGAAGAAAGGATGGTAGAAAGGCAGTTGTGTGAGCTCTTTGAGAGAGAAGAAATCATGGCTCGACAAAGGTCACGAGTGGACTGGCTCCGAGAAGGAGACCGTAACACTGCTTTCTTTCATGCTAGGGCCACGGCACGGCGGCGCACCAACAAGATCACTGTGCTGGTAAAGGATGACGGCACTAGATGCACTGATCAGGAGGGTATAAAAAAATTGGCCGGAAAGTTCTATGAGGATCTCTTCACATCTGAACCTTGTGTGTCAACTGATGTGGTGTTAGAGGCAATCCCAATCAAAGTTGATGTGCTGGTCAATGAGGAACTGGGCAAACCATACTCTGATGATGAGATCAAAGATGCGCTGTTCCAAATGGGCCCAACCAAAGCACCGGGGCCGGATGGCCGGAAAGTTCTATGAGGATCTCTTCACATCTGAACCCACTGGGGACTGATCAAAGGGGAGATTTGCAATGCAGTGCGTGGTTTCCTTTTGGGAGAGGAGATCCCGGAAGGTTTTTGTGATTCTGTCATTGTCCTAATTCCCAAGGTACACAACCCTGAACATCTCTCCAAATTCCGCCCAATTAGTTTGTGCAATGTGCTCTACAAAATTGCTTCGAAGGTCTTAGCAAACCGTCTCAAACTCTTCCTTCCTGATATTGTCTCCGAGTTCCAAAGCGCCTTTGTGCCGGGGAGACTTATCACTGACAGTTCTCTTGTGGCCTATGAATGTTTAAACACCATTAAGAAACAAAGCAACAAGAAGCCTTTCTTTGCTCTAAAGATCGACATGATGAAGGCTTATGATAGGATTGAGTGGTCTTATCTCCATGGCTGCCTGATGAGACTTGGTTTTGAACAGGACTGGATCAATACGGTGATGCGCTGCGTGACCTCGACAAGATATGCAATCCGGATTAATGGTGAGCTCACCGACACTGTTGTTCCCTCGAGGGGAATAAGGCAGGGCGATCCCATAAGCCCCTACCTCTTCCTACTCTGTACTGAGGGGCTCTCTTGCATGCTGCAGAAGAAGGAACAACAAGGATTTCTACATGGGATTAGGAATGGCAGGCAAGGACCTCCAATCTCCCACTTGCTCTTCGCAGATGACAGCATTTTCTTTCCTAGAAGTGATCACAGAAGTGTCCAGGCTATCAAATCCACACTGCAAGCCTATTGTGATGCCTCGGGACAGAAAATTAACATGCAAAAATCCTCCATTTTCTTTGGAAAAAGATGTCCAAGCAACATCCGGAATGAAGTAAAGGCAAAGTTGCAAGTGTCAACGGAAATCCTACAAGATTCCTACCTTGGAATGCCTACTGAAATCAGCAGGGCAGTTTCAAACTCCTTCCAATTTCTCCCTGGCAGAATTTGGAAAAGAGTCAATGGTTGGACAGACATGCCTCTCTCAAGGGCGGGTAAAGAAACCATGCTGAAATCAGTGGCACAGGCGATACCCGACTTTGTCATGAGTTGTTTCCGTATCCCGATCATGACTTGTGAAAAGATGAAGTCCTATATTGCTGACCACTGGTGGGGTTTTGAAGAGGGGAAGAAGAAGATGCACTGGAGATTTTGGGAGTGGCTGACCTGTCACGCCCAGAAATTTCCGAATAGAATTCCCAAGCAGAATGTGCATTAAAACCCCCGTCCAGGACCGGCCGGGTACACAAACGACAAAGTTGACATACAGATCCACGTCTTACAAACATTATAAAAGTCTTACATAAATGCAGCGGAAAAACAAAAGATAACTGGAGCTAAGCCTTAACTTGATCTGTAGCGGGAACACCACTCCACAGGCATCCTCGACGGCACGGACGAAGCCTACTCCTCGGAGAAACCACCATCGGACACATACTCATACTCTGGGGTTGGGGAAAATAGAGCAAGACTGAGTACTACCCACTGTACTCAGCAAGTCATACCGGAATAGGGGTATGATGCAGGGATTTATCAAAGGAGAGCTAGAGTGGTTCATTTGCCTAAAGCGAGCATTTATAAACAAAAGTTGAAAGAAGTAAACAGTTGAAATAATTAATCAATATTAATCATCCACTGTCCAACGCTATCCCACGTTGCAACAGGCCCAGCCATCCACCTAAACTATCCAATTTCATAAGACTAAACTAGGGTGAAACTAATCACGGTGAATCTGGTTGACCGCCCATAACCGCGGGGACGGCTATTCGAATAGTTTTACTCTGATCAGAGGTGTACAACTGTACCCACAAGACACAGCCCCACGACACGTTACCGTGCGCCGACATGCCACCACGACATACCGGAAAGAGGCCGTGACAGGACCCTTCGCATAACCCCCTCTAGCCAAGCACACCACACCTCAGGTTTCACCCCCGTCCCCAGCGGGCGACGGGCAGTCCCCTCTCGTGCCTAGGTGAATCCGGAAGCGACAGAGGCCGTCGCAGGGCCCGCCCTGCTCCATCACACCCACCCTTGCCTGGATGCGTCAGCTAGAGGAAAGCTACACTACAAGCCCAGCCGTTGCCCACGCTGGCTTGTGGTAAGCACGATAAATTCTTCCAGGGTTTTCCGCGAACCGGTCCTTAATTGCCATGGGTGCGACTAGCAAAACCATGCACCCACAGCCCACCATGTGATTCATTTTAATTAATCAACACCAAAGTGGTGGTACTAATCCAACATTACCATTAGAACCTGCAGTCTATACTTTAATAGGATTTTTCCCCAATGTGTGCTAGTTGAACTAAGCATGGCTAAGCGATTCCTAGTCCAAAGTCTATTCATGTTATAACCCAAGCTAACAAGGAGCATGGTACCAAAATAGCATGGCTGGAACAATAGGTAAACATCCCATAGTATTTGTTGCAAAGCGATGCAGTATTTGAAAGAAAACATTAGAACATTTACAATATAGGATCAACATGATCAAGTGACACGCATGACTTGCCTTGCTCTGCTGCTGGAAGAACCTCGGCGACTATCTCGAAGTACACCGGAGCGTCGGGAGAACCGGAATCTAAGCGACATACAAAGCAAACAATACAAACAGGCTATAAGACTACTGAAACAGAGAACAAAACCATTTTTAATGGATTCTACACATTTTTCTTGATTTACTGAGACTTGAACGGGCTTAAACGGAGCACGGATGAATTAGTTATGAATTTTAGAAGATTCACTGTGTTTATTACTATAACAAAAGTCCTTAAATCATTTATTGCGCAATAAGCCCTAGGGCTGACGTCATCAAGGGGGGTGGCGCCGACAGGCGGGGCCCGCATGTCAGTGGCGCACGGGGTGGCCGGTCTACCGTGGACCGGGACCACGCGGGTGGTCCACCGCCGGTCCACGGGATCGACGGCTCGGATCGGCCTGGGGCCGATCGGACGGTGCGGCGGCGGCCTGGCTCGGCTCGGCTCGGCACAAAGCCGGCCGGCCGGCCATGGCAAGGGCGGCGGTGCGCGCGCGTCCACCGGCGACGGCAAGCGGCGGCAGCGGACGACGCCCCGACGGCGGCGACGACCGAAGGCGACGGCGAGCGCGGGTGGCGGCGGCGCACGGGGAAACGGGGAAGGAAAGGAAAGGGGAGGGAGTCCTCACCGGAGAGGGCGGCGACGACCGGCGACGAGGAGCGACGGAGGGAGGTCGACAAGCGGCGGACGGGGTCCGGGACGACCTAAAGAACGAAAAGGAAAAGATTAGAGAGGGAGAGAGGGGCCATAGAAGGCGGGAACACCGGCCGAAGGCGGCGGACATGGCGGCTCTCACCGTCGCACGGCGGGAATGGTGCTCCGGCGGCGAACCTCGACGGAGGAGGGGTGGACGGGGTGGATCTCGGCCACTCGAACCCAACGGCGGCGACGGCGCGGTGTGGCGGCGAGCCTAGCGGCGGCTAGAGGCGGCCGGAGTGGCGGGAAAGGCGGCGGCGGGTGGATGCACGGTGCGGGAGCGATGGAGAGCTCGGGAGAGTTCGGCGAGATGGGGAAAAAGAGAGAGGGGGTGGCGGTGGAGCTTAAATAGGGGAAGGGGAACTCGGACGTGGCCGGTAGGGGCGGGATTCGCCGGCCGACGTGGGGAGTTGGGAAGGAGAGAGAGGCGGGATTCGAAATTCGAATCCCGGCCATCTCGGGCGCGGGCGCGAGCGGGAGAGAGGGGGAAGTGGGTGCGGGAGACGCGGCGCATGACCGGGGCGGCCGACGTGGCCCGGAGGGGGCGGGACGTGGGCACGGCGGCGGTTTCGGCGGTGGTGGCGACGTGGGGGCGGGCGGCCGGAGGAAGGGGACGACCCCGACAGGTGGGGCCCACCTGTCAGCGTCCCAGGGAGAGAGGGGAGGCGGCTTGGGCCGGCCCACAAGGAGGAGGGCGTGCGCGGCGGCGGGGTGGACTGGGCCGACGGCCCAAGAAGAGGAAAAGGAGGGAAAAGAAAAAGAAAAGGAGGAAAAGATTTTCCCTGGGTTTTAAAATTGCATGTGCTCAATTTTAATTGGTTAAAATTATTTCGAGAGCTCTGAAAATTCCACTAAAAATCTTGTTAGCGAATTTCGACATGTAGAACTCAAGAAAAATTCCACATGCCAATTCCGATTATTATTTGCATTAATTTATTAAGGTTTACTCTTGCTTTAAACTGGTATTTTCTTGAGACCATTTATAACTTCAATTTAGGCTTGGGAAAGAACTTCAGGGTGTGACATGACCTCTCCAAAGTCATTGGGAGGGATGGGTTTCAGGGATTTCGTCATCTTCAACCAAGCGATGTTGAGCAAACAAGGATGGCGCCTCCTCACTGATCCAAACTCCCTTTGCACAAGGGTACTTAAAGGCAGGTATTTTCCTAATTGTTCTTTTTGGGATGCCCCCCAACCAAGATCTGCTTCTTTCACTTGGCGAAGCATTCTGTTTGGTAAGGAATTACTCAAGAAAGGAGTGGCATGGAGGGTGGGAGATGGAAAATCAATCAAGATCCTGTCAGACAATTGGATTCCTAATGTGCAGGCTGGACTGGTAAGTCCTCTTATGCATATTCCGGAGGATGCAACAGTGCAATTTCTCATGGAGGAAGGGGGGAAAGAATGGAACCACGACTTGGTGAAATATGCTTTTGATGAAGAAACTGCCAATGAGATTCTGCAAGTGCCAATAAGCCGACATGGGGGGGATGATTTCGCTTCTTGGCCACATGACAAGAGAGGTCTGTTTACAGTGAGGTCGGCTTACAACTTGGCTCGGTCAGAAGCCTTTCTTATCGACCACAACAGCAGTGGAGAAGAGGCCTCCCCTCTATCATGCATGACAATGAAACAAACTGGAAGAATCTTTGGAAGATCTGTGCACCTGGAAAGATGAAAATTAATCTATGGCGTGCTGCCCATGACTGCCTCCCGACAGGTTTTCAGCTCCGAAGGAGGCATATTGAGGCGAGGGATGGTTGTGCTTTTTGCAGCAGAGATGATCGCATTGAGCACGTGTTTCTTATGTGCCCTTTCTCTGATTCTGTATGGAAAGAGATCAAGCAGGTGTACAACATCAAGCTGGGCAGAGGAGATCTTGCTAATGTGAGATAGTGGATTTTTGACTTCCTTCGCCGAGGTTCAGCTATCCAGAACACAGTGCTTGCTGTCACCTTTTGGCATATTTGGGAGGCAAGAAACAATGCCAAAAATAATGTGGAGACTTTGCATCCGAGAAGGGTGGTCCAGAAGATAGTGGCGTATGTGGAAATGATCATGCAACACTGCGGGCCTGGGAATGTTTCTAGGCCGGCGGAACGCATTTCATTGCCTAGCTGGGTGCCACCACCGGCGGGCGTTTTCCTAATCAATACTGATGCAGCGGTGTTCCAGGCTGAGCGCCAAATGGGAGTCGGGGTGGTGATCAGAGACCAACACGGCAACTGTCTTTTGGCGGCCAACACTCGTTTCATGGGGATCACCGATCCGGAGACAGCGGAGGCTTGTGCTATCCGGCATGCGCTGTGGCTGGCCAAAGAAGAAGGCTTCCATAATGTGATTGTTGCTTGCGACTGTCTTTCTGTTATTCAAAAGCTAAACTCACCTGGGCGGGATCGCTCCAAGATTGGTTGCCTGGTTGAGGACATCAAGAAGCTTGGTGTTGAGTTTATCAGTGTTTCCTTTATCCATGTTAGTCATTGTTCTAATGTAGCGGCACACACATTAGCTCGTTGTTCTGAGCCCTCTGTCTGTAATGTTTACCATAATGAGACTCCGGACTGTATCCGTGAGATGCTCCTGTCTGATGCTCAGTAATCAATAAAGTGCCGTTTTCATCTCAAAAAAAAAAGAGTGGAAGGGTTGGGTGGTGAGGTTGCGAGAGAGATGGAGAATGTTCGAGCGTTTCTCGGGAGGGGGAAGAGGCTTCGGCACTCTTTGCTGGGTGGGGTCCACTGTCCACGCAGCGGCAGCAGGCATTCCGGTGCATGGAAACAAAAGGTCCGTTTTACCAAGAATTTTGCAAAATGTCCCAAAAAAAAGAATTTTGCAAAATGCTTACCCTTGTTTGGCAGTCCAATAAGCCCTTACTTGGACCCTCCCCTCCGGGACCGAGATGAAGGAGAATTCTCACCCGTGGATGAGCAGAGGTGGAGCTTCATAATTTTCCGGGGACTAGGCTGGGGATGGTAAATTACCCATGGGTGACTCGACAAGACCCTTGACTATTAGTTATATGTTTAAAAGTAGTCCACTCAAAAAAATATAGGTCCAATATATATAAAACCTAACCTTAATACACAGCCCTCTCCCTCACCCAATCCCCAGATCCTCCTCAACCATTCCACTGTCGTTATCTCTAGTTCCCAATCCCCATCCGACCATCCCCAACCGTCGGTTGCACCTCCCCATCTTGTTAGCCTCCTCGTTGTGTGCCCCGTCGTCGCCACCTGCCTTGTTACGTGCCCGCGCCCCCTCGTCGTTGGCGTCCTCATCACTGGTCATCTCGTTGCCGCCCGCCTTGTCGTACGCCCATGTCGTCAACCGCCTCACTGCACACCCCCTCGTTGCCAGACTCCTCATCGTCATCCACCCCCTCATCACTGGCCGTCTCGTCACCATCCGCCTCCTCTTCTCTGGCCACCCTGTTGAGCGCCCCTCATCGTTGGGTCGCCTCATCGTCATGCCGCGTCGCCGCTCCTCCATCATGCCACCTCGTCGACGCACCATGCGTTGCCTTGTCGGTTGCCCTCGAGCTGACTCTTAGTCGGGTTGCGGGGCCACGAGGGGCCGGGGGCAAGGACTAATTTCGCTCCGGTAATCCCTCCAGGGTTGGGGGTAGGGATACCAGAGGATAGCAGGGGCGGGGGTGTTCCAACCCAACCCACCTTGGTCCCATTCCGTTGCCACCCTTAGGAATCAAGACCAAGAGGTCAAAAGCTCCATCGATTGGCCATGAGCTAATTATAATCCAAAACGGCTTATTAATGAAGAAAAATAATTTATAGATCAAATTTTTATATTTGTATTTTTAGCGACGTAAACAATGCTAAAAAGAAACAACATAAAAACATAATCTAAAATTAACTCCAAAAATTAAGTTATATAATTCAAAATTTGTTAGTAGCGATTTCATAGAGGGCAAACAATGAGAGTTGAAATTGGAATCACAGAAATATCTCTACTACGATAAAAGGACAGTCGTCCTCCCTTCCCTTCTTTCCTTCCACAATCCTCATTGCGCACCTCTTCCCTTTGCCAATCTCAACATAGCGCGCGAGCGCACTAATGGAAGTTGAGAAAGAGGAGCTCGTAGGAACAAAATGGTTGGCGAGCACTCAAAAAGGGAAGGCTAAAGGTGAGAAGTGAAACCACAAGTGAGAAGTGATCAAGAAGGAAGAAAAATGGATAGAGAGAGGAAGAGGAATTCTATATCTATACATTTTATATAGTTGGTACCCACTAGAAATTATTAGAAGCTAAATCTCAACATGCAAGTATACTATATAATCGCCCACTAGTCATTATTATTATAAAGCATCTTAAATCACATGTAAGCATGATATATCATATCTATATATCCTATATAGTTTGCACCAAAAACTAAACATGCATTAGCCACATCACCCACAAAACTAGAGCCACCGGATCATTTTCATGAGCCATCACAACCATCCAATAGACATTAAATATCAACAGTTATCATTTTTCATTGATTATGAGTAAACTCAACATTCTTTAACCACTTAGCATAGTATGCAGTAAAACACCACTACAATAAGTATTTCATTTTTCATATGTGAGGTGTTTTTATAGGTACATAGTATTTATCACGTCTATACATTGAAATTTTTTAGCTGCACTACACACATGAATAGTTTGCCGCAACACGCGGGGTATTATCTAGTATAAGTAATTATTAAAAGCTAAAACTCAACATACAAGTATACCACATCATCACATCATCACCCACTAGCCATTACCATATATCATTTTAAAATACATGCAAGTAATGTATCATATAAAATATAATATTATAGAGTTTAACATATAAGTATGTTAAATCATATTTATCACATCATTTTTACAATATTTAACACTCATCATTTCTATAATATTTACCATGTATGCATCCATTTATTTTGTAGCAAAAGCCGGGTATCATCTAGTATCAATAAAGTTTATCCCCATTAAGTGTAGTTAAATACTAATTTTGTATTCTCTCATGAAACCACATCGCCTCAATTATTTTTAGTCATTGGAAGATTCATCAAGGATGCAAATTGCATCCCTTCTCCACAAAACCACACCGTACAACTCAATCATTTATTATTTTTGGATAATTAATGAAATACAAAAGGTATAAACACATGAAGGAAAATCATATAGTAAGTTATAATTTTTTTTACAATTTATATATACTATTTTACAACATAATTCTCTCGCATCAATGTATGGAATTACCATCTATTAGAGCATGTTTGGCACAGCTCCAGCTTCAGCTCCATCTCTCTTAGAGCTGGAGCTCAGCCAAACAGTTTTAGCTCCACTTAAAATGGGAGTAGAGCTCTCTCACAAAATGAACTAGAGAGGTGAAGCTAGGTTTAGGCAGATCCACAACTCTACTCCAAACCCAACTCTTGGAGCTAAATTTAAGAGTTTGAGCTCTACCAAATATGCCTTTAATGTAGTGAATGATAGGTGGGGCCTACTATATCTCTTGCATTTTTCTTTTTCCCTTTTGCTAAATCTATTTAAAAGTTTAAGGGTGAACAGGTATGGTTAACTTATATTCTTTTCGACGTACATCTAGTTGTTACCTCACTAAGGAGGCTATCAGACGGCTTATTGGAGAATAAGTCAAACGGCATATTTACAAATGAAAAATAATTCACGAATAAAATTTTTATATATGTATTCTTAAGGATCTAAAAGCAAATGCTGAAAAATCAACTCCAAATTTAAGGTTGAAATTTTAAATTTTGGCTGGTAAGTATAAGTGGAAAGATAAGCCTTAAATCTTGTGCACCAACTTAATTAGATCCATATTATAAATTATTTTACAGAATCGTTTAATTCTGGGTGTTTGTGTTAAAATATCAATTATTGAAGAACAATGCATGTTACGACAACACTGTGACAACCTATACCGAATCAAATAACCTCTCTTTGTTACTAATCTAAAAAACCCCGATTTTTTTACATCTAAACACACGCAACACCGTATTTCCAAATACAAGCACGCCAAACACACATTTAACTTTGTAGGCACTAGGCAGGATGCTACTTGAGTGGTGATTTCTATTGAACTGTTATGAGCAAAACTAATTGGATGCTGAATTGATGAGTACTACATACGTATACGTATACACCAACAGCTTACCTCCAATTGGCCCGTTGGCTTTTGTTTCAGAAATCAGAACAACATGGCCCTGTATTTTCTCCAGCAAAAGTTGGATTAAATTTTAGATACTCGTGGCATGCTTTTCAAACTGCTAAACGGTATGTTTTGTGCGAAAACTTTCTATATAAAAGTTGTTCAAAAATACCAGATTAATCTATTTTTCAAGTTTGAAATAATTAAAAATCAATTAATCACACGTTATTACAACCTCGTTTTACGTGAAACACTTAATCTTCATCTTTATCTTTATCTTCAGGATATTCAAACACCACCATAGTACGTGTAACATTTTTTCTACAATTCAAATCTAATTCATCCATAAGGATCATCAAAATTAATCATAATTTGTGCTAATTAGTAATCTTCATTTGTTTTGCATACTAGTTTTGCATATCAATCAGCTTTCAATCGTAACATATACATTTTTGAGTGTAATCTAAATATAGTAAGGCACATGATTGCTTTTGGTTGGCAAAGAAGAGAGTATTTTTTTTAAGAAGGCGAAGGAGAGTTATCAAGGCTGATGATTCCTGCACGTTACAGCGAAAAGCACTTTAATCTCTTGGACATTTAGTTAAACAAACAACTCATTTGTTTTGACCAACATCAGGTCAACCGGATCGACGTGGTCACGTAGGCATGTTGCTTAGAAACAAAAATTCAAAAATTATGTACTCAAATTCGTAATTAAAAGGTTGCATGTGCTTAAATACCAAAAAAAAAAGAGGAAAAAAACCCAAAAGTAAAAAAAAAAACAGCAGAGATAATCGTATTCGTGCCCAAGCCGTACGGCCAACGAACTGATGCACGAATCTTAAAGCAACGAAACCCCACTATAATACTCCCCATCTCCCCGAAAACCCCCTTCCAAAAAACCGCAAAATCTCACCGAATCTTTCGCCGTCTCCGAGGCTTGCACAACTCTTCTTCCTCATCTTCCGCCGCGGGCGGCGACGGCGGCGGCGGCGGCCATGGCGGCGGCGGAGCAGAGCGCGGAGCAGTTCAGGGGCCAGGCGAGGCTCCCGGGGTTCGCGGCGCCCCGGCGGTACGACCTGCGGCTCGTCCCCGACCTCGACGGGTGCGCCTTCACGGGATCTGTGGACGTCTCCGTCGACGTCACGGCGCCCACCAGGTTCCTCGTGCTCAACGCCGCCGAGCTCGAGGTCTCCCCCGGGGGCGTCCAGTTCAAGCCCCATGGCGCCGAGCAGGTAGATATAGATTCGCTTTGGTTTCTCCCTGGCGCTTTGGGTGGTGGCCGGCCGTGGGTTCGATCTACTCGCGTGAGGGTGGGGGGTTTGGGCGTGACAGGTATATGTTGTTTTCGGTGGATTAAGGGTTTGATCTCTCGAGTCGAAAAATTAGGGGGAAGTTGACATTTACTTCAGTTATCGGAACTTGTTAGGGCTTATGTTTTTTTTTCTACTAAAAATGTCTTTGGATATTTCGATCTTTTTATAGCCTTTATTGTAGGCCTCATGATCTTGCATCCTAAGGGTTTTAGATTTAGATAGGGGGTCGTTGCCGCAGTTGAAAGTGTCAGGAAATCGGGATGTGATTTAATTATTTAGAATACTCATAATAAGTAGAAGGCCTGTGCTTGTAATAGTTAGCTTCAATTTAAGGTTTGTGTTTCCATATCTTTAATTTGGTAGGTTGAGGTTAGAGCCAAAATAATGATGGCTAGGAAGTAGCGATCTTTATTTTTTTGGGCCGAGGATGGTTTTGCAAATAATATCCTAGCATTTTGTTATGTATTTTCTTCATAAGGATCGTTTTATCTTTTGCATTAGGAGCTGCACCCAGCGGAGGTTACCAATGTGCCAGAGGATGAGATCCTGATTATCCGCTTCAATGAGGTTCTTCCTGTAGGGGAGGGAACTTTAGTAATTGCATTCAAGGGAACTCTGAACGACAAGATGCATGGCTTCTACAGAAGGTACTCATTTTGTGGTGAAAAGGTTTACTTGTAAATATTTTGTCTCATGTACATAAACTCTGTAAATATCTTTTATTAAATCTTAATATACTGTGGGGGCCTCTCCTCCCTGGTTTAAAAAAGTTTATTTGTAAATTAATAAATATATATATGTAATGTATTGTGTTGTCTCTAGTGTGTATGAACTCAATGGGGAGAAGAAGAACATGGCGGTAACCCAGTTTGAACCTGCTGACGCAAGGCGTTGTTTTCCTTGTTGGGATGAGCCCTCTTTTAAGGTCTACACTTCCTTGCCTTTTTTTTTGACTCCTGGTATCTCAAGCTAGTACTATATGTGTTATTTTTATTTCTGCTTCATGGGGAATAAGTGTTTTGGGCCATGCATGGTGCTTACGTTCAATCTCACTCAGTGTGATGTCTAGTTGAGGACAAAACAAATTATGTCCCTAAATGGACATATTGTGCCACGTGGGCTTCAGTTCTTCTTGTTATCGCTTCATGGAGTCCATGGAATTTTTTTTGGTGCTATCTCATTTGTTATCCCCAAGTTTGATGGTTAGGATTTAAATTCGTTAGGGTTAGTTATGTATTTTCACTTTTTTTTTTACCTTCCATAGCTTTGGATGATATAAACTGAACAGTCACTCCACATGTTCGATTCATCCTTAAACTCTAGGGTATAGACTGATTACATGTTGCCTGATTTCATCTTTATATATGAGTTATGAGTAGACGAGTGTCTAGTGCCCATTGGATATAATGATATAGAGCAGGGCATGCATTGTTTGATTTTGTTGCTCATTTTCTGAACCTATGCCATATTTGTTTTCCTTCTGGAATCAAAATAGGTCTAGAATAACATCTGCAGTTCATCCTTTACCATACCAAAGAAAACTACATCCTGACTCTCTGCACCAACTGGTTAAAAGTGCATATGAAGAGGAGTTAAATATTAAGGGACTTTAGGTTAAACAGAAAATATAATGTGGGTTTAATCTCTCCTTCTTCGTTACAGGCTATATTCAAAATTACTCTAGAAGTTCCGTCTGAGACCGTTGCATTGTCAAACATGCCAGTGGTTGAAGAGAAGGTCAATGGCCTTATCAAAGCTGTCTATTTTCAAGAAACACCAATAATGTCAACATACCTAGTGGCTGTTATTGTTGGCATGTTCGACTATGTGGAAGCTTTCACCACTGATGGTACTGTAACTCTTTCATTATCTCACTATCACACCTATTTTAGCTTTCACCTTTTTGTGGCTCATGTCTTGAATTTAATTGGCCTTGTCTTTATTTTACTTTCAGGCACTAGGGTTCGTGTTTACACTCAAGTTGGCAAGAGTGCCCAGGGAAAGTTTGCACTAGAGGTTGCTGTGAAGACACTGGTCCTCTTCAAGGAGTAATTATCTGTTCCTCTGCCTTAGTATTGATTATTTGATTAGCAGAGTTATCTTGTGCAGTTATGCTGCTATTACAGTGCTCATTAGACATTGATTATTTTTGATACCAGTAGTATTGCTGAGGAATTTCTGGAACTTGTCGTTGCCAAATAAATGCCATTGAATGATACTTATATAGTCTGCCTCTCTCTCTCTCTCTCTCTCTCTCTCTCTCTCTCTCTACATATGCAAATCTGCAAACTTTAACTTCTGCAGGTTGACAGATATATTTCATTCTATTGGAAAACCTTTTTTCTATATCTATTAGAGTCAAATCAAATATTACATTATGAGCTATTTCTGGATGTTATGAGTTTTAGAAGAGGCATTCAAATGATGTATCATTTCATAGTTATATAATTTGAGGAACTGTTAAGACTTGAGACATATGCATCAACCCTTAATTGACTTACTGTCATAAATGATCCAGCTGATGACAATTCCTTTATGTTGCTAGGTATTTTGCTGTGCCATACCCACTCCCAAAAATGGACATGATTGCCATTCCTGATTTTGCCTCTGGAGCAATGGAGAACTATGGCTTGGTTACATATCGTGAAACAGCTTTGTTATTTGATGAGAAACACTCTGCAGCTGCGAATAAGCAAAGGGTAGGACACTATTTTAATTTTATTATTTTGATTATTTATGCTAAGATTGCAATATGATTCATGGTCACCATTACACATGATTTATCCACCCAATTTGATTTATCAGCTAAACAAATGTTGATCTGATGGTGTGACCAGAAATTTTTCTTATCAGCAAATTAATAACTGGATAGTACACCGATGGGTCCTTTGAGTCATCATTTAAAGATTTAATAATTTCTGATATTCATATCTGTTTTGGTTGTCATGTTTAATTGATACCATCCTTCTGTAAGATACGTAGCTAATCTCTTATTCCACTGTTCAGGTTGCAGTTGTGGTAGCCCATGAATTAGCTCACCAGTGGTTTGGAAATCTTGTGACGATGGAGTGGTGGACACACCTATGGCTTAACGAGGGTTTTGCGACATGGGTAAGAACAAAACAATCAAGAGTACAAATATATAGAAAATTTACATTTTTATGTTGCTCATTTGATTTTTTCCTTTTGCAGGTCTCCTACTTAGCTGCAGACAATTTCTTTCCTGAATGGAATGTTTGGACCCAATTTCTTGAGGAATCTACAACAGGTTTCAAGTTAGATGCCCTTGCAGGGTCACATCCAATTGAGGTAATGTTTGATATATAGCTGCATATTTCTAATAATAGGTTTGTTTTCATCTAACTGTTTTTTCAGTTTCATTTAAGTTTTCTTAAAAAGCACTTAAAAAATTTTACTATACTTTTGATGCCAGTGTTACCAAGATCTTTCATTGCAAACTTACACTAAGACTTACATCGCAAATTTATGTATGCTATTTTCAGGTCGACGTAAATCACGTTGATGAAATAGATGAAATATTTGATGCTATAAGCTACAGGAAAGGAGCTGCTGTTATTCGGATGCTGCAAAGCTATCTTGGGGCTGAAACTTTTCAGGTTTGTGATGCATGTACTAGTGTGCTGCCCCATGTAGTGCTACAGTTTTCAAATAAATACGTACTGTAAATTCTAATTTTACAAAACACCAAACGACTATCTTCAAATCTAAAACTAAACTGGCCAAGTAGGCATGTACATACATACATGTGTACATGGTTTAATATTTAAAAAGATCTTACAAATGATACACTCTTTGATTATATAACCACAGGATTAGCATAAACTCACTATAACTACCGCTGGTCCTCTTTTAAATTCTAGACCAGAGATGTTCCCTTTGTTATTTTGGAAAATACAAATGGATGGCAGAATGGTCGCTTTTTATATTTGTTTTTTTAAAGACTGTTTATCAGCCTGCATAAGCTTTTTATTAGGACCTTAATATTTGCAGTAGTATGTTACCTGAGGAATTAACTAGGCGCAGAATTAGTTATTACTAATAATATTCTTTGGAACACAAGTTTGCATGAGGTTTCATTTTTTGCTTCTCATTGGAAATAAGAAGTTTGTTTGTTCTTTTTGCTAGAAATCTCTGGCCGCATACATCGAAAAGTTCGCATATTCAAATGCCAAGACTGAGGACTTGTGGGCTGCCCTTGAAGAGGGGTCTGGTGAACCAGTGAAAACATTAATGCATTCATGGACAAAGCAGCAAGGGTACCCTGTTGTTAATGTGAAGCTCAAGGATGGAAAGCTAGAGATGGAGCAGGTAAGACTTTCCTTTCTTTTTTCACTATAAGGTGGACTTCCTTCCCTCTATCTAACCCTTTTTGCATCCTAAAAAAATATTATTGTTTCTATTTGGAGGATTTGTGATTAGCACCTGGTCTTATCTCTTGCAGACACAGTTCCTATCAAGCGGGGCTGAAGGAGTTGGGCAATGGGTGGTTCCCATCACACTGTGTTGCTGTTCGTACTCACGTCAAGAGAAGTTCCTTTTTAATGGAAAGCAAGAGGATTTTAATTTGTCAGGGCTTGTAGAATGTCAAAAGAAAGAAGACTTCTGGATTAAACTTAATGTCAATCAGACTGGCTTCTATAGAGTGAGCTATGATGAGGAACTTGCATCTCGACTTAGATATGCAATTGAAGCCAACAAACTGAGTGCAGCAGACAGATATGGTAAAGTTCTTACAGAAGCATCTTATAAGTGGATGTTACCCTGCCCAACTGTTCTTACAATATTATTGTTTGGTACAGGTGTACTTGATGACACATATGCCCTCTGTATGGCTGGCAAACAGAAGCTAGTCTCCTTATTGCATTTGATTGCTGCGTACAAGGATGAAACCGAGTATACTGTGCTCGCCCGTGTCATAGATGTATAGATCTTTCTACCCGACAAATGTTTTTGTTAGATTGATTCTGTTCTAAGCATTTCAATTCTTGGCTTGATAGACAAGTCTGAGCATTGTCGAGATGGTGGCTGTTGCTGCTCCTGAGGGGTTGGGCAAGCTGAAAAAGTTCCTGATTGACTTTCTTGAGCCATTTGCACAGTAAGTTCTGTATGATGCCATTCCATAGTGGAAGAATATTTTGTTCTACAACCTCCTAAACATTCAGGAATCCTTTGCAGGAGAATTGGTTGGGATGCTAAAAGCGGTGAGGGTCACTTGGATGCATTATTGAGAGGTACACTTTTAACTGCTCTGGCAGAACTTGGCCATGAAGCTACAATAAATGAAGCTGTACGCCGATTTAACATCTTTGTGGAAGATAGAGAAACACCACTACTCCCTCCAGATGTTCGAAAGGTTAGCATTGTAATTTACTGCACATTATGTTGGGGTTATTTGTTAATTTTATATCTCATTAACAGGAATAGTGTTATTTGTTAATTTTATATCTCATTAATGAAGTTGAGTTTGTTCATGAAACTTTGTAGGGTTGTTTATTTACATATTACCTACATGTGTGATTCTTTTTGAGATTTTTTGAAAATTTTATAAAAAAGTTTCCAAGTTTCTGCCTAAGATGTGGTTTCCACCATGTATTTTTCCCATTTGTATAGCTATGTAACTATGCGAACTATCTGCACTCAGATCTTCTTTTTAACCATCTTCCTGTTTTGTAGGCGGCATATGTTGCTTTGATGCAGACAGTGAACAAATCAAACAGAGCCGGCTATGAATCACTATTGAAGATCTATAAAGAAACTGATCTGAGCCAGGAAAAAGTCAGAATTTTAGGTTAGTCAAATATGCATTTAATATTTATTTTGACATAGGTGACATTGTCTGTCTGAAGTTGGGACTTGGGACCTTTTATAAGTTCTGTTCCTCCTTATGTAGGTTCTCTAGCATCTTGCCCTGATCCTGATGTTGTTCGTGATACACTGGACTTCATGCTGTCACCTGAGGTAAATACGGGAATCAGTAAACACCTTCACATTCTACATGATACAGCCAAAACTTTATCTCATGTGATAAGCATAACTCACAACATTTTATGAATGAACAGGTGAGGAATCAGGACTCTATATTTTTGCTTAGAGGAGTCGGTGCAGCGGGACATGAGGTGGCATGGACATGGTTGAAGGTGCTTACAAATATGTTATTTTCCTCGATTCGCCTTTCTACTTCCTGTTTCTTCTACTGACACCATGCTTCTTTATGGTTCAGGAAAAGTGGGACTACATTTCAGACACCTTCTCTGGAACTCTTCTCACCTATTTCGTTTCCACCACCGTCTCACCGGTACACAGTACACCTTATTTTCAACGTGCTCACATACACATGCCATTATCGTTACATTGTAAATTTTCCTGACTCGGTGTCGAAAATTGTTCCAGCTGCGCACCGATGAAATGGGCGACGACGCGGAGGAGTTCTTCAAGAGCAGGACGAAGGCCAACATCGCGAGGACGGTGAAGCAGAGCATCGAGAGAGTGAGGATCAATGCCAAATGGGTGGAGAGCACCAGGGCCGAGGCTAACCTGGGCAATGTCCTCAAGGAAATTTCTCACGACCACTGAGACGACCGATCTTTTCCTGCGCCGTTGTCTTAGCGTGTAAGATGCGTACTCTCCAGCAACAAGTTAGTAATAAGAACTTGGTGGGTTAGACGACCTGTTGCATGCCCCTGATACTTGCATCTATGGACCAGTTTCTCCAGGTTATGTCAGTTTGATAGATGCAATTGCAATTTGCATGGAGTATTTGATAGGGACATCCGGACATGAATTGCATGCAAATGTTGCCCTGGCAGTTCAACATTGCCAGAATCTGGGAAATTAATGAGCATCTTTCGTACACAATCGAGCATTCTTACGTCAAATATTAGGGCTACGAGGCCCTGACTGCAAATATAAAAAAGATACTCCCTCCATCCCATAATAATTTCACTTCTAATATTTTAAATCTATGCCATAAAAAGGCGTATTTTTAGGTTATGGTTTATTAGAGGTCGATCTCATTGAATTCACGCGTATAGTCCAATGGGAAAACAAATTTATCCGTGTCATTGGTAAAAGTGTACTTTGTTGGACTGATGGAGTATGATAAGTATTATGAAAGATATTAGCCGTTACTAAATTATATCCAGCAACAATAATGATTCTACTTCATCCGTTTCAAAATGTGGCTATTTATAGCACAGTTTCGTGTTCCAAAATAAAACTATTTCTCCATCTATCTCCTCATCTCAACCAATCATAACCATTCTTTTCCACCTATTTTCTCTTTTCAATCAATCACACATTTCCTCTAATACTCGTGCCAATCTTAAAAATGTCTACATTTTAGGACGAAGGAAGTACTCCTTCCGTCTCATTTTAAATGCAACTGTAAGTTTTCGCACATAATTTTGATCATTTGTCTTATTTGAAATTCTTTTTATAATTAATATTTTTGTTGTTTATGAGATGATAAAACATGAATAGTACTTTACTCGTGACTTATGGTATTTTTTTCAATTTTTTTTAAATAAGACGTACGATTAAAGTTGGACGCGGAAAACCATAGATGCACTTAAAATTGGACGGAGTAAGTATTTTTTTTTAGCATCCTACTCCCTAGCTAACTAGTACTAGAACTAGTACTACTACTCAGGGCAAGTGCTATGGTAGATGTGACTACCATCTCTAAATTTATCTATTTTATTCACCCATGAACTAAGAGACAACCCATACAATCAATGCATCACCTGTAGTACACAAATACCAATATCTCTGATACTTTCACATCTTTCTTAAAATTTGTGTGGAGGTTACCACTTAATTTAGGGTGATATTTAACTATTTGCTTATAGTACTTGCCCTCAGTTCTTGAATATTAGCTACCTCTATTCTAAAATACAAATATGGAAGTTTTATAAAATATTAGCTATCTCTATCCCAAAATAAAGAATATAGTGACTTGTTAGTTTGTTATATTTTTCCATTGTAATGTACTACCTCCGTCTCAAAATAAGTGTAGCCGTGGAAATCCGTGTCCAACATTTAACTATTTGTTTTATTTAAAAAATTTATAAAAAGGTTTTAAAAAATAGTCACATAAAGTATTATTCATATTTTATCGTCTAGGGCCTATTTAGATTGTAGCCAAAATAAACCTTACCAAATTTTGACAAGATGACAATATTGCTAAAATTTTAGCATGATTTCTTATGTATTTACTAAATTTGGCAACAAACTAAACGTATATATTTTATTTAACTTTATAAAAAAAGATGGTATGATTGAAAATGACATGTAAGTGAACATGCCTCTAATAACAATAAAAATAATAATCATAAAAAAAAATTAAATAAGACGGGACGGAGGGTGTATGAGCTACTTCTATCCCAAATACAGAGACGGAGGACGGGGAGAGGCGAGCAACGAGCGGGCGGCGACGGGGGACGACGGGGCGGAGAGAGGAGGAGGAGGCGACGGCGCAGAGGATTCTCCGGCGCCGCCCGCCCTCCCGCACGCTCGCAGCTCGCAGCTCGTGGCGCCGTCCTCCCCCCGTCGCTGCCCGCCGCCCGCCGCTATACCATCCCATTCTTGCCGCCCGGGAAGACACTCAGCCCAATCCCATGCGCCTGTACAGTTGTGCGGGAGGAGCAAGGGCCAAGAGCACGGCACCTGCCCCTCGGCATCGGACACGCTGGCCTCCTCACTGCTCTCTCCTTCTTGTGCTTGTGCAGGCAGGAGGTGATTGAACAAAACCGCAACCGCCCCCTTGTGCTCTTCTACTGATTTTGCTTCTGCACTTGTTTGTTTCAGTCTTGATTTTGGTGATGTACAATATACTATGCCTATGACCCTCATTGCAGTCTGTATATAATAGGATAAGATGCACAAATCAGAACAGGATGGTTTTATTTTTTTTAGTACAGGATTTAGAATTTATAACTGTAAATGTTCTGAAGCCAGATTTCATCAAAATGGTAGGAATATATTATTGGTCCTCTTGATTGTCAGCCTCTTGTAAGTTGCGACTTGCCTTTTCTAGTGTATAAACTTTTTTAGCACTCCTTATAGCATGTTCTGAACAATCCCTCTATTAACGATCTCTTGTTTTTATGAACATGTTTGGAGCCCTTGTTATATAATTCTTGATTTCTGTAATCTCTGAGTTTCTTAGTAAATTTATGTTCAGGCGGAGGCTATGTCCAATTACTCCCTTTTGTGTGAATACTATTGGGCTAGGCCCCCAGAAGCTGGGTGTATTTTTAAGAGGATTGTATGGTGAGTAGATAAGGGCCAGTTAAAATTATGTTCTCCTTGTTGTTCAAAGGTATTTGTGTTTTTTAAATCTGATCTTCAACGTTTCTGCATAGGCTACATTTGCTGCAAGCTAGAGAGAGCTATTGTGCGTCGGATTGGGAGCTCACATGCCATCAGGAAACTAGATTTCTGTTTAACTTGTGTCCCATGGTTAGATAAATGCATGCGCCAAGTTTAGTAATGACAAAGTGCTTCCATCTTGCTAAAAATAGTGAAATAAAATTAATCGAAAAACTTTGGCACTGCCTACCCAAACTGACTCTTTAATTTGATCTTGGTACATGAGTTCAATTTTGGTGCCAACAAATTGACTTGTTTTTCCATGAACCCATGCATTTAATTGATGATACTTACAAGTTGTCATTTTACGAGTGAGAATTGTTTGAACAGGTATGATAATCATAGGAGGTCCCATCAAAGAAAAGTTTTTTTTTTTCGAATGTGGTATTTACATTCTGTTGCAACACACAAGTACTTGGCTAGTCATAGAAGCAAACCAAAAGTTTTCTCTGGCGATGACAAAGATGCGCAAAACATGATCTGAGAACCAAAGGCTGCTCATCACCCACTTGGCATCTTGGGCATGTCACATTACATACAGAAATGCATTGCCTTAATCTTTCCTTTACATGGTTTAATTTTCTCCTCTTAATCATCTACATGCTAATGATTAATCACCCAAACTATGTTGCGCCATTAAGTAACATCATCAGCTCAGCTGCAGTCCACACAGAGCGAAGGCAGCAGCAGCAGTGCCTTTTAATCATCTATACATTGCAGCTGCAGGTGCAGCAGCCATGGAGGATGGAGGCAGCAGAGACTCTGATCATGGCGTGGAGACGTCGTCGCCGCCGAAGCTGTAGGGAGCGGAGCTGGAGCAGGTGGTGCTGGTGCTGCTGACCTTGGAGGCGTCGTACTCCTGGCTGAGGCAGCGCAGCCGGTTGAGCTCCGGCAAGATCTCCTTCCCGAGGTCCGGCCGGTCCTTCTTCCTCAGCTCGGCGCACCGCAGCGCCAGCTTGGCGAACACCAAGGCCTCCTCCACCGGCCAGTCGGTCACCATCGGGTCGAGCACCTCCTGGAAGGTCCCCCTCTCGATGGCGCTCTCGACGTGGTGGGTGAGCCCCATGGGCGACCTCGCCGTGATGATCTGCAGCAGCAGGATCCCCAGCGAGTAGATGTCGGACATGGTGGTCAGCATCCCGGTCTGCTGGTACTCCGGGTCGATGTAGCAGAAGGTGCCCGCCGTCGAGGTCATCCGGTACTGCGTGGCCTCGGCGGCGGCAGCGGACTGCGGGACGAGGCGGGCGAGGCCGACGTCGCTGATCTTGCTGACGAAGTTGTGGTCGAGGAGGATGTTGGCCGGCTTCAGGTCGCGGTGGACCAGCGGCTCGGGCTTCGCCTGGTGGAGGAAGAGGAGGCCGGTGGCGATGTCGGCGGCGATGCGGAACCGGATGTTCCAGGGGATCGGCAGCGTCTTCCCCCGCCGGCACAGCCGGTCCTCCAGGCTGCCGTAGTCCATGTACTCGTACACCAGGCACCCGTACTCCGGGCATGCTCCCAGCAGCAGCACCATGTTTGGATGCCTCATGCAGCTAAGCACTTCTATCTGAACAACAAAATAAATAAATTACAACTTATTCATCACCATGCAGTTTATTAATTACTCCCTCTGTTTCAGATTATGAGTCGTTTTGACTTTGGTTAAAGTCAAACTGTTGTAAGTTTGACTAATTTATTAGTCTATAATTAGTTCTATTAAATCTATAATTGAATATATTTTTATAATATATTTGTCTTGGGTTGAAAATATTATTATTAATTTTCTGTAAATTTGGTCAAACTTGAAGCAGTTTGACTTTGACCAAAGTCAAAACGACTTATAATATGAAACGGAGGGAGTAATTAGCTTGATCATGACATGACTATCTTTTGCATAATTGACATCATATATTTGATCTGCCCAAAAAAAAGAAGAAGAAACTCTCACTACATGCAGTTTATGAGCTTGGTTATAACTATCGTTTGCATAATTGACATGCAGATAATTTAGATATTTGAATGGTAAATATGGGTAGGAAGATAAAATGTCTTCAAAAACATATGATTGAAATAATGATGTTCTGAACTAACTCATTGTCAGATCATTAAATCCTTCAAAAACAAAAAAGAGAAAATTTGCTTCCTGATGGTGAGAGAAAATATTGCATTCAGTTTTAGTTTGGTTGTACTAATATGTTAACTCAAAACAACCCTGAATATACTGAAAAGATGAAGAATTTACTAGATACTCCTATATTAGATTTACCTCTTGCTGAAACTGTTTCCTCCCTTGTGATGCATCTGGCCTTAAGATTTTAATGGCGACATTAGTATGATCCATGACAGCTTTATACACCGGCCCATATCCACCTTCCCCTATCTTGAGTGCCTTGTCAAACTTATGGGTGGCAGCTTCAATGTCATCAATGGAATACCTCCTGTACCTTAAATCAGTGTTGTTCATTGCTTCTGTTGCTCTCTTCCTCTCCTCGGCTTCGCGCTTCGCCTTCCACTCTGCTCTCAGTCTCTTCTGAGCCTCCAGCTCTGCAATTCTCTGTGCAGCCTCTGCTGCTTCCAGTGCGGCTCTGCACTTTGCCTTCTCCATTTGGACCAGAGCAAGGGCTTCCTCTTCAGCATTCCTGAGTTCTTGGTACTTCTTGGACTCTTCCATCTTCATCTGGTGCATCTGAGCAGCCTGCTGATTTGATCATTATTCACTATTGTTTCAAAATATTTCAGATAATAGTTGAAATTTACAGCGACATAGAAGTGGGCAGACCTTCTGTTTAGCATCAATTGCTTCCTTGCATGCGGAGTTGTACATTTCCATTGTCTGCTTCAGCTCTAGTCTCAGCCGTCTCATTTCCGTTTCGACATCCTTCTGAATTTCAAACGACACAAAAATAAGAGTTGATCAAAGTCCAATACTCTAAAAGATTCCAGATCACCAAGATTTTGATCAACTGCAGCAAAACTGATGTTGCCGGTGTGCTTGCTTACCCCAGCTGAGCTTAGGCTTTCGATGGACATTGATGCGGAAAGCGAAAGCTCCAAAGAATCGCCGAAGTCCATCGATGGCAACTCCAAGCTCAAAGGAAAATCAACATCATCTGAAAAGGAGCTACGGGTTACCGAGGGCCTTGGAGGAGCTATGAAGTCGATATAGTCGTCGAAATCCTTTGGGGGTGCTGATCTAGCTCCAGAGAGAGGCCTTTCCCTGGTTGGAGCTTTTGCAAAGCCAGATAGTCGGTCCACCGATGGTCTGTTTGCCTTTGGAGATGATTGATTGGAAATCTTCTTCCAGTCTCCTCTTGATCTGTTCAGCAAACCCGGAACATGATTTCGTATTATGTTAGCAAGTTCAGAAGGTAAACCGAGTGACATGACTGATAAACATATCTATATCTACTTATTTGCATACAGGTGTTTAGATTTTAGAATCTGATTACTTCAAACCATTTTGCAATGTAATTATTGAGTGAAGCGATTATTCCTTATCGACAAACTTACCTCGGATATCCATCAGATTCTATGCTTGACTGTGAGTACTGTTTGGGAGGGAGAGTGGTAAAGGGTGCTGGGGCTTTGGCTGCCTTGACTTGGATTGCCTTCCCTTTGTGGATGACATGCACTGTGCAGTAATCAGGCACCATCTTCATCAAGCATGTTGGCACATCAGGATTTCTGAACTTTCTGCAGGACACGAGGTTCATGACTGTGTTCAGTTATTACAGGTTATCAAGGGATTGGGGAATGGTGCACAGCACAGCCATGGAGGAATGAACAGTCATGCACCTGATGAATGTGTTCCTCGTCGACGCCCCGACGACGATGTCGGTGATGGCGTTGCTAGTGGCATACTCGACTATTGCTTTGGAGATGTCACTGCCATCCAAGATCACTTCCTTCAATTGCATCTGCAGTTTGCAATGTAAGTATTTCTTGAGCTTATTTTGTTCCATTTGATTTTGTTATTGTCATCTTATTCTAGTAGTGAAAAAAAAACATGTATCTGATAAGATAGTAGTATATATATTGGGGCAATTATATATTCTATTGGCACTCACCCCTTTACGAGCACAATAGCCTCTGTATGAGATGAACATCTGTTGCATCTCTGCATCCGCTCCTGCTTCAGCTGCAGCATGAAGAAATTTGTTGATGAAATTAAATAAACCAGGGTAAATTGGAGAAAAATACATAAATTAGCTACCGGAATCTAACAAACTATATGCAGAATTTTGAAAGAATGCGTATTATCGACAAAATCATGCCCATTTTGTCGTGTCTGAATTTTCCATCTTCCTACAAACTTCCATTGCATGATGGCAAAATGCGTAATATTAGCTAACCCATGAAATCCAAACAACTACATGCATTTCAAATAAAATGTGCATTGTCGACAAAATCATGCCCATTTTGTTGTCTCTGAATTCTTCATCTTCCTGCAAACTTTCACTGCATGATGGCACAATGCAAACCATGCACATTCTCTTCCACATCCAATTATTGCATCTCTCCAATTCGACCAAGAAAAAAAGTAGTGTTTTTTTCCTCTCACTGATATCTCTTGCATTGCAAGATTAGCTTTGGTTCATGCAGATTCATGGAGCATTACCATTTTGCTGTGGCTTGACATGGACGAGCTGGAGAACGCTGCCCCTGGCGAGGAGCCGGTCCACCGCCCACTTGACCGCCTGCTGGCTGTTCTTGTCCCGGTCGACGGCGACCACCGTGGAGCTGTCCCTGGCCTCGCTGTCCCCGCCGCCGTGCGAAGACGCCGAGGAGGAGAAGGCCGACAGGTACATGCTCCCCGCACCTCGCCGGCAAAAAGATCGTCGGAGTCGGAGAAGGAGAGGAAGAGACAAAAAAAAAAAAAAGGATTCTTTTGCTTCTCCTCCTCTCCCTCTTCTTCCCTCTTCTTCCCTCTCCTCCGGTTTTTTGATCAAGCCAACCAAAAACTGCAGGAGGTTTCGCTGTTTTTTTTTCTTCATTTTTTTTGGGGCCAAATTTAGGTGCTGCAGCGTTGTTAATGGCCGTTGGCTTACTTATGTTTTTGTGGCTCTTGTGTCCCCACTTGTCATTGACTGCAGGTGTTGCTCTCTGATCTATTTTTGCATGTCCTTGTGTGCATCCTAGTTGAAACACGGATGATATATACAGTCTTGCATTTTTTTTAAAAGGGAGTGTAGTTTACAATGTACAAAACCCCTACAAATTTGATAAATCATACTACGTAATTTTGATCTAAAAAACCATAATGGTTTTTTTTCCTTTGTCAGAAAGACTGGTCTGAACTTGAAAAATGTAACTATGAAATGCCACTTACCCCTTCTTTTTATAAAGCTAATACCCACTAAACACTTAAAACTCAATATGTAAGCATAATATTTATTAGCACTTGTAAAACCTATATGCAAGCATAATATTTATTAGCACTTGTAAAACCTATATGCAAGAATGCCACATCGACCCATTAAACACAAAAAGCTCAACATGTAAACATATAGTAATTGTATCTATAATTTATTTTCATTCTAAAACTAAACATACACATGCTAAATCATCATTCTCAAATCATTCTCATATTATTTTAATCCAAATCATTTCATCATTTCTCCAATATGTAACATATATCCCGCAACAAAACATGGGGCATCATCACCATTTGTTTCATATATGGAGGTAATTTTCAGGGCAACATATTGGCTCTGGTTTTGGGCACAGTTACAAAGGTCTGATGAAGACGAAGATCTTTTAAAAGTTGCATGCAATAAACTTGAGTCGATGGTTATGCAGTTTTTTTTGCCAATCATGAATGAAGATTCATAAATAGGCTTTAATAATATGTTCTCCATATCTTTTATTGGTTATTTTTATCTTTATTTACTGGTTGCTATTATTTTTGGACTATACTTGTTTTGAGTGCTAGACTGTAATAATAGGCTGTAGCTCTTTTGAATAAAGGCCGGGATGTTATATTCCATTATCAAATCTAGTTATAACCTTTCAATACATTACCTACTAGAAGGCGGCAAAAATTATTTCTTGGTACCTCTCAAGAGGACCGTATATAAAATTTCTCTTTCATAGTACGTACTTGCTAATATACATGATGATTTTTTAGTAATTTCGTGGGTACGGAACTAATTTCGATGTGAAACATACTGTAAAAATTCGTGTGTTGCAAGTGTTAAAAGAACTTTTAAAACAGTAGATAACTGAGAGCTGATAAATATATTTTACCGATAAATCTATTACAAGACTAGTATCTACTTTAATAGTTCCTTACTCACTAGGTTTCAAAATTCTTAAATCCAGCATTGACATCGACTTGCCTTGCAAGTTGCAACGGATATTAAAAATATACCTTGCATTGACATAATTTGGAAGCATACATGAAAATTATGTCTTTTTGCACACAAATATATATTTATCTAACATACTCTCAGATTAATTGTTATATTTTAAACCGGAGAGAGTCATAAAATTGGATTGGACACTTAGTGATACTACCAAATACACAACATATAAAGAGATAATGGGACTGCCTATAGAATATGTGATAGAAAACGCTCTTCGAAATCATGCAAATTTTGGACCGTCCGATTGTGTGTCTTCCCCGTCTCCAGTAGCTCCCTACTGTCGGACCCGCCACCTCCTAACCAATCCTCCTGCCTCCCCCTCCCCCCTCTCCCCCCAAAACCACCACCACCGCCCTAGTACCACCCCTCTTCTAACCCTGCAACTTTGGTGGCACCATTGTAGCCTCGTTGCTCGCCGATCCACCGCCCATCACCAGCTACCGTCTCTCATGATCATCACTCTTAAGCCCAACTTTCCCCCTCTTCCCCTTCCACCCTGACCTCAACCCGAGATCCTAATCTATAGGTCCCTACCGAAGTTTAAGATGCTACCGATGCCAGAGAAGATGGGAAGATCACCGAGCTAATGGAAAATGATAGAAATATGAATCACAAAGTACATTAGATAGCTAAAATTTATAAGATTTGAAGGTAGATTTCATACCAAATAATTCTTAGCAATCCCGATAAATTAACCACAAGAAGTAGTCAAAACCGCTCTAACCTCACCATACACTTGTCAAAACTCAAAACCCTCCTCTGTGAGACTGACACTGCGGGCCCACTCTCTTCCACCAAAGCCCATCGTTATACTAGTGAGCTGAGCGAGCTCCTCCCCGACTCCCGAGACGCCCGCGCGCAACCAACGAATTTCCCGCGTCGCCTTGAACCACCTCGCGATCGCCGCCTCCGCCTCCGCCTCGATACCCATGGCCTCCGGCGAGCCTCGCCCGCCGTCACCCGCCGCCGTCGCCGTCGCCGTCCGCCCCGGTGGCAGCGCGAGCCGCCGCGCCGCGCGGTGGGCCGCCGCCAACCTCGTCCCCGCTGGAGACGGAGACGGCCGCGCCTCCGCCGCCGCCATTTCCGTCGTCCACGTCATCCCCCCGCTCCGGTTCGTCCCCTCCCCATGTAAGTCCGCGCGCGCGCCTCGCCTCTTCCTCGGCTAGCTAGGTAGCGGATTTGGTTGATTCGGGATGCCATGGCTTGACGCGGGGTTTTTTGCTTTTGCGCGCGGCGTCGTGTGGGGCGGTGGGGAAGGCGGGGAGCAGGTGCCGGCGGCGCGGGTGGCGCGGGAGGCGGCGGAGGCGTACGCCCGGGACCGCCACGCCCGCGCGCAGGAGGCGCTCCGCCCCTTCCGCCGCATCTTCGCCGCCGCCGCCAATGCGACGGTGAGTTTCCCCCAATCCTCCAAAAAAAAAAAAAAGAAAAATCCCCATCTCTGAACGTTTCCCGTGATCTGATCCGGTCGCGTCGCGTAGGTGGAGACGGTGGTGCTGGAGGGCGACGGCGTGGCGGAGGCGCTGGTCCGGTACGCGGCGGATTCCGGCGTACGGAGCCTGGTGATCGGCTCCGCCTCCTTAGGGTGGTTCAGAAGGTGCGTGTCCTTTTTCTTCCCCTCCTTTTCAGCATTGAATTTTGTTAACCTATGATGAGATTATTAGGGGTATTGTAATTATGTTCTCAAGAGGTGATTAAGTGAAAAGGGCGTCTCGTTTGCTATTAATTTCACCTTTTTAGTCGAGGGTTGGAACACGGAACAATGGCTTCATTAGAAATTAAAGTGCATTTTGATGGGGATTAGTTGCAAGCCTCAAGTCACATTGCTTGTGTATGGTTGCACTGTGCGTGTGTACTATGCAGCATGTGTGTAAGTGTGTTACAGTATGTGTTGCTGACAATTTGGTAAGCTGCTGCTTTCTGCTTATGATGATGGGAAACAGTCGTCCAGGTGTCTTCAATTGCATTACAGATGGCTGATAGAAATGTTTTGTCTTGTCCTTTTCGATGTCTAGACATTATAATGTGACATTGCATTAGTCCTTTCATACAAATGTTTTCTTGCAAAATTCACTGAAGATGTAGATAGACCTTGTCACCGGTTGGCTCCTGCAAACTTTTCTGAAAAAAATTAGTAAGGTTGGTTGGTAATTTATTTATTTGATGTCGGTGTACCAGGTTGTCAGTTTAAATTTCATGGACAGCTAGTTTCTGTTTGATAAAAGCCTGATGCCTAATGCAACAATCCAATTTAAACCCAGCACCAGCAGTACTTAGGTTTTTGTCAAAATGATTTGGGACATCAAGCTATACTTTTCTATGCTAAATTCATTTATAGATCTTAGCTTTCCGATTATGGCTGCAATAAAAATCTGCATTATTGTACTGCCCTCAGTTTTCTCTGGATTCAGAAACTTCCTTCTTCATGTACAGATTGTAAATAAATCTGTCATACTTGCTTCAAGGTTGCTTGATGTTTCTATTTATATTTAATAATTTATTTTTATTATGCTATCATCTTTATCAAGAAAGTTTTGATTCGCATAACTGCTTTTGCCATCAGGACTTAAAAATAAAGTCTTTAGCACTGTTATGTTTTCTGTCCTTAAATTGCTGCACCGTCCATTTTTCAGGGCAATGAGTGTCCCAGATGTTGCCACTGCGGTCCTAAAAACAACGGAAATTTCATGCAATGTATTTGTCGTGTCCAAACGAAGACTGACACTGAAAGTGACGAGGCATCCTCAAATGAGCAGTATGTCTTGAGTTTTGACAATGTGTTTTCCTCTTTGTCCTATGTTTTATCTTGTTTCATGTTTCTCTTTGCTAGTTTACATATTTCAAAGCTCCGTTTGTGTTAAGGCACTCCTTTTGTAGGGTCTGGTACTGGCTTGAGAATTCAGTCAGTTAGTCAGAAAGCATTTGCACAATCGTACAGAAGTTTGTTGTTCGACAACTTCCCTGAGAATGGGATACACCCAGATTCATGCTGTCAGTCCCGTGTTTCTCATTGTGGTCCTACTAATGCACGTCAAAGTTCAGAAAGTCATGGGCAAATCCTCTTTAACAGTTTAGGTGCAAAGACAACAGGAATAGAAGGATATAAAAACCATGGTCTTCGAAGCCCCTTCAAGGAAGCACATTATGCTGACTCTAACTCAAGTGAAGAGGTCAGATCTGTCCCCTCCTTTCTTAAATTTTCTTGTACTATTATTCAGTGTTGCTGTCAAGAGAAACTAATTTGAGACATATTTGCTTTCGTATCATGCTAAACATGTTACCCTGACATTATCTACAGTGTCAATCCATAGATGAAGTAGCAAAACTGAGGAAGGAATTGCAGGATACCTTAGTGATGTATGACAAAGCCTGTGAAGATCTTGTCCATGCTAAGAAAAAGGTTAAGTTCTTAATACAACTTAAGCTATCTTCAAAAGTTATTATCTTTGTTTGGTCATGCTTTCCCTGTTGGTTGTAAATCTTGTACGCAAGTAGTCAGCTACTAGTTAAATTATGTTTTTGTGCATTGTCTGTTGCACATGAGCTCTGAAGTTTGGACGCTGTGTGCGTACTTGGTCGTGGCGAGAATAGCTCGCGGCTTGGGGATGTCAATGCCTCGTGCGGATCATGGGGCTGGATGTGATCAAACCACGACGTGGGAAGCGCTCGACGCTTTCTGTTTTGCATGTTGCTTGTTCCATTTTCCAGAATAAAAAGGAGAAGAGAAAACCCTGAATAGCTGCAGCTTGATCGCAGCACAAAACCTTTCATGTTATAGTTCTTGCTCATTTCGTTCAAAAAAAATAGTTCTTGCTCATTCTTGTGTTCTAGCTCGAGTTAGGATACAAGAGTTTGTGAGGAAGAAGAATTATAACACAAGAGGATTTGTGCTGCGATGAAGCTATAGCTTTTCGGGGTTTTTCCCTTCTTCTGTTGACAAAAATTTAACATGCAATTCCCACTTAATTTCGGAAATTTCCGAAATTGAGTAATTTCGGACCCCCCGGGAAGTCAATATCTCGGCCGGAACTTTTGTTTTTTCTCATTTTTTTTTTGTGAATTTAGTCAAATTCAGTTAAATTGTGTCAAAATTTCAGAAAATTTCGGCCCAAAAAATGCTGAAAATTCAGTTCTACCAAAATGGCTGAAATTTTAGCTGAAACCAAAATTGAAAGAGATTTGCTCCGGTTTAGCAAAAAATACCTCGAGGTACCGGTACCTCACGTTACAAATCTTTTCCGATCGTTGCATCTAGCTGGGCAGGTTCGGCATTGTTACATCCAACGATCAGAAACAATTTGGTATCGTGAGGTACCGGTACCTCGAAGTACTTTTTGCTGGACCATAGAAAATCTCAAATTGAAAACCCTGTTTACAACCAACAAAACTCCACATAAACCTTGTCCACCTGCTTGATTTCGACGAGGCCAATCTTGGATCGTAGCTCAATGAACTTGTCGTACCCAAGTGCCTTTGTTAGGATGTCCACTAGCTGCTCATTGGAGCTGATGAACTCGACCTTCACCTTGGCCTCTTCAATGCATTCTCTGATGTAGTAGTATCTAGTATCAATATGTTTACTGCGATCATAGAAAACATGGTTCTTAGTGAGATTATGGATTGGTTGTCAATATTCAATGTGATGGCACCAGCCTCCTCTCCTCTAAGCTTAGCGAGAAGGCGCACCAACCACACACCGTGGCAAGTGGCAGTCATGTCAGTGATGTATTCAGCTTCGCAAGACGAAAACACCACATCTTTTTTCTATGATTGCCAGGTGATGAATCATGTCAGTCATGTTGCCAAGGAAGAAGAAGACGCCATAGGTTCCTTTGTTAGTGTATGTTTGGATGGTGCTCTGACCTGAGCGCTCTCACTCAGGCAGGTGCATCTAACCACAGGCCATTAAAATCGGACGCCTAAGAATCATGCCTGACTCAGGTGTGATTCTCAGGGGGTGAACCAAACAGGCGGGTGTGAACCAAACAGGGCTTGAGAATCCCCGCAAGATCGCTGTCGCTGTATCAGACAAGATGCACTGCTTCGATCTTCCTCCAGTAATGGCAGCCGTAGTTGGTGGGGCCTGCGACGTATCTCCAGTGGCGAAGCCATCGTGGGGGCCAGGGAGGGCCTGGCACCTCCCATGCCGCCATGCGACAACCCCACCCTCCCCCCCAAAGGTGATTATCCCGTATAATCTGATCATTAGTTACTAATGAGACTAACTATATCGCTGCCTAGGTTTTAGCTTAAATTGTTACGTGGGTTAACTAACTGAAGTTATATGTGGTTGCAAACCTCAAATTAAAATGATGAAATGACGTGATGTTGAATCATCCATATACTAAATATATTACTGTATTTAAAATAGATGCTATTTGATGATCTAATTTAAAATTAGTGAAAGTCCATATATTAGTAGACATATACGTCTAAAACCACATCAACAATCATAATTTCCATAATTATATAAGGAGCGATTAGACATATCATACGTAATTGCGCATATTAATATAAACAAGATACGATTGGGTATATCTTTCTCTTCTAGCTAATTGCTATGATATGCATGATGCTGACCACACATTACACTCTACAACATTGTCCATCGAGCCGCAAGTGAGCTCTCTCATCTCATAGATGGCACCCCCAATCCCTAAATCCTGGCTTCGCCCCTGCGTATCTCAGCACACATTTCATGGCCGCCAGGTGCTGGTTGGGCTTGATGAAGTCCGTAGTGCACCTTCGAGGACTTGAGCTAGAACAAAACAAGAAGAAGATTGCCAGGGAACCTTACAAACCCTATAATCTTCCTCTTGAATTCTACATTATTGACCCTCAAATTATTCTATATCTCTGAATTTTTTTAAAGACATGTTACATTCATGTTACCTCAAATGCATTGATCCTTGTTATCATGATGATTCAAATGCATTGATCCTTGTCATCATGATGATGCAGATTCAGGTACTTTCCAGTGAGTGTTCTGAAGAGGCAAGGAAGGTGGAGCATGCTCTACAGGAGGAGGAAGCTCTAAAGCAGGTGGTAGCAGACGAGAAGGCAAAACATTTAGAGGCCATTGAAGAAGTTGAGCAAGCAAAGAAATCATTCACCCGGGAGGCCTACTCTAGGAACAAGGCAGAAATGGTAGCGAGCATGATCTCCCTCGATAAGGCAAAAGTTGTTGATGCTATCTTGTCAACAAGCAAAAATTGCAGGCGATACAAAAAACATGAGATCGAGCTCGCCACTGATAATTTCTCTGAAGCAAGGAAGATTGGTGAGGGAGGTTATGGGAATGTGTATAGGTGCACCCTTGATCATACTGAAGTTGCTGTCAAGGTCATTCAGCAAGATTCCATCGACAAGACCGATGAGTTCCTGAGGGAGGTAATTATGGTTTATGGAAAAATTTATGCATATGCATGTAGAATTCAATAATATGGTTTGTGGCAAAATTCATGCATATGCATGTAGAATTCAATGTACAGTTTTTTTATTTGTGTCTGAGAATCTCAGTAAAATGATTCTACTGTATGGCTTCATGCAGGTTGACATTCTCAGCCAGCTTCAGCATCCCAACCTGGTTTTGTTGCTTGGCTTCTGCCCTGAAATTGGCTGTCTTGTATACGAATACTTGCAGAATGGAAGTCTAGAAGATCAACTTCTTAACAACAAAGGGCGCCAGCCGCTGCATTGGTTCCTAAGGTTCCAAATCATCTTTGATGTGTCATGCGGGCTTGCATTCTTGCATGGAAGGAAACCGGAACCTATAGTCCACCGTGACCTCAAACCCGCAAACATCTTACTGAACAAGAATTATGTGGGTAAAATTGGCGATGCCGGTTTCGCGAAGCTCATATCGGATCTTGTGCCTGACTGGCAAACGGAGTACAAAGAGACCATCATCGCCGGCACGCTGTACTATATGGATCCTGAGTACCAGCAAACCGGGACGGTTCGTCCGAAATCGGACCTTTTCGGCCTGGGAGTTATCATTCTTCAGATGCTAACCGGCAAACGCCCCAATGGGCTCATTGTCAGCGTAGAAAACGCCATCAGAAACGGGATGCTTGCTGATATCCTTGACAAGTCTCAGACTGATTGGCCACTTGTTGAGGCAGAAATGTTGGCAAAGCTTGGCTTGAGATGCACTGCCCTAAAATGCAGAGAGAGACCTGGCCTTGAGTCAGAGGTTCTCCCCAAGCTCCAGGAAATTCTGCATAGGATTACTTCCACTGTTAACTTAAGAAGTCCAAAGTTAAATGTGCCAAGCCACTTCATCTGCCCTATAATGCAGGTAAATCCACTGCTACCTGACTGTTATTTTCATTCATCTTCACTATACATTGCTCGAAAAGATTACTTTTATACCTCTTAAATCTGAATAACTATAAAATTATTCTTTTAAAGAAGTCAATTATACAAATTTTATACAGGAGGTAATGAATGATCCTTATGTTGCTGCTGATGGGCACACGTATGAGCAACAAGCAATCAAAGCTTGGCTCAAGAAACACAAAGTATCCCCGGTCACACGGCGAATTCTACCAAATTTGTCCGTAATCCCAAACCATTCGTTGCGAGCTGCGATACAGCAGTGGAAGTCACAATCTGCTCATGCAAAGTCATAAAATGGGCGTGGAGTTTGTTTCGATATGATTTAACTTTTTTGTTCTTTGAGTTCTTTATCCGGAGTTTGTTTCGATATGATTTAACTTTTTTGTTCTTTGAGTTCTTTATCCTGTAAATTAGAGTGCAGTTAGGATCTTAGGGAGGAGGGCTGTTGCCGGTAAATAAAGGTGTTAACCGTGCAAACTATTTAGTACCGAAATTGAAAAAATTGCAGATATGATTTGTTCTTATAATATGAGTAACATGTTTCTCTTTCAGTTTCTGTGTTGTCTCTCTTCCCTTTTATTTGTAATAATTTGGTTAGCTTGAAATGTACTCAAACACCTTCTGTCTTAATACAAAGAGGTATTCGTGAGTAAAAAAAGTAGCATATTTCTCTCTGGGGATTTTTCAATAAAGAAAACATACCATTTTAAATGGTCACATAGTCTTTAAAATATAATTATGACTGCCAATTTTATTGCTCAATAATTGAAAAACCTCAGTAAAATTATAATATTATAAAGGAATTTTTGAGGAAAAAAATCTATACATGTGATTTTTATACGTCTAACCTAAATATTTAAAAGAGTTAATTGCACTTTGGCACGCATATTCTTACCAAGTTTTATTTTAAAAAGATAGTTATGTCCAAAGTATTTAAAGTTTAACTTTAAGCATGTCTAAAACGATGTGTTGTTTAGCCTAAGGGAACACTAAGTTCTATTCCTAAACACCCTCCATTTTTCCTATCCAAATCTATATATATTAAATAAAATGGTGAAATATACCAACATCTCTCAGCCTGCATGCATGCATATAATCCAGAATTTTTTCAGGACTAAAATCCCTACCCAACCCGAGCCCAATGTGCGGCACAAGGCCTACTATTTTGGATTGTAACTCAGGCCACCGATCTTAGCTAGTTTTACGTCAAGAAGAGAAAAAACAAGGGAAAATCTTGAGCCAAACTTTCTCCGCCCAGACCATGATCAGCTAATACTGGTGAGGTAACTGACTAACTGTGAGACCCGACCATGATCCTGTGGGTAGATCTAGCTGTAACTCCACATGGTTTTTGTCCATCGCCAGGAAATTGTGGTCCTGTATATAGGTTTTACAATTAGTATTTTTATTGTTGTTAGATGATAAAACATGATTAATACTTTATGCCTGACTTGTTTTTTTAATTTTTTTCATAATTTTTTCAAATAAGACGGACGGTCAAACGTTAAACACGGAAATCAATGGTTTGTCTTTTTTAGGACGGAGGGAGTACATAACATAGAAACAAACTACTAGTAGCTAGAAGCTGAATAATCCCAACTTTTCTATATCCTCACTAGTTGAATATAATACCCACTTGTATCTTTACAATATGTTAGAAGAGAGAATTCTTTATATACCATTAAAAATTTACCAATTTTCTTATATGTCACTCGAAATTGACTTTTTCGTTATATTCCATTGCCTCAAATTTTCGTACCCTGTCTTGCCACTACCTTGTGTTGATTATGTATTGACCGTTAACTCTATAGTAAAAAGACACATTTGCCTTTCTGAGATTTACTAAGTGGTTATAATATGAGAACTATTTGAAAGTTACAAAGAAACTGGTTGTAAAAAAATGGCCATATAAAAAATAAATATCGATGTAAAAATATTTTTTATTCAGTATATTAAAATTATGTACTGGAAATTCATGTGGATAGTATGTACTGCAAATTTGTATGGTTTCTACAGCTTTTTTTTTAATCCAGTATATACTGATCTCTCGTTGGAGGTATGTACTGCTTCTTCTTTTTTTTTTACAATTCGGTATATACTTTATCACATGCTCGCTTTTGGAGGTATATGTGTACTGTTTCTTTTTTTATGGGTTGTATTCGGTATATACTAGATTACTAGTGGTTTTTGGCTTGCTACGTCCATATATATCCAAGCTCGTCCTCCACATGTAGGGATACTAATCTCGTTAATATTTAAATGAAAGATATAACAGTTTTAAAAGTTAAAATATGTCAAAATTTTGTCTTCTATGTTACGGCTAAAATATAATGTGTTTGAAGATATATGTCTATTGAAAGAAGCATTACAAATATAACACTATTAAAAATATATACGTGTCTATTTTTATATAATTTTATATAACATTTATTAGTTGCTGCGGACGAACTCATTTGCCTTACCCGTGAACTTTGGTCCAACATCCAAGCTTTGCTGCCTCCACTGACGTGTGCAAGCGCATGCTGATAAGCATGCGGACAAGTGCTGCGCAGTCATTGGCCATGCGTACGTCTGCCACGTGCGCGTTCGTTAATATTCGTTCTTCCAGCTTCCCCAAGCTAGCAAAGGCAGAGTTTAGTTCCAAATTTTCTTTAAAATTATAACTTTTCCATCATATCAAAATTTTTCTACACACATAAACTTTCAACTTTTTCGTCACATCGTTTCAATTTCGACCAAACTTTAAATTTTGGCGTGAACTAAACACACCTAAAGTTAATTGGTGCAGTACGACAATTTGGCAAACTGATTTCGTTTCAAAACCTAATATCATGGTAGGCACACATAAGTGAATGCATGCTTAGTCGCCATTAACTAGAGAATGAGAAAATGGACAAAGAAAAATAGATAATCACGCACACGTACATAAGTTTTATCATTATATGAAAGACGTGCATGCATATGCATCATATCACACGCAACGTAAGTATTATCATTGTTCTCCCTCCGTTTCGAAATGTTTGACACCGTTGACTTTTTAGCACATGTTTGACTATTCATCTTATTCAAAAACTTTTATGAAATATGTAAAATTATATGCCTACATAAAAATATATTTAACAATGAATCAAATGATAGAAAAAGAATTAATAATTACTTAAATTTTTTGAATAAGACGAACGGTAAAACATGTGCTAAAAAGTCAACGGCGTCAAACATTTCGAAACGGAGGGAGTATGAAATACGCGTATGCATATGCATCATATATATCACACACATGTACTACAAAGTCGTGAATATGTATTTGTGAACTATCAGATTTAAACTTTGGTGGATAGAGTAGTACACACGTTACTACTTCTCTGAATGCGTGCACTCTTTAACCCTTTAGCATGGGTCATATTATTGCACTTTTTTTTTGTTACTACGTGTTCTTGTAGTTTACTGCAAGGCGTCATGCCGCACCACTCTCTCAAAATGTCAGTGCTCAAATGTCACTCTCCCAAATTTTCATTCTCAAATGCTACCCGGGCCCACATGTCAGCCTCACTCATCATCGGGTCCCGCATCACTTTTGTTTGAATGGAGAGTGAGGCTGACATGTGGGCCCGGGTGGTATTTGGGAATGAAAATTTGGGAGAGTGGCATTTGAGCACTGGCATTTTGAGAGAGTGGCAAATAGTAAATTCCCCCTGATGTGAGGATGTTGCGTTTTGTAGCTTAATTGTTGCCAGGTCGGGGAATAGCATGGTATTATCCACAGGGGGAAAAATGTTGTTAATTAATTAGTACGTGTTCTCGTTGTGACCATGCAATTAGCTAGTTTTTTTCTCTTTAATTAGCTTTGTTGCTAATTATTATTCAAGGTTCAAGTGTGATATCGATGAATCTAGTATTCAACTTACATGGTGCTACTTGTCAGTTATATTTGTCAGCGCTCGACTAATTCTCTTCTTTTCGCGTTCCTCGCGTTCGGTTAATTTCGCCTTCCATTTACTATTGACTCTCGCAGAATCAACAGGACTGATATATAGGTACAATTATTTTGCGTCTTGATTATGTACATGTAATTCCATCCATTTGAAGAAATTACTGACAAACTAAATTTGTACGTAAAATCGTAATTTTTTTACAAAGTAAGAAGTAAGTCACCTTAATATGATCTATGGATCATCGTACCTCAAATAGTCAAATTCCACATGCAGCTAGATGCATGAATTCCACGGAAATGATGCATGATGTTATCGTGCGATCGATTGAGACTAATTGAGACCACATGCAGTCTTCTCTATGACTGCAAGATAAGAACATACGTGGCTACGTACCTTTTGTTCTTTCCTATAGAAGGTAGAACACGTAAGTCGAGATGTAATTTTTTTTTCCAGCGTGCTCTAATCATATCTGTGTGCCCGAATTTTGTTTGGTGATATTTTTTCTCAAGTGAAACACCTTAATCTCTCAGTAAGACATAGCTGCTAATTAATCACTTTTGTGTGGCTCACGCATGCAGCCATTGATTGCTAAACGGGTGGATGAGATGGAAGCAACGGCAAAGTCTGCCGTTGAGACCAAAGGCAGACGATGCAGACCCCATATATACAGTCTTTTCGTTTTAAAGTATAAGGTATTTTAATTAGATTGAACACATTGATATTATATATTTAGATTTATAGTGCTAGAAGCTTAGGATGTGTCTTATCTGATCAAATAATTTTTATTTTAGGACTGATGGAGTAGTAATTTTTCTATGTACTTAGATGTACTTTTGTTCGGATATAGATTTAGAAATTATTATATTTTGAAATGGAGGTGGTATTTAATTTATAAGCTACTCCTCCGTAGTATTTCGGATGATCGATGCAAATATACATGCTCGCGAACTTAAATCACACAGATATAGCCCATTTAAGTGGCTCATATCAGCTCATTTTAAATGGAGGTGGATATATTTTTCACCCTCAGTGATATTCTCTCTTTTTTACAAGTCATCCAAAATTTCATAGTTCTTTTAAAAATTAACAAGATATATTAATATACGATATATCACTCTAAAAATATGCAAATTCAAATTTAATATATAACATATAAATAATAATAAACTTGAATGTGAAAAATGTGTATTATTTGCGGCCAGATTTATTATTTATTATTTCTATATTTATAGGTTAAATTTGAACTTACATGTTTGTGACGTGATACATATATTGTTCTATCTTATTATTTTTTAGAAAATATTTGATGATATTTTAGGCGACATGAAAAACAAAAGGATCAACATTTCCTTAAAAGACAAATAGATTCTTCTCACTTAAAATGACGCGCGCGCGCGTGCACACATATATATAGAGAGTACATGTTTATAGTCGGAACCACATACAAGTTACATTGGGATTTAAATATAAACATGTGTATAGTAAGTGTATTTAATTTTTACTTGTACGTGGCTCCAACCATTCATCTTATTAAAAAATTATATAAATATGTAAAAGTATAAGTTAAAATTATATTTTATTTGATGATAAAACAAGTCATAATAAAATAAATGATATTTATATAAAACTTTTAAATAAAGGGAATGATCAAATGTTATGAAAAAAATCTACGGCATAATATATTTTGAAATGAACGGAGTACTATTTATATCCCACCAAACGAACATCCTCTCGCTCCTCGAACCAACCCAACACAACACTTGCACTTGCACTACGTACTCTCATTTCATCCGCTCCCGGCCGGCAATGGCGCCACCGCCAGTGAACTCCGGCGACGCCGCCGCCGCCGCCACGGGAGAGAAGAGCAAGCTCTCGCCGTCGGGCCTCCCCATACGCGAGATACCCGGCGGCTACGGCGTGCCCTTCTTCTCGCCGCTGCGCGACCGCCTCGACTACTTCTACTTCCAGGGCGCCGAGGAGTACTTCCGATCACGCGTCGCCCGCCACGGCGGCGCCACCGTGCTCCGCGTCAACATGCCGCCCGGCCCCTTCATCTCCGGCAACCCCCGCGTCGTCGCCCTCCTCGACGCGCGCAGCTTCCGCGTCCTCCTCGACGACTCCATGGTGGACAAGGCCGACACGCTCGACGGCACCTACATGCCGTCGCGCGCGCTCTTCGGCGGCCACCGCCCGCTCGCCTTCCTCGACGCCGCCGACCCGCGCCACGCCAAGATCAAGCGCGTCGTGATGTCGCTCGCCGCCGCGCGGATGCACCACGTCGCGCCGGCGTTCCGCGCCGCCTTTGCCGCCATGTTCGACGCCGTCGAGGCCGGCCTCGGCGCCGCCGTCGAGTTCAACAAGCTCAACATGAGGTACATGCTCGACTTCACCTGCGCCGCGCTGTTCGGCGGCGAGCCGCCGAGCAAGGTGGTCGGCGACGGCGCCGTGACGAAGGCCATGGCGTGGCTCGCGTTCCAGCTGCACCCGATCGCGAGCAAGGTCGTCAAGCCATGGCCGCTCGAGGAGCTACTCCTGCACACCTTCTCCCTGCCGCCGTTCCTGGTGCGGCGTGGCTACGCCGACCTGAAGGCGTACTTCGCCGACGCCGCCGCGGCCGTCCTCGACGACGCCGAGAAGAGCCACACGGGAATCCCGCGCGACGAGCTCCTCGACAACCTTGTGTTCGTCGCCATTTTCAACGCCTTCGGCGGCTTCAAGATCTTCCTGCCACACATCGTCAAGTGGCTCGCCCGCGCCGGCCCGGAGCTCCACGCCAAGCTTGCCACCGAGGTCCGCGCCACCGTGCCCACCGGCGAGGACGACGGCATCACCCTCGCCGCCGTCGAGCGGATGCCGCTGGTGAAGTCGGTGGTGTGGGAGGCGCTGCGCATGAACCCGCCGGTGGAGTTCCAGTACGGCCACGCGCGGCGCGACATGGTGGTCGAGAGCCACGACGCGGCGTACGAGGTGCGCAAGGGGGAGATGCTGTTCGGCTACCAGCCGCTCGCCACCCGCGACGAGAAGGTGTTCGACCGCGCCGGCGAGTTCGTCGCCGACCGGTTCGTCGCCGGCGGCGCCGCCGGCGACCGGCCGCTGCTGGAGCACGTGGTGTGGTCGAACGGGCCGGAGACGAGGGCGCCATCGGAGGGGAACAAGCAGTGCCCCGGGAAGGACATGGTGGTGGCGGTGGGGCGGCTGATGGTGGCGGAGCTGTTCCGGCGGTACGACACGTTCGCCGCCGACGTGGTGGAGGCGCCGGTGGAGCCGGTGGTGACGTTCACGTCGCTGACACGGGCGTCGTCGGGATAGCACGCACGTCGACGTCACGTGCGCGCCGTGCTGTGATTTAGTACTGTACTAGGTTGGTGGATGTTTTAATTGCGTGGTTAATTATTAATCACGCATAAAGTATTAATCATGTTTTATCATCTAACAACAATGAAAATATTAATCATAAAAAAATACATATAAGACGAACAGTCAAACGTTAGAACGAAAAACTAGGGTTTGTCTTTTTTTTTAGGACGGAGGGAGTAGGTTGGTGGATGCTTTAATTGCGTGGTTAATTATTTGCATGGAGTTCTTGATTTGCCGGGGGACCGGGGTGGGGTGAAAGTGTTTGAATTCAACTTTTGATTTTATGTAAAGTTTGATGAATTAATTTGTTACAAAGGGAAAATAAATAATGTATAGATATGATACTACTGCTAGTCTGCTATGGTGGATATGTGAGTTGATTTGTAATCTGTCTAGTCTTAAACTAACACTCCCTCTATTTCACAATATATAACACTGTTGATTTTTCTCATAACAATGTAGTAGTTCATAGGCACTTGTTAAGGGAGATTATGGCATTTGTTCCTCGGTGTGAGGAACCCTGTGCACCTCGAGAGTGGGAAATTCCGGTGGGTTATGGCACCCACCGGAATATGGAAATTCTCCTCTAGGTGCATGGAAATTTTTCCTGTGAGTACCATATCTAGGGAAATATGGATGGGAGGATTTCTTCATCCATCGAGAGCAGGAACGGGTTGCTATGCTACCCAACAGAGGCAGCCCGGTTGCCATTCCTAATCCACGTGTCCACATCCCATGTATGTTTGATGCTTTCGGAGGCGCATGCAGAGTGGATTGCATGTTGTCGTGTGAGTGAATTTTGTAAGCGATTGCATCCAATGGTACTCTCTTAAGAAGAAGAAATAAAATCCTATAAACCGAAAAGGCTTGAAATTTCCCTTATTATTGTTCAAAAGAACTAAAGAAGGCTGGATTTTCTGGGGTTCATAGATATGGCTTATAATATAGGAGTACGAAATTTAAGAGGCCCAAAAGGACCAATGATGCCCATGCGCAGTAGCCTGAGATGAGCCCAGCCCAATCTCTTTAAAGAATCGAGCGAGAGGAAGCTTCGGGTGGACCAGTTTGTTTCTAGGGCCCAAAAGGAAAGAACGTTTTCGCAATACAAATGCATTCAAAGCGTTTCTTAAAAAAAAAATTACAAATGCATCCACACGTATTATTCACCAGGAAATTAGGTTGAACAGGTACGGTTTTTTTTAGAGCGACAGGTACGTCTTTTGATTGGTCTGGTTTTGTATTCAACTCCCCATGTTTCACATGCATTTGAATTCATAAAACAGATTAGACCGGGACAACACGCTACTACCATCTAACCGATTTTTCATGTGGTTAAATCATTTTTTGCAGGCGGATGGGTGGTCCACCTGCATGTATTTTCGATTGCGGACACTTATGTCATCCGACTGTGAAAAAAAGGCAAAAAAAAGTAAATGTTCCTAAAATTGAAACCCTAGCCAGATACGTCGCCACCTGGTCGCCGCAGTCCAAAGCCCGTTGGATCCACTCGGGCTGGGCGCCTACCGCCGCCAGTCATCATCGCAGCAAACAGGGCGTGGTCGTGGACATCATTGCCATCGAGTCATTGTCGCTGTCGAGGATCAGAGATGAAGTGTGGGAGGGGGAGAAGGGCCGCTGCCACCATTGGATCCACCTCGGTTGGGGTTGCGGCCGACGGGTCCGCCACTAGATCCACCCAGCCGGTGCTGCGGCCGACGGATTTGCCACCTCCTGTCGCCGTTGTTGCTTGATCCGCCCCAGCCTGATTCGTCGCCTCCTACAGCTGCTGGATTTGCCTAGTCGCCCCCCACTCCTTCGCTACTGATGACAGATCCCACGCTCGCCGGCTGCTCTGCTCACATGCCCTACTGGCTAATTTGCTCCCACGCCCACCGGCTACTCCGCTCCGATGGCGGAGTAGAGACTGGAAAGCCCGACCGCCACCGCCACCCGCAGTCACTGGTAGTAGGAGAGGAGTGGGCAACGAGGAGAGTGGGGAGAGTTGTGGACGGGAGAAGAGAGGATTTTGTGGGAGAGAGAGAGAGGGGAGAGAAAAAGGAGTGGGAAGAGAGATGGGCATTTTCGCATGCTATCCTGTGCTTAGGGAAGCAATTTTTGCACGCGGGAGTAGTTATGGTCTATCTACAATCTGAAGGTGGTCTCATCCCGAAAAATCAACTACGTAGTAGCGATATTCTTAATTAAAGAGAGAGCTAGGGTTATCCTTTCATAAAATAAAAAGTCATCCAAATTTCATGCTTTAATTTCAAAGACGACCCAAAGACCAAGAGCAAGCACAAAAAATAGCCTATAAGCTGACTATAATTATTTCTTTGCGCATGTACAGGAGAGATAAAACAGATTGACAGCTGTTCTCCAAGAATTAGCTTTGCACGTGCCTTAAAAGAGATGCATTAAATATATAAGTGAGGAAAAAAAAGATAATATAATAAAATAGAGATGACCTTAATCGCTTAATTATTTCACATGTTAGTTGTAATATATACTCCCTTGTCCCAAATTATAATACCTATATTTTTTACACGTTCTTCAATAACATACTTTGACCAATATTTTATTTCATTCTATGATCCCAATAAACATGAAATTAACATCATATATATGAAAGTACTTCAAAATATGAATCTAATGATATAACATGCATAATGCATACTTAGTATAGATATAGTATGATTATTAGTCAAAAGATACCGAGTTTGATTTTTCTTAAAAAGAGGACGCTCTGTAATTTGGGACGGAGGGAATACTAATTTTAGATGTGCTTATTATAGTTAGTGGTTAGCTTTATCATTAAATTTGCTCTCGCCGCGATAAAATCTACGTGTATAAACTTAATTCAGTTTCTTAAAAGATAATTATGGAGTTTAAAAAAATGGCCTCTCCAGGAATTTGGAGCCCCGTGACGAAATGTAAATTATGGCCCTAAATTTTTTAAAAATTATAGATATAATATAACTAAGCATATTTTATGTCAACTATATAACTTTAATGTGTTATTTCATACCATATTCAAAAAATACATCAAATAAATATTAATACTAAAATAAAAGAGAGTAAAGGTAGTACCAACCTCGTGATGTACTGAAAAGCATCATCCATCTATTGTTTTTTTGAAATGAAATATTTGATTATATCTTCATAATTAATATTGTCCAATACATCACTTTCAGCACCTGAATCATACTTCTTATTTGTAGAAGACATGCCAATGATTGAGGAAATAAAATTCTTCTCGTGTTTTATAAACAAAAGAAAAGACAAGACATTATATTACTTTTTGGTTGAATAATCAATCTAATTGGTCATTCAAAATACCATAATTTTATTTGAATGTATATGCATATGAATATATATCCATCCATCCCAGTCAATGAACAGTGTGAGAAAAATAGTCGCTGTAAACAATTGGCAACAAGGATAACAGTGTGAGAACATAGTTGGATGGATTGGCAGGCACGTAGATGAAGCTATACATGGAACCATAGAAATCACATGACTTCAGAAAAGAAAAGTATAGCTATGAGTAGATCGAGATGGCCATGTCAATGATAATTCGAGCCTTTGAGGGAGATTGGATTGAGGATTCGAGGACGAGGAGATGACCATGAGGACGACGACTCGACGAGGAGGCAGAGCCGCAGAGGCCGCACAGCCAGCCCGCCGCCAGCAGCCGCTAGGGCTTGGGCTGTTCGGTGCTCGCCTTGCCGCCGCTCGTCGCTCGTCGCTCATCACCTGCGGTGCCTGCTCATCGCTCGATATTATCGTCGGTGAGTCGGTCTGCTTGCCTGCGCGTCGATCGCCGCCTCGCGTCATCGTCTCGTCGACTCGTTTGTCTCGACTCTCCATCTCGTAGGCGCATGCATCAGTTGGAAATTGAAGTCACTTCACTGGTCACAACGCCACGATCGAGCCCACGACCCACGCACGCACCGACGCAATGCAAAGCGACGCCTTTCGCCTTCTGCCCCTGCACTCCTCGCTCGGTTGGTAATGGTAGCAGGCCAGGCATGTGTGCAGGCTGTTGGGATACGCGTAGGCTACGATAGGATAAATTAAAATTTTCTATCGCGTAAATCAGGAACCATGCAAGTATTAGATCATAGATCGTTACCACTCGACGCGCTGCGCAGAGGAAGAAGACGCTGAGAAGTCGAAAGAACTCTCGCGAAGTAGTGCGCGTCGATGTAGAGGAAGTAGTCGATCGCACCGGCTCGACCTTCTCCTCCACGTGCGTTCTCCTCGCCATACTCCCACGCCGATCAGCACCGCAAACCAGCGGCGCCTCTACCGGTATCCACACGTACAGGGACGGAACGCCACGCGCAGATGTGCTAGCACCCGCGCGCGGCTAGGGTTTTGCTCGGAGAGGGAAGTGATGGCTAGGGTTTCTCACGTGATGCAATGCCTCCGTCGGTCACGCCCCTCACGAATATATAGGATCCATCACTCGGGCCTCCAAGGCCCGTAGGACTCCTATTCGGATCCCTATCCGAATTAAGCTCATATTGGATCTCTATCCAATCCCCTTATTCCGGCTCATTAAGCGTACGACCCTGTAGGTTCATATATACTCGGCTGTAACCCGAAAACTCCTTTTCGGTCCACGCGTCAACAGCGGCACCTAGCAGAACGTATTGACCCACCGGGCATACATAAAGATCATATCGGCTGAACCTCTAGTGTATACTTGTATGAACCCCTTTGCCTCACGATATCGATTAAGCTCAAGGCTAGATATGTGCCATCCTCTAGTAGCTCAATCATTCACTCGAACCTGTTGATAGATTATATAACTTGTGATTGACTCCTCAATCACCTTTGGCATGGCCATGCACTTCCATAATCTACAACATCGAGGAGCCAAGAGATATCTCTCCATAGGAGGGGCAAATCCCATCTTGCTTATTCATATCCCACTACATGTTTCATAGCATACCCGAAAACTACTTTTATAGCTACCCATTTACGGAGTAGCGTTTAGCAGTCCCTAAGTAAGCTGCTACACATGTTGAGAACCATGATAATCTCAGGTCTAAGAATTCAACACCAATACTAAATGAGATCACCGATGACACAACACATATGGCTCTTGCAGTGTCTCATATTGGGTCTATCCAACAACATGTTCACCAACATGTGTCCACATTATTAATTTGGTATCTCTATACCATGATCCATGAGACATGATCATCAATTAATACATGTGCTGATCATATAAACATATTTGTTCCACATATGATATTTGATCAGGGATCCTTTAGAAATAGTAACAAACAATATAAAGAGTCTCATGAAAGAATCACATATTCATTAACCAATAAATAGTTATCTATTTCAAGGAACAATGTCGGATAAATATATAAATATAGTATGTGATACAATCATCTCTATGTTGCCTCTAGGGCATATCACTAATTAACACATGCCTACTTCGAGGTGAGGGCAATGGCGAAGCTATATTGTGTTTGGAGAGTGCACATGAACCCCCAAATTCCTAATCTCACTTAAAAACACTAAAAACACTAGAGTGTATATTGTTGTATTGAAATTTTCTAGGTTTTCAATAGTAGTGTACCCCTTTGTTTTGATGCTAGCTTGGCCCCTGGGTGAGCGCCCCCAAAAAAATCGAGGGCCCGGCCTGTGCAGCCGTCGTGTTGCTCATGGCTAGCTATCGACGGCCCTGTGCAGATAAAGAAAATTATTGGTAATAATAGCTAGAGTCAGGCCAATAGGGATAATGGTTTCTTGGGTTATGAATACAGGCCAATAGGGATAATGGCCTGTGTCAGATTTAGCTCGAATTAAAATACTCCCGCGTGATACTTGCTTAAATATTAAAATCGTCCACATAGTCATCAATTGATCAATTCATCATCATATATAGTCCCATATGATGATCTCGATCGTACGTGACGATACTTTGAACTGGTCCACTTGATCAACAGCCGATGAGGTATTCTTCCTTATGTAAAAGTACACTATCGAAGTTACTTAGTACTATTACTTTGCTACCTCTGCATTAAAATAATTTCGTTAACGCACCACGCTCCCAGGGAACGTTTCTAAACTCTCGAGTGGGCATCCCCTCGATCTTTGCATTCTATCCAAATAGTTATAAAAAAATAAAAATTTTGATAAGATAGATTGATATGTTATATATAATTTGACTATGGGGTATTTAGATATAGAGGTGTAAAGTTTTGGCGTGTCACATCGGGTATTATATAGGGTGTCGCATGAGGTGTTTTGACACTAATTAAAAAAACTAATTACAAAATCCATCAGTAAACCATGAATGTTTACTGTAGCACCACATTGTCAAATCATGAAATTAGGCTTAAAAGATTCATCTCGCAAATTAGTCACAATTTGTATAATTAATTATTTTTTAGTCTATGTTTAATACTTTATGTAGGTGTTCAACGTTCGATGCGACGGGTGTAAAATTTTTATGTGGGAACTAATCAGGGCCTATATGTATATGTTAACTAGCTAGAGTTCCATTTATCCCTTTTGTTATAACTTGTAGAAGTTGAACTTGTACGTATTTAAAGTGATTAAATCACATATTAATCTATCCTCTTAATATTTTTATAACTATTTAGATGACATGTTACAATCAATGGAAATATAAGACATTTACCAAAGGTACTCACAATTTATGTTAGATTTACATATTATCTATTTGATCAAATAATGTTGTGCAATAATTGACTCGTATTTTCCTTTCCAGAGATGCTATCATAGCTTAAGAATACATCTGGTAAATAGATGAACTACAAGGCTAATGTAATATTATTTCAAGACCTTCCTCAACTATTTTTGAAGGTTACCACGTCATCTTGAACCCTCAACATGTAGATATTCAAACCCAGTGAGTTTTTAGCCCAGTTCGGCCTCTTAGGACAACATTTACTACAAACAGACCTAGCGCCTTTATGCTAACTCTGTTAGTTAATTTTGGACTTATAGGAGAGCTTATGGAGTCACATTTCAAAGCATATCATCCACGATAAACTTCATCCTGAGTCAACGGAAATCATCCAAACAAGATTGCACTGTTGTTGAAACCAAACTTAAGTTTTAGACTTTGTAATAGACTAGGCCTATCTCGAAAATGCCTCTGTCGATCTCCACAAACCTAAACACATTCCTAGAGCTATTTTCCTCTTTAAATATCTATGTACACCCTATAAAACAATTGGATATTGTTTAGCTAAATTTTGCCAAGTGCCATTCACTATGTAGTCCTCGGTTGTTTAGTCGCTTTACTATAGATTCAGAGCCTCCAATAATTGGTGTGTTGATTTGCCGAGTCGATTAGATAAAACACTTCCAATGTTTTCTTTGTTCTTAATTACCTATTCATAATATTTAGATTGCAAAGATCATCAAGCACGCATCATCATTTGTGGTACAGTGATTGTACGACATCCTGAACTTGTTCTGACGTCACCAATATCGCATTCATCAAAGCTAGAGTTATCCCTCACCAAAGAAACAAACCACAAGAGAGAGCGCCATTAGATATCCCATCGACCGTTTAAAATTTATTCCTTCACAGTCCATGATAAGAACAAGCAGTTGGTACTCCCTTCAGTTTTTTTTTTAAAAAAATTCTTGGTTGTAGTTGACTTCTAAACATATATTTACCATTCATCTTATTAAAAAATTAATTAAATAATATTATTTATTTCGTAGGGATTGTTTTATCGTTAGAAATACTTTAAATATAACTTATATTTTATAAATTTTAATATATTTTTAATAAACCAAACGGTATGATAAAAATCAATAGCGTCAAAATATTACAAGTAGGATACTACCATCAATGCTCAGTCAGCAACAGACACACAATGAAAAAAAAAGGAAAAGAGTTTACTTTGTCTGCTTCTCACTTTAGCCTATTTAACCCCAGTACAACAGATGCTCAATGATTCATAGCTGTGGCTGTGACGATCCGACACCTGCACGCTAGTACGTAGTGCGTATACGTAGCCAGTACCCTACTCCCGTCCATGGCGCCGCCGCGAGCCAACTCCGGCGACGGTAACGACGGCGCCGTCGGAGGGCAGAGCAAGCTCTCGCCGTCGGGCCTGCTGATACGCGAGATTCCGGGCGGCTACGGCGTGCCCTTCCTCTCGCCGCTGCGCGACCGCCTCGACTACTATTACTTCCAGGGCGCCGACGAGTTCTTCCGCTCACGCGTCGCCCGCCACGGCGGCGCCACCGTGCTCCGCGTCAACATGCCGCCCGGCCCCTTCCTCGCCGGCGACCCCCGCGTCGTCGCCCTCCTCGACGCGCGCAGCTTCCGCGTCCTCCTCGACGACTCCATGGTGGACAAGGCCGACACGCTCGACGGCACCTTCATGCCGTCGCTCGCGCTCTTCGGCGGCCACCGCCCGCTCGCCTTCCTCGACGCCGCCGACCCTCGCCACGCCAAGATCAAGCGCGTCGTGATGTCGCTCGCCGCGGCGAGGATGCACCACGTCGCGCCGGCGTTCCGCGCCGCCTTCGCCGCCATGTTCGACGAGGTCGACGCCGGCCTCGTCGCCGGCGGCCCCGTCGAGTTCAACAAGCTCAACATGCGGTACATGCTCGACTTCACCTGCGCCGCGCTGTTCGGCGGCGCGCCGCCGAGCAAGGCCATGGGCGACGCTGCCGTGACGAAGGCGGTGAAGTGGCTCATCTTCCAGCTTCACCCGCTCGCCAGCAAGGTCGTCAAGCCGTGGCCGCTGGAGGACCTCCTCCTCCACACCTTCCGCCTGCCGCCGTTCCTGGTGCGCCGCGAGTACGGCGAGATCACGGCGTACTTCGCCGCCGCCGCCGCGGCCATCCTCGACGACGCCGAGAAGAACCACCCGGGAATCCCGCGCGACGAGCTCCTCCACAACCTCGTGTTCGTCGCCGTCTTCAACGCCTACGGCGGCTTCAAGATCTTCCTGCCACACATCGTCAAGTGGCTCGCCCGCGCCGGCCCGGAGCTCCACGCCAAGCTAGCCTCCGAGGTCCGCGCCGCCGCGCCCGCCGGCGGCGGCGAGATCACCATCTCCGCCGTGGAGAAGGAGATGCCGCTGGTGAAGTCGGTGGTGTGGGAGGCGCTGCGCATGAACCCGCCGGTGGAGTTCCAGTACGGGCGCGCGCGGCGCGACATGGTCGTCGAGAGCCACGACGCGGCGTACGAGGTCCGCAAGGGGGAGCTGCTGTTCGGGTACCAGCCGCTCGCCACCCGCGACGAGAAGGTGTTCGACCGCGCCGGCGAGTTCGTCCCCGACCGGTTCGTCTCCGGCGCCGGAAGCGCCGCCCGGCCGCTGCTGGAGCACGTGGTGTGGTCGAACGGGCCGGAGACCGGGACGCCATCGGAGGGGAACAAGCAGTGCCCCGGGAAGGACATGGTGGTGGCGGTGGGGCGGCTGATGGTGGCGGGGCTGTTCCGGCGGTACGACACGTTCGCCGCCGACGTGGAGGAGCTGCCGCTTGAGCCGGTGGTCACGTTCACGTCGCTGACCCGCGCCGCCGACGGCGACGGCGCCGCGCGGCGCGGAGTATAATAGTGTCAAGCGGCGGCGCGCGTGAGCGGCGAGTGTTGGTGCGGCGACGACGCTGTCCATGCATGGTCGCTGTCAGTTGGTCAGATTTGCATGGATTTCTTTTTTCTTTGACCTAAAAAAATTGGGAAAAAGGTGTACTTTCGCGTGCTTGTGGGGGCAGGTTCTTAAGTATAGGGATTCGGTTTGTCATTGTGTGAAGTTCAATACGATGTTTGAAGTTGAATAAAATTATGTGCGTTCCTCGTGGTTTTTCTTTTTGGATTATAGGTCAAGATGGATAATCACACAATGCAAATTATGTGCATTCCTGGTTTTTCTTTTTTTGGATTATAGGACAAGATGGATAATCACACACGCTACCATGCAAATTATGTGCATTCCTCATGGTTTTTCTTTTTATTATAAGTCAATATGGATAATCACACACGCTACCAATCATGCAGTGGAAACCGCATATGTATTGGAAAATTTAAATTTACCTTTGATTCAAAAATAGATGTATGATATTTATTCATATCATCAAAAGTAGAAAAATTTCTTCTAGTAAAATTCTTACTCATGATTGAATCCGGGAGTTTTCAAATTTACACTACATATTTCCCCCGCTAAAGCTACCTAGCTTGTGAATAACAACTTCTAAGGCTGAGTTTGACAGTTCGTTTATCAACTCGAAATGATAACTTTATTATTTCTCGTTAGCACGCATTCGGAACCGCTAAACAATATATTTTGTGTAAAATGTTTCTATACATAATTTATTTAAAATTTATAATAGTTAATATGTAATTAGTGCAACTGTGCAACTCTGTTTTTTAATTGACCGGCAGGGGATATACCACTCTCATGACTTTCTCTGAGAAGGATGGCCACGAACCCTGGCTCCTTGACACGCAGATCCACCCCATGATTTAGGCTTTAACCCTTTGCTTTGAGGCACTTACTCGTACACGATGGTTCGTAATTATAAGTCATTTCTTAACACGTGTTTTAAACAAGGGGTTAGCGAGTACATTTTTAAAACCAGCTCAAAAATTATCTCTCAAGATGTGTCGAACCTAAGGGCTGGTAGGCATACTATAATATCATAACCACTGTGCAACAAACCCGTTCACTACCACCTACACTTTAGGTTACAAGGTTTTTATTAAGTAGGAGTACAATCGAACAAACACAACCCACAAACTTTAGTACTCCCTCCGTTTCACAACGTAAGTCATTTTAATATTTCCCACATTCATATTGATGCGCATCAATATAAATATGGGAGATGTTAGAATGACTTACGTTGTGAAACGGAGGAAGTACCACTCTATCATCGGTAGATCATATCGAATTCCTGCCATAATAAACCTCTAGTGACGATATTAATTAATTAATATCACTGCAGGTCAAGCCACAAACTGGCATTTGTACATATGATGCAGTAATATTGTATTACATATATATTTTGTTATGTATGTCCCTATGGACGATTACATTACGATCATTTGATCTATTCGTGATCTGTACTAATGTATTATATATGTATCTCGCATTTAACCTAGCTTGTCGAAGAGATGGATATGCATGGACTTCAAGCCTCCACATTGAGCATGTCGAGTTTTTTTTCCCTTACATGCCACTCAAGGCAAAGCATAATTAGGTGACAATTAATGAGTACAACTTGTACGACTTACAATAGAAAACCCTATAATGACACATCCAATATAATGGATCAGTAGCTGTTAGTAACTTGTCCTAAAGAACATTCTTATGTTAAACGCCACTTGTTTATGTAGAAATATAATCCAAGTCATTTGGGGCCGCATGACCGAGTCATGTCTCATGCACATGTGCTAAGTCGTTGACCATGCTTTTGTGTGTCTGGTGCACATGCGAGTACAGAGCTTTTACTAAGCTGAATTATAGATTTTTTTTTTGAGATGATGTGCACTGTAGTGTTGTATAATGTACATGTTGCTTGATTATATTAGCTTAGGCTTAAGTCACATATGGATTAATTATTGGTTGCTTGGTCAGATATATGGATTGCAACACCTAAATATATGGAAGGTATCCCTACTTTTTGTTATTAATTTTTTAGTGAATTAAGTGCACGAGCGGTCACTAAACTTATGTAGGTATATCATCCAGGTTCCTTAACTCTCAAAATGCATATTTTAGGTCCCCCAAACTTATTTTTGGTGTTATATAGGTTCAAACGAGTTATAACCCGCTCTATGATGTGGCATGTCATGATAGGGCCTACGTGCTAGTCGGATCCACGTGTCAGTTACATATACAAAAATAAAACTAAATAAATATTTTATCCTATACCTTAGAATAATTTTTATCTATCTTTTTTTTCTTCTCTACCTATGAGGAGAAAATATGGTTTTAAATTTTATTTTTTATAAATGACCGACATGTGGGTCCTACTAACACGTAGGCACCATGGCAATACCACATCAGCGCATAGAGCGGGTTAGAATACATTTGGACCTATGCGACACTCAAGATAAGTTTGAGGATAAAAAAATATATTTTGGGAGTTCAAGGACCTAGATGACACACCCGTAGATTTTTCGTAGAGTAACTTTTGGACGAGTACAGTAACTTTTGGTTGTATATACTAATGTCTTGATATATAGTTATTAGTTTTTTATATTTTTACACAGTGTAAGGGCATATACAAATGTATACTCTGACAATTAATGTACCAAAATAGTTGAGACAAACAAAATTTCCTACCATTACTGTACCAAAATATTTTTTTACTACCCTTCTTTCCTTTTCTCCACCCCATGTAACAAAACTTCTTTTAATAAAAGAGTCGACTCTGGACCGTTATCATGCGTAGCAATCATGTTTCCCTTTCCTCCCCCTCTCTCTCTCTCTACTATGTCATTAATTTTAGAGAAAAGTACATTTTACCCCCCTGAACTAATGCGGTTAGCCGAAAAACCCCCCCGAACTTAAAAATCGGTCATTTTTCCCCCTCAACTAATAAAACCGGACACTTAACCCCCCCTAACCATACTTTGGGCGGTTTTGACTGGAGACTTGCGCACGTGGCAGTCCAACGTGGCAAGACGGGCGCGGTTGGGCAAGCAGCGACTGGCGCAGCTCAGGTAGGGCAGCGGGCGCGGTAGGGAGGGCGAACTGGTTGGCGGCGAGCGGTGACGGGCGCGGATGGGTGCCTCTGGTCGGCTCACCCCTCTCTCTCTCTTTTCTCTGGAGGCGGAGACGGAGCGCGTCGACCGCACGGCCTCCGACCTCGCCCGCCGCCGTCATCGACCCCCTCCTCTACGTGTCGCCGTCCCCTCCCCCAATCTCCATCGCACCATCCCCACCTCCCCAACGGCGACCCAACCGTGGCCGGAGCCGAGGCAGCTGCTCCTATCAGGTTCCAGTCGAGGCGGACGAGGAGCGACGGCGAGGCCGCCCCCAGCCGCCTCCGACCCCGCCCGTCTCCGGCCTCGCCTCCACGCCCCCCAGCCGCGGCCTCGACGCCCGCCGCTGGCCTCGCCTCCGCGCCCGCCGCCACCAGCCGCCTCCGACCTCGCGCGCCACCCCTAGCCGCCTCCGCCTCCGCCACCAGCTGCCCCGACGAGCTCCTCCGCTGCCGGCCGCCCGCTCCGCCTCCACCTCAGCCGCCCAGGGAGCTCCGCCGGCCGCCCACTCCGCCTCCGACTAAGTCGCCCGCCGCCGCCGCCAGCGCCTGAGCAACTTTTCTTGCCCCCGCCCTTGCCCGCCCGCCGCCAGTGAGGGAAGGGAGAAGAGAGAGAGAGAGAGGGAGAGATTAGGATAGAGAGGGAGAGAGAGAGAGAGAGAGCGGACACCCGGGTGAGCTCCGCCTCCACCGCCCGCCGCGCGGGCGAGCACCGCCTTGGCCGCCGGCCGTCCGAGTGCGTGCGCCTCCTCCTCCGTAGCCGGCCGCCGCAACCGGCCGTCCGAACGAGTGCCGCCCGCAGCCGCCTCGTCCCCCGCGCCGGCCTCGGCTCCTCACCCGCCGCCCGCAGCCGCCTCCGCACCCGCCTCCGCACCCGCCCACCGGCCTCGGCTCCTCCGCCACCCCCTTCGTCGCCTCGAGCTCTGCCAGAGAAGAGAGAGGACACCGTCCTTAAGGTGAGGGAGAGAGAAGAGAGATGATTTTGGAGAGAGATAGAGAGGTGAGGGGTAAAAGATAGGTGAGAGACTGACACGTGGGACCCACTGATTTAAAAAGAAAAGAATTGCTGACTGGGCTGCCACGTAGACCAAAACCGCTTGCAAAACTGCTCAGGGGGGTTTTTCATCCGGTATCGATAGTTGAGGGTGAAAAATGACCGGTTTTCGAGTTCGGGGGGGGGGGGGGGTTTTCAGCCAACCGCATTAGTTCGGGGGGGGGGGGTAAAATGTACTTTTCTCTTAATTTTACTTGCATAGTAACGAAAAGAGACCGTTATTACTCACCGTTGTACATGCCCTAAGTATTTTGTATCACATCCAAACTTGGCAATGAATGGCCGACACTATGTCGTCTGTTTAATGAGACTTACACCCTCTAAAGTCGGAACAGGAAGAGCGACTCATTTGAACAATTTTTAAAAGGAGTGACTAAATTTCGCCAATCTCATAAGTGTGCAGTACACACTAAAAAAATCTAATTAGTGTGATTATACTCTAGTGGTGATCTAATTAGCGTGATTGAATCGTGGTGAATGTAACTCCCAAGTACAATTGTGGACCATGAATGAACATGACAATAATACGAAAATAACATAGTGATATTGAAAGGGAAACCAAGCAGTACGTTGCATCTAGTAATTAACCCTAAAAGACTGCCCTATAAACCCTAAAAAAGATAAATCATATATATGAAATGCAACCCTAATTAAATTATCCATAATTCCTTTCCTTGTTTCATAGATCAGATGATCCATGCTTGAGCTCATGGGCTATTAGCCGCTCCTTCTTAACTGTCCTCTTCTTCTCCAGCGAGTTCTTGATCATCTCCTGCTTCTTCTCCTTCTTCTCATCCATGGCGCCGCCGCCGCCGCCACGGCCGCCGTTCAACTCCTTCACAATGCGGGTGTCCTTCATCAGGCTCCGCTTCGACCTCGCCGCCGACAGCTTCCCGGTGACCTCGTCGTCGTCGATGACGAACACCTGGCCCATCAGACCCTTCCCCTGGAGGTGGTGCAGGAAGCCGCCGGCGAGGAATCGCCGGAGGAAGTTGAGCCGGACATTGTCCGTCCATGTCGACGTCGTGAGGAGGCCGTAGTTGGACGACGACGTGCGGACCGAGATCACCGGGGGCTTGCCGCCGGCGAGGAACGTCGTGATGTCCTTGAAGAGCTCCTTCTGCTCGACGAAGTTGGTCTTGTCGACGCCCGCTCCGGCGGCGTCGTTGGCGAGGTCGGAAGCTCTGGCCTCCATCTTGGAGAAGAGGGCGCCATTGTTTTTCTCGGTGAAGAGCTTCATCTCGATGGCGACGGCCAGCGCCTCGCCGGCGGCCATCCGGACCTCGCGGCTGTCGGAGCCGAGGAGGGAGACGAGGTGCGCGTGAGCCGCCGCGCCTCGCCATGGCGCGGCGGGGGACACCTTCTTCTTCTTGTTCCACCCGCCGGTGGTGGTCAGGACGAGCGTCCACGCCGACACGGCGGCGGCCAGCACGCGGGGGCTCGCCGTCCCCTTCGCCGCGCTGGCGAGCTTGGGCCCCGCGCTCGGGCAGATCACCGCCCACAGCGCGTTCATGCACGCCTCCGTGTCGTCCATGTTCTCCGCGGCGACGTCGACGAACGCGACGACGGCGAGGCACTCGAGCGCGGCGACCACCAGGGACGCGTCGGCTTGTGGCGCCTCGAGAATCCGGGAGGCGAGCGGGTACGTCGCCTTCATGATCTTATTCGCGCCGGAGCCGAGCGGGTTCGCCGCCGTCTCCACCGCCGCGATCTTCTTCGAGGTGGCGCCGGGGCCGAGCGTGACGGCGAGCAGCGCGACGGCGCGGAGCGCCACGCAGGCCTCCCTGGCGGCCCTCTTCTTGATGGAGACGTAGCAGCCGCGCAGGATCTCGTCGGTGTGCCCACCCTCCGCGTCGTCGGCGGAGAGGAAGCCCTCGAGCGCGGCGATGAGCTCCGCCAGCGCCGCCTCCCGCGTCGACGCCAGGCTGTCGTGCACCGAAACGGCGACCTTCTCGAGCACGGCGGCATTACGACGGATCCTCTGCTCATACGCGCTCACAGCCACAGCGCCGCCGCCAGCGGAGGCATCGTACGACGTCGAGGCGTGGCCGCTAGAGCGGCCGGTGGATTTCTTCAGCACCATGGCGAGGCGGTGGTTGAGGAGGCAATTGATCGAACACGTCGCTGGCGCAGAGAGATTTCGTGATCGATCGGGAGGGGGATCCGGGGATATGTAGAGAGCGGAGGACGAGACCGAGTCGTATTGGGCGTGGGCGGGAAGAGCCCTGCCACCGTCCGATCTGATGAGGTTTAATTTGGTACGCACGATTTGTGTAGAAGTGGAGTACAACTCTACACAATTTTCCGATCAGGAGTCATTTCAAATTAGGGTAATATTGTTCATGCCAAATACGATTCGGTAATCTTGTCAAATTTTTATAATGTTTTATGGGATGAACTTGTCAAATTAGGGTAATCTTGTTCATGCCAAGGAGGATTAGGCTTTACATTATAACAAAACATGTCGACCAGGAGTCATTTCATAGCATGTCAGAAACACTGGGTAATAAAATTTTACAACGTTGATTTCCTTGCCATATATATTTTCTAATTAAACAAGCATTATTAATTTTTCAAATTCTGCTACAAGATACTCTGATATGATGACTTTGTGATTATAGTTGTAGTAAGACATCGTAAAAATAAACCTTTACGAACAGGAAGTCAATTATGCGCTATCAAGTGCTACAGGAATTTTGTGAGTATCAATGTAACTGCAATAAAAATCATGTGTTCTAACTTCTAAATCTATACCAAATAATAATATAATTTAAAAATATGTAAGGCTTCAATCATCCCTTTTTCCATCCGGGCCCCTCCCTCCCACGCCTCCGCTTCCGCCTCCCTCCCTCCCTCCATGTGCCTCCATCTCTCCCCCTCCCCCGCAACCCCTCTTCTCCCTGGCAACGCCCCTCCTCTCCCGTCTCCCTCCTTCCTTCCCGGCACCCCCCATCTCCCCCTCGTTGCACACGCTCCCTCTCTCCCTCGGTATCTCTTCTCCCGAGCGGCGTCCCTCCTCTCCCCTGCGTTCCCTTCCTCTTACACATTCAAGGAAAACGGAACCTCCTTGTTCGGGAACACATTTTGACGCACTCACTCAGCCGTGTTCACCACAGGAGCTCACCATTGTTGTTTCTCTCTATTGGGACTATGTTGTTGTCGGCCGCGTTCCCATTGTTCTGATTTTTTTTCGTTGCCAACCGCCACCATCTACGGACGAGTCATATCATGGGACACGTCCTACCACTTCCCTCACCGTCGTTTGGTCGCTGAAGCATTGGCGCCCATGTTCCCTACTCTTTTTTTTAAAATAATGGATTATAATAAACCCGGCCTCTACACCTTGTGAGGATGTACACAGCCTATATTCCCTACTCTTTTATTTCTCGCCTTAGCTAGGGAAGACAATGAACAATGTCTATTGGGCATTATTCTTCTTGGTCTATTATAACCATGCTCCTAGACCACTCGCATAATATTTAGACCATATGAGTATGAATAGAATATGAAAATTGTAATTTATATCAATAAAACAGACACCCGTTCAGATTTAGTGAATCAAATTTTCATATGTGGGTTAAAAGAAGTTTTTCCAATTTCTAGCTAATTTCAGTTGTTTTTCATTTACATTATTAGTTTTAGCACTATTTGATCCACTAAAAAATATTATAACTTATAATTTTCTCTATATTAAATTATTTATAGCTAAATGAGAAAATTGGATTAAGTTATATAATTTTCCTGATATTGAATTATCGTTCTGGACAAAGTTATTTGTAGTGTTGTTATTTATAAGTTTATATTCCCTTCATCATTTATGCCCAATTGTAATATATGGTTTAGGATTTTAATTAATGTCAATGAATACTATTTAGAATCCGTTGCAACGCACGGGCATTATGCTATTAACCTCTAGATAATTTCTTTTAAAAAGATAGATGGACTGTAAATAAAACGAGCACACCACAGCTTCTTTCAAATGTATGTTCTTTGCAAGAATTTTAATAAATTTAATCTCATTACTTAAAAAACGATAAGTTCAATACAGTCTAAGTTCTAAACATGGCCAAGAGGGAGTTTCGGGCTTAATACCAATATTTTAGCAACAAATCTAATAAATCTAACTGTAGTGGTTGGTGTATTGATTTATTTTGGAAAAGGAGCGTGTGCGAGTTGTCTATTTCAAGAATAGATTGGATCTATCCGGCTGCACTTTAGAATATTTTTTAGTATTTTTCGAATAAATAAGAAAAGGGTGCACGATCTCGACGATTTACTTCTGAATAAATGCATAAATCATATGAAACAACCATAGCATTTTGCGACCTATTGGTAAATCAAATCAATACGCTGGTTATAAAGTACTAATATGGACTATACTTAGGGACATAATATGGACTTTTTTCATACTAACTTATCCAGCATGCGGCTTATGCTCGGCGGTAGATCGGCCAGGCCATTGTTCGAGACTTCGAGTCATGGATAGATTCTCTTGGGCCAATGGGTTGCACTGACCATCTCCAAGATGAGAATTGCTAAGAAAAAAAGGTTATCGTACAATTTTATTGTGAAAAACTTTCAAACGTAATTTCATAGTGCAATTCCATAAGTAACCCAATTTACTCTCTCAGATAATTATTTTTCTACATAATAACTTTACATGCACTGGACTCTGCTTGGCCCAAAATTCCTTTCCTAGTTTCATACTGAACTTGAGGTCAGAGGCTATTTGGCGCTCCTTGTTGAGCGTCCTCTGCTTGTCCACCTTCTTCTTCTGATCCATGGCCATGTCGTCCTCCTTCACGACGAACACCTGCCCTATCAGCGGCGCCTCCTCCCCCATCACCACCTTCCCCTGGAGGTGCGGCAGGAACCCGCCGCCGAGGAATCGCCGGAGGAAGTTGAGCCGGACAATGTCCGTCCATGTCGACGCCGTCAGCCGCCCATGGTGGGACGACGACACGCGCACCGAGCTCGCCGGTGCCTTGCCGCCGGCGAGGAACGACGCGATGCTCTTGAAGAGCTCCTTCTGCTCGACGAAGTTGGCCTTGCCGACGCCCGCTCCGGCGGCCTCGTTGGCGAGCTCGGACGCTCTCGCCGCCACGCCGGAGATGAGGGCGCCGTGGCTGTCCCGGGTCACGAGCTTCATCTCGATGGTGACGGCGAGCGCCTCGCCGGCGGCCATCCGGACGGCGCGGCTGTCGGAGTGGAGGAGCGGGGCGAGGTGCGCCGCCGTGTCGCGCCACGCGGTGGGAGAGGACGACGCCGCCTTCTTCTTCTTCCAGCCGTCGGTTGTGGTCAGCACGAGCGTCCACGCCGACACCGCGGCGGCCAGGACATGAGGGCTCGTCTTCCTCGCCGCGCCGCCGAGCTTGGGCCCCGTGCTTGGGCGGATCAGCCCCCACAGCGCCTTCATGCACGCCTCCGTGTCGTCCATGTTCTCCGCGGCGACGTCGACGAACGCGACGACGGCGAGGGACTCGAGCGCGGCGATCACCAGGGACGCGTCGGTTGACACCTCGAGGATGCGGGAGACTAGCGGGAACGTCTCCGCCATGATCTTCTTGGAGCCAGGGCCGGGTTCGAGCGGGTTGTACGTCTCCGCCGGCAAGATCCTCCTCTTGGAGCCCGGGCCGAGCGTGACGGCGAGCAGCGCGACGGCGCGGAGCGCGAGGCGGGCCTCCTTGGCGGCTCCCTTCTTGATGGAGGCGCAGCAGCCGCGAACGATCTCGCCGCGGTGGTGCCACCCGATGAAGTGGGCGGGGACGAAGCCCTCGAGCGCGCCGACGAGCGACGCCAGCGCCGCCTCCCTCGTGGACGCCCGGCTCTCGTGCACGGAGACGGCGGCCTTCTCGAGCACGGCGACCCTCTGATTAATCTTCTGGTAGTAGATGCTCATGCCGCCACCGCAAGCGCTGCTGGTGTCATCGTCCAGCATGGACGACGACGAGGAGGCGTGGCCGTTAGAACGGCGGATGAATTTCCCCATAACCATGGTGAGCGGTGGTTGACTGGTTGAGGCAATTGATCGAACAGGTCGCCTGCACAGTGACCGGGTGGTTGAGGCAATCGATCGAACACTTGGCAGGCGCAGTGAGAAGCGTTCCTGAATCCTGATGGATCGGTATGGGAGTGGAGAGGAGGGGCAGGGGATATGTAGGCGACCAGAGAACCGACTGCGAATCGGGAATCGGAGTTGGAGTTTGCGCGGCGGCTGTGCTGATTCCGAATCGGAGTTTGCGGTGCGGCTGGGGCTGATTCGATTCGGACGGGAGAGCTCTGGCCGTCCGATCTGATCAGATTCGGCTGGGAGAGCTCTCGCACCGTCCGATGTGATTCAATCTGGTACGTGTGATCAAAATTGGAATTAAATTAGGGGATTATATATTGGGCTTTTTTTTAGGGGGGAGATTTTTCAATATATTTGGTACGGTGTTTGCATTAAAAAGATAAAAATCCAACGCTTCCCAATAACAGGTATAATGTAAAAAGTATTTAAGTATTAGTGTAGGTATTTAGCTACTTACTCCCTCCGTCCAAAAAAAAAAGACAAACCCTGGGTTTCCGTGTCCAACGTTTGACTGTCCGTCTAATATAAATTTTTTATAATTAGTATTTTTATTGTTATTAGATGATTAAACATGATTAATACTTTATGCGTGACTTGTCTTTTTTTTCATATTTTTTTCAAATAAGACGGACGGTCAAACGTTGGACATGGAAACCTAGGGTTTGTCTTTTTTTGGACGGAGGAAGTAGGTATTAAAGATAGAACGTAAATTTACTAGTAGAGAGAAAATGGTAGAATTATCCTCAACTTTGGTATTAAAGATAGAACATAAATTTGCAAGCAGAGAGAAAAGAGCAGAATTGTACCACTTAAGTCATTTGCCTGTACTAGCGTATATGTTCTCTTTTGTGTGGTTTCCTATATATTTACATCGTGTTCTTTGAGGTTTTTATTTGTGTGATTTTCTCTAGATTTATATTTTGTTCCAAGAACACATTACTAGCATAAAAATTCTCATTTGCATGATCTTCTATAGATTTATATTCAAACTATATCCGAAAGAACACATGATCAGCTTCTCCCTTGATCATGTCTCCTTGCGGGTCCACATATTCAAACTATATTATAAGAACAGAGGAGGTCTCGTTCCGGTCCCTTATACGAAAGAATTTGTGAACTACGTAAATAACTAATCAATAAGATCTCACCTATTGGGCTTCACCTATGCCATTGACTGGTTGATCTCGTCTCATGTTGAATTCTCAACAATTCTGACGGTTCTCCCTCTATTTCTTTTTGGAGAATTTAGGTCAAATCCTAGAGCAAGAACAAACTAGTGTGGAAGACAATGCGGAAGAAGAAAGAAGACGGATCTGATCTTTTTCCCGTGGAGATCTATTCGATGCGTAAATCAATGCTTGATTTACGTTTTTTCTACCTATCGGTACCAGATTAGTTCAGCCAAGTATACCATCCACTTAAAATATCCATATTTTATTACCTAATAATTACTTCCCTGTCATCGGTTATAATAAGTTTTATTCCGTACCTTATCCCTCTCTCGATCAATTGTTCACATTACTTCACCTCTCGATACTTCTAAATATCTCACAAACACCATAAAAGCTCTCTAAGTCATATTGATCGATCAAAGCTAATAATTACTAGTGCTAACTACTAATACTCGAGCAACAAAATCGGCTGCTGCACCGGCGGCAACATGTGGCTCGCCGTCGCCGGTGCAGTAGGCGGCAGCAGATGCGGCTGCCGGTGCACCGGCGGCAGCATGTGGTGGCAGCACGCCAGCGCCGGGAGCAGCATGAGCGCCGTCGTGCCTCTCTCGGGCTCCTCCTCCGGCAGCCCGAACTTGTTCTTCTCCTTCCACACGGCTTCGCGGCACCTCCTCCGCTCCAGCGTCCGCTTCTTCTCCCTCTGCTTCCTGCTCATCATCTTCCTCGCCGCCGGTAGCCCCTCCACCTCGTCGCCGTCGACCTCGAACGTCTCGCCGAACAGCGGGTTGTGCTGGAGGTGGCTGTGGAAGCCATTGCCGAGGTACCGGGTGAGGAAGTTGAGCTGGAGGAGCTTCGTCCATGTTGTCACCTTGAGCACGCTCTGCCTGCTCGACGACGTCCTCACCGACTTCGTCGGGGCCTCGCCGTCGTCCAAGAAGATTTCGATCTGCCGGAAGATGTCCTTCTGCCCGGCGTGGCGCCGCTTGTCGCCGGCGCCCTTGCCGGAGGGCTCGGTGGCGAGGTAGGAGACGGTGGCGTTGAGCGCTTCCATGTCCTCCGGCGGGGTGTCGTGCGCCAGCTTGAGCTCGACGCACGCGGCGATCGCCTCGCCGGCGGCGACCCGGACGCCGCGGTCGTCGTGGTCGTCGAGGAGCTTGGCGAGGAGCGCGATCTTGTCCTTGCAGCTCTCGCCCTCCTCCGCCTCGTACCGGTCGTGGACGACGGTGAGGAGGAACGCCCACGCCGACACGGCGGCGGCGAGGGCCTCGGGCGTTGTCTTCCTCGCGTCCCCCGCGGCGAGCCTGGAGCCGCCCGGCCCAGCTGAGCTCGGGTCGATCACGCCGCCCCAGATGGCGTCCATGGACCTCTCGATCTCGTCGTCTCCGTCCTCGCCGGCGAACGTGGCGACGGCGAGGCCGTCGATCGCGGCGAGCACCTTCGCCATGTCGTGCGACGCCTCCACCGTCTTGGCGAGGAAGGGGAACGCCTCGGCGAGGACATCCTTGGCGCCGGCGGTGTCGTCGCCGCCGCCGCCGAGGGTGAGCGCGAGGATGCCGATGGCGCGGTAGGCGAGGCGGGCCTCCCTGACGGATCCCTTCTTGAGCGAGAAGACGCAGCGGGACACGATGGTGGTGTACTTGCAGCTAACCTCCCGCGCCGACACGTGGCCCTCGAGCGCGCCGACGAGGTCCTCCATGGCCGCCTCCCGCGTCGACCCGCGCTTCTCGAACAGCGCGACGATGCACCGCTCGACGACGTCGCGGGGCACCATGTCCACGCGTTCCTTCTCCGGCCTCGGCGGCCGGACATGGATCGGCTTCTGGCCCGTCACCATCCTCGACATGAATTTGCCGCCGCCGCCGCCACCGCCGCCTCTTGCATCTGCACGGCGAGCCATCGCCGGAAAACCTCATCGTCTCAATCGATCGAACAAAAGAAGAGAAACAATTAAAACAGAGATGAAGGAGGACGTACGTGGGAACTCCATGCCCGGAGATCGGCCGGATGGAGCCATGGAGAGATCGCCGGAGACTGCGATGACTGATCTGGTTGTGCGCGTGCGGTGGAAGTTCGCCGGCGATGAGGTAGGTGGAGGTTGGGACGGCGAGGGGGCGAGAGGAATATGTAGTGGCGGGGAGGAGGAGACCGTGTCGGCGACGGAGAGGGAAGGCGCGCGCGGGAGCGGGAGGAGCTCGTGCGCCCCACGGTGGATTTGAATTCGGGTGTTTCCTTTAAAAATCGTGCGGGTTTGAGATGGGCCTGGTTCGCGCGCAACTTAATGGGCTAACCTTGACGGCCCATGAATATTTGGGCTCGGATTGTGAAGCCCAGCAACGTGTGGACCGAAACATGCCTAGGAGGTAAACAAGCCCATCACATTATGGGCTTGGATACGGATAACAGTGTATGAATGGGATTAGAATTTGAATCTAACGTTTATGTGAATATGTTATTATGACCGCCCCAGTTTTAGAAAATAGATGAAATTAAATAAAAAAATTGTGATTGGTTGAGAGAAGTATGTAGAAAATTTGAATGGTGCAACGTTGTGATTGGTTCAGAAGATAATGCAGATGTAAAAGTGATTATATTTTAGAACGGATGGAGTGCAAATTTTATCAAAGGACAATAAGCCCAAATTGAAACATACTGAATCTTTGAAATGGTGCCGATTTTAATGTTGTAATGTACTTATAATATATAGCTACGGGCATATTTTTACAAAGTCGCATTTGCAAATAATAATAATAATAATAATAAAGTCCTTACAAAGTGCACTTGACAATACTTTTCAATCGAACTGAAACCGGAGGGAGTATTGGCCATGTTGTTTCGTGGGGTTTGATTGACAAGTGGAAACACTTTGCAATTCTGTGGGCAGTGTGGTTGTAGATGCATTGCTTCATTTATTATGGTTCATACAGTGGTCGCTACATAAAAATTCAATAGTTACATGCACATTGGTGCTTTGCTTTAGTAGGAGTTTTCGTGAGGTTTTAAGGTCTCTGACCTTTATATATTGAGTGTCTATTAAAGAAAACTCAAATTTATTGTGTACCAAAATTATATGTTGGAACTGATTGATATAGATTTGTTGGCTGATCTCGGCTTACAACCTACACCGAGTCGCGCACGTTGCGGATTTTACCTCCTAAGAGTAAGTAGCCAACTACTAACTCCAATTCATCTGTAGCCAATCTAATAGCTCATTCATATAATAGTTACATGCTACACTATTAATACCTGGTCCCACCTGTCATACACACACTGTGTCTTAAAGTCCGTGCTACAGCTAGCTACAAATCTATAGCCTGCTGCTCTTCTCTCTTCTTATTTATCTACTTAAAATATGTTTGCAGCTGGCTTATAGCCTGCTATTTTACCTGCTCTAGTTATGCACATTAGCATGGATCCTCTTCTATTTTCAAATGCGAAACTCGAGACGTTACATAGCACTAGCAGAACAGACAGCTATGTTTGGCGCCAATTTTTTTGCCAGTCTTGGCGCCATTCCTCTTTGATTTCTCCTTTTTCTTGCTCTGCCCTCTCTGCCTCTGAAGAACTCTGAAGTCTGAGCCTCGAATTTAATACTACAGTTGCTGCTGCCTGAAGCCACCAACAGAAGTGAAGGCTATACCACAGTGTTTTGCATATCTTGTGCAGCTGTGCTCTTGACCATCCACTAGTAGCCAGCCGGGCAACAAGAACCTCCAAATTAAAATCCAATGGATTCCTGCACCCCACTTTTCCAGGCTTGACGCACTGACCAACAGTGGACTCCTCACTCCTTTTCAGAAGTGACATCCTCGTCAGGTTTGCAACTTCAGAAAAAATCTCCTACTCCTACTTGATCCTACTGGTACTAGGACTACTCCTTAAGGATGACACATTAGAGATTAGACCCGGTTTGACTGAGGCCGAGTTTAGTTTTAAATTTTTTCTTCAAACTTCTAATTTTTTCATCACATTAAAACTTTTCTACACCTATAAACTTCTAACTTTTTCATCACGTCGTTCCAATTTTAATCAAACTTTCAATTTTAGCGTGAACTAAACACACCCTGAGTACAGGTAAAACGATCTTATGGAAAGAAGATAGGCATCATTTGACAGTACGATAGGAAAAAACAAAGGAAAGCTTACAAAAAGCTCGTACCTTTTGTACATTTCCAACAAAAGAGAAGTATATTGGGCTTTGCTCACATTGTTGCCATTTCAACCTTACCAAAGTTTGGTATTATCAAATTTTGGCATATTTTAGTGTTACCATTTGTTTTTTACCTTGGCGTTATCAAATTAAGATAGTGTTAAATGTGTTTGGTTTGGAGCCATGCCAAATTTTGATGGTGTTTTTTCTAGAATCAACAACTTTTGGTAGTTTGGTAAAGGTACGGATATGTTTAGTTTATTACCCTGCCAAAATTTGGTAGAGTTGAAAATGACAACAAAGTGAACATGCCTAATAATACACTGGTATGGAAATTTTTTCATCAAAGGGATATAGAAAAATGTCTGTAGGAATTTGAGTAATATGAAAATGCTTTGCCAATCTTATGAAACAAATGGTCCCTTGGGATCAGAGGTTAAAACAGGAGATGCTATTAGCGCTGATTTACCAAATATAAACTATTACTCCCTCCGTTGTAGGTTATAAGACTTTTGCCTAGTGAATATGGACAATGCTAGAAAGTCTTATAATCTAAAACAGAGGAAGTACAAAGTTAAAATTGTATTTGTTTGATTTTTCTTATAAAAAAACTCTTTTTTTCACAAAACATTTCTGACTGAAACTATGCCACAGAGAACGGGGAAGTAAACTGTTCTGATAAGCTGTTTAGAATGTATCCTAAATTGGCCCTCTAGAGAGCTTTTAACAACTTCAACTTCTCGTAAAATCTCCAACACATCAAACAGTTTTCCTAAAAATGGATAGCTACAGACAATAACGGATTGACAAAACTATTTGTGATTTCCTGCATAATCAATTCTCACAACTAGTAATACTAGTAATTTATAATGTCGACAAAGATTACAAGTTACAATAACAAATGCTCTATGCACCGTAACAAATTCCCGAGCAACGCAAACAACTGAACAGCGTCTGCATGCCGGCCGGTGGCCGGTGATGCCACTGCCGTCGCTGCAGCCGCAGTGAAGGCCACCGGCGAGCGAGACAACCACCTCTCCGACTCCCCAATAAATACACACCTGTTGCTGCTGCTCCTGTGTTTTTTTTTTTTTACTTGTAAGGTGTTCGTCTGTGTGTGTAAATACCATCGACGAATTCTGCGTGCTACAGGAGGAAGCTGTTCACGCGGCCGTCGACGACTGTATCAAATGGTGGTGATGATCTCTCGCTGCAATTCGTTCATGTGGTTCTCGTCGCCAGGCTGACGCCGGCGAGGTCGCCGCCGTACTCCTCCAGCACCACCAGCAGGTTGCCGCCCGGCTTCAGCCATGATCTCGGCACATGGTACCTGAAATTTTATCCAAAATAGTAGGTACATTTTACGGTGATCTCTCCCCAATAGAAGTGATCTTAAGCGTTAATTTATGAGGCAAAAAAAATCGTTCTACTAATAGTAATTGAGTAGTGGTAAAATTGATTCTACTACAGTAGCAGAGACACTATTATAAACGTCTCTTTCTTTTTGTTATTTAAACATTGTAAAACATTTTATTATTGTTGAGCATGGATTGATAGTCACTAATCTTTGTGTTTCTGCTCTACTTGTGTGCTTGGGATGTGGTTTTTTGTGGTTCTTTTTTGGTTTTGTGCATTTTATGCAAAAGCTAAGGGCAGACTCAGTTGGATTATATTATCTTGATGTAATTGACCGAGCCTCGATAAAACTTCCATTATCTAAAAATTATTGTTCAGAGAAAATTTGAGTTGTGTGAGAAGATGGTTATGTGAGGCTGAATTTATTACCATCTTTGGGACAGGTCGCCGCAGTTGGACCGGCACTTGTCCTCGTGGTACGTCCCGGCGTAGCTGCAGCCGCCGCAGCCACCGGAGGCCTTGTACGACCAGTACCGGCCGACGTGGTGGCCGTTCACCCAGAGCTGGCCCTTCCCCATGCTGCCCATGTCGAGCGCCACTGGGTCGTTCCCGGCCGGCGCGTTGAAGAAAGCCTGAGACAATCAATGGTGACAAAAGGAAATTCAGCAACAGGTGACACAAATTCAGTCTGAGCGTGATGAAACTGTAATTCCACTTTGTCATTGCTGGTGCTTCTTCAGAATTCAGCACTTACCTTGTGCCAAGTCAGTGGCTGGTAGCCGCCAGGGCCACCCCATTCGACTGCGGAGCTTCCGGTGACGGTGTGGAGACCCAGCGTTTCGCCTTTCAGGCCGACCTGATAGGTCCATTTCTGATGGCTGAGGTCTTTTGTGCCCCCATTTAGGCTGGAGAGGGTCACCGGTCCGAGCACTCCGACATTCCAGTTCTCAAAATGGTTGCCAACATTCTGAAAATGGTATCAGATATCAGTGTTACAGGTAGTTTGAGACAAGATATAAGTGTCCGGGATATCAGTTAAGCTGTGATCAACTCACAGGGAGGCCAACTGCTGAACTTAGGATGGAGATCTTGTTGCTGCCCTGCCACATCTTGACACGTCCATTGTATGTCAGCTTCGGGTTGTCGTAACCACCATAAACAGATCCTACGGAGGAAGCAAAATCATGAACATTCACTAAAATGATTGGTGTTGGCTTGATCTAACATGAAATGTAGCTAAGTGCCAGTACCATATGATTTCCCGTTCACGAACACCTGCATCGAGTGCCCAGCGGAGTAGACAGTGAGCTGAGGAGACTGACCAGACCTCAAGTCATTTGTACCAATGTTGACGCTGCAACAAGAATTCATCAGGGTTAAGGGAAAATTCATATGGCTTCTAATAGAAATGGTTGAAATTTTGTCACATATCAAGGTTGGTCACTCACTATGTGGTGTACCACAGGTAGTCTGACTTGTCCCATGTCATGCTCAGCTGCTCAACAAGGCCATCCTTCGTGAACGCGCTGTCGCTCAGCGAGTTTGTGTCCTCGCTATATGACTGCCAAGCGAATCGAACCACTGGGTTCATCTTTGGCATCAATGTTGGCTCCTTCACCTGTGCCATTATCATGTAAGTACATTAGACCATGTGCTCCAGCAAGGTCCAGCTAGTCCACATAAAGGTTCAAGCTTCAGTGTTCCCTAACCGTTGCAGTGTTGAAGACGGCAGTTTTGCAGTCCGGCAGAATGCTGATGGACCAAGCAGGAAGGTTGTACTGCTGCCCATTGAACCTGACTTTGACTGCAGTGTTCATGTGGTAGTTCGACAGGAACGCCGCGCATGCTCCATTCTTTGCCTTGAAGACATATGCCTAAAGGATTTGACCAATTATGAATCTAGGAATATCTATGGATGATCACATATATTGTGTGCAAGATTGTAGCAACACCAACCTTCTCATAGCTGCCAATAGACTCTATTGTCGGATCGGCAGAAACCAGCACAGGCTCAGCCTGCTTGATGGCCCTGTGAAGGTCTCTCAAGTGACCCCATTTCGGTTGCCTAAGCAGACCTGAGATGTACATGCCATCCGTTTATCAACTGAGTCAGATCCATGTCAATCAAGATTATAAACAGAAGATAAAAAACAGCAAATTTCCGAAAATATCTCAAGAAGGCAGGCAGGAATTCAAGTTTATCAAAGAAGGCAATCACTGCATACCAAATTCGTCAATCGGAGCATCATAATCATAGCTGGTTGCAATGAAGGGACCACCAGCTGTCCGGCCAAAATTGGTTCCTCCATGGTACTGCACCAGAACATGAAATGCGGTCAGAACAAGTAAAACTACATTCACTGCAACACCAGTGTTGGTGTGACCAGTGAGCCCCCTCTCTTCTCACCATGTAATAGTTCACGAAAGAGCCACCCTTCTGTATGAACCTCGCCACGGCAAAAGCCAGATCCTCCACTGGCCGATGCGGCACCCCACCTCCGAACGATGTAAACCTTCACGCGCAGTAAAATGTAAAACCGTAGTAAGATCATTCCCATCAGATTAGGATGGTATGAAGTGCGACATGAGTTGGAACAAGAAAATTACCAGCCGGTCCAGGCCTCAGTCCACATGGACGGCTTGTAATTCTTGTTTGGGCTGAAGTAGTCGCAGTAAAATCCATTGCAAGTGTTGATCTGCCATGGTTGGGGATAAAAAAGGGTAAGAACTCGCAGTCTGGCACAGTGAACTGCACAACAAACTCATTCATTTGACACCACCAAGGAAGGTGGAGTAGTTTGTTTCCAGTTTCTACTATCAATTATCAGTGTACCACTGGGTCAGGGGCGTCGTCCTGCTTGCACATCACCCACGGCACGCCAGTGTTGGTCCCGACGGCCATCTTTGCGGCCCAATTTGCATACGGCTTGGCACCGCTGCCACCGACCGACTCCATCGGCCCAAACTCATTCTCCACCTGACCAAATCCACCACAGAAACATCAATTCTCAGTTAAGCTACACTCTAAGCTAGCTGCATTGCAGATTGCAACGGACTAAGCAGAGAAGCTGTTCTTCAGGGATTCACCTGAGACATGATGATCGGGCCGCCCTGCCACTCGAACAGCCCCTCGGATTTCATCATCGACACAATCTTCTCCACAAACTTCTGCATTTCCGCCTACACGATTACAAGCACCAGATATTTACCACATCATAAACCCCAATTCTTGAAGAATGTAAGAGACCAAAATTGCTGCATTCGTGTTAGCACAATACCTTGAACGGGCCATTGTCCGTCCTGAAGCTAACCCCCGGCACATATTTCAGCCAGACAGGAAAGCCCCTGCAAGAATCACCAACATTGCAAACGTTTTTCAGATGCAACAACTTGCAACCAAACACACACTGAAACTGCAATGCTGCAGCTGCTACATTCTGCTCCAAAATCTACCCAAGAACACTGAGACTCTGTAGAAGAATCGTTACCCAAAGTTCCACTCGGCGCAGACGTAGGGGCCGATGCGGAGGTGGACGTAGAGGCCGGCCTGCTTCACCAGCTTGACGAACCTGACAAGATCGTACCGGTCGCTGAAGTAGTACTGCCATAAAAAGGAGGTCATCAACCAAGAACTCATAGGAAGAAGAAGAAGAAATGGTGAGGTGAGAGTGAAAGTACCTGGCCCTGGACGGGCTCGTGTCCGTTCCAGAAGACGTAGGTCTGGATGACGTCGAGGCCGCCGTCCTTGGCCTTCTGTATCAGCCCCGGCCACATCTGCGGCGGCGGCGACGGCGAAGCACACGAAGCAAGAATCAGAAACCGGAGGTGTACGTGAGAGAGAGAGAGAGAAGAGAAGTGGTGCATTTGGGCGGCGGCCATGGATGGGGGGTACGTACCTCGGGGGTGCTCCGCGGGTAGTGGATGGAGCCGGAGAGGAGGATGCGGCGGCGGCCGTTGATGACGAGCGACCGGCGGTCGTACGACACGGCCGCGTTGGCGACGCCCACGCTCGCCGCGAGGGAGGCCGCCACGAGCGCCGCGGCCAGCACTGCCACGCGGCGGCCGGCGGCGGCAGCCGGAGTCGGCGCCGGCGCCATTGCAAGTGTGTCCCCTCTCCAAAGAAAGCTCCGAGCTAGCTACCTCTCCTCTGCTCACCCTCTCTCTTGGCGTGAGAGAGAGAGAGGGACAGAGAGAGAGAGAGAGAGAGAGAGAGAGCAGTGAGCTGCTTCTTGGAGAGGAGCAATGCGTGCGAGGCGGCAACGTGAAGAGCGCCGCACGGTGTTTTGTGGAGGGTGGCAATGGCGATGGAGGGAGAGCTCGCCTTTCTTTTCTTGTTTTTTTTTTCTCTCTCAGTTTTTAACTGCTTAATTTTGATCCTTGGACTCGACTCGCGAGAAGAGGAGTGAAGTGGGAGCAGTTGCAGGCTAGCAGCTGCAGTAGATGGGGGCGAGGTTTTTATGGGAGAGGGTGCAGTGTGAAGCTGAGCTGAGCTGAGTGAAAAAGGGAGTTGGCGCACTGGAAGGGAAGAAGGAGGTGGTTCTGCGGGTGGGATGGGTGGGCCCACGACATTTTTCATTTATTCTAGCGTGGGCCCGTTTGGCATGAGAAAGAGTAGAAATGCAGCCGGCCGCCCGCATCACGCACACACTCCCCTTCGCAATTGGGCCAGCATATCTTGAGATTGATAAAATCTTGTTGTTGATAGGTATGTTGCCTATCAATTAAAAAACAGATAGTCGTAAATGTGAGCATCCATATTAAGGCTATGTTTAGTTCGTGTGCTAAATTTTTTTTAAGTATATAGACACATATTTGAAGTATTAAACGTAGACTAATAACAAAACAAATTACATATTTCGCCTATAAATTGCGAGACGGATTTATTAAGCCTAGTTAATCCGTCATTAGCAAATGTTCACTATAGCATCACATTATTAAATCATAGCGTAATCGTAATTAGGCTTAAAAGATTCGTCTCGTAATTTACATGCAAACTGTGCAATTGGTTTTTTTTTCGTCCACATTTAATACTCCATGCATATGTCCAAACATTTGATGTGATGTAAAAGTTGGAAGTTTGACGAAAAAATTTTGAATCTAAACACGGCCTAAATTTAGGATTTGAATCTGGGTGGCTGATTCCACAACCGTAAACCTAGCCAGTTCAGCTAAAATTTAGGTTGGATTAGAAGGGTATATAGATTTGCGATTAAGGCCTTCCTTGCTATGGAGGATTTTTTTTTGGATGAAATTTAGATGAATTCAACTAATTTAAGTGAAAACATTTTATTCTAAAGGAGGCATTAAGGTTGATTTCTATTACTTTATTAGGTTGAAGGAATTATAGAGAATTTTCATACAACTGAAAATAGCTCCTATCAAATAACTCCTGAATGCCGGGATTTTCCACAATACCACTGGTGCACACAGCCACACACTGATGTGGAACAAGAACCAGGAGGCAGGAGCAACTGCTGCTAGACGAGCAGTATTGTAGAGGATCGACATTCTAACCTGACAATGTGCACCTTCTTCGGAAGGTAACAAGCGTATGCAATTCGTTTTCCCAATTCCTACTTCATCCGTTGGAAAATAAATCGATTCTTAGGATCCTAAGAAAAATTTTGCATCGAGAAATAAAAGACCAAAGTATCTCTCATTAATAGAAAAATAGTGTTAATGGGTTGGTAAAATAAGGTGTATTGAAAGGATAGAACTTGATTTGTGAACTAAGGATAGGTATAGAATAGAAAATCAATTTTTTTGACAAATATTAGTTACTATTAATTTTTTTTTTGGATGAAGTAGACTGGCTACTAGTGTTCTTAGCTTAGGCCCTGTTTAGTTTTCACGCAAAAACTTTTCACCATGTCTGTCACATCGAATGTTTGAAGACATACGTGAAGTATTAAATACTCCCTCCGTATTTTAATGTATGGCGCCGTTGACTTTTTAACAAACGTTTGACCTTTCGTCTTATTCAAAAATTTATGTAATTATAATTTATTTTATTGTGACTTGATTTATCATCAAATGTTCTTTAAGCATGACATAAGTATTTTTATATTTGCATAAAAATTTTGAATAAGACGAGTGGTCAAACGTTGGTTAAAAAGTCAACGGCGTCATATATTAAAATACGGAGGGAGTATATAAAAAAAACTAATTACACAGATTGCGTGTAAATTGCGAGACGAATATTTTAAGCCTACTTGCTCCATGATTTGACAATGTGGTGCTACAGTAAATATTTGCTAATGACGAATTAATTAGGCTTAATAAATTCATCTCGCAGCTTACAGGCAAAATATATATTTTGTTTTGTTATTAGTCTACGTTTAATACTTCAAATGTGTCCGTATATCCGACGTGACATGCCAAAACTTTTTACCCCTGGATCTAAACACAAACTTTCTCTTCTTGGATACACATGGTCATATTTATAGAGCCTGGAATATAAGCCATACACGCGCAACTCCACCGATGATACTTCTCAGTTCATGCATGTACCGGTGTGCATAGCGTTGGGGTCATTGGATTAGTTATTAGAATGGAATCCGTTCATTCGACAGGACAAAATCCACACGCCATGTCTGCTAGATCCGGCCGTGCGTGCTCCTCACACTAATAATCATGCATGTGAGTGTGGCCAATACTATACTTGATAGTAGGCTCCTCCCATGCACACATGCCGCTGTCAGCCAACGCGTCGACTCGAATCCTAGCTACGTGCTTAGTAGACGACAAATCAATAGCATCATGTGCCGATCAAAAGGCTCGTTCAGTTTTGTTGCAGCAAATGTCCAAACAAACATTTATCCCCACTGTCCAAAATCCAGATGTCAAGAATACAGTATATGCTAAGAGTACATATTAGTTACTGTATTACAGCAATGCCTTATGTGAACAATGGCGGATCAGAAAATTGATTCGTTGATGTCATAACGTGTGTATCGGTATCATAGTATGCTAATTATATTTAGATCATGGTGTTATAATATATGGATAAGCAGTTTTGCTATAGGTTTTGCCGAAAGTCATCGGTGTCGCCTGACACCGGTCCTTATATTGTAGATCCGCCCCTTTAAACAATCAAATCTGAAATTTGCTCATACGAAGACTCAGGACCTTGGGTGCTACTCATGTCACTGCAACCACTACTATTTTATTCAAATAGTTTTTTTAATAAATAACTATTCAAATAAAAAAATACAGATCGAAGGTTACTTCCCGTCATTTTGCAGCAATGCCCACCGTACTTAAATTTGGTCAAATACGTGGTATGTACTAACGACTAGTCGAAAAATTGTGGTATGTGTAGCGTGCACATTAAGAGCAAGTACTATAGTAGGTTATAAGCCAACTATAAATATATTTTAAAGAGATAAATAAAAAGAGAGAAGAGCAGCGGGCTACAGATCTGTAGCCAGCTGTAGCAAGGACTTCCAGACGTAACGTGTATATGACAGGTGGAACCAGACATTATATTGGTTATAGATTATTTGGAGCTAATACTGTGCTATACTATTAAACTTGCTCTAAGTAGGATCGATGTGCGGCCTCCGGGCCTCGTTGTGCTCACAGAAAAAACTAATCAAGCATGCAATGCAGTACGTGCAACAGCAATTAATTCCTGCCGCGGTTTGCTTAACCAGGATGGTGTTACTTGAATGAGAAGCGGCTGATCTAATTAATCAGTCGCGATCTCTCTTAATCTAGCTTATTAACACAGCCTTTAATTTAATTAATAGCCGAGTCCGTTAAACCAATTGTTAACCAGACTAACTAAAAGGGCACTTGCACAATTGCACGCTGGCCTTTACTGTAATGCAAGCACCGATATTGCAGCTGAGATATGATGCTAGCTTGACAGTTCGAGAGTACATATTAGTAGTACACTAGTGCGTGAGACATTGCCTGATCTTATAGATAACCGTGTTAGTACTTAGTACTACTAGTTAATTAGCCTGGCTAAGCAACTTTAATTGATGATCTGTCACGTACACTCTCCTCTACACTACTAGAGGCTAGAACTTTATTTTAGCCATCCATCATCATTGCCGACTGTTGATATAAAGAAGCAAAAGATCAGGCTAGAAGACCTTAGCATATGTATGTTCCATTCGAAATGGAAAGGAGAAGAGTAGAGATGAGAGTAGTAGACACGAAGCATGTCGACCAGGATCTCTTAAGGAATTTCTAGGAACCTTTTTCTTGAGGAAAAAACACTGACATGTGTTGATGTTTGCATAAAGCCAGCTCTGTGCTGCATTTCATCTTCTCTTGCAGTAGCACATTGCACCTTAAGCTAGTAGAGTACCCCTCTATCCTAAAATATAACAACTTATAATTAAATTGGACATTTCATAGTATCACGGATCTGGACATGTTCTCTGTCTAAATTTATAGTACTATGATATATCTAATCTGGTTCTAGGTTAGTATATCTTAGAAATGAGGTAGTAGTAATATACTGCAGTGTTTTGCTGCCTATTTTGAGGGCCCTATTGCTTGAGAGGATATATAGACAAAGGGGAAGGGGGAAGAGAGGCCAAAAAGGCCAGCCAGCAGTGAGTACTCGTATGAAGAAGATTTTTGTACCTACTTGCCTTGCCGTATGAATGTGTCACTTGGGTTTGCTTCTACTTTAAGCATGGGTGATGTACCATCATCGGTAGTTTCATACAAAATTTATTTATTGCTTAGTGCAAACTGAATTTCTCATGTTCCAAACATGCCATCACCATTTGCCATGGCGAGGCGTGTTGAGATGTAGATAAGCAATCTAATATTAGATAAAGTTATCTCTCAGTTGTGCAGCCTGAAGTATTGCAGAACAAAAGCAATTGTTGCTAAAGGAGAATGCTTGAGACAGAAGAAGCCTAAGGACCACAAAAGAAGGGTACAGACGAGTACATACCTTCGAATTATATGACCATGATGCTGTTACTTGGTTGACAAATGGCCAAACAGGGAGTAGGGCGAGTCTTGTGGATTTTGACAGCTCTAGTGACATCTAGCACACTGTTCAGCAACATGAAAAATGCCGCACTCCAAGATCGTTGCTTGATCCATTTTTCATTTCTAATGTGTCCGCTCACGCGTTTCCAATTTATTTTTTTCTATAAATAATTTGAAACCAAGTTAGACACTCGGCTCAGAGTCTCAGAGAATCTAGATAGTGAAACTAGTAAAATTTGTAAACAAAAGCGTGTCTCTGGCCACGAATAAAAATGGCATGTTGTTTAACCTCGCCTTGGGAATACCTCACTCCCTATTTGTTTGGTGGCATTGATAACAGTGCAGGAAAGCTTAGCATACCAAACAAAAGCTCTATACCGACCCCAATCTTGTTCTATTTACTAACCAATTGATTTATCCAGACCAACTAGATATCTTTGCTATTAAAACATGATCAGTCAGATCTTTAATTAATGCAGACATTTTGATTCAGATTCTTGTTTTATGCAAATCAGATCATAAACTAGTAAAAGATCCACATCGTTGTTTTATGTTGATGTCCTTGTGTTATGCTGATGTCTGTGAGCACCTTTTTCCCTGAGCAACGGAGCTCGGGAAAAGGTAGCCTGGTTATATATGTGACAACATGAGCTGTTTAATACTGTTCTTGTTTGTACCCTCACTAGCCGGAACCCAACAAAACCTACAATGGATCTTGCACTCAGCAAGATAATTGATCCAATCTGAAATCAATCTAATCAACTGCTTGGGATCCTACGGCCTAGACGAACCCAAATAAAAAGGTTGTTATTCACAAGATGGACATAATCTGTACTATAAAACATACTCTCTCTGTCTTAAAAAAAGATAACTTCTAAAATGAATCTGGACATGATGTGTAGAGACCAAAAGAGAAGATACAAAATGCAAAGTGCAGGCCTAATCATAAGTTGCTCGCTAGTCACTACTCACCACCTATCGCTTAAGATACAATAAACTTGTAGGAGCATGGACAAGAAGAATCATGCAACTTTTTGCTAAGATATTTCAAACAATTATGAGTGCAGAAGAAACGAACACCATGTTTGAGTTATGTACCTTGTTAGTGCATGGGTTTGAGCAAGCAAAAGTGGTTATCAAGCTTAGTCTTCATTCGTGTGCGCCTCTATGCAACAATGGTTCCTCACCCAGGTCAATCCTGCCAAATTAAACTGACGCTGAACAGAGTAATCCACTATTGTCTTGTATCAGATCACCTTTAGTAATAAGTACAATTATCTCATACTCCTGTGGCAACGAATGCATCCCATATACATATCTCATTTCTTTCCAAAAAGATCCCATGATGCAGCCAAATTCCCCAAAAATGCAATTCCTGGTATTTCCAGAAAGAGATCATATTTTAGCTCGTAAAAATACGAGCAGACAATTCCTGGCATTTCCATCATGGAACTTCCTGCCATATCCTGGGTGTTATGTTCAACTGTCAACATATTCCCCAAAAAGCTAGGGATATGGCAGGCAGTTGACATGGTTGACAGTAGGTATGATGTTCAATCGTATGAAGCCCCAGCAGTACACCCTAATGCAAACAATTCAATATTTGTCATCAAATAACTGTTCCAATTGAACCATGAGGACCAGGCACCAGCCAGCCATGTATACCTGTCAAATATAGCCAAAAAATTAGCGTCTGAAACCAGAAAATGTCCCATATCTATGCTCAGGTAGTTCATCCACTGTTTTCCATGCAATGTTTGCCATTTCGGTTGCCATCGTGGCGACTCGGTTGCACCGTTATTCATAATCCTGTGACAACTGACAAACCACCAACTGGTCAGCCAGTAGATAGAACAAATTTAACTCTGATGATGACAATACAATATGGCATTGCAGCTATGCAGAGATCAGAAGACATTCTAGTTACTGAGCTGTAAGATATCCCACATAATATTGTTCACTCATCCAACTGTTGATAGTTATAACTGAAAGATGTGGCATCCAACACAGAAGATCTGACAAGTTATCATGCAGGCATTTGCCGGTTGAGGTAAAGTGTAGATCCCTGGGACCATGACTTAATGGAGAAGAGCTGAGCCAGCAAAGCTACTCTATCATAACAACTCTGGCAATTTATTTGGCACCACAGATCAGAAGAAAGTACTCCACATAACGTGTTCAAAACTGCACATATAAAGCACCACTATGTTGTACGATAAGCATTGGAGCTGTCCTCAACTCCAATCACTCTAAATAGATCAAGGATAGCAGATCTTGTAAATGAAATCTGGATTTTATCTTTGCTATCCTTCAGTACTATAATAGGTACATAGAACTCCCCAATAATATGATGATATTGATGAGAGATTGACACTTGGACTACTGCCAGTATGGACCACCATCACAACTGTCACAACAGATAATAGAGTGTGCTAGTACCATAATAAGGTCAATATTAATAAACCACTTCAATACATCAAGAACCAAAAACAAAGAAGATGACAGAATTCATGGGAACAAGCTATTGGGCCCCGTCAGGTGATAGTTAAAAGCTTTCTCCTTCGCTTCATTCCAATCTTGAAGGGGATGCGGCTAATACCCATCAGCTCAGCTTGCTCTGAAGCACAGAAAAAATGAGCTTCCCAATCTTATCATAGGAAAATTTCCAAAAATCCTATTCATAATGCACATAATGCTCCCTAAGGCATGCAAAAGAGCTTATGTTGAATAATTCATAAGCAAAATAAACAAGAAATTTAACAGTAGATGCCTGTTACGTTACCTAGCAGAATGAAATGGGCACCCTAATACGAAATGCTTACATCAATTGAAGATTAAGAGGTTGCTATGGATTATTAGCAGGATGCAAGTCAGTCAGGATTAAGGAGTCAACTAACATACAAACTAATAGAGAATTACAAGACTGAGAATCACTACAGTGCCATACGCAACATGTAACTATGTAAGGAAACATGCAATACACTGCAGCAGGTCCAATTTCAACACAAAATATAATACCACTATTCTCTGTTCAATGTAGGTTACAGCCTATGCCTTGTAACATTGGGCATACAACAATCAGACATGATTCTTTGAAGTGCCAATGCCGCAACAAACATCCAGGATTTAATATATCAAAGCGAACATCCATGGTGCATTTAAATAGTGTCATGAGAAAGATGGTGCAATCTTATGGTTGCACTAAAACCTCAAAATCTCTCTACATCATACCAACTAAAGGTATACATGCCAGTGAGCATACGTAAGTGAGCAATGCCATTTTCATCAGCTCTTGCAAAAATAATCAAACAGATGGGATATGCTATGCAAGAATTGTAACATAAATGCATAAAATTATTCAATAGAAAAGAATGGCAAATAATGAGTATCCTGACAAAAAGTTGAACGTGGCATACAAAAACTAAATACAAAATTATGTCCCAGCTGAATGGACATTACCAAAGAGAAAAAATATACAAAGAGTTAACCTCCAAAGTTTCTTCCTTTTTGATCTCTATCCAGGGGTTAGGATGATTCATTTATCTAGAAGAGGATGATGTGTGAACAGCACACTTCATACTTCTTTGTTTCTACATTGATAACCAGGTTGAAATTGCTAACAGTATACCCATTGTTCCCAGACCATACATGACAATAGTGTCAGCATTCTTGACATCAAGCTGTTCCAGCAGAACATCTGTCCACCCATGGGACCTTACTTGTGCTTCCTGCATGTTGCAATTTGCTAAGCATTAGCTTCGAAAAACAACAGTATCTCAAAGTTTACTAAAACTCACTTTCACTTCTTCAATGTTTGATCTTCTTTGGCTAGCCTTATTCTGTAACACAGCATGGTTCAGTAGATTATCTCCAGTGGATGGGATGGTTCCAATATCATCTGCAGCTAAGAAGCCTGAGTAGGCAGAATCTGTGTGGATAGTATTCATGACTGATCCAAAGAAATTTGTCACAGGGACCTGAACGATGACAGAAAAGGATAAAACAATTGTGAACAAAATTATGTATTAGATTAGAAACAAATTTTAACTTATGCTTTACCTCATTTAATGGCCGTTCATAAAGATCCATCCGATAATACGCAGTCGACAACAGCATAGAAGGATTATAGGAGTTGAAAAGACTGTAGCATAACAATGAAAAGGTTATAATTGTATCACAAAGATACTATTTTCAATGTATGAGATGAACACTATTTCGTACTCTGTATGGTTACCAAGCTACATGCTTGTAGAGTCTTAGTAATACAAGACTGCATATTTAAGCATTATTCCACACGGGCTAGTTACAAAATACTATAAGACACAACTACTCTATGGTGCTTTTAGAAATATATGACTGAATATAATTTAGAATTATTGCACACACTTAGTTATAAAACACAATGGATTCCGAAAGGTCAGTAAATCCATTGGAAGATTGATATATACTCCATAAAAAAGATGACTCATGTTATTCGTAGTTAATGCACATCCCAGTAAATTGCATTTTGGATAAAGTAAATACTAAATATATCTTGTGTGATGTAGATACAATAATCAAATTGCTCACAGTTAATGCACATCACAGTGATAACAATTATATGCATACAAGAAAGCTCTACAAATAAAATTATGAAAAAAAATTTTCGAGACATTGTAATGAATTATATTTGGACATGTAGGAATTAAAGAACTTGCAACCATTATAATAGTGTACAAAGTCTTTTACCTGTTCAATGAGGCATTGCTATACATGTTGAGTTTCTCAAAGAAAGCAAGTGTATAAAAGGTAAACCTATCCACAACAGAAACACCAATCTGCCACAAATAAATAGATCAGGTATCACCCAGTGATAAGACAAAAAAAGTTCCAAATAATATATGAGACAATTGTAAATGGAAGGCATGTTCTCACGTCTGAATCAAGATGATGAGAATAAGAGTTTTCACCCTTCATGCTGCTACCAATCGTTAAAACACCAGGTGATTGAAGCTGCAGATATTTAATATGTCAAGTACAGCTGTAGATATAGTTTTCATATGCAGAAAAATGTTGACCATGATAAAGGAAATAACTAAATTGATCATACAAAATTGTCTATATCAGGTCTTAGTGCTTTTACTTATTTATATATCTGCTTGGAAAATAGTTTTGGTCTGTTACCTACAGAATACTTGCTAGATGGTCACTTTACCTTTTTTTTTTATTTCTGTAAGACAGTGTATGGGTTTCTAGGAAACCTTTCTTGCCATATTATTTCTATTACTTTGTAATATATTCCAGTGGAGCATTCCCCTAGTGTTCTAAAAAATGATGTGAAACACTATCAATTGATAAATTAGTGTATCAAAATGTAGTAAGTGGAAACTGGAAAGTCCACATTCGTCCAACTGCTCTGCACAAATACAGCATGGAGTCTTTGGAATTTTTTATTGTCTAATGCTCCCTCCGGAAACAAGTACTTGTTGTATTGGGCATGCATCCAGTCAAAGTTTTAATACTCTTGAGTATTAATACCTTCTTAAATATTTAATTAAATAGGTGAATGATGCATGTAGAAAAGTACTTTCGTTATATTATAATTTTAATGGCTTCTACTATTATTTCATAATGGAAAACTAAGAGTCAAATTTGCATCTGGGAGACCATTTCGATACCTAAATTACATTTGTTTGTGAACAGTGGAAGTAGTTCTTAAGCAATAAAACATAATGTAGAAAATTTCACATAAGCAGCTAATAAATTTTATAGTATGAATTATTGACTTGACAGTAAACTTTCAAATGAACAGGCACATAATGAAGGTGCAACCAAATATTATCTCAAGTTACAAAAAAGAAACCCTTATGTTGTAAGTAAAGGTGCTTGAAGTAAAATGTTATGGGAAATAATGACCAAGACACTGAGACAAACCTGTGAAAAGAGAGTGGCAGCTTGGCATGTATCTACCATTATCAACAACTCTTTAAATCTGAAGTGCAGGTCAGAGAAAAAGACAGTTTGAAAAACTGAAGTATGAAATGAAGAGGAGCAAAACAAAGGCCAATTTTTTTGGCAAAAAAGAAGAAGAAGAAGAAGATTCTGTGTATACGAGTAAAGAAAAATATTACAAAAAAGCATAAGGTAAACAAATCCTACCTATGCTTCTCCTTCATTTGCTTTACTGCATCTGCTAAATCATGGCTCTGAAGTTCTTCAGAATCTTGGAACTTCAAAAACTCATCCCCACCATGTCCTGTCATATACAAGAGAATATGGCTTCCTTCATCACTTAAAAGACGCTTTGATCTTGGTACAGCACTTTCATGTCTTCCAGTCAAAACTCTCAAAAAGTTTTCAACTGTCACCTCATAACCTCGGTAATCAACCTGCCATTAGGTGGCCAAAGGTAAAACTAGCATTAAATCAGATGTTATTCTTAACATAACCATAAGGTGGTAATCATGAATGAACATTATAAAGTGTTACCAACAAATTGCATTGACTAGATACACCAAAAGTGGCCATTTTACCATGTAAATTGTTCATTGTGATGTTTAGGATTCAGATATTTCAGGAGTCATATTTTCAGAGTAAGGAACTCACCTCAACGTTGTCACCATATAGATTAAGCTGGTGGTTCTCATTATTGAACACTTGGGCAGGATAGTTATTCCTAGGGTTACAAGCCATATCATCCGCCAACATAAGTATGATCCGCTCGTCGGGTATTCCTAATCTCTTAACTGTCCTGGAGGAAACAAACAATGTTTTGCTAGTAAGGAATAATCTATAATCTATAGATACTACAGGGAATAACAGATGCATGAGCATAATTAATCAAGCTACCTGTACAGAGACAGAGTATTTGCCATATGTCGATAATTAAACCTGGAGAACATTACAAAATTGGTTAGATATCAAATGCGCGAAGTAATCAGCATCTGGAGAACAGGTTAGAATATCAAATGCGCGAAGTAATCCGCATCTGGAAGTTGAAACAAACCCCTAGCAAATACGAATCGCTTAATAGGCGAACTAAACAAGCATGCTTCCAAACTGGATCTCTCGGCCAGACGAAGTAAACAACGGTGCGGGGGGATGAGGTCTCACCAGAAGCGTGAGGTGCAGACGAGCACGGCCCAGTTGTTGTTGTGCATCGCGCCCGGCGACGACGCCGCCGCGGAGGAGGAGGTGGAGAAGGCCAGGAGCATCAGCAACGCCGGGAGGAGGAGGACGAGGAGGGCGCGAGAGGGCCCGGGGATCCCGCCGCGGCCGGACGCCATGCCAGCCTCCGGCGGAGGGGGAGCGCCGCCGGCGTGGCCGGGTCAGGAATCTAGGGGAGGAGGAGGAGGCGGCGGCGCGAGATCGTCGCTCCGGCGAACGCGGCGGTGGACTGGGGCGGCGCAGGGTGAAGGGCAGCCGGGGCTGGTCGCCGGTGGAGGAGTGAGGAAGGAAGTCGGTGGGCTTTTTTGGTCGTGACGAAGCAGGCCTCCTTCGCGTGGATGGGGGCTAGTTGATGGGCTTGCCTCGTTGGGCCGACGAAATGTTAAAAGGACGAAAAGTCCCATGTGAATAATTTTCACTCTCTTTCCCGATTTCCTTTTTAGGTGGTTTCTTTTTCACCTTGTATTGGTCAGGTATTTATTTGGGAAGTTATGGACGAGATCCCTAGTGTAGGTCTATTAATGTTTCGGGAATTTTCTCAAATCAGATTGTATGTGTTTACTTGGGGGCTGCTAATTGGGGCACGCGTGCTAGCCGCGTAACTCGTGTGCGCTCCTCTCTCTCGCTGCTAATGACACTGATTAGTGTTAATGGTAATATTTAATGTTGTTTTAAAAACAATATACATCAACAATTTAGTTAAAAGTTTTTAAAAATAGTTGAAAGTTTTAAATGTTGGCTTGATTTTTATTTAATATTTGAGTTGAAAGTTTCAAATCTTGAGTTGAAAGTTTTTTTAAAATTTAAGTTTAAAGTTTTTGTAATTGAGTTGAAACTTATTGGTGGGACGATTGACCCTCATTCGGCTAGATGGTGATGATGGTGTGTTTAGTTCACGTCAAAATTGAAAGTTTAGTTGAAATTGAAACGATGTGACGGAAAAGTTGGAAATTTGTGTGTGTAGGAAAGTTTTGATGTGGTGTAAAAGCTGAAAGTCTAAGGAATAAGTTCATCTGAGGTCCCTTAACTTTACACTGAATTCGATTTTTGTCCCTCGATCGGAAAACCAGACACAACGGGTTCCTCAACTATTAAAACTCGTGCAGATTAGGTCCCTCGGCGGTTTTGAGAGCGGTTTTGGCTGACGTGGCGCCTATATGGCTAATTTGACTCGGTCTTCGTCCGATGTGGCATTGACGTAGCGCTTACGTGGCAATTCGACCCATGGGACCCACATGTCAGTCTCACATAGAAAATAATAAAAAAATCGTGGGACCCACATGTCAGTCCAACTCACCCGCTCTTCTTCCTCCTCTCTCCCCATCTCCCTCTCTTCATCTCCCTATCTCTGCTCTCTCCAGGCGCCACGGAAGACAACGGCGCGTGGCGGCGCGCGGCGACGCGCGGCCGGCGGCAGGAGAGGAGGGAGCAACGCGCAAAGACCGGCGAGGCGGGCAGGGAGGGAGGACGCAGGGAGGCCGGCGATGGCCGAGCGCCGTGGGCGGGGACTTGATGGCGACGAATGGAGGGAGAGGTGCGCAGCCGACGGCGGCCAGCGGGAGAGGGAGTGGCGACCGCCCTCCGCCGCGGACGACGTCGAAGTCGACCTCGGCATCCTCGGCGACTCCCTGTTCCGCCTACCGCCGTCGCCGATCCCCTTTTATCGCCCGGGTCGATCTGTTCCGGCCACCGCCATCGCCACGGGCCCCCTCCCTCCGCGGCGTTCAGGTCATCGCCTCGCGGGCGGAGGAGCATGCCCGGCGCCATCGCCTCGCGGGCCGCAGCCGCGCGGGGCCTCGTCCCTTCCGCCGCTGACGCCAATGGACGCGGCCGCCGCCGCCGCACCACGCGGCGTCACCGGGCGGCGCCCGAGCTCCTCCGCCTTCGGCGGCCCGCAAGGCGATGGCACGCCATGGAGCGGCGGGGAGAAGGGCGGCGCACCTCTCCATTCCCACCGCCACGCGGAGTCGGCCGATGCTCAGCCGAGCACGGCTGCGCCGGCGTCGCCCGCGGCAGCCTCTCCTCGTGTCGCCCTTCCCCACCACGCCGGTCCATCCTCTCCATCCCCACCTTCGCCGGCCATCCTCTCCATCCCCACAGCCGTCGGCCTCCTCTTCTCCACACCGCCGCGCCGGCCTTCCCAATCCACCGCCGCCCCGTGAAGCTCCCCTTCCTTCCCTCCTCTGCCCGGTGCCGCCCCGATTCCTCCCCCCCTACGCCGCCTCCTGGCCGCGCTGCCGAGCCGCCGCGCCCGGCCGCTGCTGTTGACGCCGCGCCGACCTGCCCGTTCCACCCCGCGCTGATCTCACCTCCATCCCCGCCACCACCGAGTTCCCCGCCGCCGCTAGCCCTTCCCCAAACCCACCGCCGCCCATGGAGCTCACTTCGCCTTCCTCCCCTTCATTGCCGGTGCCGCGCCGTCGCGCCAAACCGCCTCCGCACGCCGCGCCTGGCTGCGCCGCTCCCTCCTCTCCCGCCGGCAGCCGGCCACCGCGTGCCGCTGCCTCTCCGTCGCCGGGAGAGAGAAGAGGAGATGAGAGATAGATGAAGGGGGGAGATGGGGAGAGAGAGAAAATTGACATTTAGCCATCTTCAGGATGGGGTTTCGCCAGAATGCCAATCCGGATTCTAGCTTCGTTATAATGCCATGCTCGGACGGCGCCACATTGCTGCTTTGCCATTCTCACCAAATTCGCATATTTCCAAATGATTTCGATGATTTTCCTTATTAGTTTGGACCGAAATGCCCTCGCCGGTCGGTTTAGTCGAGCTGGTCCAGCCGCATCGCTTGGCAGAGTACGCAGCGCCACCACTTCTCTCCGCCGCTACCCCCCACTGCTCCGCCGTCCCCCTCGCCCTCGCCGTCGCCGTCGCTGTCGCCCTTGCCGTCGCCCTTGCCCTCGCTATCGCCCTCGCCCTCGCCCTCGCCCTCGCCGGTACTCCCCCATCGCCGTAGTCCGCGCGCAGTCCGCGACGGAATGCTTCCAGCCATTTGGAAATCGACGAGCTCGACAAAGTTCACAACTTACCCGGCGAGGAGCTCATGCCAAGTGCAGTCCATATGCTCAACCGTCTCTGTCCCGACCTCACACCATAAGAATGGCGGCGGCGCGACGACGGCTAGATCTGAGGGCGGGGCAACTGCTACATCTGACGCCGCGGCGACGGCTGCAACGGCTGGATCTATGGCGGCAGTGGTGGTGGTGGTGTAGGTGGCGGGTGGCGGCGGCTAGGTTGGGGGGGAGCGGTGTCGAGAGGAAGACGAGAGGAAGATGACGACTGGATGGGGATCCAGCTCCCACGCAAGTCAACTAATTTGGTGACAGGGGCAATTTGGTCACACAACGGTGGAAATCATTTGGAAATATGCGAATTTGGTGAGAATGGCAAAGCAGCAATGTGGCGCCGTCCGAGCATGGCATTATAACGAAGTCAGAATCCGGAGTGGCATTCTGGCGAAACCCCATACTGAAGATGGCTAAATGTCAATTTTCTCGGGGAGAGAGGAGGAAGAAGAGGAGGGTGAGTTGGATTGACATATGGGGCCCACGTGGGTCCCACTATTTTTTTATTATTATTTTATGTGTGATACTGACATGTGGGGCCACGTGGGTCCCATAATTTTTTTAATTATTTTCTATGTGAGACTGACATGTGGGTCCCGAGGATTTTATTATTTTTCCGGCTCGAATTGCCACGTAAGCGCCACGTCAATGCCACGTCATATGAAGACCGGGTCAAATTAGCCACATAGACGCCACGTCAGCCAAAACCACCCTCAAAACCGCCGAGGGACCTAATCTGCACTGGTTTTGATAGTTGAGGGACTCTTGTGTCTGGTTTTCCAGTTGAGGGACGAAAATCGGATTCGTTAACAAGTTAAGGGACCTCAAATAAACTTATTCTAAAGTCTAAAAGAAAAATTTTGGAACTAAACTCTGCCGTTGTACTCTTTCTTACCCTCCTCATTCTTGGCCATGATGCCTGGATCACACCTTCTCTTCACCTTTTCTTCTCAAGCCAGCTATGATTATGGCTTTGTACCTGTCACGCTGACATCACTCCTCTCCTCCACCATGGCTTGTACGGCCGTGCCATGCATGCAGTCTGATGCAGAGCTTTGTTGAATTGTTGCCCAGATGACGGCGGACACAGATGCAGCCATGCAGGATGCTCCTAGAAGGTGGCCAGCTTCACCGCGAAGCGCCACGTGTCTTCCACTCATTCGCTGAGAGAGAAGATAAAAAAAAAAGAAGAGAAAAAACTTCAACCTGGCAGAAAAGCAAGTACACAGAGTTCAGATTTATCATCGTCGCCGACGGGGACGGAGAGCAAAGCCGCCACGCTGTCAACCGTCCAGCCAATCCCACGCTCACACCTGCCACTGCCCCACATCCCCGGGCCCACCTGCCAGTCCCCGCCACCTTTCCCCCCAAAGATCCAAATCTCCTCCTTTTATTATGCCAAACCCACCCCCACACGCGCGCACGACACGACACGACACGAGCGCGCGGCAGCAGCAGCAGCAGAGCGAGCTCGAGCTCCAGCTGCGTCGGCCGCCATGGCGGTGAGCAACAACATCACGGCGTGCGTGACGCTGATGGCGCTGATCTGCGCCGTCCCGGTGATCGCCTCGGGCGTGTGGTTCGCGTCGGCGCAGGGGGAGGAGTGCGCCCGCCTGGCGCGGTGGCCGGTGGCCATCCTGGGGGGCCTCATCCTCCTTGCCGCCCTCGCCGGCTTCGTCGGCGCCTACTGGAACCGCCGCCGCCTCCTCGCGTTCTACCTCTTCGCCATGGCGTCGCTCATCGCGCTGCTCATCGCGCTCCTCGTCTTCGCCTTCGCCGTCACCCGCGGCTCCGGCGCCTACCCGGTGCTCGGCCGCGCCTACGACGAGTACCACCTCGATGGCTTCTCCATGTGGCTCCGGGGCTACGTCTCCGACGACCCGGCGCGGTGGGAGCGGATCAAGGCGTGCCTCGTCGTCTCCGACACCTGCAAGAAGCTGGCGCGCCAGGCCGGGTTCCTCACCGCCGACCAGTTCTACCAGTCGCGCCTCTCGCCACTCCAGGTATAGTTTTTTTTTTCTTTAATCTCATTTTGTTCTTTAATCTCATTCTGTTATTAGCTACTGTTAATCTTAATCATCTCATCGACTAGTTAAACTTGTCTTACCATCTTCAGAATATTTTAACTGAGTTCAATAAGATTTCATTATCTAAAAATCCTAGTGTTACCACTATAAACTTACTAGCGGTTGATTTTTGAAGATAAAGCTATAAGCTTAGTTAATTAAATCCTTTTAACCTCTTTTCTATATATCACTTACTCCTGTTTTACTGCATAAAACATAGTCAATACTTGAACTCCTTGCATTTTAAGACGACTTTTATTTAGAAACAGAAGTGTTAAAATTACCCTGACCGTCCATGAGCACATGAGCAGCTATGACTTCTAGCTGAAACAAAGCGTAGAACTTTTCTTTTTTTTTTCCCTTTCCAAGGATCAGCTTCTCTGAGCATCTAGAGATAGGAGATGCTACTGGAAGAGAAGAATCAGATGGCAACTTTATATCTCAGTAGGACACATATATAAAAAAAAGAATGACTGAATTATCAGCACTGCTCGCTGTCACTGAGCGGTGGGCCATCCCTCTTTTGACAGTGTACAAATGCAAGTGCTCTAAAGGGGAATCCATGTGTAGGTCCATGTAATTAAGCTTTTTTTGGGTACAAATCAGGCAATGACATGGACGGGGAATATAATTGCGTAATGGGGCGATTTCCTGGTCGGATGTGCTTTGCTTAACAAAAATTCTCCATGCTTTTGTTAGCTACAAAGATTATAGAGACAGGTCATTTTCAGTTTTCCTTTTTCCCAGAGAAAAAGAGAAAGGAGATAATTCAGTATGTACATAAGGTTTTCTTATTACAGACAAGATTGGAGACAGGAGTTCGTGGGCGGTGCATGGGGGAGTGTGATTAATTTTGGTCTTGTTGATTTTAGAGTTCATTACTGATTTTGTGTTGCCAACGTATGGGGCTTAGAGTTTTTAAGAGTTATCATCTCTCTGCGTCCTCATCCGCGCAGAGTTTGTCTGTCTGTGACTGAACATTTTAGTACTGATGATTAGCCTCGAGGCTCATGCGTCTGTCTAGGAAGAAGTATCTCTGGATCTGCCTGCCTTGGCACCATCCATCCTTGGTGCTTCATGTGGTGTAAAAGCCAAAAACAAAAAATCTCACAGATCTACCTGTACCAAGAAATAGATACCACACCGACAAATGATTATATTTTTTTCATCTCCAATAAAAATAAAAATAAGTTTTGGCTTAACTTTGTTGGTGCAAGCAAACTACTCTGTTTTATATTATAAACCGTTTCGAAGTCAAACCTCTTTAACTTTAACTAAGCTTATAAAAACTAGCAATATTTTTAATAGACGTTAACAAAACTATTGTCGATGTTGTTATTTTTTTTAAGAAAAAAACTTCATATGTCTTTTGTGTTATAACATAAAATGGAGGTACTTAACTTCGAAAAAGAAAGAACATTCAAATTCTTTTTTAAAATTAAATTAAGCGTGCTATTCTCAATTTATTCTTAATCAGACTAAAATCAAACTTTCTGGTGCTTATAAATTATTATATTTCAGTTTTATCCCATTCATAGAAAGGAGATAAAATGAGAAATCTTTACCGTCCAATCTAATTAGACAATACTAGAGGTGTAATATCAACTCATCAGCTATGAATAACTGTTCATCATCTGAAAATGAGAAAAAAAAATAATCTCCTGTGTGTGTGTTATATATGCAGTCCGGGTGTTGCAAGCCGCCGGCGGTGTGCGGGTACAACTACGTGAGCCCGACGGTGTGGGCGGGGCCGGCGGCGCGGCCGGCGGCGGACGCGGACTGCGGGGCGTGGGGGAACGACCCGTCGCAGCTGTGCTACGAGTGCGAGTCGTGCCGCGCGGGCCTCCTCGCGGCGCTCCGCGCCCAGTGGCACCGCGCCAACGTCGCCCTCGTCGTCGCCACCGTCGCCCTCGTCTTCCTCTACCTCGTCGGCTGCAGCGCCTACAAGAACGCCCAGGCCGAGGCCCTCTTCCGCCGCTACAAGTGGTAGCAGCAGCAGCAGACTTCCCCCCCCTTGTAATGCAATGCCCTCTGCTTCAATTCAGCTTCAGAATTTGCTTTCTCTTCTTGTGAGTTGTGATCAATGCAAGTTGTATGGTAGTAGAACATGCTAGATTTGGGTTATTGTTTGTACTGTTGTAGATTTGGAGTAGTAGTTAAGATTCATGGCCAGATTGTGATCTAAAATTTCAGTGTGATTTGGTTGGTTTATTATGATGGGAATTTGTCGGTGTTCGTCACTGACTGAATTAACCTGCTACTACTAGTAGATGTATGGATCATGGATTGGTTTGTTCAGGGGACAAAAACCAAGCATGCTGCGTGTCAATCTTGAAGCTAGTCAGGTTTTGTCAGGGTCGTCATCTTGCAATTGTCTCTTCTCTTGGATGCCATCTGACTGTCTATTGCATGTCAGTTACTGTACTTGCTTAGTCACATGGCCACAGTTCGATATACAGTAGACCACATACCTGTCTGAAATCCTGACTCTTCAGTCCCTGTAAAAGCTGTAACATCTCCAAACAAAACAACTGTCTTTCTGAAAGAGAATAGTAGTTCAGTTTTTTCACACTTCAGTATCGACCCCGAGTCTGAACTCTGAAGATCAGCTTCAAGTATACATACATACAGTACATCTAAATAAAATTGTAAATGTATAGTAATTCTAGTTCATGGTATTTTGAGCACTTATACAGGTTACATCTACACAACCATTTTTTCTTTTCAGACAACACGCATTAGAGTGTAGTGACATCTACACAAAGCAAGACCTGAACACACCGTAAACAGCTGAACACAGTAAAAGTACCATCTAACTGAAAGTTCAGACTTGGGAGAGCCACTAACTAGCCTGAAACTACAGGCTTGCCTTGCTCCTGCGACAGCTGCTGCTTGGAGTTGGATTGAGATGGTGGGTTGAACTTGGTGAAGACCCTGAAGGCGGAGATGAGGGAGAGCGCCATGAAGCAGAGGAGGGCGGCGGCGTTGAGCGCCACGGACACGGTGGCGGCGCCGCAGAAGCGGCCGAAGTAGGAGCACACCTCCCCCCACGACACCTCCCGGTCGCCCTCCCGCGCCAGGTACACCACCTCCGCCGCCGCCGACGCCGACGTCAGCAGCAGGTACGCCGACGCCTGCTCCGGCAACGGCCACCGCCGGATCAAGATTCGGTCAGTGTTTTTTATGTGTTGCCATTGTTTAACTGAATTGCTGGAAAATTTCCGCTAGTATTTGTATTTTGTCTCCAAAAACTTTTAGATTTGTGATCATCGGATTGCCTTAATATTTGTGCATGAAAAAAAATGCAAGAAAGAAATTTTCACACGGATCACGTATATGTTGCTAGCCAACCAAATCATAATTGAATACATGTTTTATATAAATTATATGGTTGTTACAATGCAGTTAAAGTGTAGTTTAATTACACTTCAATTATGCTATAATTATATTTGAAAGTTTTTCACTTAAAAAACATACGGCAATTTTTTACATACTCCCTTGTTTAATTTGATCCACAGTTAAGGATGTCTCCGAATCTCATGTGATTATACATCGATGCTTTTTTCCTTAAAAGAAGAAACACAACGCAATCATAGACCGCTCACAACGCGCAAACCCATCACTATGAACGTACGAACGGACACCTTACCTTTACGATCATATCTGATAAACTGAATTGCTATATCTACGATGCATAGATGTTGGTTCTATTAAACAGATGATATGTTGATATATACTATCATTGATGACTTGTTTTCTTAAAATTAAAAAAAACAATAATCTCCTGATGAAACTGGATTTATATTAGTACTAGGATATACTAGGTTGCATGCTGCTGCTGCTACATTTGTACATAAGGATAGTGAATTGGTATCATGTTAAGCTCAAGAAGAGTGTTTTTTTCCCTTCAATATGCTCTGTGATGAAATATGCGTCTAAAATCTGAATCAAGTAGTTCAAGATAGAATGGCATGTTTATTGCCAATATTATATTCCTTTTAGGTTTCTCTATCGGTTTATCCTGTGCCCATAATAAGAATCTAGCTTCCTTCCAGTACTAATTATTGATGTACAGTTTAGCCTTGACCAACTTATTAATTATAATCTTATCCTAGCAAGTATTAGTACTAAACACTTCCCTTGTATGTACTTATGTATATTATAATACTTACTCTATATATGATTGAATCTTTTTTTGCTGCAAAATATATGGTTAATTGATCATTTTTTCTTTCTTTCATTTTCAGATTTTCTTTTAAAGAAACAATATAGAAGTTTTCTGATGAGATGAATATAAAGAGGGAGAAGCGAGGTTAGGAGTAAAACCTGATCCAGGAGGAAAATGAGCCAATCAAAGCGAGTGATGAACCTGCAGGATGACAGCAGGATGGAGGCCACCGAGTAGGCAGCCGTGATGGCGTTGATCCAGACCAAATACCTGATGGAAAAAAAACATTGAAGTTTAGCATCGTAATACTGATTATCTAATAATCTGAAGAACAAACTGCACAAAGTCATCCTATAATTTATCTAAAACTAGATTAATAGGAGCACAGGGACGGTAAATAAATATATATACATATCAGCACATGAATAAAAAAAGAACCCAATAACGCCTTTATTGTTTGGCCAAATGCAGATAATACGCCATTCGACGTATTAGCAAAATAATAATAATTTATATATTAGATTTTTATATATGTGTTCTTAGCGACTTAAATGTCAAAGTAAAACATAAACTTTAATAAAAACTTTCAAATTAACTTTAAAATTCGGTTTGAAAATATAAATTTTGGCAGCCACTGATACTGTAAGGAGGAAACGATGGAGGCTATGTCAAGGTGATTGATTAGTAAAATTCAATTTCAGGAAAGTGTTAGTACTGTAATTAATTAAGAAGATAACTAGTCAAGCAAGACGGAGCACACGGTGAGTTTACCTGAAGCCGGAGAGGTCGGAGAACCTGACCTCCCCGTAGGTCTCGTCCACCTGCTTGTTGGTGGCCATCTCCCACACCGACGCCACGGCGAGCGGCACCGCGCACACCCGGAGCCCCAGCTCCGCCAGCCTGAACGGCGCCGCCACCTTCACCTTCTCCTCCTCCGCCGCCGCCGCCGCCGCGGTGCTCCCCTCGCCGCTCCTCATCTTCTCCGACGACGACGACGGAAATTTCCTTCGCCTATTCTTTCTCCGACCTGTCTCGGTGTGCGAGGAGGAGAAAATCGGTGAACTGTGAGGACTTTGCGCGCAAGAGTCCAAATTGGAGTGGAGCTAGATAGATAGATATAGATATATGGCGGGATTGGTGGCTTGTCGTGCAGTGTGAATGACTAGCGAGTGTGTGTGTTCTTGCTCGCGAGTGTGGGGGGTGGGGCCCACGGAATGTCGTCGCGGCGCGCGCGAAGACTGGACGAGTATGGCAGGTGTAACGTGGGCCGTCCGATGTTGTGATGGACGGATCGGATCGGATAGGATGGAGTGCGTGAGTTGCCGGGGCAGCGAGGGCAAGGTGAACAGTGTGTGTACAGCGATGGCTGTTGAAAATTATTTTATTAGTAGCTACTCCCTCAGGATAAACAATACTTTGTTTTGAATATGACTATTATCAAATTTTTAAAACTTCGACTATAAATATCACATAAGATATTTGTCTTAGGAATGTGGAGACCATATATATAGATTGGTGGTAAAAAGTACTTCAATAAAACCATATATTTATTTTGTAATAAAAGTAGTGATCAAGGTTATTTTTTGGAGATTGTGTCCTTGTTCAAAACAATAAGTATTATCTACCTGAAGAAAATAGTAGCTAGGGCTCATTAATAGTTTTTGATATTTTTTTACGAAAATTTACATTGTGACATCTTATCCCAATTAGGATGTGCCTTGTGTGGCCCATGAGAACGGTGTCAATATGTTTGATATCACATTACTAATTAAAAAATTGTGGAACCAACTTATAAGGATTTGTTCCTCCAACCATATTATTTATGGTTTAACCTTTTATCATGAAACAAATATGAAAGTTTAAGTGGGGTGGTATGTGTAGCAAGTGGACCCACCCATCAAGTGGATTGATTTGCATGGTTCTAGAGGACGGACTATTACATACAGGATTATTTAAAGGGATTTAAACTTGGTTTTAGAGATAAACTTGAAGCTCACACCCTAGCTGCAATATGCTTGCCTTCTTGATTTTGGTGGTAAGCTTGGGGTTCAAATCCTAGCTGTCGTATGCTTGCCTAGCTGTCGTATGCTTGCCTCCGCCCCTAGTAGGCTAGTACTGCTACTGATGTTCTATTTAAATTTAAATGTAAGCTGAAGATTTTGACAAATAGCCGATGAGTATTTAGTTAGCAAAGGATTAAGCTAAATCCAACTTTCATTTTTATAAATGGGAGTGGTTGGTGTGGGGATGAGCGTTGGAGGGAGTGGGGAGCTAAGGCCGGGCCGCAAGCTTTTGTTAGTGGGGCCGGGGTAGGAGGCTAAAGTAGCACCGCACGCGAATGGCGAGACCACCCACCCTATCTCCATTGCCGCCGCTCAAAAAGGCCACCACTGCAAACTGCAAAAGCTCGCCAGAATGGCTCTCCGTGCGCCACGGCGCGACGCGTGATCTGAACTCAGACAGAATTTTGTGGCCTGTGTGTTCATACGATTGATTAATCGATCACTCCATCTACTCATGCTTCATATAGAAAAAAAAATCAAAAAAAAATTAACAAACAAGTCAAGAATGAATCATCTCGTCATCTTATAGGAGTATCATCCTTAAAGACAGTGGCCAACAGAATGAGTGCGAGGGAGAACCAAAGTATGAAAGTCCGTATACAGCAATACAGGGCTGTGGCCGGTGTGCATACGTCATCACCTGACTATGGTCACGTCAGCTGTCGATTAAGAGGCTTAGGCTCAGTTTGGCACAACTCCTCATACAAGATTTTGCGGGGGTTGGATATTCCTAACTTCACAAAAAATTATGGATCTAGATCTACAATTTCATGCATAAAGTGGATAAATCAATTTGTTCTTATTGTAGATGAAATTTTAAATTTTAAAAAAGTATAATTTAATATAGAGATATTAAATCTACCGTGGATATAAAATCTGAAGCTCTTCTAGACATGATCTGTACTACCTATTGGCCTAGTGGCCCGTCACATTGTTGGGAATGCCATACGTGTGTCAATGGGCCATCCTGGGCCTTATTCAGGGCGACTCAAAATTTCGTTTCGTTTTGGTGTTAAAACGTGGACCTCAGCAAAGATGAGCGAAATCCGTAAAATTAGACAAATTTAGTTTGATATTCGATAAAAACCGAAACAAGTGGTTTGTTAGTCTACTTGATACCGACACTAATACAGAACTAATTTTTTGGACGAGACTCCTTTTAGGGTGTAGACAGACCGTAACTGGTTGCACCTGCAAAAATCGATCGATATTTTCACATATGGCTCTTTAAGGGGCCAACATGTAAAAATTGATTTTCACAGGTGCACCTCTTAAGGGGCCACATGCGAAAATAAGCCTACTTTCGTAGGCAGGCCTATTAAGGATCCACCTAGAAGGTTAACTTACCTTCTCTTTTCCCTCTCAACACTTAAAATATTTTCAAGCATCATCCTTGTCCTCTTATCTCTCTCACCTCCTCTCCACCTTAGACTCCTCTCTTCTCTCTCTCACCTCCTCTCCTCCCTCTCACTGGGCGGCAGCGGGCTCGGCTATCTTGGGTGATCGGCGGCGGGCTCGGCCTGCAACAGTCGCCTTGGCTTCCTCGGGAGCTCAGCGATGGCAGGCTCAAGCAGGAGCGGCTAGCGGCGGGTGGATCTACCGCCGCTGGCCCCGCGACGGTCGGGTCCGCCGCCGCCGCCCTCGGGACGGCCGGATCCACGTCGCCATCGCAATCGCCATCTTGGTGGTAGGGTTTTGATTTTTTTTGGTTTTCTTTGTGCGGATGACACAAACACCCGCATGCGAAAATAGCAATTTTCGTTTACACTTTCGGGCGGACGGGCGGCTCAACCTCACGCAAAAATAGAATCTAACCATTTGAAAAATGCTTTCTGTACTAGTGCGACATACTATAATAAGATGTCCTAGCATTTCTTTTTGTTGTTGTAGTGGAGATGTCATAGCTTATTCTCATCATTCATCAAGGTTCATCATGAGAGAAATTTTACGGTTCTCGGGAAAGTATCTGGAGATATTAAAATTTTACACTAAAATGTAGTACCTTCTGATACCATTTTAAGTATGGTAAAATTACTCATCGTGTACAACGGATTTTATAACTCAGTACTACTCAATGTGACCATACTTCTCTCAGTTTCATTTTCATCGATATAACTTCACAGCACTAAATGAAGAAGAATGGTATTGGCAAATTAATAAACTTAACAAGAATGGAATCTAAAAATAAAAAAAGCTCTGACCTCACCAATTTCTCTGACACACAAAAAAGAACATACCTGTCTCTATCTCTCCCCTCTCTCCCCTGTACACGTGTAGTGTGTACATCCACTAACAGTTTCTGGTTGATACATGCATGAATCAGCAGAGCAGATGGCTAGCTTAACTCAATTTTTGTTTTTAGCCTTTGCTGCACCTTCTTTAAAGAACAGAATTCTAAAGTGATAGCCACTAACCCATGGAGACTGTTTCATGTAGTTGACAAATCTACAGATTTGATTTGGTCCAAATTTATATATAGGCCTCAACATTCACGCACCCTCCCAAACTACAACATTGTGGCATATCATTCCATTAGCTTGTTTATACTAAAGTACATGACCTGCCGACTTAGCCATTTTTTATTTACTTCAAATCCTGAGTATAAACGTCAGATCTGACTGCAGATGAACTCCAAATTCAGAGTTTCAGAGAGTTATTTATATATCAGTTACTCCTATACTTGCAGGGCATAAACAAAACCGGAAGGTCAAACAGTGAGGCCACCATGAATGTAACCCTTATAATGTAGTATAAGAAATTAAGAGTCAATTTAAGTTTACCTGCCTATATCATGATTTGTTTGTGAGAGTTGTTGACAAATTAATTAGTCTTGTATATATGTCAGCTGATTAGTAAGGTAAGCTAATATTAGGCCATGTGTTTTCGGCAAAATTACTCTAAAATTCACTCTCTGAATTTGACAGATTAATTAGTCTCCTAACGCCAGTTGATAAGATAAGGCTAAGTGTTTCCTGTAAAATTACTCTAAAATTCTCACTCACTACAATAGTTTTCAAGTTAAGATTCAGTAATTGGTTTTATTAATTGAGATGTATAGCTACGATGTGGCGCTGAGGGTTGACAAAATGTTGTATCTTTAGTAAACAAAAGCACTGAAGCTTTTTAGCCATTCTGTTCATAGTTTATATATTTCTGTCTCAGCCTGCGAGGCAGAAATGTATATTACTCGTGTCCTTATCACTCTTGTGCTTTAAAAGACAAATTAAATCATTAAGAATTCTCTGCAAGTCAAAACACCAGGAGATGACGAGACTGATGATCAAGATTTGTTTTTTCTTAACAATGTTTCAGCCACCATTATTATTATTTTCTGTCAGAAGTCAATACATTTATTTCAGAATACTAGCAAGAAATCAACGCAATGCTCTGCACTACCTACATTTGTCAACGTTTCTAAGGCCATCTATAAATGTCTTGGAGTTTTGACCTAACTCACACAAGCTCTAATCGTCTCTTTCTCGGTTCATCACCTGAACTGATCAACTGCAAAGCGTCCGAGTTGCAGTGTTCAGTTCGCTAATCCGATTGCATTTCGGAGAGATGGCTGCAAGGTGTTCGATCGCGTTCATGGTCATGGCGAGCTGCCTGTCCGTCGTCGTCTCCGGTGGGCTTCCCGGCGATCTCTTCGCGCACAGTGTCGCCTCGAAGCTCCGCGTCGACCGCGACACGACGGCGAGGGCGTCGTCGGACTTCGGCCGCATCGTGGCGGCCGCGCCGGAGGCGGTGCTCCACCCGGCCACGCCGGCCGAGATCGCGGAGCTCGTCCGGTTCTCGGCGTCGTCGCCGTCGCCGTTCCCCGTGGCGCCGCGCGGGCAGGGCCACTCTGCCCGCGGGCAGTCGCTCGCCCCCGGCGGCGTCGTGGTCGACATGCGTGCGCTGGCGGCGCGCCGCGGCCGCGTCAACGTGTCCGCGGGCGGCGCAGGCGCGGCGCCGTACGTGGACGCCGGCGGTGAGCAGCTGTGGGCCGACGTCCTCCGCGCGACGCTGGAACACGGCCTGGCGCCGCGCGTGTGGACGGACTACCTCCGCATCACCGTCGCCGGCACGCTCTCCAACGCCGGCATCGGCGGCCAGGCGTTCCGGCATGGCCCGCAGATCGCCAACGTGCTCGAGCTTGACGTCATCACAGGTAATTAACTAAATAGTCCAATTACACATGAACACTTTTAACACTGATAATTAAATGATTGAGCGACTATTAACATTGTTGACAATTGGAATCCAGGAAGGGGAGACATGGTAACATGCTCTAGGGACAAGGAGCCGGACTTGTTCTTCGCGGTTCTCGGTGGGCTGGGCCAGTTTGGGATCATAACCCGGGCTCGGATTGGGCTTGAGCCTGCCCCAAAGCGGGTTCGATGGGTCCGCCTCGCCTACTCGGATGTGGTGACCTTCACCAGAGACCAAGAGCTGCTCATATCAAAGCGAGCTAGTGAAGCAGGGTTTGATTATGTCGAAGGACAAGTCCAGCTCAATCGGACACTCACAGAGGGTCCCAAATCAACACCCTTCTTCTCGCGTTTCGACATTGATAGGCTTGCGGGACTTGCGTCAGAGTCTGTGTCAGGAGTAATATACTTCATTGAAGGTGCCATGTACTACAACGAGTCAACTACTGCCTCTGTTGATCAGGTAGGGAATTATGATCCGTTTGCAATTAGTATATACCACCACAAAAAATACTATTGTGCTTTACCCCCTCAAAGGGAATGGTGAATAATCTTTTATTAATGATTAATTTTGTTATTTCCTTGCAGAAACTGACGTCAGTACTAGAACAACTCAGTTTTGACAAAGGCTTTGTGTTCACAAAGGATGTGAGCTACGTGCAATTCCTTGATCGTGTGAGGGAGGAGGAAAGAATACTCAGGTCTATCGGCATGTGGGATGTGCCACATCCATGGCTAAACCTCTTCGTGCCCCAGTCTCGCATCCTTGACTTCGACACCGGTGTGCTCAAGGGTGTTTTTGTTGGTGCCAATCCTGTCGGTGTCATCCTCATGTACCCCATGAATAGGAACATGTGGGATGACCGTATGACAGCGGTGTCTGGTAATGATGACATGTTCTATGTCGTTGGGCTACTCCGGTCTGCGGTTGTCCCCGGAGATGTGGAACGCCTGGAGAGGGAGAATGAGGCAGTTCTAGCGTTCTGTGATAATGAGGGCATCGGGTGCAAGCAATATCTACCACACTACGCATCACAAGATGGGTGGCGAAGCCATTTCGGGGCCAAATGGAGCAGGGTTACCGAGCTAAAGGTAAAGTATGACCCATATGGGATACTTTCACCAGGGCAGAGGATTTTCTCGTCACTGACACCAATGGCATTGGTGGCTATGTGAAATGGTAGTTTTGAGGTGAAGACTGAGTAGTTTAGGTGTTTGTGGATTCAATTTTGAGGTTATATAGGATGAAAGTAAATTGAGTTGAATGCGAGAAGCTGAAATACTGGTCAGAACTCTGGAAGAAGGATTGTAGCTTTATTTTAGGAGATACATGTAGGAAAGTTAACTGTATATCATTAATTTTATTAGGAGGTTGTTCTAGGTTGTATTTGCCACACTAATTTTTTTAGGATTTCTTTTGTTTAGCAAGGCATGCAAATGTAATAAACATAGGAAGATTTGTACAAAGGAAATAAAGGGTTGCTTGAAATCATTTTATGTAGTTTGAATTTCGAAAAAAATATGAAATTGTTTTTTTTTCTCTGGTGTATGGTGATGATGCCATTCGGTGTTGGAATGTATTTTTCGAATTCATTTCTTGCACTAATTTTGATTTTTGATACATCCATTTTTCATATGTTGGTTGCAGATTTAACTTGAGTTTATAGTTCCCATATGTTAATGAAGGACACATTCCATAAATGTTGTGTTTGGTGCTATGTTTTTCTATTACCCACCTCCTTTTTTTATAATGAAATGCTTCGTTTTGGAATTGGTTGATGCAATACGTCCACTTTGTTAAAATAATATCATAAGAAGAAATAACATAAATGTTAATACAATGACAAGAACATTATAAAAAGTACGCACAGTTTGATTTTTGAGAAAGCAAATATGAAACCGCCACTTCTTTTGCTTGGTATGGTGATGATACCATTTGGTGGTGGGGTGGCTTTTGAAATTACTTTCTTGTTCTTATTTTAGGTATAACTATTTTCATATGTTTTCTTGCATATCCAACTTGAGTGTATAAGTTATGTATGCAAATGAAAAAAATATTCTATAATATATGGGTGGAGGAATTCATAACAATTTTGTGGTTAGTGATCACATTTTCCATTAAGTCATCCTTTTTTACAATTAAATTGTTCATTTTGGAATAGATTAATGTAAGGCATCCACTTTGTATGTAAAAAATAGATCACAAGAAGAAAGGACATAATACTTAGACCAAGGCATGGAAATTATGCAAAAGGGACCCATAAGCACTTAACAAAAAAGTATATCCTTCTTTCTAACAAATGACTACATAGATCATTGTGTTGCACACATCCATAACTTTTTGACTTTGTGTTTATTTACACTTTGGAAAAACAAGGACAAGAATAAAAAATCGGAAGCGCTACAATATTGATAATGAAGGACACGATGGCCAAACAAAAATCACACCACAATGTTTCTACATAGCCACGCTAGCAAACTTGTTATGAAATAGTTTAAACTAGGTGATGGGTGATATTGGAACTAGGGTTCCTCACATCGCAAACATGGGGCAGCTTGGTGCCATGACATCCATTCCCCGAGCTCTAAAGGGTAGCACCGGTCTGTCGTGATGATCATGCACCCTGATGGACTCGGTTGAAAGTGCGGTCCGATGAAGACTAGCTTCTTGGGGGTCCCGAGCAAGTCGTCCCCCGAGCACCCATCAAGGCCGTATCCCCGATCTCTTGGGATGTGCTGTCTAGAGCATGGTTGGCCCCAAGCACCTACGGTCTACCTAGCGCCGCAAGAAAGTGCTCAAGAGTCAAACTGCTTCTAATGGATTTAATGTGTTGGAGCGATGAGTGTCGTCCCTCTTGGGGCAAGATTACAAATATCTACCTGTCCATGCATGCAGCACAGGGGACATGATGAACCTTATCATCTATCCGTCGAGGAACGATGTGGCTGGTAGGCGGTACGGTTCACTTTGTGAAGTCGTCTGGCCCACCACATTTTGCCCACTCCACATGGACACCGATAGGTGGGGCCACGGGGCACTGACTATGGATGACGACGCCCTCATTAAATCACCCTAAAGCTAGTGGGTACCAATTGAGGGCACATGGCAGGTGCTCACGCCCCTTCCCCCTTCGGCTCTGCTCGAAAGAGGACCACAACAATGAGCATAATGGGCAAGTTGGGATAGCATGAAACCCGAAGGAAGATGTTGTCAGGTTAAGCTAGATGTAGTCTATGACATGTACCCTTAACCCATCCCTTTGGTACGATCATTGTGCTTCCACCTGGATTCTATAAGGGGAGGGACTGAAACCATGAGAAAGGGTTGGAAAATTCTAACTGGAACTTAGGCAAAGAAATAGCACACAACACACAGGAGTTCGGTATTACACCCCTGAGCGGCCTGAACCTGTCTAAGTTCTCCTTGATTATTTCTTTTCCCGTTCCGAGGTAGCTCAAGGTCTTCCTCCCCTAGCCTAACTCAAAGGGGTCCCATCGGGTCCCTGCTACTGGTGTTCACCCATCGATAGCAAAGACATAATACTTACTCCCTCCGGTTTTAAATTAGTTGACGCTTGGAGCTTGGACACTTTGGATGAAAAAACTTGACGTTTTAGCCTCATGTGATTATTTTAGACTGATTTACTCTTGTATGGCTGCATGCATGCAAATCACATTTAGTGACTTGATGCATCGAGTCCTGCACAACACTGCATCCTCTCCTACATCACATTAACCTGATGCATCGGGACAAGCAGCCACAACCACTAGGTTAAGAGGATGTGATTGTTAGATGTGCCGTCCTAATGTATTTAGTATGGGTAAAACATGAATATGCACCCTAACTAACTATTTCTTGATATGTGAGATCCTACCAAAAATATCAATTAATTTGAAACCGGAGGGAGTAAGAATTAATAAGGCGGAAAAATCATGAAAAGGGACTCGTAAACACTTGCCCCCCTCCCCCCCCACCCCCCCAAAAAAAAATCCTTATTTCCAACAATTGACTATATAGACCACAGTGTTGCACACACATGTAACTCATTGACTTTACGTTTAATTACACTTTGGAAAAAAAGGGACAAGAATAGAAAATCGGAAGAGCTACAATATTGAAAATGGAGGACATGATGGCTAAACAGAAAATCACACCACAAGGTTTAGCTTTGTTTTTTTTCGTTTTCTTTTTTTGGCTTTGCTTGCTGCAGCTTCTTAAAGAACAGAGATGATCGCCACTAACCCATGGAGACTATTCCGGTAGTTGACATATCTTCAGATTTGATTTGGTTGAAAATTATATATATGGCTCTACATTCCCGCATCCTCCCAAACTACAACCTTGTAGTATTTCATTTCATTACCTTGTTTATCTTGTTTATGCTAAAGTAAATGACCTGCCGACATAGCCATTTTCTATTTAGTTCAAATCTTCAGTATAATATTTGTTTGAAACTTTCTGTAGAAGTTTCTGATAGGATTGCACACGATCAAACTCCAAATTCAGAGTCTATGTTATATATATATGCCGGATATAAACAAAACGGAAGGTTAAACAGAGAGGACACCATGAATGTAAGCCATATGATGTACCGAGTAAGATAGTAAGAGTCAATTTAAGTTTACCTGCATATAGCATGATTTGTATATGATTTGTTAGTGAGAGTTGTTGACAGATTAAGTCGTCCTGCATCTCAGTTGATTATGAAGGTAAGCTAACATTAGGCCAAGTCTGTAAAATTACTTTAAATTTCATGCATTAAATTTGACGGACTAATTGGCCATGAAATTTTTTTTTCTAAAGATTGATTACTTAATTAACACAATAAATTTATATTTTCAGAAATAAACTTCATAAATATCTTAGAATAAGTGATCTAAACAATAAAGAAGCTTTTTTTTATAAATATATATTTAGAAGCGTAGAACAAATAATCCATAGGAAAAATCTTGAAAAAAAGCTTTGAACAAACTGGTCACAAATAGCTCGGAAAAAGTGATCTCCTAACACCAGTTGGTTCTGAGATTTAAGACAAGACAAGGCTAAGCTAGGTGTTTGCTGTAAAGTTACTCTAAAATTTGCACGCTCTAAAATTGTTTTCAAGTTAAGATCCACTATTTGGTTTATTGAGAATTTGAGATAGATAGTTATGATGTGGTGCTGAGTGAGTGTTGACAAAAATTTGTATCTTTAGCAAACAAAAGCAGTAGTGAACCTACCAGAATGGTTCAAAATCTTAATTTTTTTAGACATAGTGTTCATAGTTTATAAATGTCTCAGCCTGCAAGACAGAAATATAGTATTACTTTCTTTGTTCTTTAAAAGGCAAAATCATTAAGAATTCTCTGCAAGTCAAAACATCAGGAGATGACGAGACTGATCAAGTTTTGTTTTCTTCTAACAATGTTTCAGCCTCCATTATTCATTTTTCTCTCAGAAGTCAATCCATCAGAATACTAGCAATAAATCAATGCAATGCTGTGCACTACCTACATTTGTCAACGTTTGTAAGGCCAAAATGCTACCTATATAAATGTCATGGAGTTTTGACCCAACACAACACACACAAGCTAATCATCTCTTTCTCTAATCAGTCCATCACCTGAGCTGAGCAGCAAAGCATCTGAGTTGCAGTGTTCAGTTCGCTAATCCGATTGCATTTCGGAGAGATGGCTGCAAGGTGTTCGATCGCGTTCATGATCATGGCGAGCTGCCTGTCCGTCGTCGTCTCCGGTGGGCTTCCCGGCGATCTCTTCGCGCTCAGTGTCGCCTCGAAGCTCCGCGTCGACCGCAACTCGACGGCGAGGGCGTCGTCGGACTTCGGCCGCATTGTGGCCGCCGCGCCGGAGGCGGTGCTCCACCCGGCCACGCCGGCCGAGATCGCGGAGCTCGTCCGGTTCTCGGCGTCGTCGCCGTCGCCGTTCCCCGTGGCGCCGCGCGGGCAGGGCCACTCTGCCCGCGGGCAGTCGCTCGCCCCGGGCGGCGTCGTGGTCGACATGCGCGCGCTGGCGTCGCGCCGCGGCCGCGTCAACGTGTCCGCGGGCGCGGCGCCGTACGTGGACGCCGGCGGCGAGCAGCTGTGGGCCGACGTCCTCCGCGCGACACTGGAACACGGCCTGGCGCCGCGCGTGTGGACGGACTACCTCCGCATCACCGTCGCCGGCACGCTCTCCAACGCCGGCATCGGCGGCCAGGCGTTCCGGCACGGCCCGCAGATCGCCAACGTGCTCGAGCTTGACGTCATCACAGGTAATTTACTAACTAATACAACTCATCATCCCCTTTAATTAGCAATCTAATTAACTTGTACTAATGAACATTGTTAACAACATTAATCAAATGATTAAGCGGCTAATGAACACTGTTAACAATGATTAATGCAGGAACGGGTGATATGGTGACGTGCTCAAGGGACAAGGACTCGGACCTGTTCTTCGCGGTGCTGGGTGGGCTGGGCCAGTTTGGGATCATAACCCGGGCTCGCATTGGGCTCATGCCGGCTCCGAAGCGGGTGCGATGGGTCCGGCTCGCCTACTCGGATGTGGCCACGTTCACTAAAGACCAGGAGCTGCTTATATCAAAACGGGCTAGCGAAGCCGGCTTCGACTACGTCGAAGGACAAGTCCAGCTCAACCGGACACTCACCGAGGGTCCCAAGTCGACGCCCTTCTTCTCTAGCAGCGATATTGGCAGGCTTGCTGGACTTGCCTCGAAGTCTGTGTCAGGAGTGATCTACGTAATCGAAGGCACCATGTATTACAATGAGTCAACCAGCACCACTATGGATCAGGTATACAATTATGATCCATTTGTGTTCAATAGATACCATGTAAAAGTACTATTGTTATCTATGGCCTCAAAGGAAATAATGGATATTTTGTTAATGATCAATGTATTGGTTTCCTTGCAGAAATTGGAGTCAATACTAGGGCAGCTAAGCTTTGAGGAAGGCTTCGTGTTCACAAAGGATGTGAGATACGTGCAATTCCTTGATCGTGTGAGGGAGGAAGAAAGGGTGCTCCGATCGATCGGCATGTGGGATGTTCCGCACCCATGGCTAAACCTCTTCGTCCCTCGATCACGCATCCTTGACTTTGATGCTGGTGTGTTTAAGGGTGTCTTCGCTGGTGCCAACCCTGTTGGCGTCATCCTCATGTATCCCATGAATACGAATATGTGGGATGACTGTATGATGGCAGTGGCCAGCGACGATGATGTGTTCTACGCTGTGGGGTTGCTCCGTTCTGCGGCAGTTATTGGTGATGTGGAACGCCTAGAGAAAGAGAACGAGGCGGTGTTGGCATTCTGCCATAATGAGGACATCGGGTGCAAGCAGTATCTGCCATATTACACATCACAAGATGGGTGGCAACGCCATTTCGGTGCTAAGTGGAGCAGGGTTGCCGATCTAAAGGCGAAGTATGACCCACACAGGATATTGTCACCAGGACAGAGGATTTTCTCATCACCAGCATCAATGGTGGTGGTGTCTATGTAGTCGGTCAAATGATAATTTTGAGGTAAGGAGGAGTATAGATAATTAGGTGTTTAGGGATTTAGTTTTGAGGTAACGGAGGGTGAAAAGCAAGTTAAGTTGCTTGTGAGAAGCTGAAATGCTGATAAAACCCAAAGAACTCTAGAAGAGGGATTGCAACTTGTTCTTAGAAGATATATGTAGAAAAAAAAATCTGGATATGGTTGATTCAATTAGGAGGATGCTGTAGGTTGTAGTTGCCACGTTATTTTTTTTTAGGTTTCCTTTTGTTTAGCAAGGCTTGTAATGTTACACACACGTTAATGAAACGATTCAAAGGGAACAAACTAAGGTTGTTTGAAATCATTCCGTGTAGTTTTGACTTTTGAGAAAGATCATGAAATCATTCTGTGTAGTTTAATCTTTTGAAAAAGAAAGCTTAACTGGATTTGGTGTTGGAGTGGCTTTTCAAATTCCTTTCTTGCATTTTACTAATACAACATTTTTCATATGTGGTGCTGTAGAGTCACGCGTTAGTACAATAACGCGCAGCCGTTTTCTTGCTGGGGCGGACACGTATTTCTCTCTAAAGGTGAAGACTCAGAAGTGGGCGAACACTCGGCCCAGCTGGAGAACATGCTGGCTCCGGCTCCACGCACCTGCTGACACCTTTCGAAGCACTTTCACGTGTGAACCGAAGTCGTCTTTCAACTTGAGTCTAGGTTCTGTATGTCAATGTAAGAGGAATTTTATATATATATATATATATATATATATATATATATATATATATATATATATATATATATATACTCATATTTTCTGTTACGCCGTCTTTTTTACAATTAAACAACTCATTCTAGAATAGGCAGATGTAATAAGGTAATAAGGCATCAACTATATCAATCCTACATGGGCTACATGGCCCTTAATTTCAGCCCATCTTTTGAGCCTAGCCTTAACAATCAATCCTTGGAGGGAGTAAGTTCACATACCGTCCCTCAATTTTACACTGTGTTTGTTTGACATCACTTATCCTCAGTTCTAGAAATCTTCGTCCCTAAACAATACAAAACAGTTCAATTTAGGTCCTATAGCAGTATAGATGCCTGGTTTTACTGATGTGGCATCCTAGTCAGCAAGAAAAGATTAAAAAAAAGTATATGGGACCCACATGTAAGTGAGAAAAAAATGTAGGGTCCACATCTTCATTTTTCCTTCTCTTTTCTCTTTTCTTTTATTCTCTTTCCTTCTTCAGCCGCTGCTGTTGGGAATCTACCACGGTGACGACGTGCAAAAGGATAAGCTCCGTGAGAGGCGGCGGCGGCGGGCGAGAGCGGCAGTCGCATCTTCCTCCTCTCCCGCCGGCACAGCCCGCAACCTCCCCCCCTCTCCCGCCAGCCTCTTCCCCCCTCTTCTCTGGCTGGCCTCCTCCCCTCTTCTCCCACCGTCGCCGCCGCCGCTTCGCTCCACTCCGCCGCCCGCTTCCGTGCAAAGAGAAAACAAAAGAAGAGAAAAAGGAACATAGAAGAAGAAGAAAATTTTAAAAAAAGAAGTAAATGGTGGAAAGAAGGTATGCGGGTCCCACATTTTTTCTCACTTACACGTGGGCCCAGATTGCTGAGGATGCCACGTCAGTGAAACCACTCATATATACTATCATAGGACGTTGATTGCACGGTTTTAAACATTTGAGGGGTGAAGATTTCTGGTTTTGGGGATTAGGAAGGCCATACACACTCGACGTAAAGTTGAGCGACGGCAGGTAAATGGATGAGTCTCCTGTGACGTAAAGTCAGAGAGACTACACGTCAGTGACCCACATCCCTCTGACTTTACGTCAGAGGAGCGACATGCTTGGCAACTCTCTAAGGTGGCATTTGTTTCTACTGAAGATAAACGATAGAAAAAGTTGATAGAAAAAAATTAGTACATGATTAATTAAGTTTTGATTATTAAAAACTTAAGAAATAGATTTATCTATTATTTTAAAGCAACTTTTATAGAAAAATTTCATACGATATGTACCGTTTAGCATTATAAAAAACATGCTAATAGAAATCAAGATAAAATATATATCTTAATCAGAAAAAAGAGATGAGTACTGGGAGTCTTTTTTTTATAATGGATAAAAATCTGGCTCTATATCCACATGTGGATATACACCGCCATTTTGTTGTTAGATAAGCGAACTAATAGTAAGATTAGGATGAATATTTGATTTTTTTTTCAAGTCCCGGTATTTTGTTTGACATATAGAAGTGGTGGGAATTGGTAGAGAGATTAAATAGAGATAAGATCTCAAGGAAAAAGAAATATACGGTTGAAATTTATTTGGATAATGCAAAGAAGGAATTGTCTTTCAACTCTCAGCCCCTTATATTAAGGAGGGTTCCCTCAATCGTCATTCTCATCGCACCAAAATCCCACATCCATTAACCAAAGAATCAAACGAACCAAACATTAGCCGCATCCCTCCAAACTTTACTGTCTTTCTTGTAAATATCACGGTATATTCACACTAAAAGATGAAAAAAAAATGAAAACTAACATGAGACTGTGTTACCTTATCAATGGGAGGAACTTCCGGCTGAGCTGCTAGCTTATGTGTAGTACGTGTAATTATATATCTTAAAAGAAGATTATGTGTACTGTATATCACAAAAATAATTGATACATCTGCATTGCACTTAAAGTATGTGGTAGTATACAATATCCTCTTTTAAAACCTCGTAAAAAATTTCCTCTCTAAGAAAATAATATTAACTCTATTTTACTTGTAGTTTAAAGGGCCGTCATAATAAGAAATGTACATGTTTTATCATTAGATTTTTTTAAATCACTTGTAAAATAATCAAATTATTAAAAATAGCTGCAAGAGAGTATTTTTGTGATAGATATATACTAATGTTATTTCCGCATTTATTCTTTTTTATATTAGTGAGTATAATTTCAAGATTTAGCCAAAAATCTATTTAAAACAACATCTATCTATATGAAAACATATCCAATATTTAGCACCCTCCAAAGGAAACTACTCTCCTTTTCTAACCGGTGAGTAGTTTCTTTTCCATATGAAAACAATCCAATATTCTGTACATTGCAATGGGCCCATCTGACCCAGAATAGGCCAGGACTGTGGATCAAGTTTAAACCATTGGATCATCCAATTTATTTTATTAACCAATCTTAATTTCTTAATTTTGTTTTTATGGGGAGGCAGTGGTTACACTTCACGCGACGTGTGCACAACGTGGAGAGGAGAGGATGGACACTCTGCTTTTTAGTAGATAAGCATTTATAGGATTTAAATTATATATATAATATAAAGTATTTAAAATTTAAAACTTAATTTTAATTTATAGTTGATTTAATGGTTTTAGTTGCAATTTGTTTACCAGCATTGGTTTTCACGACGTTTTAAGTCGCTAAGAACAATATGTCTAAAAGGTTTACTCATAAGTTATTTTCTTATTGTTAATAAGCGTTATGACTTATAATCAGCTGTACGCCAAGCGATGGGCTGCTAAAAATATTTATATTTAGGAGAGGAGGGTATATGTACTAGCTAGTGGTACTTCTCAGTTCTTATAGAGAAATAAAGGGTGGTATAATGATATTGCCATGTGGGATGAAGGCATCAAAAGGTACAAAATAAAATGTCCAAATGCATGGATACACAAGTTTCTGACATGCTCATGGCGTACCCCTGGCTTGTACAGTATCAGGTAAGGTCCCTACTACGTACTAGCCATGTTCGAATGATCGATGGTAATCATTCATAACCATTTAGTCTCGTCTAGTTGGTAGACCACTTAACCTCAAATCTTTTTGTCCACTAAGCTATTAAAAATGATCTCACTTTACTCCCTCATGATATTTGTATATTTGTCTCTTTTTACATATGGCATATTTTAAATTGAAAATATATGAGATATGATAGGGAGCATTATATATACCTCATGCCTTAGATTTTTCTTGAAATTTTTTATCACTATTTGCATAGGTTAGAAGCAATTGGGATTGATTCAAAAATCAGGATTTATAACTGAATGGAAACTTTCATAGAGAAATTAGAAGTATTTTTCACAGGTTATATTGTTATGGTTCTAAAAAAATAAACATATTTGTATAAAGAGTAAAAAAGGAAACATAGAGAAGGAAAATATTGTTCAGCGTAAATTAAAGAAGCCGAAAAATGCTATGGAAGGTTAAGTGTGATAAAATGGTAAATTGGCATTGTAGCTCAACACGATCTTTTGCTAATTACTATACCTATATATGTAACTTCTATATAGATGGTATCCATTGTACCAATTATTAGAAGGTAAAGCGCAACATGTAAATATACCGCATCATTATCTACTAGCAATTACTATACAAAGCATCTTAATTCACATGCAGGCATGACACATTTAAAATATCATATTATATAGTTGAACATATATAAGTATGTTAAATCATCTTTCTTACATTATTTTTCACAATATTTTAACATTTACTATTTCTATAATATTTAGCATATATATTCATTCATTTCATAGTAAAGCACAATGTATCACCCAATTACTATCTTATAAGATGCATTAAATAATTTTCGGATTGGATTGGCTACAAATTGTGTCGTTTGTTTTCAAATCCTATATCACTACTATGAAAACGATTTCCGTAGATGAGATCCTTTTTTTCTTTCCTTGGCGGGTATGTTTTTTGGCATCATAGGTGAATGGGGGACGGGGGGCGAGAATTTTTGGCACCATAGACCATTTTTGACCACCTAGAAAAAATAGTTTTTCTAGTAGTGTATGATGCTCGGATTAGGCCACCAGCACCGGCTAATTTACCATGTGGTCTATTTGGCCTAGATCTAAGATTTAGGAAGAGAAGAACATAATGTAAAATCTTTTCTGCGCACTTATGTTTTTCTAAGAATATACAAATACCGCAAGACCCCACAAACTATACATGACTCTTCTCTGTTCATTATATGTGATTTCTATTAATCTCCCAACAATCGTTACATGGTACATATATATTTTCTAGTTATACTAGTTATACATACGTTGGTAGTTAATATCGATTCTCTACGTTATTACTATCAGTGTGGTGACCTATGTATCAGCGAGCAATACGCCAATACCACGGGTATAGTGTAGTAGTACTGCAGAGGACCTCATCTGGTTTGGTTTTCGACTACAGTGTCCTGTCCGGGCCCCGGCTGGCTTTAGCATGAAATGCCAAGATGCTACATGCAGCCCTGCAGCCATTTGGGGCCCTGCTGCTGCCAAGATGCCACCTCGGCCCCGGTCGAAAAACCACACAATGACATACTCATCTTTTTCCCTTCGCCACATCGCATCTCTCATCTTATCTTAGCTTTTTGTTGGTACTTCCGATATCATTTCTTCCTGTGAATAATTTTTTTAGTATCATTATTTGTGTTGCCAAAATTAACATAGGTTGGTTTAGCATGCATTGGGTAGGTATTTGGGTAGTACTAATCCATGATGTCAAATCTTGCGAAAGGGCCTGTAGCCTAGTGGTTACAAGAGACTCAGTAGCACCTGAGGTCCTAGGTTTGACTCCCCATGGGAGCAAATTTTTCAGGATTTAACGGCGTTGTGCTTTCAGTGGTAGACGACGTACCCGTCGACAGCAAGGCGCATGTGGTGACTTCGTCAATCTCTCCAGAATTTGCTTTATTAGGGGGTGAATGCGCGTGTGTTGTGAGTGTCTGCGTTGTACTGTGTAATTCTAAAAAAAAAATCCACTACCTGTTTACAGATTGTCCAGAGTTAAAAGGACCCTTTTAATTTGTTGTGTGGTAAACTTTTGCAGTTTCGCTAGAGTGGCCTGCATTGGATGCTGCGCTGCGTGGCTGGTGGGCAGCGCACTCGTCCGTGAACCACCAAAAGATCTTTTCTTTTGTTTTTTTACACTACCGTAAAGCCACGAAGAGAAGGTGGGGTACTGGTTTTTGTTGGAGAAATTAATTCTTCCCTTAATTAATTAGATTAGTTTAAGATTAATTTTTTGTTTCGAGAAACACGGTATAAACATAAACGCTTACACAACACACGCACACTCACCCCTCTATAAACACACACGTATGCAATATTTCTATGAGCACCTACGAAAAACTGAGCTGACATATATTGAGATTGTCAAAGTCATCACTGATATCTCGCTGTCCATAATTATGTCATATATCACTGAAAAAATAATTAGCCGTAAAAATAAACACCCTTATCAAGTCTAGGATTTAAACGTACTTCTTATATATGCCTATTTAATTAAAGTTTGCAATACATATTGTATACAGTTACTAATCTATTTGGTGCGAGGTTGGACTTCGATTATGGTCAAATGAGACGAATTGGACCAAAATTTGATATAGCAAAACCTCTCTTAATTAGTCTTGCCAAAACACGTATAATCCTATCTATCTATAAAGTTACAAAACAGTTACAAAACACTATATCCTATAACTCAACACGCACATATATCACATCATCATTCACTAATAATTATTACATTTTAAACCTCATGGAAGCATGCTATATTATTTATATAATTTATTAAATTTTAGAGCTTTAAAATACAAGCATATATTTAAATCATCATCCCACATAATTCACATAATATTTCAATATATATCTTCAGCATTGTTTACAATATCACATACCTATATTCAGATAATATTCACTACTACAGAAAGGCATATACAAGTCACACGAAACATCTAAAACCGACACCTATAGTGCTTTTTCCACCTTCGCGGGCTGACAACATTTATACTCCCTCCGTACTCGTAAAGGAAGTCATTTAGGACAGCGACGCGGTCTTCAAAACACAACTTTAACTTCTTGTTTCTATAAAAATATTTATTTAAAAGTGATATATGTATACTTTTATGAAAGTATTTTTCAAGACAAATATATTCATATAATTTTTACCTTTTCAAACTCAATAACTTTGAGAGTTATTTATGATTTATATTCCCAAGGTTTGACTTAAACATTGTACTAAACGACTTCCTTTACGAGTATGGAGGGAGTATGTGCCAGTTCTTTTAAAAACACTGTACCTTAAATATAATATATTATATGAAAAAACGACACCTATACCAAACCTAGCCAAACAGGCAAACCGAGTACCTGACCTTATCCACTCGCCCACACCTGCCTCGGTCTCTTTCTCTCCCATACTTCTCTCTCTCTCTCTCTCTGTGTCTCATGTGGCGGCGGGCGGCAGCCTAGCGGAGGTGGCGGTCGCACCCTCCCCTCTGCTAGATCCGATGGGAGGGGGTGGCGACGACCGCGCCCTCTCCTCCGCTAGATCCAGCGGGAGGAGAGACGGTGGCGGCCTTCGATGGCGGGAGGGGAGGCGGCGACGGCTACAACGGGAGGAGAGAAGGAGGCTCGCCCCTCCTCCTCTTCTCCTCTTCATCCGGCAACCGTGGCAAGGGTGGAGTAGGACGTCGGCCCTATGTGTATCCTCGTCAGGCAGTAGTCCATCGAAGCTTCAGCGTCTTGTTCTTGATGTTCATATTGATGTGTTCTTGGATGTTGTTGATGTTCATGTGTTCTTTGATCTGGTCGGGGTGAAGGGGAGATGCTCGATGCATCAGCTCGATTCGAGTTGATGCACGAGCCACTTTCTTTTTGGATTCTTGAGACCTCAAAGGTGCCGGTTCTAGAACTGGCCCCTTTGATTTCTCTCAGCAGTGTCGCCTTCTCCAACCGACACCTATGTGGGGTTTCCAACCAGCATCTATTTGTGTTTATGTAGTAGTGATTTCAATATATATCTTCATCATTTTTTTTACAATATCATACCTATATAGTTCATCATCACTTAATTAATGTTATTTCTTTCTTATCTCATCAAGCCATATCACCTTAATTATTTTTGGCCTTTAAATAATTAATCTATGGTCCGAATCTTTTTCTCTCTCATAAAGACACACCATCTTATTTTTTATATTTGGATCATCATGCTAGTTAAATTCTCGTAAACCACGTTAACTTATATAAGCTTATGCCGTTTAGCTATCTTAAATATTATTTCTACTTATTATCATATAGAACTTCCGCAACAATGCATGTGAGGTTTCATGTAGTCCGTGCATGTGAAACACCTAGAAAATAAAAATCAATTACACACATCATAATAAAATGGCAAAAATTATACAATAACTAGTGCTGTTATTTCACAGAACTGGTACTGTACTAAGCTCGATACGGTTAATACGATATTGTTGTACTCCGTAACAGACAAAAAAAAAACAAACAAAATATCGTATTATCATGCGTGCAGTTTACAGTATCGTACGTACATGTGTGCATGTTGCAGGATACTCCTGGCACTTTGCCGGCAGTGTCCGACTCCTATACTGTCCCTTCTGCTGCATGAGCTGTCATGCATGCTACTATTCTCGTCTCAAAACATAACAATATAAAACTGAATGAAATATATTGTGTACAGTTCAACAAATTTTGACTAAAATAAATTTTAACCAGTTTTAGTTGCTATATTTTGAAACAGAGACTATTACTTCCTCCGTTTCACAATATAGGTCATTCTAGCATTTCCCACATTCATATTGGTATTAATAAATCTAGATAAATATATATGTCTAGATTCATTAATATCAGTATGAACGTAAAAAATGTTAAATTGACTTATATTGTGAAACGGATGGAGTAACTTTTACTTAGGGCTGCTTTTAGCTTTTACTGATCCGGGCACGCAAGGTACGGTACTCCTACATATATGGGTAGCAGTTCGGTACGGTATATTAGCTAGGCTAAGCTTGTGCATGAAAGTAATTAATGAATTGTTTATGCATGCAGTTAAGTAAAGAAAAATAGGATTAATTCTTCTTCAGCCATTCAGGGTGCATGAGCTAGCTCTACCTTTTGTCTTACAAAATTATATTCGTTTTGTGTTGTATGTATCTTTTTATTCTTATACACGCAGACGTAGACACCCATACACAATTACACACGCAACACCACATATACCCTCAAATCTGCCTTTTAACATACATTTAAAGAGACGGGAACTAGCAGCCGTCACACATGATTTCACTAAAATCCTACATTGCTCACTTGCATGTGCATATATAATATTTCTTTGTGCCTTTAATTTCTTGTGTTTTTCTTGTGTAAACTCCAAACAATTTGAACATTCTTGCATTCTTATAAAAAAAACCATAACTGCATACGGCCTGATACATGACTTTTTTGTATTTTCCCTAGCTACCAATCTTTTTCACTTCTTTTTTCTTTTTTGCATCCGAGCGGATATATGTTTAATTTGTTTCATCATCTTTTTCACTTCTTTTTTCTTTTTTTGCATCCGAGCGGATATATGTTTAATTTGTTTCATTGTTGTTTACTAGTAATATATAGATATTTTAAGGCATGTCTTTTTTACTGAAAACGTTACACATCTGTTCGTCATGTTGGTTAATTAGAAACGGAACACACAAGCAATTGCTACTTTCTGGATTAACTTATTGTTATCTAACGATATTGTTTGAATACATTGATGTAAATAACACGTACCTACAGCTAATATGGTAGCTGGTATTGTATATTGTCCATCAGACATCTATGTATGGACGTACTGTAATTGTAGCAAAAGTTTGTATGTACTATAGTATATATAGGACACACATTTCCAAAATCAAAGGGTTCACTACGGACTAGCCTCACTGCCACACACATGCATGCATATATAGCTGACACGATAGAGAGAATGTTTGTCTCCCAAAAAAAGTGAGAAGGCCAGCTTTTGACAACTGACAGAGATCATATATATACATAAGCTAGCTGACATATGTAACAGCAAGAACAAGTCATGCATCCATGAACGACACCCAATGAATAGTAGAAGTACACCTACAGTACGATCTGCTAGTTTCACTACATCCGATTCTCTCCAATCTCCATATTATTATTAGCTCCAAACATAACAGATACAAGAAGAAAGAACTAAGAAACATGATACAAAAGTGGCTTGATTAATTAGCAGCAGTAGGGGGTAATAAAAAAAAACCTCAAGCTAATCACTCAGCTGATAGTAAATATAATCCTGATCCCGGCTAGTAGCTAGCTAGCGAGTTTGTTCTCGTTTATTTCGTCCTTAGACATGTGATCACTATCTCTCCTTCATCCTGATCTAGTGATCTCCTCAACAACACAAAACAACAAAAGATCACAAGGCACACACAAAATATTGCTAGTAGTGGTACATAGTACTCTGGTTGTTGCCCTCATCAAATTAACGGTACTAGTAGCTAGCTAGTTTTGATCAGCTAGCTAGCTAGCTGTGGACGAGGCCACAGGATAGGGTCATGAGCAGCATGGCGGCGTCGGTGATCTCGTCGCGAGGGAGGCCGTGGAAGAACGCCGGAGAGGCGGCGGCGGCAGCGGCGGTCGCCGCCGCCTTGGATATCGGGTTCTGTGCCGGCATGGAGGTGGCGGCGGCGTTCTCGCCACCGACGACGATGACGTGATCTTGGTCCTTCGGAGCGGCGGCCACTACTTCTCCAGCAGCCGTGGGCTTGGTGGCAGCGACGGCAGCAGCAACGTGATCGACCATCTTGCACCGTTTCTTGAACGGCAGCGACCGGTCGACGTCCGCCGCCCTCTTCTCCTTCTTCGCCGCCGGCTTATTGTTCACCGGCGCCGCGGCCACGCTCTTTGCCGGCGCCACCGCCGCTCCGCCGTTGGCAGCAGCGGCCATCGCCCGCCGCGCCTTCCTTTGCCTGATGCCACACGCGTTGCAAAGGGACTGCACCATATGCATAGCACAACACACAATTTAAACCAAGGAAATCAACAATCTTTAACATATGCATGATGATCTGGTGTAACAAAACAAAGAGAAAATGCACATAGTAAGGTAGCATATAGCACCCAGACAGACAGATCAACACATGAGTTTGGGCAGTTGTTAATAGGGGTGTAAGAGCAAGTAAATCTCACCTTGGGGCCACAAGGACCACTTCTCCACAAGGGGGTCTTGGTGGTGTTGCAGTCCGAGCACACTCTAACGACACCCAAAGCTTGCTGCAGTTGTTGCTGGCTCTCATCCTGGTGCGCTTGTGCTCTTCTCCTTGGCTTTCTCACCGCCCCGCCCTCAGGATCGGTTGCCGCCCCCTTCCTTATGATCCTCATCTTCATTGGCGGCGTCGACATCCACTTGCTGGTTGATCCATTGGCATGCTGCTTGTTGTTACTCTCGATATCGTATGGATCATAAGATGATCGCTGGATCATGTCGCTGCCGATGCTTTGGATGGTTGGTCGGAACGGAGACGGTGTGAGGAAGACATCTGATCCGCCCATCATCATGTGATCATTGAACTGCAAGAGCAAAAAAAAGAGAAAAAGAAGAGGAGTATAAGCTAAAATTATTAGGGCAAGCAGCATATATACTAAGAAAGAAGCACTGATCTACATGTGTATAAGTAGCTAGCTTGTTCTACACATGTATGTGATCGATCCCCTCACCTGTTGATTGGATTCACCCAAAACCTGCTGCCTCCTCAAGCCCTGATCTCCATAGATTTGCCCTTGGTGCTCGACGGCGCTGTCGATCATGAAAGGGAACAAGATAGGAGGGTCCTTTGCTCTATGGAAGGCTGGGTAGAGCCCCTGATCCTGATCCCCCTCCATTAGAGGGAGAGTAGCAGGTAGCTGGCTCATGTAGATAGTAGACATATCAGAGAGGAGGAGGAGGAAAGAGATGGGAGAGAAGCTATAGCTTAGCTGAGGAGATCTGGGAATTATATTGGTGTAGCTTCAGGCAGTACAAACAACTGTATCAGGGATATTGCATATAAGGAAGATAGAGATGTGGAGAGGAGAGTAGTGTGGCTGCCTAGGGGCCGGAGGATCTGCTGTTGGAGGGGCAATTTACAAGGGCCCAGGGGATGATCATGGACAGTGGAGAGAGGCATGTCCTTTTAATAAAAGGGAAGCAAGAGGAGCCAAGAGCTGCCATCAATCCCTCTCCAGCTCGGGCCTAGGAAGATTTAGAAGGATGCCATGTGTGTGATCCCTTTCCTGAGAAAGAGGGCGAACACAGTTAGCACAGGAAAACCAAAGGCAAACAGTGGGGAAAAAAAAAACACACTGCGCACTGTACAACATGCAAAACATTCATTCCAAAACAACAACCAATTAAGATCTCATGCATGCAGCTGCAGGCAGTAGCAGCGTGTGCCCTACCTGGCGCAGCAGTATTCATCGTTTTCTACAAAAGTATTTTGCCTGTTATCTCAAGACCGTGATGCAGGATGATTGCAGCGTTGCATACATCATGCACTATATATATGTTCCAAAATCTCATCCAACGGCTCATGTGACGAGTAAGCAAATTAATTAGCACCCATGATAGAGTATATGTTTGCACAATGGCACTAGACATATATTTCCCATGTATAAACAGCTTAGCACCTTAATGTAGGTAATATTAATTTCCTAATGAAATATTGCATGGCACGCTCTGCATATATAAAGTGTTTGGATCTGTGGGTTTCGACTGTGAAACAAACAGACATACATACATATATTCTAAACTCTCAAGGAGACACCCCTCGTTATTTGCACGCCATCTAAATGGTTATGAAAAAAATTAAAAAAATTAACAAGATAGATTATTATATGGTAAATCACTCCACAATCATGCAAGATCAAATTTAATTTCTATAAGTTGTAACGTAAAAAATAAATTTGACTATGAATACACGTTAACTAGCCATAGTTTAGTTTGTTTTTTTGTTGCAACTTGTAAAAGTTGAATTTTAATTTGTATGTTTGTGGAGTGATCTATCACATATTAATCTATCTAGTTGATTTTTTTCATAATCATTTGAATGATATGCAAATAACAAGGGATAATCCCCTCGAGAGTTTAGAATCCACTCCTATATATATGTGGTATTGGAAGTACAATAGGCGTCATGATTTCCTCAAAAACACGATCAAAGAGAAAACAAGGCATAGAATTTCACTAAACCAGGGAAATTCAACAATTATATCTATAGCTTTTGATTTCGAGTAATATTATTAATTTAAGAGTATCAGTTGGGATATATTTGACCAAATTTGCTTCCAATTCAAAGATTAACTTGTAATATTAGATATCGTGAAGTGAGAGTAGCTCAACTGGTTAGGTTCTTTGTGGTGGAACCAGCCCACCCAAGTTCAAAAACTAGATTTGACACGGTGTTCGCAACGGCTTATTATTCTTTCAGTGGTAGGCGATGTACCCATCAACAACAAGGCATATGTGGTGACTTCGTCAATCTCAAGAAATGTCGGCCCAGTCTTTCTGAGGTGCTCTGCCTTCGTCAATCTCAAGAAATGTGCGTTCATAGGGTGACTGTACGTGCGTTGTGGGCGCTTGCATTTATACTGTGTTTCTTAAGAAAAAAAATGAGATATCGACATGTTCTCTAATACACCAATATAAACCCCCCAAAAAAAGAAAAAGTATGTCCCGCAAAACAAGTGATTCCGTGTTCATACAACAAATTAACCTTCTTTTACAAAATTGATCACACTTTTGAAAACATTTATTATTTTAAGAACAGAGGGAGTTTAATCTCCCTTGTTTGGCTCCAAAATTAATTTATCAATAAATTATGTATTAAATACTCTCTCTGGTTATAGTGACATTTTGGATGCATGTCAGCATGGTCCCAATACAACCTTAATGCTCTATTCATAAAATATATTAAATATTGACATATTATTTTGTGAAAGCACTTTTGAAAGCCATCCACACATCAATTAAGTGTACCAATTCTCCTGGTGTGCAGGGCTGTCTTTGTGACACTGCTTTGTATATACCCCTGTAAATCCAGCCCCCTGTTTTCTATTCTTCTCTTTTGTTTTGTCTATTTTGTTTTTCCTGTTTTCCCTTTTTTCTGCTCCCTCTACCCCCTCTGCTACACTCATAACTTGTAACCTATAAACCTCATTTCTCTTAATGAAATGACTATAAGGTAGGGCATGCTCTACCTTCTTGCGTCAAAAAAAATTTAGTGTGCCAAATCTGAAACTTATAAATATGCCTATAGCCACATTATTGCCTTTTGTGACTAGGCGTAGCTAATTACCAGCAAAATCAAAACCTCACTGCAAGTTGAGCAAGAAATGTATGATCAAACAAACAAGTCGTGCACATCATCATCATTATTATTATTATTATTATTATTATTATTATTATTATTATTATTATTATTATTATTATTATTATTATTATTAGTTCGAAGATGCATAGATTTAATTAGCATCACATGAAGGAGTTGTTTTTACGGGAATATATATAAATGCGTTCCCTGTATGAACTACATGAAAGTTTACATGCAAGTAGCTTGTAGATCAGCTGGCAAATCCTACCCTACACCATCCAAATCCTGCTACTGCACGAGCACATTCGAGTAACTAATAATTAATTGCACGACTAATAGTCTAATCAGCAATCATTGACTGCGAACCTATGTAAATAACTGTATATTGTGACATGATCACATCTACTCCCTCCATCCCATAAAAAACCAATTTAAAATGAGATGTAACGTTTTCTAGTACAATGAATCTAAACAGAGGTATGTCCAGATTCATTGTACTAAAAAAAATCACATCATATCCTAGGTTGGTTTTCGTGGAATAGATGGAGTAGCTAGCTAGGGCTACTACCTAGTTAACTAACTCTCACATGCCATGCATCTGTTAGTACATGCAGTACATGCACGTTTCCCAGCACTGTAGTATAAACGACAGATCGGTTGAACAAAAGCTGGAGCCATTCAGCAGGGAGGCCTGCCTGTGTAAAATCGGGTGAAGAATCAGTGCAGTGGCTCTAATAGATAGGTTTGCATGAAGAAGCCATTAGCCATCCCTCTCTCTCTCTGGTTTTCTCTCTCACACAGTCACACACGCACTGGAGACAAAGAAACATTAAGACATGAGCAGGCAATGAGACACTTCCTGCGCCAAGGGCCCCAGGCCCATATGCAAGCATGGTTTTTGGATTTAGCGGCAGAAGCAAATGTAACAGGGGTAGTTTTGCCTCTAGCCAAGAGCTAACACCGGCAGTACGAAATTAATCATAGTATCATACGAAATTATATCAGATAATTTTCTGGCGGCAGTAGGAGGCCGAGAGAGAGATTACCTTAATGAAATATGCCAAGTACGGAGGATCAAATTCCAAGAGTTTCAGCACAGCTAAAATATATGATATATATATATATATATATATATATATATATATATATATCCCCAGAGCCTACAGCAACATCAACAAGACATTTATACCATCATCAGTTCAAAGATTAAAAATATACTACTGTTTAGGCAAAATATTTTTACCTGCTCTGATTTGTGATGAACAGAGTCGACCTAGGTCCATGAAAGGGCAAATCTTTTCCACGACTCAGAACAGGATATACTGACTGCATGATCTCATCATACTGTTACATACGCTAGCCAATCTACGGCCTGCCTGCTGACTATTCAACCAGTCTTTATCATCACTTGGGAGAGGTCGAGGGACTAAAATAAAGCCAAAGCTGCAATAAACATGGCACACATCCCTCTAATGCGCAACCAAAATCTCACTTATTGCCCATGAGCAAGAGAGAGGAGGAGCAGAAACAGCTTAAACCCTGAAAGCGACGGCTCTTCCCACATGACAAGCCCACACACTTCCATTGGCAAGGGTCCAAAATCTGGGCAACTTGTTCCTCCCCCTCTCGTGATCCCGTTGGGGACAAAGCTCAGCGAGGAGCGCTCCCAAACAAGCAACTAATGGAGCAGATTTTGGGGCTGGCAGCGCAGCGCGCCCACTGCGCGCGCCTCCGTACGTACGCGGTATATATGCGTACAAAGGAGACAGAGGTCGACAACGAAAACGCCCGTTTGGCGAGATCGTTGATCGATCAACCTACAATGGAGAGCAGAGAGAATCAGTGATCATCAAAGATAGCAATAGGAGTAGGACACGTGTCGCGTAGGCATTTCCCAGAGTGCATCGAGATCGGTGACGCACCTCTGAGCTGTGTGGGAAGAAGGATACTGATGAAGTAGGAGAGAGCTGGGACTGGAGCTCTTTTGGTATTTTGGAGAAGCTAGCACCTGGGTTTGTACCATCTCGACGAAATGACGAGCAGATCTCTGCACTGAACTTTTCGCCTCGGTTTGCGCAATAATCTGTCAGGCATGGTTCAGTTGTGAATCGTCATATCCTCAGACAGAATGCAGAAGTTGTCTTCGTGACATTGGATCTAGACCCTTTATGATTTATCCGGAGTAATCCCTCCTGCATAAATAAAGATACTGCAAGAAGAGTGCAGCTATAAGTCAGCACAGAAATTTGAGATTGATAAGGTGGTATATGTTATCAATAATTAAGCATCTAAATGAATTTGTCACAATCTTATCTCAAGAAGTGACCAAATGATCCCCCATACTACCGCAAACAGTACTGTCCTTGCCTCATCATTGTGTAATGAGCCATTTTGTTATGCATGATGCAATATCATTCGAAGTGCTTGAGCAATACTGAAGGAGATTGAATCTAAATTTAACATCTACTCCATATATCTAAATTTAACATCTACTGAAGGATCAAACTCTTATGGTAAAGGCTGCAGCTGTGACATCATTCGTTTACTTATGCTGACAGTCCATGTGCTTAAGCTACAGTAGTAGCAATAATGTAAGAGCGTGTTTCTGTTAAGACATGCATGCTATATTCTCCAAACGTAACGGAAGCAAGAAAGAGATCTCAGCTATAGAATAGATCTACTAGAAAATGACTGGTTATCCTCAAAACATCACACAACACCATAAGATACTTCTGTCTCGCTCAAGATGTCCGGTGAAATATTGGAAAAGTATGCCACAAAATAAAAGTTAAAAATAGCATGTAGCCAAACGACAGCTTTTCGCTAATACGGTACTAGAGAGAGGCCGTATATATATGTTCACAGATAATTACATGAAAACTTCAGGCCACACTACCAAATTCTTATCGTACCACTCGTATAGCTGGATAATGTTCACTTTGATAGACAGCCAGCTTCTAGTTTGTATGATGGTTAAGATGTATACGTATGAGCCTTTTGAATCACTCCTTGAGCAAGAGTGTCTGTGAGAATAAATTCACTCACTGTCACAAGATGTAAGGTGCCCAGCTCAATGATAGACTTGTGGCCAACAAAAATGTAGCTTTCACAAGGCTCTTGCAAATCCAACGGGATCATGGCTTTGTGCAAAAAGACACAATACGCTCCATGCCTACGTGGACCCTCATGTGTGTGTGGGATCATGATACACACAAATGAGAGGGTTTATGTATATACATGCACTTCATCATTACTAAATAATAAGAAAGAAAACAGAACGCTACAGTGTTCAGCTTTGAAGGGTTGCTGCCAGTCTAGCAATGAATTTCATGAAGAATATCAGAAGATGTACTGTTGCTAAACATAAAATGTTCCCAAATACTCCAGCAAAAAATGATTCTCTGTTAGCTCTAAATACTCAGTTAACAGAATCATGGTAAAACCAGGGGTAGAAATGAGGAAAGGGAAATAAAAAGGAGTCAGAAAATAAAATCTAAATAGTAATCTTGAGTGAAGAAGCTGAGGTGTTCATACCAGAGTGCAGGCTAAAGTACAAAAACCCAACTGAGAGGTGTTCATGGTGAATTAGGCTTATCAGTGGCACCCAAGTGAATAAAATGTTCTATACACAACAGGCATTGCCAAGAATCACTTCTTTTTTCCAATCTTGCAAACTTCTCTTCATTAGGACAAAGAAAGGCCTAGATATTTGAGAAAAGTTGCGCTGCAGTCTCCAATTGTCAAACATCTTCTAGGAGTAGGCAATACCAAGTTTATCATCAAGAAAAAGGAGGCCTGCAATGACACTTACAGGAATAATATCAGAAATGTAGTAACTGCTAGTAAACATGTAAATCAATGAATCACAATAGTACAAAAAATAAGAGATGGAATAGTTCAGATATGATCATAATTTGATTTAATTTTTTAAAAGTATACCTATGATAATATAATAAGACAAATATGTGATTACCAAGCAATGCAATAAGTGGCTCTGCGCAGCACACAGCCATAACGAGCCGTTGCTATTAAAGAAACAACAAAAAGACAGAAAACAAAGAATACACTAATTGAGAGGAATTGGATAAGGTAACCTAGGGGTGTGATGAAGGGCTGAGCCACAACCACTTATTTTTCGGCTTAATGTCACTCCACATGATTTTGAGATTATGCTACGAGTGAATGATGCACCAGGTAATTTTTCAAAACTAGGGGTAAAAAGGGAAATGAGGGTTTACCAAATCAAGGATGGAAACTATGGGCTTGTTTGGGGAAGCTTCTAGTTGTTATAGCTTCTCCCAGAATCATAAGCTCCCCTAAACAGTCCAGCTTTTGGTCCAAATTCTGAGAAACTGTAGTTGTAGAATCCAGGAAATGAACTAGAAGCCAGAAGCTGGGAAACCCAGCTTTTCCAGATTCTCAGAAGCTGGATACTAATCAGCTGCTTATTAGAATCTTAAGCTCCCCCAAACAGGCCCTATAATATTGTTCCCACTTATTTTGTAAGTCTCCTACTTTGATACAACAGAAGCACACAATATCAGAACAATCATAAGATTTGATCTGTTGAGGCACCAATTTTTTTTGGTTCACTGCACGTTCCTGGAACTCTAATGTGATGCCTCACCATTAAAATTTCCACCTCTAATTTTTTTTTTGTAAATTAAGCTATAATAGTTTACATAATAACTAAGAAAGCATAAAAAAAATAACATGCCATATGCAAATAGTTGAATGGATGGATTATGTTCAGAGCTCAGCTGGGAGAACATTCCTGATGTGCTACCTCTCGCTATGTTTCCATCACATCATTGAATTTCATTTATATGAAGAAAGAAAACAACACAGCGTATGCAGCAACTACATGTACTTTCTCTCTCATGCTTAAATCTTGCAATCATGTCTCAAAAATAATTGTGAATGTTTGTACCATGCAACAACAAAATAAAGGTGTATCCAGGAAAGTTTGAAAAGAAACATATGACATTGACAAGTCAAGACAATGGACTAGCTAATGGATAGGATGGGGAGAATCGTCTGGGTACGGATTTCTTAACATATGAATGTGATGATAGTAAGTGTATATTGTATAAGTATATTTTCTGATGCCAGGTAATCTATAAAGTGTTCTATTTTGGTGCTTCTTTTTTGTTTTTTGTTTAAAGCAGACATGAACACTAGCATGTCTGTGCGACCATATCTCAATCGGGTGAAACTTCGGCCCGATTGAGATTACTTCCTTGTGACGGCCTGCTAATTCCAGGCATGTTAGGGGCCGTCACAGATGGAAGGATCTGTACTAGTGACTACCAGATTCCAAGGCAGAGGTCTTATGTTCCTATTTTTCTGTAAAGAATATACACATACCCCCCCCCCCCCCACCTTCCTCCCTTAACATTTCAACATTAGGAACAAAGCTGCACAAGCCGCTTTCACTTGACGGAACTTGCTCAGGCTGTTTGATCCTACACGCAGAGTTATAAGCTTTTAATTAGATGTTATTCTAAGCTATGAGAATGACCCATCTAGATCCTTTTTGTATGTTCAATAAAGGTGCAGCCTACATATATCTAAAGAAAAATGTCACACGAAAGGGTTTGTATTGGTTAACAGCTATTTAAGCTTATGGTACAGCAGCTGCAGACTTCTCTGAGTTCAGATAGACAAACAATAATCTAATCTTAACACATAGAGCCACATTTCTTAAAGTATTTAACAAAAAATATGGTTGAATCAAAGGTACGGAAAACATGCTTGAACTATTGCATCAGATTAAAACTAGTGACCTGAAAGAATCTAAATAATTTTGACACAAGCCTTACCTGTAGTTCAAGGTATACACTACAGGTGAAGTTAAGATTGATTTTCATCTCACTGTAGGTCCAACTTTTTTTACTATAATACTTGCAAAAAAAAGAAAGAAAGATTTGGCCTTCCCTCTCAAAATCTTCACAAACACATAAAACTTCAACTTGAAAGCGCGGCAGAGCGCACTTAGCTTTCAGAAATCAGAATTATGCGACGTCCTTAATACGACACAATATGCTGATGCTTACGAATATTGCAGCAAGGCACAAGAGAATACATGAATGAAACTACATCAATCTAAGAATAAAGAACAACCATTGTGTCCAGTTTCCAGTTGCACCCACCGCCACCATATATTGTGGTAGAAACAGTCACTAGGCAAGGTATATCTCTACCGTCTCTGTTGGTCTCATTTGGCACTTGGACCCGTCAAATATAGAATATGATACTATAAAAACTATTAAGAGGCATCATAAGCAAACTGTCACTATCTTTTAATCAACAGTCATATCGCTCCAATCCAGTTACTTAAGCACATATGGCCAGGACCAAACCACAATGCCAGTGAGACCTTGACTAAAATCATGATCCCTAACTTTATACCGGTGCAAATAAGCCGTAAATGGTAAAAATGCCGAAAGAAACGCCGAATTTTCTGCACTAACTAAGGCACCGCCGGATGCTTCTCCGACCACCACATCCACAGCCGAACCCAAGATCAGGGACGCACAGAAACCTCTACAAGCTCATATAGCTCAACACCCAGCGTCGCCACACGCAAGAAAGGTACCAGACCACAAATCTTGGCCGGGGGCGCATTTCGCCGAACATGTGGTGAGCGACGACGCAGCGTCGCAGGGCAAATCACGCCAGCGCTTCCATCTCACCAGCCAACACAAAAACCCAGGGTCTAGGAGCGGAAGACGATGAGAAGGCCGCGTATACCTGCAACAACTCATCTCCGCCCGCCGCCGGCGACGCCGCCGCGCCGCCGCGTCGCCGCGCCCAGAGAGCACAGCCCAACCCGACGCCGTGGGAGAAGCAATAATAATAAACTAATCAGCACAAAAAAAAAAGCAGAAAAGAAAAAAAATAAAGGATCGTTACGACTGGAAGGCCCAACAAGAAAGGACTAAGGCCCATTTCAGCCCAACATATAAAGCGAAGGCATGAGGCCCGTTACAGCCCAACAGGCTCGACTGAAGAGGCCCAGACGAATGGCCTCGGCTACGGAGATGCCGAGCCTGATCTGCGCCGTTCGATCCCTCATCGGACGGTCAGGATCACTCGCGCGGCAACCCTAGGCGAGATTGCGAGGCGGGCGCCGCCGCCTCCATAAGTAGGCGGCGCCGAATCCCTCGTCGGCTGCTGCTACTTCCACTAGGGTTTCGTCTTGCTTCTCCCGCTGCTCGCCTCGCCTCCTCGACGGTAAGATCTCCCCGATTTGCAACAGCTATTGTGCTCGCGCGATTATTGCTTGTTGCGAATCTTGTTTTTGCGGAGTTCTTTGATACATATGTAAAATTTTGTGGTTTCCTCATGACGTGCAGATCTGAGATCATCGAGATCGATTGAGTGGAGCTAGGCGGCGGCTAGGGCGAGATGGCGCTCGTAAGTGTGATCTATCCATGTTACCTGTTCATGCTTATCACGTGTTGCTACTTGTGCGAATTGGTTTGATTTGTGGGGATTAATAGTGGGAAAGCTTGGCCTGATGCGGTGGGGGGTTTGGTTGTTCATTTCAAATTATAGCTTGTGCGGGTTGTTGTATAGTCTGCTATGAGAAAATCTTTTTTTCTGCATGATCAGGGTTGATTTGATGCGCATTGCTACCCAGTGTTTCGATCTAGGAAGGGTTTTTGTAGGGTGTTGACAATTTAGGTGTTCAGGATTTGACTTGGATCGTTGACAATGTTCGGTTATGTCTAGCATCTCTGATTTTCTTCATGCTGGCTTGCGAGCTCGTTGATATCAATGATTTCTGGTGTTCTTTTACTGTTACTTTCTGGTTCAAGTGCTGGTGGTTGAAGAAGATTTATGGTGTTCTTTACTTTGTTACTCTCTGCTTCTAATGCTAGTGGATGGAGTGAATTACTTAATTTGTAGTAAGGAGCTATGATTTTTTTTCTGCACTGTCATTTTTTTCTGATTATCTCATTGGATACCAAGTGTTGCACTATTGCCAAAGTAAGTTCGTATTCAATGCAAGTAAATGAGTGCCCAGTGTCATGCCGGCTTGTTAACATTATACTCGTTATCCTGCATAGACATGCACAGGGTTGATTTCCTAGAACGCTTAGAGCTTTTTGTTTGATGCAAATGGATTCATTTACAGTTTCCAAAATGTGTTTTATTTGCTTTCAGAATATCTGATCTCACGTTGACCTTATGTAGCTCAGCACTTCTGCACATAATTATATAATTATTTGCATTGATTATCGCTATGCACAACATTGGAAGCTAAAGTTACTTTGTAATATATGCTTCTTGATCTGTGAATTGGTTCCTCTGCTTGTATCGTTTTTGTTTATCATGCTTGTGTCTCCAACCTTATGTACATTATTCGTCTGTGATTAGGTATTGCATGCTGGCAGTGGAAACAAGAATGCATTCAAGGCACTCATTGCTGCCGAGTACTCTGGTGTCAAGGTTGAGTTGGTGAAGAACTTTCAGATGGGTGTCTCCAACAAGACACCTGAGTTTCTCAAGATGAATCCTATTGGGAAGGTTTGAACAAAAACCATCCCTGTATTTTGGTACATTCGCACAGAATCTTATTTGGACACGTTTTCTTTCAGATTCCTGTTCTAGAGACTCCTGATGGTCCTGTTTTTGAGAGCAATGCGATTGCACGATATGGTAAGTGATACATAGCAAGGAATTGGAGTTCTCTTAATCTTTTTCTATCATATCTGATTTAGTTCTAAGTCACTGTCATTTTCCTGAAGTTACCCGCTCGAAGGCTGACAACCCACTCTATGGGTCTTCACTGATTGAATATGTGAGTGGTCTTCCATAGATATTTAAGATCATTCTTGATTATTTTACGAGCTTCTAGAATTGTATGTTTCTTCCAGGCCCACATCGAGCAGTGGAATGACTTTTCGGCCACAGAGGTTGATGCTAATATTGGAAAATGGCTCTACCCACGGCTAGGAATTGCTCCCTATGTTGCTGTGGTAAGTATGGTCAAGTGGGTGTCATAGTGTTTTCCTTGTGTCAGCAATTTGTTGTCTAATCTTATTTCTGCCCAACAGAGTGAGGAAGCAGCTATTGCTGCTTTGAAGAGATCATTGGGTGCCCTCAACACACACCTTGCATCAAACACATACCTTGTTGGCCATTCGGTGACTCTTGCTGATATTGTGATGACCTGTAACCTCTACATGGGCTTTGCTCGGATCATGACCAAGAGTTTTACTTCTGAGTTCCCTCATGTTGAGAGGTACTTCTGGACCATGGTTAATCAGCCAAACTTTAAGAAAGTCTTGGGTGATGTGAAGCAGGCAGAGTCTGTCCCACCAGTTCAAAAGAAGGCTCCACCACCAAAGGAGCAGAAGCCAAAGGAAGCCAAGAAAGAGGCTCCAAAACCTAAGGCAGTTGAGAAACCAGAGGAGGAAGAGGAGGCACCAAAGCCAAAGCCAAAGAACCCTCTTGATTTGCTCCCTCCAAGCAAGATGATCCTTGATGAGTGGAAGAGGTTATACTCAAACACAAAAACAAATTTCCGTGAGGTTGCTATCAAGGGTAAGTTTCTTTTGGGAATCTAGTAGTCACTAAAAGGTTTCCACGTAGAAAAGTATAGTTTCTTTCGGGAATCTAGTAGTCACTAAAAAGGTTTCCACAGAGAAAAGTTTACTACATTGCTGTGAGTACACTAGAAAGATATGAGTACAAATTGGCTTACAAATTATAACAGCTACTAAAGAGTCAATGCAAATTTGTTTGTTGACCTGTCAACTGTTAGCAAGTTATATCTCTTTGATTACCATTATTTGTCATCTGCTCCCAACTTCTGTTGTGTATGAAGTTCTGTGAATTGAACTCAACATGTCTTCTCACTTATTGCAGGTTTCTGGGATATGTATGACCCAGAAGGTTACTCCCTGTGGTTTTGTGACTACAAATACAATGACGAGAACACTGTGTCCTTCGTGACCATGAACAAGGTTGGTGGGTTCCTGCAGCGAATGGACCTGTGCCGCAAATATGCTTTCGGGAAGATGCTTGTGATCGGCTCTGAGCCGCCATTCAAGGTGAAGGGTCTTTGGCTCTTCCGTGGCCCCGAGATCCCCAAGTTCGTCATGGATGAAGTCTATGACATGGAGCTCTATGAGTGGACCAAGGTTGACATCTCAGATGAGGCCCAGAAGGAGCGCGTCAGCGCCATGATTGAGGACCTGGAGCCATTTGAGGGCGAGTCGTTGCTGGATGCGAAATGCTTCAAGTGAGGCGTCGTTGGAGCAAGGATACCGTGGAAAATGAGCTATTTAGGTTTTGGATTTACCCTTCTACAATAGTTCATGATTATGAAAAAAAAAATACTATCACCATGTGGCTATATTAGTCAATATTGAGTGTGCTGGTCTTTTCTTTTTGTACTGTTTGCTAGAGTTTTGGCCCTTTTTAACCTTGTAGTTAAGTTGTTAAGACACTTATCCATCGAATCATCGTCAGAAACACACCATTCGAATCTGCTGTTGCTCATGTGTTAAACTTGCCATTCTGATAATGTTTTGGAAATAGGCAACAAAACGAGTTATGGTGCTGGGTTATTTTATGTATTTTATTCTGTTGTTCATGTTTGTTGTGTTTCTTTTTTTTTTCTTTTGCTTTCAGCGCTGGGCACGCAGACGAAGGCCATGTTCGTTTCTATTGAGATTTTCTTGATTATCTGGTTTGGTGATGGCTATTTGAGGGTATATAAATGAATGAATGAACGAATTACTATTAATTTAAAATTTTGCTTTAGAAAAATATTTCCAAGAAACTTCTATTATATAGAAATTTTTTACATGAAAAGCATAGCTTGGTAAGCCGGATAATAATCTCCTGAATCAAAAATGGGATCTACAACGCATGGATCAGAGATTTGCGTTTTGTCAATGTGTCAACTTGCCTAAGCATTTGCGGAGTAAATTTAGTGACGTTAAAGAAAGAAAGGGAAGGAAGGAGAAACAACTACGGATGACAACGGTTTAGGGTTTAGAGTTAATGTGGAAGAAATAGAGGGAATGAAGGAGAAATATCGTTGCTATGCATGACAACGGCTCCTCAGAGTCAAGTGAAAGAAAGAGAGGGACGCATGACATGACAACGGCTCCTCAGAGTCACGTGAAAGAAAGAGATGGAAGGAAGGAAAAACATCGTTGATACGCATGACAACGGCTCAGAGTCGACTCTTAGCATTCATTAACGAAAAGTTTGTTGCATGAGAGTGGAGAAAAATGAAAGAAGTATAATAAAAATTTATTTATACATTAATGGTTTAGAAAACTTATTGTCTTTATTACTTTAGTACTTCCTCCGTTTACTTTCTAACATTGCTAATATTCATATATATGTTAATGAATCTAAACATATATGTGTGCCTAGATTCACTAACATCTATATGAATGTGAAGAATGCTAGAAAGTCTTATAACCTGAAACGGAGGTAGTAGGATATAGTCTCTAGTAATATTAATTAATATAAAGAGCTCATATTAGACTCTACCTTTATACATGCCTTGAAATTAACTCACAGCATCACCACCATGCGAACATTAAATCCTCCTTACTCCATTTCGTATTCTATAATACTATCTCCTTCCCCTTAATAACGTTGGTCCTTACTCCACTCAGTATTCTGTAATACTAATCTCCTTCCCCTTAATAACTTTGGTTAGTTTAATTTTGAGTAAATTTTAGGGTGTTTGGTTGTAGTCACAGTTGTGGCAAGATTCTCTTCCAATAAACGAGTCATATACGTTATTGACTCAAAAATGTGTTGCAAGATTTTCTTAGGCTTGCTAAAGTGTGACCAAGAATTTGATCGCCTCACTTAGACAAGTGTGGCAATACTTTTGTATGTAGTTTTATGATAAATTAACCTATATATATATAATTTTCTAAAATTTATTTAATTTTTTTATGGGAAAGAAATGGATTTAATTTTTTTTAGAAAAAATGCCCAAGGCCCGTTTCGATCCAACGGGCTCGACTGGAAGGGGCCAGAGTGCCAGACGAATGCCCGCCTACGGAGTGGTTGGATCTGCTCTGCGCCGTCCGATCTGTCGCAAGGCTTACTCATCGGACGGCCGAGATCACCCGCGCGCAACCCTAGGCGAGATCGTAAGTAGAATCGGCTGCGTCGAATCCCTCCACTGTTTTTGCTGCCGCTGCTACTTCTTCCACTAGGGTTCGTCTTGCTGCTCCCTCCACTGCTCGCCTCGCCTCCGCCACCGTAAGATCTCCCCGATTCGCTACAACTAACTAGTGTGCTTGCGCCATTGTTGCGTACTGTTGATTTTGCGGATTTTTTTTTAAATTTTTTTGGATTTTTGTTTCCTCATGATGTGCAGATCTGAAATCGAGTGAGTGGGAGCTAAGGCGGCGGCCCCGTCGAGATGGCGCTCGTAAGTGATTCTTGATCTAACCTCGTTTGCTCGTGTTCTTTAGTTGATTTAGTGGAGAAGCTTGGCATGATGCGGTGGGGTGTAGTTTTTTTTTTTTCATTTTCAAATTGTAGCATCTGTGGATTGCTGTATGAGTCTTCTGTAAAGCATATCGTTTTTTTCTGCACGATCAGGGTTGATTTGGTGCGCATTTCTACCCAGCATTTAGGGAGGGTTTTGGTAGGGTGGTGACAGTTTAGGTGTCACGGATTTTATTTAGATCGGTGGACAATGTTCGGTCTATGTCTAGCATCTCTTATTTACTTAATGTTGTCTTGCAAGCTCGTTGAAATGCAGATTTCTGGTTTTTTTTTTTACTTTGTTACTTTCTGGTTCAAATGCTGGCGGATCAAGTGAATATTAAATAATTTGTGCAGTGAGGAAGCAAGGACCTGCCTTCGAAATTTTTCTAGTCTATATTTCTGATTATTTGATCCCAAGTGTTAAAGATTGTTGCCAAGGTTTTCCAATAGTTAGCCTTTCTTATATACATTTGATGATGTAAGACCAAATTCAAATGCATACAAATGAAAGCCTGATCACATGACAGTTTGTTGACAATATATACATTATCCTGTAGAGATTCGCACAGGGCTCTGCTTTCCTAGAATGCTTACAGCTTCCTGTTTGATGCAAATGGGATTATTTGGAGTTTCGGAAATGAAGTCTTATTCGCTTTCTGAATAGCCGATGAGCATGTAGACATGTCTCATGCAGACATTATAGCTCAGCACTTGTGCACATAATTATATAATATGTATGTATTGACCATCACTCTGTAGAACATTGAATGGCTAAAGTCACTGTGTAATATGTGCTGCTTGATCTATGAATTTGTCCCGTTGTTTGTATATTTTTTGTTTATCATGTTTGTGTATCCATCCTTATGGACATGCTAGTCAAACTGTCCTTGTAGTGTTGTCATGTCATGCACTTCCCTAACCTATTTTCACGCTCAACTTTGTAACTTGCATTGGTGTAGGTATTGCATACTTTCGATGGAAACAAGAATGCATTCAAGGCACTCATTGCTGCCGAGTACTCTGGTGTCAAGGTTGAGTTGGCAAAGAACTTTCAGATGGGTGTCTCCAACAAGACTCCTGAGTATCTCAAGATGAATCCTATTGGGAAGGTTTGAGCAAAACCACCTCTGAATTTTGGTACATTTGCACAGAATCTGATTTGGACACGTTTCCTTTCAGGTCCCTATTCTAGAGACTCCTGATGGTCCTGTTTTTGAAAGCAATGCGATTGCACGATATGGTAAGTGATACATAGCAAGGATTCCGTTCTTTTAATCCTTTTCTCTCTATTGCTTGATTTAGTTCTAAGTTCCTCTCATTTTCCTGAAGTTACTCGCTCGAAGTCTGACAACCCACTCTATGGGTCTTCACTGATTGAATATGTGAGTGATCTTTCATAAATATTTAGGATCATTCTTGATTATTTTCCAGCTCCTAGAATTTTGTGTTTCTTTCAGGTTGATCTTTCATAGACATTTAGGATCATTCTTGATTATTTTACCAGCTCCTTGAATTTCTTGTTTCTTTCAGGCCCACATTGAGCAGTGGATTGACTTTTCAGCCACAGAGGTTGATGCTAATACTGGAAAATGGCTCTTCCCACGTCTTGGATTTGCTCCTTATGTTGCTGTCGTAAGTATGGTCAAGTGGGTATCGTTGTGTTCTCCTTGTTAGCAATTTGTGATCTAATCTTGTTTCTGCCTAACAGAGTGAGGAAGCAGCTATTGCTGCTTTGAAGAGATCATTGGGTGCCCTCAACACACACCTTGCATCAAACACATACCTTGTTGGCCATTCAGTGACTCTTGCTGATATTGTGATGACATGCAACCTCTACATGGGCTTTGCTCGGATCATGACCAAGAATTTTACTTCTGAGTTCCCTCATGTTGAGAGGTACTTCTGGACCATGGTTAACCAGCCAAACTTTAAGAAAGTCATGGGTGATGTGAAGCAGGCAGATTCTGTCCCACAAGTTCAAAAGAAGGCTGCAGCACCAAAGGAGCAGAAGCCAAAGGAAGCCAAGAAAGAGGCCCCAAAAGAAGCTCCAAAGCCTAAGGCAGCTGAGAAACCAGAGGAGGAAGAGGAAGCACCAAAGCCAAAGCCAAAGAATCCTCTTGATTTGCTCCCTCCAAGCAAAATGATCCTTGATGAGTGGAAGAGGTTATACTCAAACACAAAAACAAACTTCCGTGAGGTTGCTATCAAGGGTAAGTTTCTTTTTTGGAATCTACTAGTCAGTAAAAAGTTTCCAGATAGACAAATTTATTGCATTGCTTTGTTGCAAAGGATATGAATACAAATTAGGATACCCGTTAGAATTTGTTTGTGTAGCATCATAAATAGCAAGCATGCATGTGACTTTTTTTAGATGTTATATGTTGTTAGTTACTTTTCAACTGTGAACTAGCTAGCTGTCCAGGATCAGCTGAAGGCCTGGAGTTGTTGCTTTTACTGCAACTTCAGCAGTCATCACATCCAGTAATCCAACAAGCAACCAATGGCTAGACCAAGAGCATCTCTTTTCCTTTCTTTCTTTATCGAATATTTCCAAAACCATGAAATCAATGAAACAGAAAATTAATAAAAATATTAAGTTGGACTATAAATAAAAAAACGCCTTGTTTTCAGAACTTTAAAAAATGACACTGTTAACTATGCTATTCTTGTGTCAATTTGTATCTCAAACATTCTAGTTTAGAGAAAATTAACATCTTAGCTAGAGAATTATAGCATGCAAAAACTGTTAGCCTCTTGTTGTTGGATGGAGAAAATTAACATCTTAGTTAGAGAAGATGCTCAACATCTTAGCCCATTGGTGGCTTGATGGATGGCTATATGTGTTGACTGCTAAAGTTGCAGTCAAAACAACTACCTCAGCTGATCCTGATCTGTCAATTAGTTCTCTCTTCTACACCATTATTTCTCATCTACACCAACTTCTGTTGAGTTTGAACTGCTGTGAATTGTACTCAAGTTATCTTCTCATGTATTGCAGGTTTCTGGGATATGTATGACCCAGAAGGTTACTCCCTGTGGTTCTGCGACTACAAATACAATGATGAGAACACCGTGTCCTTCGTGACCATGAACAAGGTTGGTGGGTTCCTGCAGCGAATGGACCTGTGCCGCAAATATGCCTTCGGGAAGATGCTTGTGATCGGCTCTGAGCCGCCATTCAAGGTGAAGGGTCTTTGGCTCTTCCGTGGCCCCGAGATCCCCAAGTTCGTCATGGATGAGGTCTACGACATGGAGCTCTATGAGTGGACCAAGGTTGACATCTCAGATGAGGCCCAGAAGGAGCGCGTCAGCGCCATGATTGAGGACCTTGAGCCATTTGAGGGCGAGGCTTTGCTGGATGCGAAATGCTTCAAGTGAGGCGTCGTTGGAGCAAGGATACCGTGGAAAAATGAGCTATTTAGGTTTTGGATTTACCGTTCGAAAATAGTTCATGATTCTGAAAAAGAAAACACTATCAGCTTGTGGTTATATTAGTCTATATTGAGTGTGCTCTCGTTTCTGTGTGCTGTTTTTAAGAGTTTTGGCCCTTCTATCTTGTAGTTCTTAGTTGTTAAAGACACTATCCATCGAATCATCATCGGAAACACACCATTCCTTGTGAATCGGCTGCTGCTCATATGATAAACTTGGCAATTCTGATGTTTTCGAATTGTTATGCAAGTAAAAGAGGTACAGTGATGTTCATGTTTGTCAGATTTTTTGTTAGCGTTGTCCAAATTCACTTCATTTTTGTTTTCTTTTAGCGGTGTCCAAATTCATAGGGATTCTTTTCTTTTAACGTTGTCCAAATTCAAATTTGTAGGGATTCTTTACTTTTAGCGTTTTCAAATTCGTTGTTCTAGCTTATGTCTTATCCTAACTGCGGTTTTTTGGGGGATAGAGGGAGGAGTCAATTCAGCTTGCCTAACTGCGGTTTGTGTTCATGTCTTTTACGTCAAAAGTTTTGTACAGATATATGCGCTCAAACATAACGTGTACATAATTATGGGCACCAGAACTTACATCATCATCACCATACCAACAATATCTCCGCTAGTAACCATTCAATATTATAGGAAAGAGGACCAAAGGTAATAAGATATTAAGATGCATATTCAAGTCGATGCAGAGTAAAACTCTGTATAAATGATATACAAGATTTGCATCTGGTTAAATACCGGGCCGCAACTTTTTGCAGACGCCACAAAACTTTTGATTTCGTTTTCCCTTTTCCATTTTTTTTAACCTGACCTTTTCTCCTTTTTCCAATTATGAAGCAAGACAAAAAAGAACGAAAACCAAGATCCTATCTTTGTGGTTAAATTCTGATTCTCAGAATCACCGTTCCAAATTCCAGAACTGAACAAATTATTTACGATGGCACAGAGCACTTCGTGTTGCACCACATTTCTTCACTTGGAACTAACACACTATTGCTTTCTCCAGCAGCGCCTTTGCACGGCTTCAGAGAGAGTTTTGTCACATTTTTTTTTTCACAACAGGATGCATAGAACCTTCGTCCATGCACATCCATCCTGCATGCAGAGACTGCGAATACATCTCCACAAAGCTTCAACATGAAAAACTTGGCCTCTGTAGTAGTAGAGCTTACATACTTGTATTTTTTGTTTGACCTGAGACTTTTTTTTTCTCAGGAAGGGATGTCAGCAGTTTTCTGGAACAACTAACCGCTGTAATTGCTTCAGCGGTGACAAGAGCTGGGAGAACGATGGTCGTTTGCTTGGATCGCTGCACGAAAGAACATTGGGGGTCATTATCAGTGGAGCAAGTGGCAGGTAAAACTAGGTAGAATGAGAAGAGTAGCATGTTATCCGGGCTGGTTTGTTCTTACTTTTCCCAGCACGAAGATATTATGGTAGCCACCAGTGGGTCAATTTCTTTGGGAATTTCTAGTCGCCTGTTCTGGAACCCAACTGCTCCTACAACTTGCATTGGATTCAGTCCACTCCATGGTACACGCATTGTTGCTAGTTCCCATAGGATTACTCCAAAACTGTATACGTCACACCTGATGCCAGCATTCAATTTTCAATCAGCAGGAGAACATGACAGGAAGTAAATGGAAAGGCCAACATGTCATGAGAAAACTAAGCAACTCACTTCTCATTTGATGGCTCATTACGTAGAACCTCTGGTGCCATCCACTCCGGCTGTAGCCCAACATAAAATATGGTCAAGGTGATGGAATAATTAGCTAATTACAGGAAACACCCACCAAATGAACAATAAAAATGTTATTAATATAGTACACTATGCCACTACATGATCTTGGATTAACAATGAGTTGTCTAAAAAGGGTGAGGCTCTACTTCCAGAAAAAAATAAAAAGACCCTGTGAAAGTAACTAGGGTAAAGAGAGCATGGCTTGAACTGATCTATACAAAATTAGTTGTGCAGAGCAAACTACATTGCACAATGTTTTGCATAAACCATTCTGTTTGAGGACACCGGCACTATCCAATGCCTCAAATATTGCATCTAAACACCAGGCAGAGCAATCAATGTGTTATTTTGAAGTCTAAAGTTCAAATGATTTGCATATCCTAGCCGTGTAAAGTGCAATAGTGCGATATTCCAGAGTTTCTGGAGAACAAAGATGAAAAAAAAAACACCTTATCATACAATCAAAACGAGGTAAAACATGAAAAAGAAAGTCACCAGAGCATCAAGGATATTACTGTTCCAGCTGTTGATTTAGAGGACAGGAAAGTGTGATGTTTCAACCTTGACATGCCAAAATCTGACACCTGCATGAAAAAATGCATGTATTTACAATATTATTAGTCTATACGACATGAAGCTTTTTGTGATGCAATTGCTAATTAAAGAGGAACATGGATCCCTCCATTTTAATGGGCATTGCTGAATTCTGATAAACAATTTGTCAAGTATTCTACACAAGTTTAGCTAGATCTACTTTACTTGCATGTATAGTAGAACCAGCAACTTGTTACCAGTACATCCCTCACTCTAAGCTAACAGAACCTTGATATTTAACTACTTCTCCATAAATCTCCCCAAAGCACCCAAACAGCAGCTAATGCCTAGAGGTCTCCACTAGCATACCTTTTCATGGGCTGTTTTGATTTGATGAATGAGATGGTGAATGGACCACCCAATCCAAAATCTAAACATACCTACTTGTGTGGTTTGAGGAAATAAATGGTTTGGTCCATGTGACCATGTCCATAACCATCTCATCCATCAAACACATATAGTGAAGTATGAGAAACATGGTCATTCCCAAAAGCAGGGGAATAACCATATGAGAAATATGACTCTATAAGAAATATGCAACAGCTTAAACCAAGCAGACCATAAATTCATTTGGTACAACATCCCATCTTGATAGCTTATGGTCTTGCCTAAGAATAACCCAGAAGTATAGGATTATTTAAATGGTCGCTCAACAACTGGGTATCAGACAAGCTGATCAGTGGCAGACTGGCAGTCACCACAAGGTCTGTTTACATACAGTATTATAATCGAGAGAATGTAGTCCAGTGTATCCAAATGTTCTGTTTCATGTAAACACTACATTGAAAAAAAAAGAGCAGAACATCTTTTTGATACCAAACAAATATCATATCAACTTCAGCAAATCTTATATTCTTCCTATGAGAAAACAGACAAGGTTTATCCAAGATGAAACAGAACAACAAGACTAGTAAGCTTTTTTTTTCTGTATTGAATGAGAAGAGGGTTGTGATTTCTGAGAAAGTCACCTTAACAACCCAATTTTTATCCACTAAAAGATTTGGGGATTTCAAGTCACGATGCACAATAGTAGGATGGCTAGCATGCAAGTAGTTCATCCCTTTTGCCTGCAAGACAATAATAAACTGTCAACACGGTATAAAAATAAGCATCAACAACGAAAACAAACAAAACAGCTTCCTGAAGCTTACCACATCCAATGCCATTTTTAGCCTTCGTGTTTCATCAATTTGACTGTTTGGCCTATGCAATAGGCGGTAAAGGCTCCCTCTGAAAAAGGAAGTATGTTATCTTTGTTGTAATATCTCTTTCCGCTCATATAACATATGCACAAAAGTAGAAGGAGCCAATGGTTATGTTGACTGAATAAACCAAAAACAAAGTTGGAGGAACCTTGGAAGGTATTCAGTTAATATCGAAAGATTTGGTGGTTGTGTCACATATCCCAAGAACAGAACTACATTTGGATGCCTCAGCCTTGACATGATCCCAACCTTGAAGAGAAGGAATGCACACTCAGTTGAGGAAATAAAGTCGATAATATTTATACACAAACTCCAAAAGAGATGCAATGCATTAAATCTTAAAAGTGGACTCACTTCACATTTGAATTGATCTAGTGCAACACCCGATAAATCCTGGTCAAGAAATTTCTTCACTGCAACTTCCTGCAATAGATGAGGACAATAAATTACCAGAGCAAGAAACTCACAAAACAATGGCAATTTAGGTGAAAATGAATCATATATGTTTTGTTTCTTCCAGCTTGGTAAATTTGTTACAGTGGGCCTGATATTTCCCTATTTTGTTTTATTGGCCTTCCTAGGCAACAAACCTTTGATATCCAATAGTTACCTGTTAAAAGTCACTGCTTTGCAATACAATGAACCAGTGGTGGCTCTATTTATGAGCTAGTTCGTACAGACACAGTAGTTATCCAGTCCTGTACTGTCTTACTATTTAAGCTATAGACCTTACGACCACTTCGTACTACTAGCAAAATATAATATAAGAATTGCTCTTCAAATATGTGACTTACAGTGCCATTCCAATCTGCATGATATACTTCCCCATATGAACCTGCAAAAATAAATTTAGTTTAGAACACAGAGAGTAATGGTACAAAAGAAAAGTATCCAATACATTACAGAGTAATGGTATAAAATAACACAAAATTTAACTTAGTTCAGTATGTAAAAAAAATTAAAAAGGAAATAACGATGGGGATCACATTGCAAAATCCAGCTAATTTATTCCACTCTCTAGCCTGAATAAGTGCAGTTTTATTTTTATTTTTCAGTGTCTCCATAATACAACTTTGGCCAATAACACAGAAAACACCATTGGTTGACAGCGAATTATAACGCAATGAAAGTGGTGTTGGTTTAGTTGTAAAAGTTCATAATTTAGAACACCTTCATTCTAAAACTGAACCATTAGCAAGTTCCTGAATAAAAAAAAATCCATGATACGCGCAGCAGATATCGTATATTTTGGAAATTAGAGGCATTCAGACAAGCACCAGTCGTTAAAATAGAACAATGTCTGTGAAACAAGATCGATTTCACAATACAAAGCTTCAAAGTGGATGACTACCAAAAATGTTAAGGAAGAACCATAAAAAGTCTGAATTTTCAATCAAATAAATGAATGTATTTATTACTAATGTATTTAGTGCCATGTAGAGAGCAAGAGACATTTACTCTTTCTGCATATATATTCATGTAACTTGGTGTTCATTGTAAACTTGAAATGCAGTATGTTGTCCCCTTAGAGAAGCTACCTCTTAATTAACTACTTACTGCTATACTAGTAAGTGGTAATATAAGATCTTGGAATTAATGCAGATACCTAGACCAATGCGCTCTCCAATATGAAGATCTTCCCATGGTATTTCATAGTCAGCAACGTCATCTATAACAGAGCTGATTGTTTTCGTGCTAGAACAGCTCGACTTGTCCAAGTTTCCATTGCTACTTCCTGGCATCTTCACCAAAGAGTCCTCAGAAAACCTTTGGTCCTCGTTGGCAATGGCATGAGCTGTATGATCATGCAAATCCAAATTTCTGCCAATTGCTTCTGTATTCCCCACATCATGCTGTGCATCTTCATGGAAACAATTCACTACTGCTAGTGTTTTGGTATTGCCATGTTGCAATGGAGAATCTTCCGCTACATGACCATTTGGCAAATTTTGACCTGTTTTAGCGATTACCAACCATCCTGCAGTTTTGTCATCTTCAGAAGCAGTATGTTTGCATATTTCAGGTTTCTCATAGGTGGGTAGCAATGCAGTGCCCTCCAGGAGCAAGTCTTGCAAATTTTGTGCAAACTGTGGGTCCACTTCTGTGGGCACTAAATACATGGGAGCATCGTTGACTTTCATCAGATGCGGAATTTCCCCTCCATCAGATATGGTACTTTGTTTAAGCGGGTTCTCTGTGTGGAAGATGTCTTCCAGCTGTGAACTTGCAAGTGCTAAAGCAGATTTTTGTTCAGATGAACTTCCCCCCATGTCACTTGTATTCTTACATCCAGCACTAATCTGCTCAAGGGCTATGCATAGTTCTGCAACACTCTCCTCGATGGCATCATTGCTCAGTTGACTATTGTTGGAGTCCTGAAACTGACTGCCAGAAATATCTGAAGGGATTAATGTGCCTGGAGCTCCCATCAGATCAACTATATATTCAACACTGCAATAGGATTTGATTGTTATATATCAACACAGAAGATGTCCTAATATTAAATACTGAAAGATTGTAAAGATACAATGTAGATACCTGTCAAAATCAATTTTAACCAAGTTAATAGCCCCTTCATCTGTCCCCGTATAATATATTCCTTTGACAAGCTTGCATGGTAGATTAACTCGATCAGCTAGTACCTGAAACCAATCTGATCAGTTATTTTCTTTGTCCAACAGAAACCTACTTACGTAGAAAGCTGTCACCAAGATATGTAGTCAATGAAACAAGGTTCAAAGGTGTTTCTTTTTCATCAACCATTTCAATTATCCATTCCATACAGCAAATTCAAGATTTACCGATGCCCATAAATGAACTAGATTGGCTTCCACAGTTGGACTACCACAGCTCATAATGGACAATATAACTGGTTGAAGGTGAGTACTAAACATCTAAACATTTTTCAATATCATAACTGGAATCGGGAATCATTTGTGCTTTAAACAACCATTCCACAATGTAAATTGTGCAACAAGATGGAAATTGTTACCATGGGGCTATTCCCATATTTTCTTACACTTGACATAATTTAATGCCCTATGTGAATGACTGGATTGAAGTAGAATACAGTACTTCTGCAGAGATACTAACCTTAAATAGCAAAGATCTGTGGCGCGACAACCCAATGCGAAGCAAACCAAGAGGGAGAACAATACTGTTGCGCTGAAGGCATAGCGCGCGGCTCTTCACTCCCCATTCCCTGTTCATTTCATCAGCATCATCCACCGGACCGCCCATAGCATCAACCACAAGGTTTGCAATCTTCTGCACGAGCTCCGGCGAAGCGACTCCACCATGCTCCGCCCTATCCTGCGCGGCAATTGCCAGAGCCCTCCCTTCGAGCCGCTTCAGCGCCGGATCACGCTCCCGATTGACCAAAACTGCCACGTACGCGGCGTCTCCACCGACGGGAACCGCCCTGAGGGTGGTCAGGGAGGGGAATTTGGCCTGGAAGTGCGGATGCATCGGCGCGCCGCACACATCGTAGAACCCGTCGGAGAGCCTCTCGTCGTAGTTGACGACGCAGTGGTTCCAGTACCGCGCGGAGAGGGCCTCCATGGGGCCCCGGTCCCCGGCGGCGCCGCCGAGGCTGATGCGCTCGGCGGCCCGGATCTGGACCGAGTCGGCGTCCACGAGCCCCGCGTGATCCGACGCCGAGATGGCCAGCGCGAGCCGCACCTGGTACTCCTCCTCCAGCCGCGTCATCGTCGCGTCCGCCCCCATCCCCCTCGGCTCCGCCGCCGCCGCCGCCACCGGAGCCGCAACAGGAGCCATCACCGGCGCCGCCTCGGCCGCCGCCGCCGCGGCGACGACCGGAGGAGGCGGCAGCGGCGGGGGCTGCGCCGACGACCGCCGATGCTGCCGCGGGCGGTGGTGGTGCTCCCCCGACGGGGCCCCCGCCGCCGCCGCTCCTCCGCCGCTCCCGCCCCCACCCGAGAGGTGGAGCTTCCGCAGCAGATGCTTCATGCGTGACATGGATTACCACCACCACCACGGAATCATACAACTCCTCCTCCTCCTCCTCCTCCCTGATCCGATCCGCCTACCCAACCCAACGAATCAGCGTACCCCGACGAACTCACCTCCTCCCTCCTCCGAGCACCACCGCCGCCGATCTACCAATCCATTCCCGCGCTGCTCGATCGCGCGGCGGCCGCTGTAAATTCGTTGCTTCGCGTCGGCTTCGCCTCGGCGCGCGGGGGGTAGCAGCTGCCAAGGTGAAGCGAGGAAGAAGAAGAAGAAGGCATCGGCATCTTCCCCTCTCTCTCCACTTTTTTTTTTCCTTTTTTATTATTTTTGGATTATTATTATTATTATTATTATTATTATTATTATTATTATTATTTTGGGTTGCTCGACGTGTAGTAGTGGTAGACTGGTTTGGGTTGGGTTGCTTGCGCGGTCTCCGGTTTGGGGGGATCGGATGATGATGGGGAGCGTGGGTGACGTGGCAGGTTTGGATCGTGCGGCTGGGATTGATCCGCAGGCCCGTGGTCCAGACTAGAGGCTTCCGAGTGGATGGATGGATAACTCAGTTTTTTGGATGGTTTGACACTAATCCCCACTTCTAGATTAACCTAGCTCTGTATGGACGTGTTCGGCAAATTGTGGGTTTATAATAAAAAAATAAAAGGTCATTTTAGTTTAGTGTCAATTCTCATCGTAGGAGTACCGACTATTTTTTTTAAAGCAACTCAATGTGTAGTTTTGGATAATACTTTTTTTTTTTAGGCTGGGAATCCTTCCCCTCAGCGCTTAAAATGGATTTACAGTCTCACAGATTAACATAAATTATTAAGTATTGATTAAAAAACTTTAAAATAGACTAATATAAATTTTTAAAATAACTTTCCTACGTTTTTTTTAAAAAGACACCGTTTAGCAGTTCCGTTCGGAAAACATACGTAGCAAAAATGAGAGAATAAAAGTATTAAAAAAGGAAAGAAAAAGCACATTCTTAGGCAGTCATTTGGATTGGAACAAACTTTTACCAAATCTATAGAGCTGAGATACATCTGTTCAAATAAAAATTTGGCAACATTAAAAGTTGAAATATTACACCTAATAAAAGATGTTTTAATCTTAGGCATCCTTACATCTCACACCTTTTATTCTAACCCTCCACTAGTTTGTATTTTCTAATCTTATCCTTTATAGCCCTAAATGCCCCTATTTTGATTAGAAAATCATCGCTCTATCGGCAAAAGTTTCTTCTAATAACTTAGCATACATTCATAATATTCAAAGTTGAAAGCGACAAGTTAAAAATGAGCTATGTATATCATCAACCCGATTCTCTTTGTTTTCCCTCTCACAACATATATAGGGATTTTTTTTTTCTTCTCAATACATCCTTACATTCTTCCCCTCTATTAAGAACTTAAAAATGACAACGAAAAGTAGGATCCTCGTCATGCCGGCATTAGAGAGAAAATGTGCGATTATCCCTGACCTTCTACTACGTTCTTCTCCATCATGACAATGTGCGAGTATAGTGGAAGCTTAATGTCACTTTACATTCCGATACAAGATAATCACTAGGGTAACAAAAATTCAGCTGGTTTCAAAAATCAAGATTCTTCGTGTACCATGTGTGTTCAACAAATGAACAACTTTTACACGTCTAGAAAAAGGAAAACCTTATATATAATGATCTAACACCTCATTGGTTTATATATGCATTTCTCTCTCAGCTCTAGATAACTTAATTTTTACTCAATGCTATAAAATCATAGTAGTTTTACCAAGAATTTTACGCTATTCCTTCAAAGATCAAATCTTCATAAACTATCATTTGGAATTTCTAGGTTTGACCAAGACAGCTAGACCTACTAACGTTGGTCTTCATCTACTCCAAACTCTGTTCACGTTTCAACTTTTTATTTATTTGTAACAAAATAGAAGCCTTCAGTTTTTTTTTCTCCTTTAATTTTCGGTAAAAGTGGTTGCCTCCTGGCGATGATGAGTTGTATTAGCCGGCAAGTATAGCCATGAAGGTTTTGTTTGACTTTCAACGGCAGATTTGGAACCATGCAGACACCCACATTCATTGGCCGAGAAGCGTATAAGCACTGGGGCCGGCTCTCCTGTTGCTTAATTTGTCGTTTAATTAATTACACTATTTTAGTGACCGAGTCGCCATCGTCTTAACGGACTGAGCGTCTCAAGCTACAGTAAAAGAATTTACTTAGCTGCATCCAGGTCAAGCAGGGCGGAGGTAGGAAGTTATCAAGAGTAGGACCATGTAGATGTAGTTTCATTCATTGTGTTTAAATTTCGGGTTTGTTTGGTTTGGAACCAATTTTTACTCTACCAAAATCTTGGTAGTGCTAAAATATTAGCAAATATTGGCACTACCAAATTAGGTAGTGTTGAATTTGAACTATTGTGGATAAAATTTGGTAGCAAATCAAATATGCACTTGCTACTATTGAAGTTACCAAAATTTTGGTAGGGCAATAAGTTGGTATCAAAGCAAACAATCCCTTCATCTAAATTTTAGTGTTTTTCCATTGATTATTTTTTGTTACATATGGGGCCCAAGACTAAGGCCCTGTTTGATTCAGCTTAGGATTATTATAATCTAGATTATTATGAGTAAGCTGAAATAAACAGATAGCTTATTATGATAGATTATTACAATCTATACGCCAGATTATTATAACTAGCTGGGTGGCCCGCGCAATTGCGCGGCTAGCACCCAAACAAATTCATATAATTTTTAGTATGATTTTACTTAAAATTTATTAAATAGCTATCTCATTATCTTAAGACTTTGAAAGACCAAACCTTATCATCCTCGTGTTTGTACATATAGTTTTTAAAAGTCACACCAGTTGCTACCTCTTATGTCATCTCCTTTTTTATTTGCTTGCTCGATCTACCACTATTTTAATTCATTCTTCTTGAAACCTTTAAAAATTGGATTTTATAATTTTTAGAGTTTATTGTCACGTTGGGTTTTGCTTTTATAATTTCCATATATCACGTTAAACGTTGCTATTATACTGCTCTACGGTCCATCCACTGTTTCTTCTCTTTATTGTCAATGAGATATTAAAAATCGAACATAATTATCGTTTGGGTTCATTTTTACTTTCTAGAAGTCCCGCCAAACCGTCAGCGGCTTTGCGATTGTACTCCTCTACGGCTCACGCGCTGCCTCCCTTCTTTATTGTCATTGAGATTTTAAAATCAAACATGATTATCATTGGGGTTTTTTTTTACTTTTTTGAAGTTCCAAACCTTTTAAAATTGGACTTGTAATTTTATTTTTTATAATTTTTAGAAGTCCCATCAAACGGTACCACTATGCCCCTCTACAGCTCGTCCGCTGCCTACTCTTTATTGCACTGTGATTCTAAAAATCGAACATAACTATCGTTGGAATCCATTTTTTATTTTCTAGAAGTCCCATCAACCGTCGGCGGCTCTGCAACTATACTCTTATACACCCCGCCTGCTGCTTCTCCTTTTTATTGTCATTGAGATTTTAAAAATCAAATATGATTATCAATGAGGTTTATTTTTTTTACTTTCTAGAAGTCCCGGCAACCGCCTTACTTGTTTGCTTCACGGCCTGCCTGACGTCCCTCCTTTTAATCGTCATTAGGATTCTATTTAGTGTTTTATTAACAGTTTTTATATGTCGTAACAACCGCCACCACTATACTCCTTTATAGGCATGTTACTTAATTTATCTCGTCATGTGTTTTAGATGGTCATTTCTTTTAATAGTCTTTATTTTTATCACAAATTTAGTTATTTATAAATTGTATTTCTAATTGAAATCTTATTTTTCTTTTTCTAATTTTAGAATTTATTTTTTTAAAAAAATTAGTTAACATCGTATTGTGTTCTTTTAGTGTTTTTATTTTTTATTTTCAATTTCAGTTGTTTCAAAATTGTATTCCTACTTGATCTCTCTTTTAATTTTTATAATTTTGGATATTATTTTATTTTTTATTCAAAATTTTAATTAATCTCGTATTGGGTTTTTTATATGGATTCTTCTTTCAATATTGCTTATTTTTAATTCCGAATTTCAGATAATGTTAAATTGTATTCCTACTTGAACTCTTCTTTTATTTTCTTTTGCTTATTTCGGATTTATTTTTATTTTTATTCTGAATTTTAATTAATCTTATTTTTAATTCTGAATTTCAGCTATTTTTAAATTGTATTCCTACTTGACTCTCATTTCCTTTTTTAATTTTGGATTTTATTTTATTTTTATTTCGAATTTTGATTAATCTCGTATTAGATTCTTGTATTAGATTCTTATATGGAAACTTCTTTCATTATTTCTTATTTTTAATTCCGAATTTCAGCTATTTTTAAATTGTATTTCTACTTGGACTCTCCTTTCCTTTTGTAATTTTGGATTTTATTTAATTTTTATTTCGAATTTTGATTAATCTCGTATTGGGTTCTTATATGGAAACTTCTTTCAATATTGCTTATTTTTAATTCCGAATTTCAACTATTTTTTAAATTGGATTCCTACTTGGACTCTCCTTTTTCTTTTTCTTTCCTTTTCTAATTTTGGATTTTATTTTATTTTTATTTCGAATTTTGATTATTTTCGTATTGGATTCTTATATGGAAACTTATTTCATTATTGCTTATTTTTAATTCTGAATTTCAGCTATTTTTAAATTGTATTTCTACTTGGACTCTCCTTTCCTTTTCTAATTTTGGATTTTATTTTATTTTTATTTCAAAATTTGATTAATCTCGTATTGGGTTCTTATATGGAAACTTCTTTCAATATTGCTTATTTTTAATTCTGAATTTCAGCTATTTTTAAATTGGATTCCTACTTGGACTCTCATTTTTCTTTTTTTTCTTTTTCTTCGATTAATGTGAGAATTTCTAGCCCCCACAGCGAACGTGACGCCACCTTTCAAAGCTGTTTTAATAATATAATAGATCTGGTAATCCACTCTAAATGTGCTTTTTTTAATTATTAGATAGCTAACATCTAACAAACAGCTAATAATCTAGAGAAACAAACAACTAACAGCTTATTCTATATCAACTTATTATAATCCAGCTTATAGTAATTTGGCTCAATAATCTAGATTACAATAATCTCAAACTAAAACAAACAGGGCCTAAGCTGCCCCACAAGTAGCTCCGTCCCTGAGCGCTTGTTGCATGCTATGCAAGCATGTATGTAAACTCAGTGGCGGAGTCAGGAAATTTACTATATGGGATCAATTATTATTATTTTAGTATGGTCATTTATGTAAATTTGAATGGATTTATAGGAAAAATTAAGATTCAAAGGGCAATAGTGAAAAAGTTGTGGGGTTAGCCGACCTCACAACTTACACATAGATCTGCCATTCTCAGCGTAAACCCGGTTTGTGCCATCAAGCAAAACAAGTACCGGTTCGATGGAAAATGTATGTCATCGCTATTATTATTGGATCGCCAGTATTGACGTAATAGGCTATTTTAAGTAAAACAAATTTGTATTTAAAAATGACTGGCTAGCATATATGAGAGCATAGTATAACCAGTAAGTTTTTTTTTCCTGGAAATATCTTGGGGAGTGAAAGGGAGCTAGTGGCATCGTGGCTCATGCATGGCTGTCTACACATGTGAGATGGTAGATGGTACTATCTCCTAGTTGAGCATTAATCTATAATTATCGATTGATTAATCAAACGTGTGCTTATGTGTGTGCACAACTGCACATGCTGATCGATGCAAGTTGACTTATGCACACGGGTTCGTGTATGTGTATCCATAGCTAGCCGACCTATTTTGTCTTGAAGCAAAGAATTATACACAAGTGGCTCGACCTGTTGACTTATAGTATTAAAAAAGGGTACTTTTACTTTGCAACAAAATAAAGCACTTGAATTGTTTATCGAACAAAGAGAAGAAGGAGATACATGATGGGGTCAATGGTTAGTGTTATCCAAATCCGCTTGCATCCCAAGGGAGAGACGGCAGAGCAAAATATCTAGAGAAGTTTTAACATCTAGACATATATATGTTTAGATTCATTAACATCTATATAAATGTGGGCAATGTTAGAAAGTCTTATAATGTAAAATGGATGAAGTATTTCATATGTGTGGTTGGTGTAGACGGAGAAAAAAGCTATTATTTTGGAATTTGTACAATTATCTAGGCGATTTCTTAACTCATCCTTTTGGCGTATGTGAAATGAGAAATTAAATACCGACCATTATAAGCTTGGAAAATAAATTTATTTAATTATTTTTATACAACTTCTATATAGAATGCTTTTAAAAGAGTATCATTTTAACAGTTTAAAAACATGCTAAAAAAGAGAAAGTTGAAGTTTGAAATCAAAGAAAATAAGTAAATAACATAGCCTAAACATTCTACAATTTGATCCTTTTAAAAATTTATATTACAAACAGACCTTCCGCAAAATTTGTTCTCCCGTTCTCTCTCTCTTTTTTTCCACCTTTCGGTGTTATCATCGAATGGGCCTCCGGTGTAGGCCCATCATTTCATCATGGGCCTCATTCCTGCCAGCCCATTCGTCAGCCCAAGCCGTCGAGCGGCGGCGCGTCTCCGCCGCGAGCGGCGCCGGCGAGCGGCATCTCCTCCCCACGCCGCCTCGCCGTCGGCGACGACGTCCCCAGCGCCAAGGTCAGCCACCGGCGCCGCCGCCGCGCCCCCGGTCCCTCCTCCCCTTTCTCTCTGGCTTCTCTCATGTCCCCCCTCTATGCCCTCCACCGCGGGCTGCTCCGCCGCTTCGCGGCGCGCGGCCGTCGCGCTCATCCGCATCGAGAAGCGGTGAGCTACAACCCTTGCCGCATTGCGATGTTGTGACACGGGCGAGTCATGGCCGTCGCCGCCGCCGCCGCCTTGTCGTGCCATACGCCATCGCAACGCGCCGCCGCGCAGCATAGCAGGGCACGCCCGTTTGGTTCCCTCTCAAATGGGTTCATCTCGAGCGATCGGATGAATCGGAATCGTCGAGGCGCTGGAAGGTTCGGTTCGGTCGGTTGATGATCGATTTCCCTGTGGTACGTACGATTCAGGAATCCCATGCCTGTATTTTTTTTCTCTTTGCAAAAATTCCGTTTCATCTTCCGCTGCTTAATTCTGCTTGTGATGCGTACGAATCAGGAATCCACAGGTTCTCTTCAGTGCCAACTAGTATTAGTTGGTCCCAATCTTCCAGAATCACCATTTCTGCTTGGATGTTTCTAAGCATGATGGTATTAGTGAGGTTTGCTCAATCAAACTCTATCGTGCACCTGTTCTTCTATTTTGACGAATCACCAACGATTATTTTGTAATAATCAGGTGTCGTCCTGCTATGAAGATTCCGGTGCCGGAAATAGAGGAGATGTATCTGAAGGAGCACCTGGGTGTTGATTTAGTGTATCATTACTTTTTTTCTTTGACAAAGAAAGAATCTATCATCACTGATGATGATGTGAAGAATTGCTAGCACATTGCTTGACTCGCTCAGCAATACTTTCTGGATCGGTGAGTCCTTATCCTTCCCTTTTTTTTTGCTGCTTCTTTATGTTAGCTTCCCTGCATATTGATCTAGATTGGTTCTGAAAGATATTACACGTGGTAATACAGGAGTTCTTATTCACATTCTGGACAGTTAATCCTTATCCAACATCTCTATCAAAACCATGTAACTCTTGGTCACTGGCTGGGTAGGACAAACACAAAAAAACAATAAGTAAATCTTTTCAGGATGATTAGCCTGACTTTTATGATGTGCAAGAGAAGTTGTACGGACAGTGGCCAGCAATTTCATAGTTAAATGAAAAATGAATAGTTTGGTATGATATAGGTATGACTTTACGTATGCCAGCACATGAATGGCATTGATTTCTTCTTTCTTTATTGTTTTATGTTGATGAAGAGTCAAGGTACAAAAGTAAGGAAATGTGAAAAGAGACATGCAAAGAAATCACATTAACTGTGCTTATTCTACAGTATCCTCATTTACCAACTAAATGCATGTGAACTGTGAAGTATCCTACACTATACTCATTTTCTTCCTGCTGACATCTGGTGGAAAGATTTTTCTTTTTATTTTTTTTACATTCATCAACCTTGGGCTGCATTCACTTGCAGTTATTTATTGATGATGCATTTTTCCTCTCGATCTCTATTCCTTAGGAGGTTACATGAAGTCAAGTGCCTGGGCTATAGCAGATTCAATTATAAAAAGAAAAACTTGATTAGGTATCTAGTAATAGAAATTGAGTAATGCCCGGCGAAAAAGAAATTGAGTAATCGTGATAGATATATATGCCTGAAATGCATGCTTGACGGATAAATTGGGTTGTATATGAAGTAGTGTGTGTGGTCTACATGCACTGATGCGGATATTTCAGCATGGGATCTTGCCAACAAGATTGTTGAACAGAAAATTATTTGCATTTGAAAGCTTTCACTACATGACATTATTTTTGTGTGAACCCTTTTAATTGGCTCCGTGTTCATAACTGTCTCTTTTGTTTCAGCAATCCTGTCCATATTCAAGGTCAAAACAAGAATGATTCTACCTTAACATGGGAAAGCTCGTGCTACTTGACAATGTCATAATGAATCGCAGTCAATCTCTGATATTCGTATCTGAAGTCTCCTGCTTGTGTCCATTTACCATGAAACCATCCTGGATGAAGCCCAATGAATTGTGGCTGAGAACAGTTGCCTGATTCCAGTCATTTTCATGTGCCCTCAGTTCACTGGCACTTGATCTGGGAAGAAAGGTACACATTTGTTCCTATTGTATTGCTGTTGACTTGTCACTATACACTTAGTTCTGCAGTTCCTTTATTGTGTAATATCCTGGCATTATTTGTGATGTATGACTCTGCAATGTTTGGTAGGCAACCTGTTTGAGAGGAACTGCCCATCTTGAGGTAAACCCTCCAGGCCTTGTCGACAATGGATTCGAGTCAGCAGTGCTTTATATATGCAGGTAATTTGTTAAGAAAACTCATATCAATCAATATGTCACTTTCATCTGTAGACTACCCAGACTTAGATATGTCTATGCAGAAGTTTCTCATGGCATTCCATACTTCCTAAGTTCCTAGTCCCGATTCCAACTTCAGTTTGCATTGCCAATTGCCCAATTAGCGTATGGAAATCTTTTCATGCTTTTTTGTTTGGATGTCAAGTCTGATTGATTAGTCTAACCAAATACTGAAATACTATTCTTTATTGCATCAGCTCGCATGATGGTTATTTATCTCTGAATTTTCCATCTTTCAAGTTTCAAACATGGTCAGTAGTCCAACATAGCGGCATACATATATATTTTTTCTTTCGCAAATAAGCAGACATGCTGCTTAGCAGGGAGCAGATCTGGTGCAGTTGTGCGTAGTCCTTAACGTCAAATCTTTTTCACTTCCATTGAACGGAAGTGCCTGTCACATGTCCTTAGACAATTCTTTGCTCCTTTAGTACCTTTCCAACCAGATTAATCCTCAAGGTGCATGACTTCCAAGTACTTTCAAAGTACGATAGGGGATCGATGGATACTTCGGTGGTTCTTAGTCCCTCGTTCTGTTCTCTGACTGGAATATTATGCATCCATGGTCCATATGGATCTATATCTGGTCCCTCATCTAGATTCTTTCTGGGTAGTTTTCCAACAAAATTCAATGATCATAACATCAATGAAAATCCACAGGAACTCATCAGGCATGTCGGGTTTGACAGCAATGCGAAAGGATCCTGTCTATGATTGGTGTCTGGTGACCATCAGCAGCGGCTGGTCCGGGAAAACGGATGCCACAGAAGGATATAGCGGCTCAAATTGCGACCTGTCCACCCCACCAACACAAAGGTATATTTGGTTTTTGACCTAAGTTCGCTACACCCAATCTTAGCCATGCCATTTCATGCCACAATTTATCAGGAAAGCGTTTGATTAATTTGATTAATTTCTGCGACAATAGCAACCCATCTTTGTTAGTGTTTTGGCCCACTTGTTAAGTTGTTATTCTAACCAGACTGTCAACAACAAAATGTCACGGTTTGTATGCCGCGGCACACCTTAACTAATTTTGTTGTAGTAAAGTTACTTATCAAATAAATCCTTAACCATATAATATAACTTTTTAAAGATGAGGCGTTCCACAATTTTTATGGCTAACAAATTATTTTCCATGAGGAAACTGGGTCTACGATAAGAGAGGTACTAAATATAATGTTTTGTGGTGTGTGAAATTTTAGCAGTAAACTAGTTGGTTAGTCTTGCCAAAGATGTATCGAAGTGTGGCCACCAATCGAAAACCCTTAGTAGCCACAAGCCGGCAATCCTGAACTTCCACTGTTGGAGGATTTCCAATTAGAAAAAGGGCGGTCAAATGTTACAGTTGACCAACAAGTGAAACATTAAGTTATATATGAAAAAAAAAATCAGCAACTGAAGCATTTAAAAATTTTGTGAAACACGGTGAAGATACACATTGAAACATGTTGCTATCACATATAAAACAACGAGTGTTAACGGATTGAAAATATATGTTTTTTTTCATCAAAATATAATCATGTGATATCTTATTATAAAGATTTAATTACAACGAATACAATGGTGCGATCGGATTGTAGATTGGATAACTAGGTAGGAGAAAAATCATTTTGAAGATCGCTAAAATGCATACATACATGCATAGAGTGGAGAGAGAGTAGTGACAAGTAGTCCCGTGAATTTTGTGAAACACACCACATATTGAAACATATCACTATCACGTATGAGACATTGAGTTTTAATGGTTTAAAAGACATGGTTATATTTTATTATAATATAATCGTATGATATCATGTTGTAAAGATTTATTTACAACGAATACAATGGTGTGATCGGATCGTAAATCGGATAAGTAATTTAGGAGAAAAAAATATTTAAAGAGAGAAGAAAGGAAGAATAAGAAGAAATTAACTAGTTAGGAGTATGCATGTGAGAGTGTAGGGTGCTCGAGTCTGGGCAATCTCTCATGCATATGCAAACAATTCTCTATGTATAGAAGGGGGAATAAGATGAAATTTGTTGCTAGGGTCTTAGTGGACAACGCAATTGGTGTTCGGATCTCATTGTATCCCACCATTAGAGTTTGACCAGTCCCCAAAATTATTATTCGAACAAACATATAGTAAATCCGTAGAAAAAATTGCCAGTTTAAAATATATGCATCTGTAAGGCCGTTTACACACAAAGTTCCATCTCTTCCTCTCTAGAACGCAGTTCAACCATGTTGTAACACCGGGCTAGCTTTGTCACAAGTCACAACCCTGTTGAACTACATCAAGAATTCAAAAAGAATGCAAAATTGCAGCAATATCTGCTCCCATACCATCCGCCCATCCCCAATTAGATCCTAATCGAATGGTTATATTTCTCCTCCATTTTACCTCAAAAGCTTAAAAAGAAAATCTAAGCTGTGTTTGGATCCGAATCCCAGAAATTTCCCAGAGACGAAAACCCCTCATCCTCCAAACACCCGCTTCAAAATTCCAAAAAAAAAAAAGAGAAAATGATCTTGATTTGAAACTGATCTACTTGTTCAAGCCCCAAATGCGTACGTACGTGTGCACGCGTCACCAACCCCAACTTCTCGAAGAAGGAAGCGCACGCATCGATCGATCACGAGCTGGCCGGACCAGGTCGAGGTGAGGGTCAAAGCCGACGGGCTACGGCGGCGGCGGCGGCGCCACCAAACTCTCGACGGCCTTCGCGATAGCTTCCTTGAGCGACGCTTCGTCGAATTCGCCCGCCTGCAAAGGTTGTCGCAAGAATATAAAGATATCAATCATTTTTTTTAGATAATGATAAAGATATCAATCATATGCTATATACACATGGTTTTGGTAATTAAATTCTCCAGCATATAAAAAATACACATCCACGTGCTGCACTGTCTACTACAGTACTCCCTCCATCTATTTTCTATAAACTTAATCAAACTTAACGAGGTTTGACTGAAAAAAATCAACGACTTATAATATAAAATAGAGGAAGAGTATATACAACCTCATTTTAATAAATGACGCCGTTGATTTTTAATCATATAATTGACCATTCATCTTATTCAAAAAATTTATGTAATTATAATTTATTTTTTTTATAAGTTGTTTTATCGCTCAAAGTATTTTAAACATGATTTATATCTTATACATTTTTATAATTTTTTTAACAAAACTAATGGTCAAACATGCGTTTAAAAGTTAGTAACGTCATTTATTAAAAGACGGAGAGAGTATATGTTTACCGTGGAGAAACATTTTTTTTTGTGTGTGTATTGTAACAAGTATTTCTTGATTATTGATACGGTGTGAGGACCTAATTGGAGCCTTGGACCACTACTACTTTCTACTGGAATATAGCGCTAAGTTCTAATTTGATTTTCTTTTTTTGGGTAAGAATCTAGATATATGTAGAGGAGTAAAGATATATCCATACTCAAGATTCAAAAGTTTTGCCGCACATATATCTGACATTAATTAGGAATGGACAAAAAGAAAAATCAAATATCATGGCTCAGCTTGGATCGGCTCATTGCAAACTTGACCATGGATCGACTTGAATTCATATATCGTAATGAGTTGAGCTAAGCTTGAGGTTGAGGGAATCATGCGAGCTACCCGTTCATAGCATACAAGGTCACCATATCTTTTTATACTTCGGCTTATTAATTAGTGGTTAACCCTTTAAATTACTTTCAATCCATCGGATAATTATCCACTGGTTTACTAGTTAGTGTTTATTATTTTAAAATAGATGATAAATTAGTATATGCTGAAATTATAGAGGTGATATAAATGAGCCTAATAACGAGCAACGCCCTATGAACCGAGTTGGCTCGTTATGACCGTATATGTCACAACGGGCTCATAATTAAGTAGTTTTAGGCAATTTTGGTCTAAGGTTATGGTTCCATCGTTTGCTTGTTGGCTTATCAGTCACAACCAAAATTTAAATTTTAAAATTAAAAATTATTATACTTTATTTTTGTATATTAGCTTTCAAATCACTAATGATATACTGACGGGGTTAATTTCATGGACTCATAAGAGGGGCAACTAGCCAAACCACTGGCCTGGTCAAAGTCAAGGCGAGTTGATTGAAACGGCCCGGTAATTTTATCTTGTTCCTCCTCCTATGGCTAGATGAAGCTCTTCAAGCAATTCTGCAGATTTGGTGCAGTTACCAGATGAAGCTCTTGATAAACTGTTTGCTGAAAGGAACATGACATCGATTGGGATTTGGATGGAAATGAATTGAAAACCCGGGCCTCTAGTGTTTTGGACTTGTATGCTGTCTGTCCGTGACGTCATGCATCCCACACAGCAACAGCCAACAGGGGCAGTCAAGTTTTCCAGTTGAGTTTTCTCCGGTGGGCCCCACCCCCGTCGCTGTAGGGTAAACTAGGCTGATCTGGTTGACTTTGACCTAGGTTTGAACAACCAAATCTCTCTTTCTTCGTCACTCACCTCTCTCTCATGAGCCCATGACAATGAACACAAAATGGAGCAGCTCAAGATAGTAGACCAGCTAACAGTTTGGATATATATATATATATATATATATATATATATATATATATATATATATATATATATATATATATATTGAAATAATTGTTATAAACATTTGTGATCATTGATTATGACTAGTTAGGTGAGATATGCACAACAATTAACAGACGTCTGGAACGGAATCCAAATATAACATATATACGAAACAATACAATCTCTATTTGTAATTTTATAAAATCAATCTTGTGTTTCAAATAAAGGCTACATATAAATATTACTAGCATTAAGCTTGCACTACGAATGATATATATAAAAACGGATACTCCCTCCATTTTAAAATACAAGACATAGTTCAATCTTGATAACTTTGACAAATAATAAATCATAATATTTATGTTTAGTGTCATGTATATAAGTTAGATTTGTATTTGAAAATATTTTCACATTTCATATAATGTGTAGCATTAGGCACCGTATAAAAAAACTATATGTGTCTTATAATCTTATAATTTGGTCAGAGGAAGAATGATTTTTTGCACGAAACATACGTTTCAACAGGGTAAGCATCCGTACCGTTGCTCGTAGTGTTAGGCTGGCCTGAGCGACGCCATTGCCGCCGCCGCCGCCCGGCTGCCTCGCGTCGACGGCCACCACCGTGAAGCCGCCCATCGCCTTGAGCAGTGCGAGCACCCGGAGCACGAGCTCCGACACGTCGGCGCCGCCGCGCTCCGGCGCCCGCACCGCCACCCTCACGGTCACCTCTGGCGCCGACGACGACGACGATGCCGATGCGCCGCCGTCGTGATCACCGCCGCCGATCACATGGACCTGCACCCTCTCCGGCGAGCCGCCGGCGGCGGCGGCGACGGCTAGCCATTGGTGATTATGGTGATGGTGAACCTCGTTGACTGTTCGGATCATTGATGATCTCGATGATGATGATCCATTGGCGCGTTGGTGGATTTGGGTTTGGAGTGCTCGGTTCTTGGCTTCGAGCTCCGAGATTTGAGCTATCAGCAAGTTCATGTACTCTAGTGTCTTGGCAAGAACTGTGGCCTTGTCTTTCTGAAATGCCAGTAGTTGATTTGATTAAGATCGAGAAGCTATTAATAATTAGTAGAACAGATTAATTAGCAGAGTTAATGTGCAATACGCAAAATAAAATTGTAGTAATTAAAACTGGAAAAATGGCAATGTGTAGTATTTCATTGGTTAGATAATGGAAAAACGTTAATGATTTCCGCCTGATCTGTACTTCAATCTGATGAGAACAATATGCAAGTAATATAAGATTCTAACAATTTGAACTAGCAAATAATGTTTAGAAGCATTTCAGGTTGAATTTGAACAAGATTTTCTGGAAGCTAATTAAAATGGGTTTAATTTGCATTGCAACAAGGACACAAGCCACAAGGTCATTAACATGATGGTGCAATTAACTCATGTTAATTATTAGGAGTATAGTTTACCTTTGATCCTGGAGGAAGCAAACCTCTCAAGTGCTCGAAGCTCTCGTTGAGCCGCTCGCGCCGCCGCCGCTCCGATATCATATGGTGGAGCTGGCTGCTCGTCGGCGGCGGCGGCGCGGCCGTGGCGTCCTCGTCGTCGCCGCCGCCGCTCCGCTGTGCCGCGGCAGCGCTGGCAGCGGCGGCGGCGGCGGCGGCGCGCTCCTGGCTGCACCTGACCATGTGCATCCTCCTCAGGATGGAGAAGCCCATCTTGATCATCCGCTGCCCCGGCGCGCCCGGCGGCCGCCGCGACGCCGCCGCGCGCGGCGCCAGCGCGGCGTTGTACGCCCGGAACGCCGTCGTCGTCGGCGTCCCACGCCGCGGAGACCGGATGATCTGCGCGCGGTGCTTGACGGACGACCACGGGGCGTGCAGCGCCGCCGCCGAGGACGACGTCGAGGGGGAGGAGATGACGTCGAGCATCGCCTGTGCCATGGCGGCGTCGTCGGCCTCGGCGCTCGGGAAGTGGAGGACGCCGCTGCCGCCGACGCCGCCGTGGCGGGAGAACGGCGACACGTGGACGTGGTGCGGCGCCGGAGGGCGCGGATGGAGCCGGGACGACGACGACGGCGTCGTCGTCGTCGTCGTCGTCGTCGCCACCTGCGCCGCGAGCTCTCGGGGCGACGGCGTGGCGGATGACGAGGCCATCATGGGCGTCATCGTGCGGAGCAGCGACGTGGAGGCGGCGCCGTCGGCCGGGCTGCCGACGAGCGAGGACGACGACGACGACGGCCGCGTCGGCGGCAGCTGGAGGAGCTCCTCGAGCAGCGACTGCTGGAAGAAGTCCTCGGAGAAGACCTGCTCCACGCTCGCCTGCAAGCTGCCGCCGCCGCCGCCGCCACCGTAGTTCTCCGCCGGCGCCGTCGAGAAGCCGACCTCGATCTCGCCGCTCTCGCATCCCATGAACGCCGCCATCTGCACGCCACCAAGAATGGCCCATGTCAGCTTCATCCTTCTCGATTTCTAACACGATCATCTTACGAAACAATATTATGAAATGGATTACGAACCTTAATGCCAGCTTCCTGAAAGAATTTTACCACAAAAGATCATACGAATTCGTTAGTAAATCCATAAATTTCTCAGGTGTTTGATCAACTAATGGAACCCAAATTGATCAAGAAGCAAGTGGATCAAGCAGATCGAACAAGTGCATGCACCGGTGAGTTCCGAGTTCTGACCTGGTAGAAGCTTTGCTGCACCGGCAGCGAGGCGGAGGCGACGAGCTCGAGCTCCGAGAGCTCCATGAACACGCCACCGCCGCCGCCGACGTACGCCCACCCCGGCACGCACCCGGTCACGGCGCCGCAGACGGATCCCCGGTACGCGTCGAACAGCGCGCGCACGCAGCCGCCGCCGTCCTCACCACCGGAGAGCCATCCGTCGACGCAGTAGAGCAGACGCGCAGCACCGGCGGCGCCGCCGGAAGAAGGACGCTGGTGGTGCAGGCCGGCGGCGGCGACGAGGGGGAGGGGAGCCCAGGCGCAGACGTAGGCGCAGCCGGGGAGGCGCGCGGCGGCGCGGTGGAGGATGCGCTGCCGGGACTCTTGGCCGAGCACGAAGATGGTGTCCATGCAACGGCCACGATCACCACATGGTCTCCATGACTACCTAACTTAATTAGCCAACCCAAACTACTACTTCTTCTTGGCCCGCCTCGGCGAGATGGCGCGGTTGCCGTCGACGATAGAATGGGAGATTTAGGGGTATATATATGCGCGCGGGAAGGAGGGGAGCAAAGGTGAAGACTGAGGACGAGGACGACGACGAGGGCTGCGGCGGAGATGGGGATGCATGGGAAAGACATGCATTGATGCATGTGTGGATGGGAGTGGATCGGAGGCGGGAAAAGTAGGAAGGTAGCTTAGGAGGAATAGGAGAAGCAAGAATGGTGAAATGATGGTGGGGGTGGATTGGTGAAGGGTTTGGTTTGGGGAGAATGGATGGAGACATTCATGGATGGATGGATGGAAAGGAAGGAGGTTGAAAAGTACTAGGGGTAGTGTTATCTATTGGAATAGAAAGTCGTTCAAAGGTCTTCCCTGTGTGATGGTGGGTGATATGATGCTGGGTGCCTTGATAGCTTAAGATGATCTTGAAAAAGGGTCAAACAAGGTGGCACAAACGTAGCTACCATGGGGGGCTGCCCGCTGCCCTAGTTCTGTGCATGTGTTGTTTAAAAGGCCAAAAAAAATTGATAAGATATATCAATATGCGGATATGCTATTTTACAAACATGTAAATTCAAATTCGACTTATACAATTTAAAAAATAAAAAAATTGATAATTGTATAAGTTGAATTTGAACCTGTATTTTTTAGAATGACATCACATATTGATCTATTTTACTATTTTTTTCAAATCTTTATAGAGAAAATTAATTTAAGTGACATGTAAAAATAAGAGGATATCTCCTCAAGGGATTAATAGAGTTCCCTAGGCTGGCTGTACTTGGAGGAGCCAAGCCACTAGCCATTTTTCGGTTAGCTACTTAGGCCTAGTTCGAATGTACAATTTGATTTGTCTTTTCGGCAACATATAAAACGATATAAGTTATTAGCACATGATTAGTTGAAATAAATTATTATAAACTTTTAAAATATGTTTGTTTGATTTCTTAAGGAAACTTCTACATAAAAAGTTTTTTTTTTTAGAAAAACACACATTTAACAATTTAAAAAGTGCATGGGCTAGAAAAAAAAGTTACAAACAATGGAGCTTAAGGCTCAAATAGTGGCTGAGCGTGAAATTACTCAACATTAGGACTGTACTAGGGCTCAAATACCAAAATTTATATAGTGATTAAACTTGATTTTGGAGGCATGTCGGCTGTCACATAAAGCTTGATTAATCTCTATGGTACGTATGAACCTCTTGTTATTTTAATTTCATCCTGTTTTATTTTCTGCACCAGCAGTATGCAATTTCATATTGATATAGCAAAAAGAATTAAAAAAAATATGGAAGGCTACAATCAAGAAAAAAGAAACATAACAATCCAAGAAATGGACTAGCACCAAGCCAGATGCCGTTACCTCTACGGAGTGGTCACAAACGCACCACCCATCACCAACTCCAAGCAAAAGGTCGCCCAAATTAGACTCTCATATATACCCACGGAGAAAGGTTGCCGAGTGAGAGGGTGAGAGAAAAAGATACACTCGTGCATCACATAAACCTAATGGTGAAACCATGAGAGTCGCTAAAGACTAAGATGCTTGAAGGCAGCACATGTGAGAAACAAGGCATCTTAATTACTCCCTCCGTCCCAAAAAAAAGGCAAACCCTAGGTTTCCGTATCCAACTTTGACGGTCCATCTTATAATTCGTATTTTTATTGTTGTTAGATGATAAAACATGATTAATATTTTATGCGTGACTTGTCCTTTTATTTTTTTCATAATTTTTTCAAATAAGACGGACGGTCAAACATTGGGCACGGAAACCAGGGTTTATCTTTTTTTGGGACGGAGAGAGTAGACAATACTTCTAGAGAGGTCACGATGTCAAGAGAATCGCCACCACCTGGCCAAGACACCTCGGACTTGATTTTCACATGAAGAGCCCCACTAGGGAGGGAGAGAGAGATGCCTCACAATGTCCAGCCCCAAGGGGGGACCGTGACGCTCAAGCTATTGTTGCTAGTCCTAAAAAAATGTCGAGCCAGGCTTTCGCCTACAACTCCCTCCCCTTTGAGGGAGTGCCCAATAGAAGATGACTTGCCGCCACCGCCATTGATATTGTTCGGTTGAATCGAACACGCCATCTAGAGGCACCCTCCTTTCTGTTGCTGCAACCACTAGCCTCACCTGCTGCAAAGAAACATTCGCTAGCCAGGAAGCTTGCCCACAGCCTCCGGTAGCCTTTGCCAACATCCAGGCCATGACTACCGCTAGCCTCTGCCGCTCACACCGGCCACCCGCTAGAGTCGCGCACGCTAGCTCCCACCAAGGCTTCAATGGACGTCGACGCGTACCCAATTGACCTTGGCTAGATCTGCCACAGAGGCATCGGATCTAGCTATAGCAGCGCTAGATCTAGCCACCGATGGCAGTGTCCTCTTAAAGCCTTCAAGGCCACAGACGGTGCCCAACTCAATGTGGTGAAGCCCCACTGCTGCCTTCATTGCAGTCGTGCAGACTTCTGGTGGCTCACTGATCAGACGACAGTAAGGTGTAGAGAAGGAAGAGGAATGACAGGGGCAGTGACGATGAGTTCCACATGTGTCACCCTAGAGATGATGCGGGGATGTCATGTTTTATTAGGTCTAGTTTGGAACACAACAATTAGTTTTCCTTAGATTTATAGAAATAGAATTGACTAATGTGGAAATCCTACATGCATTGTGTTAGTATGATGATTATTGTTATCATGCATATTTTGTTTTATGCTTGAGTTATTCAAGATTAGTAAGTGCGTGGGGGTACTTTAGTTGTTTTTTATATATCAAATATTTAATTCTCACATAATGGAAGAGTTTCATGAAAATAAAAAAACAAGAGGGCTCGAGATAGAGCAAGTTTTAAGAGAACTAGCTGGGTGGCCCACGCAATTGCGCGGCTAGCACAAAAAAATCATATATTTTTTAAGTATGATTTTACTTAAAATTTATTAAATAGCTATCTCATTGTTAAGACTTTGAAAGACCAAACCTTATCATCCTCGTGTTTCTAATTATATACTTTATAAAAATCACACCAGTTGCTACCCCTTATGTCAACTCCTTCTTTATTTGCTTGCTTGATCTATCACTATTTCTATTCATTCTTCTTGGAACCTTTAAAAATTGGATTTTATAGTTTTTAGAGTTTATTGTCACGTTGGGTTTCGTTTTTATAATTTCTAGATGTCCCGTCAAACGTTGCCATTATACTCCTCTACGGCCCGTCCACTATCTCTTCTCTTTATTGTCATTGAGATTTTAAAAATCGAACATAATTATAGTTTGGGTTCATTTTTACTTTCTAGAAGTTCCCCCAAATCGTCAACGGTTTTGCCATTGTACTCCTCTACGGCTCGCCCGCTGTCTCCCTTCTTTATTGTCATTGAGATTTTAAAATCGAACATGATTACCATTGTTTTTTTTTACTTTTTAGAAGTTCAGAACATTCAAAAATTGGACTTGTATTTTCATTTTTTATAATTTTTAGAAGTCACATCAAACGATGCCACTATGCCTCTCTGCAGCCCGTCTGCCGCCTACTCTTTATGTCATTGTGATTCTAAAAATCGAACATAACTATCGTTGCAATTCATTTTTTATATTCTAGAAGTCCCGTCAACCGTCGGAGGCTCTGCAACTATACTCTTACACACCCCGCCCGCTGCTTCTCCTTTTTATTGTCATTGAGATTTTAAAAATCGAAAATGATTATCAATGTGGTTTTTTTTTTACTTTCTAAAAGTCCCGGCAACCGCCTTACTTGTTTGCTTCACGGCCTGCCTGACGTCCCTCCTTTTAATCGTCATTAGGATTCTATTTGGTGTTTTATTAACAATTTTTATATGCCGTATCAACCGCCACCAACTATACTCCTTTATAGGCCTGTTACTTAATTTATCTCGTCATGTGTTTTAGATAGTCTTTTCTTTCAATAGTCCTTAGTTTTATCACAAAATTTAGTTATTTATGAATTTTATTCCTTATTGAAATCTTTTTTTTTCTAATTTCAGAATTTATTTTTTAAAAAAAATAGTTAATACCGTATTGTGTTCTTTTAATGTTTTTATTTTTAATTTTTAATTTCAGTTGTTTCAAAATTGTATTCCTACTTGAACTCTGTTTTAGTTTTTCTAATTTTGTATATTATTATATTTTTATTCAAAATTTTAATTAATCTTGTATTGGGTTCTTATATGAATTCTTCTTTCAATATTGCTTATTTTTAATTCCGAATTTCAGCTAATTTTAAATTGTATTCCTACTTGAACTCTTCTTTATTTTCTTTTGCTAATTTTGGATTTTTTTATTTTTATTTTGAATTTTAATTAATCTCGTATTGGGTTCTTATATGGACTCTTCTTTTAATATTCCTTATTTTTTAATTCCGAATTTCAGCTATTTTTAAATTGTATTCCTACTTGGACTGTCGTTTCCTTTTCTAATTTTGGATTTTATTTTATTTTTATTTCAAATTTTGATTAATCTCATACTGGGTTCTTATATGGAAACTTCTTTCAATATTGCTAATTTTTAATTCTGAATTTCAGCAATTTTTAAATTGTATTTCTACTTGGACTCTCCTTTCCTTTTCTAATTTTGGATTTTATTTTATTTTATTTCGAATTTTGATTAATCTCGTATTGGGTTCTTATATGGAAACTTCTTTCAATATTGCTTATTTTTAATTTCGAATTTTAGCTATTTTTAGATTGTATTTCTACTCGGACTCTCCTTTTCTTTTTTTTCTTTTTCTCCGATTAATGTGGGAATTTCTAGCCCCCACAGCGAATGTGGTGCCTCCTTTCAAAGCTGTTTTAATAATATATTAGATAGATTGAGAGGTAATTAAACACTTGCTCTATTCTTAACGGTTGCAATAATTTGACAGCTTTCATCATCATTTCCTAAACGGTTGAACTTACCGCGAAAACTCGCATCCCGGCCATGGCATTGGACTTATTTTTGCATAACCGAGGGGAGCTACATATGTACAGTATATATCCTATGGTCAAGCTGGTAGAGTTTGATCCTTTTTATGAAAGACATGATAGTGCCATTTACCAAACGCCTCCTTAATTGGATCTCAAAACCACAAAAAGTATATGCAGTCAAAATCATTGATAGACACAACTTAGAGACCAAAGGTTTGGTTATCCTTATATTATATTTCTATTAGTCCTTCAGGTTAAAAACCCTGAGAGATTCAGATTCTTCGTTTCTTTTCTCCCCTCCTTTTCGTCAGTTGATTTGGCAACAAGCAGTTTGGTTAATTTAATTAAGATGCATAAA